GCAGCAAGAATACATATTGCAAAGCACTGGAAGACACAAGATCTACCCACCAGGGAAGAATGGCAGATGAAGCTGATGGACTATATGGAACTGGCGGAAATGACTGGCAGAATCCGAGACCAGGGAGAAGAGTCGGTGGAAGAAGATTGGAAAAAATTTAAAGTATATTTACAAAAACATAGCAAAATTTATGAATGTTAGAAGAATGCTGGAATGAAGTTACATGGTTTTAGCAGAAATGTTATAAAGAATAAAGTAAAAATGGATTGTTAATGGGCCAAAGTGTAAAATATAAGGTCAGATTGGGTTAAGGTAAATTATAGAACAAAAATTGAGTAAGATGGAAAGGATTTGCTGAAATAGCTAAATTGAATTAGAATACAAAAAAGGGAGGTGTGAGGAGGTCGATGAAATAAGTAAATGAAAGACAATGATATGGAAATACTGGATGTGTGTTTAAATGTTTTTGTTTTTTCTTTTTTTTATTATTGTTGTGCTGTATTTTTTTTATTCTGCTTTTTATTTTATTTTTTGATGTATTGTAACTTTTTATTGTTCTTTTTTCTCTCTCTTTCTTTTTTTGTAATTGTTAAACTTTTAATAAATATCATTTAAAAAAAAGAGAGAGAGAGAGAGAGAAGGTGAGGGAATGGCTGATTTTTGATCCTTGTAGCTGTGCACGGATTTGAACTCAGGTCCTGCTGGCATAAGGCCTGGACTGTCTCCTTCCAAGAGTTTAAAGGTCCCCGGCATTTGGGGGGAGAGTTTTCCTGCTCCACCTACCCCTGTGCCCTTTTCCACATCCTCCCCTTTCCCAGTGCCTTTGCAGAGGAGCAAAACACTTTTCCCAAAAAGCAAACAGACCAGCCAACGTCACACAGCTCCTCTGAACGGTGCCAGCACACTCAGACTTGGCTCGCTGGCCAGGACTGTCACATCCAACCTCTTTCAGACTCCCTTTCACTGACGCTGGCGAAAAGAAAGTCTCTCCCTCCCAACCTCCCTCCCTCCGTCTGTCTGTCTCTTTTCAACCCCCACCATCAGATTCCAACTGAGGAAGGAAAGTGAGTCAGGGACCAGCCTGGCGTCGCTGGCTGCCTTTTCCAGCCAAAACAGGCTGACCAAGGGATAGACCCAGCCAGATGCCAAGTCTTTGGGTTGACCTCGCGGCAAGGAAGGGCCACCAAGAGGATGCTGGCGCTGCCCTGGGACAAACAATGACAATGACAGATGCATCTGGGTACCAGTGTTAAGAGGCATTAAGAGCACTCTTGAAGATAGGGGGGCCTGGCCAGGGTAGTACAGAAGTAGTGGTGGTGGTTTGACTTCAGGAGAAACATAGAATTGTGAAATTTTGAGGTCTTAGATACATGTTAAATGTTCATAAGTGTACCAACCAAGCACATACATAGATCAGCACAGGAAGACCGACCTGAAACCAATTTTGATTCCCAAACTGAAATGTTTTCTCTGCAAGGTCAAAGGAAAATGGAAAAGCCTCCCCATTGTCTTTTCCTTCACAAATCCTGTCTTAAGGGCACATTTAAGATATGAATAGGGTGTGAGCCTGTGACCTGGCTCAGGAACTAAGTATTTATCGTTACAAAAAACTGGCCAGGTTCCCCAGGCAATCCAATCAAGTGACCATTAAACAGGTAACCTGGCAGACAGGAGGTAAACAAAGCACTCAGATTTCTGCTGTAGACCGCCCTTTCTGTGATGTAGGTATGATGTATATGGGGGGTGGTCTGGAGCTCCAGGGCAGGGAATTTAAAATGTCTATATAAAGGCAGGCACACCTTGGTTCGGGGTTCCTCCTCCCTCCTTTGTGTGGTGAGTGAGGACCCTGTCACAACAGATCAATAAAGATCAAGCTTACTAGCTGCTTGGCTTCTCAATATTCTCTGGTTGGCCTCTGTTATTTTCTCCTACCAATAGGGAACCTACGTAAGGACTCTATATGGGCTCTTGGATACCCCATAAGGGAAGAAGGGCACATTTTTGTTTATAACACTCTAAGGGTCCTCTAGTCCAACGCCCTGCAATGCAGCAATCTCAGCTCAAGCATCTCAGCTCAAGTTTCCCATAGGCATCTGGTCAGCCCAGGGCCGGCCCAACCATGAAGCAAGGAAAGGCAACTGCCTCAGGCAGCAGGGTCCAGAGGGGCAGCAGATCTCAAAGAAGATTTTGATTGCAGAGGAGGGCAGCCAAGATGATCCAGGTTGTGGAAACCAAGCCTTGTGAGGAACGGTTGAAGGAGCTGGGGATGTTTTGGAGACTGAGAGGAGACACGATAGCCATTTACAATTATCTCAAGGGCTGTCCCATGGAAGAGGGAACAAGCTTGTCTCCTCCTGCTCCGAAGGGTAGGACTTGAACCAGTGGCTTCAAGTTACAAGAAAGGAGATTCCGACTCAACATCAGGAAGAAGGTTTGGACAGCGAGAGCTGTCACACAAGAGGTGGTTGACTCGCCTTCCTTGGAGGTTTTTAAGCAGAGGTTGGATGGCCATCCGTCATGGATGCTTTAGCTGAGATTCCTGCATTGCAGTGGGTTGGACTAGATGACCCTCAGGGTCCCTTCCAATTCTACAATACGATGACTCTCTTTGTTCCTGGTTTTAATGTTCACTCCCCACTTCCTCCCTGGCAAGGAGGCAGTCAGGAGTGTGTACAGGAGCCAGGCCCTGTGAACAGTAGGACTTTGCAGGACTGGGGCCTTCCTAAGTTTGTTTTGGAGAGGCAAGGCGCGGCCGCACAGGTGAGGCCGATTGGTAACTCACAGCACCTGGTGGCAAGAACCCGGAAGGGATATAAGGTCAGCATTTCCCTTTGGCTCTTTGCCACAGCAACACACTTCCTGCCTTGCTATGTTTGACTTCGTGACTCCTTGCTTCTTGATCCTCGGACCCCTCGCTTCTTGACTACTTGCTTCCTGACCCTCGGACCCCTGACTTCTTCACTCCCGGCTCTCTGACCCTCAGACTCTTGGCTTCTGGACCCCCATTCCTGCTCCCACCCCACCATCTTGCCCCCGGTCCCGACGTCCCCTGCCGGGACTTCGATCACCCATGAACCAGACCGTGACAAGGGCAGATGCCATTTTGCAGTCCAGAAGCCAAAATGCCTTGGGCCAAACCGTGCGTTGGCCGCTGCGAGAACCGGATGCTGGACTCGATGGGCCATTGGCCTGATCCTGCAGGCCCTTCTTCTGTCCTTACGACACCCAGGTAGTGTCGCAATGTCCCACGGCCTCCGGGAAGCGACGTGAGGTTGCTAAGCGAGAGGCCGGCCGGCGGCGTGCCTTGCCTCCTCCGCGGTGCCAGCGAGCTCCTTCCGCCTCTCCTTGAGCCGGGAGAGTTTCCTCCCAGACCGTTTCCTGCCGACAACCCCTGACCAGTCCCTCCCAGTGACCACCCCGCGGCCCTGGCTGGGAACCAGAGCAGCAGCATCTGGTTTGAGTTACCCCGAGAGCTGCTGACGTCTCCTTCCTGTCTGGTTCCCAGGAGTTTGGCTCTACCCAAAATTCGCCCACCTTCAGAGCTGGGCGTGGGGAGAGGAGGGGAGAGGCACAGCCTCAGAACCCAGAATCCATCCAGGCCGGGGAGAGAGAGATGGCGATGGAGCTGGCTGTCCCTGGCTGGCGTCCCTCTGCCCCTTTGCAGAGCTGACCACTCCTTGCGTTATTCTGGGCACGTATTGGGGTTTCTTTCGCTTGCCTCTGTCCCGGCCTGCTTCCCCACGGGAGTTTCCCAGCCGGCTAGAAGAGGCTCTCGGTCATTGATTCACATTCCCTCAGACGTGCGGTAACGCTGGGCTGCCAGGCTGGCTCCAGGCTATAAATGGCTCCAGGGTTGGTCGCGGTTGAGGCCAAGGGGGCCCTGGAAGATGAGGCAGAGACCAGGCCCATGGCACTCAGACGGGTTGCTGAAGCACAGCAAGAGAAGCAGAGCGGAGGGGAGACCTCAAAACTGCAAAGGACAGAGAGGGTTGAGAAGCGAGCTGCGGAAAAGACTTGAGGAAGCAAAAATGGAGACACTCTATCTTTGTTAATTTGCTTGTTTTGCAGCACAGTAACACCTTTAGTAAAAATTATTATTAGTAAAAAATTATATATATATATATAATTGTCCAGTAGCACCTTAGAAACCAACTTACATTTGTTCTGGGTATAAGCTTTTGTGTGCGTGCACACTTATTCAGATACACTGAAACAGAAGTCACCAGACCCTTATATATAGTGGGAGGGTGGCGGTGGGGTTTTTCTCAGAAGGGTAGTAGGAGATGGGCGATTGGCTCAATGGGTATGGATCACTGCAGATGGTGACAGCAGTCACGAAATTAAAAGACGCCTGCTTCTTGGGAGAAAAGCAATGACAAACCTAGACAGCATCTTAAAAAGCAGAGACCTCACCTTGCCAACAAATAGTTTTAAGGGGGGAAGGGACTCTGACTGGATCCAAAAGCTGACTGAATATGCTGAATTAGATGGTCCATCAGAAAAAATAACGAATAAATCAAAACAGGAATTTGTTTCAAAATGGGAGGTTTTCAAAGAATATTTGAAATATAAATATAGTAGTTTAAACTCAGTTGCAGCATTCAAGGAACTTCAGTAATAGTTGAAAGGCAGATATAAGAATTAAGATATATTAAGAAAAAGTTTAATAATGATAAAAGTGTGTACTGGAAATAAGTTATACGAAATCGAAATATGTAATAGACGGGAGGTTTGGTCTTTAGTGTTAAGACCAATTTATGTCTTATTGCTTGTTAAGAAAATTCAGTATCGTTATTCCTGTGTGTAATTTGGTATTTGTGTTTTCTCTTTTTTCTTTTCTTGCTGTATCAATATATATATATAATTATTATTATTTTAAAGGGGGGAGGGGCTCTGTGGGTAGTTAGAAGACAAAGCCAGAGTTTAGGCTTGTAGAATTGTAGAGCTGGAAGGAACCCTGAGGATCATCTAGTCTGACCCCCTACTGTACAGGAATATGCTGCTGCCCATACAGGGATCGAACCCACAGCCTTGGTATCATGAGCACCACACTCTCACCAACTGAGTTGCAGTGATCTGAAGCAAGCTGGAGAGAGAGAGTCAGAGCAATGCTTGAGAGCAACGTTAGATTTCCATTTGAATCCAAGGCTGCGGCTACGGGAGAAACAAGTCCCTTTTGCGGGGGCGTGAATGCTGGTGAATCTCTCCATTGTAGGCTCAGGTTGTATAGATGTGTAAATGAACCATATATCATGAAGACACCACAGTTCCCGCAGTGCCTCAGCGCTAGGAAGTCTTGGAATCTTGCACCGCTCAGAGTCTGAAGTGGCATGCAACAATATTCTTCCAATAAAAGGTTGCCAATACAACATTGCTTTTACAGTCACTCTGTTGAAATCAGTATGATAAGAATTTTAAAGTCTTAGATATACAATAAATGTTCATAAATGCACCAACCAAGCACGTACATAGATCAGCATAGGAAGACCGACCTGAAACCATTTTTGATTCCCAAACTGACCAAATGTTTTCTCTGCAAGGTCAAAGGAAAATGGAAAAGCCTCCCTATTGCCTTTTCCTTCACAAATCCTGTCTTAAGGGCACATTTAACATATGAATAGGGTGTGAGCCTGTAACCTGGCTTAGGAACTAAGTATTTATCATTACAAAAGACTGGCCAGGCTCCCCAGGGTATCCAATCAAGTGAGCATTAAGAGGTAACCTGTCAGGCGAGATAAACAACACACTCAGATTTCTGCTGTAGACCGCCTTTTCTGTGATGTAGGTACGATGTATCTGGGGGTTGGTCTTAGGTTACACCCCTTCTGTGATGTATATATGATGTATGGAGGGGTGGTCTTGAGCTCCAGGGCAGGGAATTTAAAATGTATATATAAGGCACACTGTTGTTCTGGGTCCTCCACCTTCTCCTGCATGTGAGGGGAGCACCCTGTCGCAACAGATCAATAAAGATCAGGCTTACTAGCTGCTTTGCTTCTCAATATTCTCTGGTTGGCCTCTGTTATTTTCTCCTACCAATAGGGAACCTATGTAAGGACTCTATATGGGCTCTTGGATACCCCATAAGGGAACAAGGGCAGATGTTTGTTTACAACATCAGCAATAGGGAGTGCTCCTTCTCTGAGCACCTGACAAACTGCAAAGGCAACAGACTGCCCAGTGGATATAGGGGTGTTCGGGAGAGAGAAAGGATCCATCAGCTCTTGCTGGCAGGACAGGATCTGGCACTGAAGGAATGGGTTTCCCAAACCCCAAAACTGACTGTGCAGGCAGTTTGAAACTGCACCAAAATCCCTATTTTTCCTTAGCTAAAATGCTTTAACTTGAGCTCTTGAGCCAAAACCCAGCTGTATAGAGCTGTGCTCGGAGCCCTCTCTATCAGTTTGTGACGGCAAGTATGGCCTTCACTGTACCAGTAGAACAGAGAAGACACGTCTGTGCCTTATCTTACGTCCTGACCACAAAAAACGCACAGACCCAGTCTGGGAACAGCGCCAGTGTGTGTTCTCAGAGATGATGACCTCTTGTTCCATGATAAGAGTAGGAACAGGAAGATCCTTTTATGGTCAGAGGTACAGAAAGGAATACCCTTTTATGGTTAAGAATACCAGAGCAGGAACATATGTGATGTCAACCTGCGTACATAGGCTGACGTGGTTGGATTCCTGGGGAAGGAGGGAGAGGGTGCCTGGAGGATATATATACTGCATGAAATTTCTCATTTCTTTGGACTTGCTGTGGACTGACCAAGCAAGTGCCTTCTGCTATCCGGAGAGCAGAATAAACTCTTTCTTTGAACCAACCTCGGTGTCATTTGACTTCCTTCCTCCTGTCCGGGAGCAACACAGACCCAATCGGTGAACTCCAATAAGGCTACAGCATGACCCAGGAACAGAGAGAGTAGAAGAATTGCACATATTATCCCCAATTCTTGCTGTCCACAGGCATGTTTCCAAAACCCACAAAGACCCTTTGTATGTGTTGCCTGCCTGCAAGTCATGAAGGCTCTGAAAAAGGTCATCCCTGAACACCAATAATTAGGAACTGGTCAATCTGCAAAACCACATCTGGAAAGTGATGGAGGTCGATTCTCTTCCCAAGGGAAGTAAAGCATCAATGAGAAGCTCTGTACAAAACTAATTTTGAGTGGAGAAGAATGGTCTTCCTTGAACCGGGAAAGGCTGGAAGGAAACGCTACCCGAGAGAGGCCGATGGAGAGAAAAGATCTCATCTCACCACAAAGTACACGTCTAGCTTATAGGGCATCACTAAATGCCACTTCTCTTATAGAATCGTAGAATGGAAGGGACCCAGGGGTCATCTAGTCCAACCCCCTGAAATGCAGGAATCTCAGCTCAAGCATCCATGACAGATGGTCATCCAACCTCTGTTTAAAAACCTCCAAGGAAGGAGAGTCCACCTTCCCTCGTGGGAGTCTGTTCCACTGCCAAACGGCTCTTACTGTCAAAAAAAAAATTCCGAATGTTTCATCGGAATTTCCTTTCCTGCAATTTGAAGCCATGGGTTCGAGTCCTACCCTCCAGAGCTGGAGAAAACATGCTTGCTCCCTTTTTCACGTGACAGATATTTGATGATGGCTCTCGTTTCTCTTCTCAGCCTCTTTTCCACGGGACTGCCTCTCCTGGTATGCCCCGCGGAGGACCTTAAGGTCCACAAATAACAACACTTTGGCGGTCCTGAGCCTCAAGGAGGTTAGAATGGTTTCAACTAGGGCCAGGGCCTTTTCAGTACTGGCCCCGACGTGGTGGAACGCTCTGTCACAAGAGACTAGGGCCCTGTGGGACTTGACATCTTTCCGCAGGGCCTGCAAGACAGAGCTGTTCCGCCTAGCCTTTGGTTTGGACTCAGTCCGACCCTTATGTTTCCCTCCGCTTATGGTCTTGATTTATCGGCTATTTTAAAATGAGGCTGCATTTTAAATTGCATTTTAGCCTGTATTTTAAATTGGGGGTTTTTTCCACCTTTCTTTTTCCCTATTATGTGATTTTACTGTGATTTTATTGATGTTAACCACCCTGATTTTCTACTGAAATGAGGCTGCATTTTAATGTTGTATTTTAATCTTGTTTTTAAATTGTATTTTAATCAATTGTTTTTATACCTGGTGTTAGCTGCCCTGAGCCTGGTCTTGGCTGGGGAGGGTATAAATATTTTTTTTAAAAAAATTATCATTATTATTATTTTCCAGGCAAAACATACCCGGTTCCTTCAACTGTTCCTCATCAGGTTTGGTTTCCAGATCATCTTGGTCACCCTCCTCTGCACACGTCCTGCCTTGCCCCCATGGGCTCCTTCAGCAGACTCAGACAGTGTTATGTACTGAGTTGAATAGGATCCAAACTGCAGCAGTCTGATTGGTCCTAGAACAATAGGATCCAAATTGCAGCAGTCTGATTGGTCCTAGAACAATAGGATCCAAATTGCAGCAGTCTGATTGGTCCTAGAACAATAGGATCCAAATTGCAGCAGTCTGATTGGTCCTAGAACAATAGGATCCAAATTGCAGCAGTCTGATTGGTCCTAGAACAATAGGATTCATAATGCAGCAGTCTGATTGGTCCTAGAACAATGCAGCAGTATGATTGGTTGGCAGGAACCACCCAATCATTCTCCAGATATAAGTGAATCCACAACCTGATTGGCTTACAGTAGAATTCCAGAATTAGCCAATCATGTGCAGCCCATTGTGTAAATAATGTATATAAAGCAGGTACTTTGAGGGGACTTTCATTCATTCCTCCTCACCACTATGAGCTGAATAAAGAGCATGAAATCACTTTGCGACTCTGAGTATATTTCAGACAGGGCCATGTTGTGCAATCGCAGGCTTGTGAAACACCGTGGGCAGCCTCTCCCGAATGCCATTCTGGGACGCTGCAGCCAGCTAGATGCCCTCTTGGGAAGGAGATTCTATATATAGAATCATCCGATCCCAGGGCAGCGAGAGCTAGGCAGGGGCGGGTCTGGCAAGGCTGCTGACCGGCAGCTCAGCAGACGCCTGAGTGGAGGAGCTCAGCCTGCAGGGAGCTGAGGAGCTGGGCCGGTGTCATAGAATTGCAAAGTTGGAAGGGACCCCAAGAGGCATCTAGTCCAACCCCCTTTCAGTGCAGGAATCTCAAATAAATCACCCTTGACAGATGGTGTGATAAGAATTTTAAGGTCTTAGATATATAATAAATGTACCAACCAAGCACGTACATAGATCAGCACAGGAAGACGGACCTGGAACCATTTTTGATTCCCAAACTGACCAAATGTTTTCTCTGCAAGGTCAAAGAAAAATGGAAACGCCTCCCCATTGTCTTTTCCTTCACAAATCCTGTCTTAAGGGTATGTCTGTCTGTGTTTGAATAGGGTGAGCCTGTGACCGGGGTGAGCCTGTAACCTGCCAGACAGGAGATAAACAACGCACTCAGATTTCTGCTGTAGACCGCCCTTTCTGTGATGTAGGTATGATGTGTCTGGGGGGTGGGCTTGGGTTACACCCCTTCTGTGATGTATGTATGATATGTAAGGGCAGGCACACCTTTGTTCTGGGTTCCTCCTCCCTCCTGCGTGTGAGGGGAGCACCCTGTTGCAATAAAGATCAATAAAGATCAGGCTTCCTAGCTGCTTGGCTTCTCAATATTCTCTGGTTGGCCTCTGTTATTTTCTCCTACCAATAGGGAACCTACATAAGGATTCTAGATGGGTCTTGGATACCCCATAAGGGAAAAAGGGCACATTTTGTTTACAACAATGGGCATCCAGCCTCTGCTTAAAAGCCTCCGAGGAAGGAGAGCCCACCACTTCTAGTGGGAGACTGTTCCGCTGTCAAACAGTCAGCAACCAAAAAGGCACAATATTACTGGTTCCTCTGCTCACCCGACGGGCAAGAAAAGGCAGTTCACCCACCTGTAGCACCCAGAATCAAGGGCCACGGCTCTCCTCTGCTTACCTGCTGCCCCAGGTGTGCACACCTGGAACCCAGGGCACAAGAACATAATAATAGTCTGCTGGATCACGCCAGTGGCTCATCCAGCCCAGCATCCTCTGCTCACAGCGGTTGACCAGATGCCTGCAGGAAACCAGCAAGCAGGATTCGAACTCAAGACCCCTCTCCCTTCTTGCAGTTTCCAGCAACTGGGAGTCAGAAGCATTGTGGTCTCCAACCGTTGAGTGGAAAGCATAGTCATCCCGGCTGGTCCTCTCTTCCACAGATTTGCCTAATCTTTTTTAAAGCCACCTTTTTTAAAAGCGGGTGGTGCTGTGGCCTAAACCACTGAACCTCTTGGGCTTGCTGATCAGAAGGTCGGTGGTTCGAATCCCCGTGACAGGGTGAGCTCCCGTTGCTCGGTCCCTGCTCCTGCCAACCTAGCAGTTCGAAAGCACGTCAAAGTGCAAATAGATAAATAGGTACCACTCTGGCAGGAAAGTAAACTGTGTTTCTGTGAGCTGCTCTGGTTCGCCAGAAGCAGCTTAGTCATGCTGGCGACATGACCCAGAAGCTGTCTGTGGACAAACGTCGGCTCCCTCGGCCTATAGAGCGAGATGAGCGTGCAACCTCAGAGTCGTCCACAACTGGACTTAACGGTCAGGGGTCCTTTACCTTTACCTAGTGACCAAAAGTCCAGAGGTAGCATTATTATCAATTTACAATGGCGTGAGAGGTTCACAGACTATGGAGGACTTGCTCACAAATCTATTGACAGCTGCACAAATCATGATAGCCAGAAGTGGAAGGGGCAAGCGGAATATAAAATGGAAGAATGGTACAAGGAGGTGTGGGATATAGCTATTAACGATAAATTAGCGTGGGCCATTAAGGTAAGGGGGGCGGAATATGCAGGAGAGATGATTTTGAGGAGATATTGAGGGTGTTTGTAGAATTTGTGCTGTTAAAATGGAAAGGGGTCAAACCATCGCAAGAGGTGTTGAAATTTTGGGAGGTTGGATAGTTACAGTAGAATGGTCTCGGTGGCAGGGTGCACAATTTTATTCTTATTTATTTATGATTATTACTTTGTCAAAAAAAAAAAAAAGCAGCCACCTAGGCCAGGGGTCAGCAAACTTTTTCAGCAGGGGGCCGGTTCACTGCCCCTCAGACCATGTGGGGGGCCGGACTAGATTTTTAGGGGGGGGGATGAATGAATTCCTATGCCCCACAAATAACCCAGATATGCTTTTTAAATAAAAGGACACATTATACTCATGTAAAAACACTCCCAGACTGTCCGCGGGCCGGATTGAGAAGATCCAGCCCCTGGGCCTTAGGTTGCCTACCCATGACCTAGGTTGAAGGCCATCACTGCCTCTAGTGGGATAAAGTTGTGTAGTTTAACTGTGTGCTGTGCAAAGGAGTCCTTTCGTTTCTCTGCCCCGAATCTTCCAACATTCAGCTTCACTGGAAGAGTCCACAAGTTTTCACGTTGTGAGAGAAGGAGGAAGAATTTCTCAATGCCGTAATCTTATAAAACCCAATGCATAATTTTATAAGCTTCAATCGTGCCACTTCTTTTCAGTAACAAGAGAGTGTCCCCAGGGCCTTAAGACTGCACTGCCCCTTCCCCGTTGCTAGCGCAGGACGTAGCAAGCCAGAATTGTAAGGTTGGAAGGGAACCTGGGGGTCATCTAGTCCAACCCTGCAGGAATCTCCCTGCTGCACTCAGAAAAATACAGCCCTCCCCACCCTCCTTTGGAGGACGCAAGGCAAAGGACTGGTACTTGAATCTGTACATTTATTTACATTCAGCCAGGAGTGGCAAGGGGTGGGGGCGCTGGGGGCACATCAAGAGATCACTCAGCCAGACACAACGGGGGGGGGGGCAGAAACTGCTTTTTTCCCATGGGGAGGCACCGTGACAAACTCAAGCTGGAGACCTTCGTGGAACTGGGGGAAAGCTTAGTAAATCAGTAGACACAGGATCCGCCCTCCCGCAACTGTCAGAAAATGCACGCAATCCCAACCCAGCCTCCAGCCTCAGGCCAAAGTTAAAATGGGCAGAAAAACACGCCTTTCTCTCCATTGCTAAATCAGTGGTTCCCAAAGTAGGAGGTAGTGCCCCTCTGGGAAGGACGCGGGTGGCACTGTGGTCTAAACCACGGAGCCTCTTGGGCTTGCCGATCGGAAGGTCGGCGGTTCGAATCCCCGTGACGGGGTGAGCTCCCATTGCTCTGTCTCAGCTCCAGCCAACCTAGCCGTTCAAAAGCATGCCAGTGCAAGTAGATAAATAGGTACCGCTGTGGCGGGAAGGGAAACTGCGTTTCTGTGCGCTCTGGCTTCTGTCACAGTGTCCTGTTGCACCAGAAGCGGCTTAGTCCTGCTGGCCACATGACCCGGAAAGCTGTCTGTGGACAAACGTTGGCTCCCTTGGCCTGAAAAGCGAAATGAGTGCCGCAACCCCATAGTCACCTTTGACTGGACTTAACCATCCAGGGGTCCTTTACCTGTTTTCTGGGAGGTGCTAAGAGGCAAAGGCAGCAGGCTGGCACTAGAAGTGTAAGTCTGTCAGACTTTGAGAAGAGATCAAGTTCATGAACTGTGTCAAATTAATTAGACTAAATTAACTGGATTTTGAACAAATGTGCAACTAACTGCGGCTGCTTGGAATTTTATGGTGTTCCTCTGTTGTGTTGTGGGTTTGTGCTGGCTGCTATTCTGAATGGCACTTTTTGTATGGCAGAGGGATGAGTTTAGGGCACCAAGGGGAAAGTGGCCTGGAAAGGTTCGAAAACAACTGTCCCAAATGAGCTTGGAGCATCATGCGGAGAAGAGAGGGTCAGGATCCTTTGTTATCTGGCAGAGGAGGTGTTGGACCTGATCCCAAGAGAGCTGCTCTTAACTCCCTGGTCAGCCATATGCCTCTTGGGTTGCCAGCGGTGCAGAGGCCAAAATGAGGCAGGGAGAGAGATGGATGGATCCCTTGGCTTAAGAGTAGGGAGTGTGTGACTGGGATTGCGTCATGCTCCAAGCGTATCCCTGCTCCGTCATTGGTGTGATGGCCTGGGACTTGGGCTCAGACTCAGAACCAGAGGAGTCTCAGTCTGCACCGGATCCTCTGCCTCAGGCGGCATCTGGACCAAGTCTGGGGCCTGATTCTGAAGAGCCCCAGTCTGCACAGGTTCCCCTGCAACAAGCACCAGCTGGGCCAAGTCAGGGGCCTGAGCCTGCCCTGGCTCCAGATGCGGGGATGACCTCGTTGCCCCCAGCTGGGCCATCACTTACAGCTGCTCCGCTACTGGTTGGGTCAGGGGCGGCTGAGGCGGCCCCTGGGTCTAGTCACCCACTGACGTCTCCCGAGCTGCAGAGACTCAGGTCTGAGAAAAGGAGAGACCTGAGTACTTGCAGGAGGAGTGCTCGCCTTCGGGCGAGACAGGGAGGTGAGTCACCGGGGGATTAGGACCGGCTGTTACCCCGACAGAGATAAAAGGCTGTTAGACCCTGCCCCAGGTTGTGGGAGCAACATTGCTGCTTGCTGGAAGCTGCCTGTTACCTTGTGCCTGACCTAGCCTGGTTTCCTGCCTTGTGTCCTGCCTTGGCCCTGTTGGACTGACTCCTCGCGGAATCCTTGGATTTGGGATCAGACCTGAACTGTGTTGCTCGGGTTAACCTCCAGGTCCAGCACAGTTGGGGAAACTTGTCCAATCTCAGACTTTGTCTTCTACATCAGCCTTGTCTAACCTGCTGCCCTCTAGATGTTATTGTAGAGAGAGAAGGTTTCCCTGGCGGTCATTTTGCAAGGCAGGAATCTCAACTCGAGATTCCATGGCAGATGGGCATCCAATCTCTGCTTAAAAACCTCCCAGGAAGCAGCGTCCACCCCCTTCCATCACATTGGAAAATATGATGCCGCATGATTCCAAGTCAGACTCACGGGTCCCTTCAGCTGAGCATTGCTTACACTGACTTGCAGCAACCCTCCAAGGGCTTCAGGTGGGGCGTTTTCCCGGCCCTACCTGGAGATGCCAGGATTTGAACCTGGGACTGGTGTTCTGCCACTGGGCTACTGCCCTTCCAACCCCATCCCTGGCCAGCAGACATGCTGGGTGATGTTGTTGGGAGTTGTAGCCCAGAACATCTGGCAGGCGCCACATTGGGGCAGCCTGTACATGTTACCAGGAGATGGGAGAGACTCCGGGTTTCTCCTTTCGGTGGCAGTCCACACGTCCCCTTGTACCGGTTCCTTCTGGCCTCAGCTTGCCCATCAGGAAAATGGGCTCGCGAGTGACCTACCTGGCTCGGCTGTGGGAAAGGCACATGCAGCAAGGATTCCCAAAGCACACCAAGTGCTACAGGAACTAAAAGCCTTAATCAAACTCTTGTCAACACCCCCTGCTTCCTCCACAGCCTTCCATGGAACTACATTTTCCCGGGTTATTCTGGGTCATTAACCTAAGGGGGAGTTGGAGGGAAGTTTAAATAAAAGAGGTTTTGCAAAAACACGCTCGGCTTTGGCCTGCAGTTCCGTTTGAGGCCGGTTTCCCGGGATCTACAGGGGAGTGACCCTGGGCTAATGGAGGAGATCTCCGATGTGCGCACGAACACTCAACAGGCACACTTGGAGCACTCCTCTCTGTTGGTGGCCGGCTCTGAAGCAGCCCTTTCAGATGGGCGAGGAGGCGGCCGTGGCCAGGCCAGCCCAGCCCAGATGGTCTTCATTAGTCCATCTCCTTCCCCTCTTCCTTTGGGGGGGGTGGGATGCAAGAGCCTTGCTCTCTCCTTCCCCTTCCACTCCTCCCCGTTCCCCTTCCAGACCCTTCGGCAGCAGCGCAGGAGGGCAAAGAGGTTAGCACAAAGTGGTTTGCACAATGCTGTCTTCTTATTCTCCTCCTCCTCCTCCTCCTCCGGACCAGCTGCCCATCTGGGGATGTTCCTCCTGGAATGCCGGCAGTTTGCTTCCTGCCCGCCCAGAGCCTAGAGGATCTCTGAGTGCGCAGGCCGGAAAAGGCAGTTTCCTGTCCACATTATCAGCTTCCCACAGCCGTCCCTGGCGCAGTGGGGTTCAAGTCCTTGGGGTTGTTTTTGGTGTGTGGTTTTTTTGCTGGGGGGGGTCTGCAAGGCTGCCCTTGTGGGGACAAGGCATTGCTTGTTCTAGACCATCATGCAGCCTTTCTCAACCTCGGGTCCCCAGATGTTGTTGAACTACAACTCCCATCATCCCTAGCTAGAAAGGCCAGAGCCCAGGGACGATGGGAGTTGTAGTCCAACAACATCTGGGGACCCGAGGTTGAGAAACGCTGCAAACCTCAGCTAACTCCAAGACATAGCTGTCAACTTTTCCCTTTTTTTAAGGGAAAGTCCCTTATTCCGAATAGGATTCCTCGCAAGAAAAGGGAAAAGTTGACAGCTATGCTCCAAGAGCACGCAGGGGGACAAGGCCTTCCTAAGCAGGGTCGTGAGGTGCAACTTCTGTTCAAAAAGTCAGAGCAGAGACGTCTCAGGGGTGCCAAGGCAGCGAGTGGTTTGTGGGTGGCGCAAGCAGATTGGAAGCCGAGAAGCCGTTCTGCAGAAGGAGACGGGCACAGGGTTGGCAGCCTGGCAAAATCCTTATCGCAAAGGTTTGGGATTTCTCAGTCAGGGGTGTGGGGGCGATCTTGGGGGCTTGGGAAGGTGCTCTCCCCAGCACTGTGGGGTCAAGATTTTGGCTCGCTGGGGAAGGTTACAGAACCAGTCTGGGCAGCTGGGGAGAGGACGGTCACAGCGGGGAAACCGCAGTTCAGGCAAGCCGCAGCCACCCCAGAAACCAGTTCCCTTAAAGTTTGCACGGTGGAATCGGAGGCAAAAAACAAGGCGTAGCAAAGGTAAGGAGATGCAGTTGGCTGCAGCGGTTTCGGAAGGTCCCTTGAAAGCAGCGAACGGTCAGACGTATGTCGGGTGAGGTCCTTAGCAGCAGTCCAAGAGCAGCATGGCACCCAGGAAGCTGGGTTTGTGTGGAGCGTGGAGTCCAAGAGGGAGAGGCAGCAGAATAGCCACTAAACAGGAGGACGGTGCTAAAGTCAGACAATACGGAGAGGTAGGGAAGACTGGCTTAGTGGCAACTGCGCGGGAATACGGGGATGCTATCGGAGAGAGCAAATATCCTACACATGGAGGGAGCTTCCCTGCTAAAAAGTTCCAGGCCGGCGTCCACCGGCTTCTCGCCCCCAGCTCTCTGGGAAGGAGCCAGCGCTGGGGCAGGCCCCGATCCTCTTGCCCAAGCAAGTCCCTGAGACGTGGGGCACAACGCAGTTCAAGCTTCCCGTCGGGAGTTCCCCCTGCCCCCTTTCCGTCCACGTGTCGCTCGATTCTGCCCGCTTCCAGCCCCGCCGCTCAGACGCCCATCGCGGTCAGGGATCCCGCGCTGGTGATCTTCTTGAACCGGTTTGCAGCACAGACGCCGATGAAGTTTTTCTGCGCGGTTGGAAAAGAAAATGCACACAAGAGTGAAAAAAAGGGGGAATTGCATTGAGGCTGGAAAGCTCACATCGCAGGGTCAAATTATAATAAATTAAAAATTAAAATTAAATTAAAACAATGCACATCAAGGTTGTGCTTCTAACTTTTGTTGCAGAATTTCTTCTGTTACCTATGAGGAAGGGGAAATGGTCTGTGGGAGCCCTGGGTAAGATTCTGGGTTTACTCCCCCTCAAGCGAGGTCGGGAATAACCCAACCCTGTGCTACTGCTAGGTGCACTTAACCACATTGATTTCATTGGGCTTGTGCATGGCTGAATTTGCAGAAGAGCCTTCCATTAGTTGTCGCCCAGCTGCAAGTGAAGTTTCAGAGCTAGCCAACTATTTTGTCTGGCAAGGCTACTGAGCCTTTCACAGCTGAAGCGCAGTGGGAACTGTGTCCAGTTCTGGGCACCACAGTTCAAGAAGGACACTGACAAACTGGAACGTGTCCAGAGGAGGGCAACCAAAATGGTCAAAGGCCTGGAAACGATGCCTTATGAGGAACGGCTAAGGGAGCTGGGCATGTTTAGCCTGGAGAAGAGGAGGTTAAGGGGTGATATGATAGCCATGTTCAAATATATAAAAGGATGTCACATAGAGGAGGGAGAAAGGTTGTTTTCTGCTGCTCCAGAGAAGCGGACACGGAGCAATGGATCCAAACTACAAGAAAGAAGATTCCACCTAAACATTAGGAAGAACTTCCTGACAGTAAGAGATGTTTGACAGTGGAATTTGCTGCCAAGGAGTGTGGTGGAGTCTCCTTCTTTGGAGGTCTTTAAGCAGAGGCTTGACAACCATATGTCAGGAGTGCTCTGATGGTGTTTCCTGCTTGGCAGGGGGTTGGACTCGATGGCCCTTGTGGTCTCTTCCAACTCTATGATTCTATGATTCTATGGATGTGTAAAATAGTAATTCTGGGAAATGATATATAATGAATTGAAAAAAATGTTCAAGTTAGCCTTTATCAAAAAACCAGAAGCTTTTCTATTGGGAATAATAGGGGATTAAATACCAAAGTACTTAAAAAGAATGCTTTTTGCCCAGAAGTGGAAGGAAGAGAAAGTCCCAACCAAGGGTGGATAACCAAGATGATGGACTATGTTGAAATGGCAAAGTTGACCGTGGAGATCAGAAACCAAGCTGGTAAATTTTTTTAGCAAAATGTGGGAGAAATTTATAGAGTACCTTAAAGAACACCAAAGATATTTAAAAGGTTAACAGGATTGTTATAAGACTTCTAATGTAATGACTAAAGTTTAAAAAAGGATATAAAATGATTTTGAAAAAATGTAATTTTTGATGCAACAGATTAAAAAAAACAGATAAAAATTGGAAACCAGGGGAGAGTGGGGGGGAAGTCCAGGGATTCAAGTAATCTCAGATGTGCAAAAACGGAAAACGATTTAAATGTATAAGAATATTGTTTTAAAAAAGGGGGGAATTTTTTTTTTTTAAATTTTTGGGTTCACTGAGCACCGATCATGGTTTGTTTCCAGGGAGGTTAGATGATGTTCATCCAGGAAGAAATATACAAACTATTTGAAGAGCAACTGTAATCAACAAATTATGCTAGTAGGACCACAAGACGTTTTGTAAGGAGAAATGTATGAAGCATTGCAAAGTGGAGAAAGAATAGAGATATTAGTTATGAATTAAATGTAATTGTGGAAGTAAGAAATGTATATTTAGTGAATAGATTGGGAAATTTCCAGATGTGATTGATGGAAGTCAAAAAAATGGTATAAGATATGAAAGCATGTTTAATTACTGTTGAAAATGATATGTTGAAAAACTAATTTTATATATATATATATATATATATATATATATATATATATATATATAAAATGATGTTCATCAAAGCAACTGCATTTCCCTTCCTCTTTCCTGGCTGCAAAAAGTCTTATCTTTTGGGGGGGAAGCAGGTTTGTTGTGCAAGGCCTCCCACTCAACTAGACTTGCGCAACCTGAATTCCGCTGGCGTGTGATAGAACCCCACCCCAAAACAGTGGGTGGCCCACCAGCAGCCATTGCGCTACCTCCCAGTCTGAGCCCAAAGCTTGTGGGATGACTCACAGGGGAGTGGGAAAATGGACCAAAACCGCCGTCCCCCCATTTCCGGATACGGTGAGCTCCCTCCCACGACTGGCTGCCCCTTTCCTTTGTGAGGAAGCTCAGGACAGAAATTTACCGTATTTTTCGCTCCATAAGATGCACTTTTTTCCTCCTATAAAGTAAGGGGAAATGTGAGTGCGTCTTATGGAGTGAATGGCGCTGCGCAGAGAGGTAGAGCTGCGCAGCGCCCCTTCAGCGAAGCGGGAGGAGGAACAGAAGGAGACCCTTCTGTTCCTTCTGCAGCTTCGCAGGAGAGGCGCTGCGCACAGAGGGAGAACTGCGCAGCGCCCCTTCAGCAACGTGCCTGTCCTGGCTTCTGCCTTAGCCGTGCTCAGCCTCTTCGGGCAGGGGGAGCCTTCATCCCCCTGCCCGAGAGAGGCTGCGTGCGGCTATCCTATAAGCCAGGACAGCAAGAGGGATCGCTACGCAGCGATCCCGCTTGCTGTCCTGGCTTCTGCCTTAGCCCTGCGCAGCCTCTTCCGGGCAGGGGGAGCCTTCATCCTGCTGCCCTGAAGAGGCTTGGCGCAGTCATCCCAGAAGCCAGAACAGCCACATGGTATCCCAGAAGCCAGATCCCTCTTGCTGTTCTGGCTTCTGGGATTCAAAATATTTATTTTCTTGTTTTCCTCCCCCCAAAACTAGGTGCGTCTTATCGTCTGGTGCGTCCTATAGAGCGAAAAATACAGTAATAAAGAAGCAAATACCTTCCATCGCCTCTTCATCACGTATTTTCGGAGCAGGACCTGGGATTTCAGCCGCCGGTTGACCCGCTTGGCTTTCTCTCCCAAGTTGTTGAGCCAGGGGTGTTGCAGGCACTGTGCAGCACTCAGGCGTCCGCTGGGGAGGGGGACGAGAGGCAAAGGTTATCGGGGGGGTCACCACCTGCAGCTGCTGTATCCCAGAGCCCCTAGCCCCCCCATCCTGCAACGTACAAAACCCCATTCTTCTTTTTAAGTTTATCTCTTATTGCATCTGTCAGCTTCGCGAGCTCCAAGCACTCACACAATTTGACTGCCCATTCATCTTTAGTGGGTGTGTTGTTACTGTTTAATGGGCATGGCCCCCTTTCAAAAACGTGGTTTGGATATCCCACGTATCGCAACTTTCTAGAGCGTGGTGATAGCAGCTAGTCTGCAGGGTTGGGGTACGGTTCATAAAGGGCGTGACTCGCAGCACAGCTCCTTTAACTGGACCTCCGTCCCAGAGACCCGTAAGCATCTCGACTGGCACCCAAACCCAACCTCAAGATCTCAGGAGCAGCAAGAAATTCAATATGCAGGGAGCCTTGAGGGAAAACTCAGATATCGCCACCCTTCAGCCGCATACCAGACCTCCAATTGGGGGGTTTTTTGGGTGTTTTTTAAAATACAGACTTTTGGGAAGACGTTGAGAAAGCTACATTCTTCAAATTTATTTCCTTTTCTAATCAAGAATAGCTATCTTCACTATACTATTGTATTTTAATATTTTAATACAGTGGTGCTCCGCAAGACGAATGCCTCGCAAGACGAAAAACTCGCTAGACGAAAGGGTTTTGCGTTTTTTGAGTCGTTCTGCAAGACGAATTTCCCTATGGGCTTGCTTCGCAAGACGAAACGTCTTGCGAGTTTGTTTCCTTTTTCTTAAAGCCGCTAAGCCGTTAATAGCCGCTAAGCCGTTAATAGCCGCTAAGCCGCTAAGCCGTTAATAGCTGCTAAGCCGTTAATAGCCGCTAAGCCGCTAATAGCTGTGCTTTGCAAGACGAAAAAACCGCAAGACAAAGAGACTCGTGGAACGGATTAATTTCGTCCTGCGAGGCACCACTGTATTCTGTTGGAAGCCGCCCAGAGTGGCTGGAGAAACCCAGCCAGATGGGCGGGGTATAAATAAATTATTATTATTATTATTATTATTATTATTATTATTATTATTACTAAGGGAGTGTTTCTTCCCCCTCTCAGAACACGAGGACTCGTGAGCATCCAAGGAAGCTGAATGTCGGGGCAGATAAAAAGAAGTCCTTCTTCATGCAATGGAGTGTTAAACTGTGGAACTCCCTGCAACTGGAGACAAGGATGCCTTTAAAAGAGGATAAAGCAAATTCATGGACGGTTGCCGATGGCTATACTAGTCATTATGGCCTTTTCTTGCCTCCCCAGCTGGGGGGAAGCAATGCTTCTGAATACCAGTTGATGGAAACCCTAGGACGGCAGAGGGCTTGTGTTCGAATCCTGCCTTCAGATTTCCCACAGGCATCTGGTTGGACACTGTGAGAACAGGAATCTGGACTAGATGAGCCATTGGCCTGATCCTGGACTATGCAGAGTTAGATAAATTAACAGGAAGGATTCGAAACCTGCGGTACCAGAGATTCTCAGAAGACTGGAGTAAATTTACAAACTATTTGAAAAGCAATTGTGATGGACAGATTACGCTAGTAGGATTGCAAGAAGTTTCATAAGGTGAATCATTTGAAATGTTGCAAGAAAGATAATGAGGAGAATTATTAGTTAAGGATAATTAAATGTTTTAAATATTTACATGCTCTGGTTCTCTCCCACTTGGACTATTGCAATGCGCTCTACGTGGGGCTACCTTTGAAGGTGACCCGGAAACTACAAGTAATCCAGAATGCGGCAGCTAGACTGGGGACTGGGAGCGGCCGCCAAGACCACATAACACTGGTCCTGAAATACCTCCATTGGCTCCCAGGACATTTCCGAGCACAATTCAAAGTGTTGGTGCTGACCTTTAAAGCCCTAAACGGCCTCGGTCCAGTAGACCTGAAGGAGCGTCTCCACCCCCATCATTCTGCCCGGACACTGAGGTCCAGCGCCGAGGGCCTTCTGGCGGTTCCCTCATTGCGATAAGCAAAGCTACAGGGAACCAGGCAGAGGGCCTTCTCGGTGGTGGCGCCCACCCTGTGGAATGCCCTTCCATCAGGTGTCAAAGAGAACAGCAACTACCAGACTTTTAGAAGACATCTGAAAGCAGCCCTGTTTAGGGAAGCTTTTCATGTTTGATGTATTACTGCATTTAATATTTGGTTGGAAACCGCCCAGAGTGGCTGGGGAAGCCCAGCCAGATGGGTGGGGTATAAATAATAAATTATATTTTAAAAACATAGAAATTAAGAAATGCATAATAAGCGATAGAGAATGGAAAATCATCAGAGGTGTTGATGGAAGTCTAAAAATATTGTATAAGATGAGCAGTTATGTTGTATGACTGTTGGAACAGATATATTAAAAAATCAATAAAAATGTAATTTTTTTAAAAAAGCCATGGGCCTGATCCAGCAACCAGCTCTTTTTAGGTCCTTATGGATGTCCACAACTTCTAGTGTCATGTGAGCGAGAGAAAAAGTCTCTCTATCCCCTTTCTCAGCGCACTGCTTCCTTTTAGAAACCTCTATCGCCTCCCCTCTTTTCCAGAAACGTCCTCTGTCATCACAGCAGAAGCAAGATTCGCTTCTTCAAACGGGATAGCTCAGTTGGTGGAGCATGAGACTCTCAGGGTTGTGGGTTCAAGTCTCACACTGGGCGAAAAGGGGGTTGGACTAGATGACCCCTGTGGTCCCTTCCAGCTCTCTGGTTCCATGATTCTAAAGAGCCTGTGCAATTTTCTACTGGTCTCCCTCCAGCTAGAAAATGTTAAAGGGTGCGGTGCCTCTCCATTTGCTCTCTGGCTGACCTGGAGGTTAATCGGTTCCCACACAGAAAAGAGCAAAGCTTCCCCCCCTTTTGCCCCAAATGGTCCCAGACCTTTTGTTCTTGATAATCAAGTTGGAGACAAAGTCCTTGGCTTCTTCGGAGATGCCCTCAAAAGCTTCCTCATCAAAATACCAGTTGGCTGCCAGGACGTTGTTGAGGGTTTCCGTGTCGTTGTCGCCCAGGAAAGGGGAGAGTCCGCTCAGCCTGAGAACAGGGTGGGGAAACGAGGAGAGAGCGTCAATCAAGGCTCGTTAGTGAAGGAAAACTCTCCTGGGGCTCAGAAATTTGGCAAATGCAAGCGACTCCGGGGCCAGGAGCCTGGCTGCTCCAGAACACGCTGTGGCTACGTCAGAGCACAAAAAATCGGCTCGCTGGGCCCATTTCCCTTCCAATCTCTGCCCACCGCAATCGACGCCGTGGGTGTTCTGCTGCAGTTCTGTTTCTGCCAAATACATTGCTGCTGCTGCCCCAGAGGTCAGGACCGCAACCGACAGATTCAAATTACAGCGGCACCTCTGGTTGCGAACGGGATCCACTCTGGAGGCCCGTTCGCAACCTGAAAAGAACGCAACCCGCGTCTCCGTGGGTCGCGATTCGCCGCTTCTGCGCATGCATGTGGCGTCATTTTGCGCATCTGCACATGCGCGAGCGACAAAACCCGGAAGGAACCCGTTCTGTTACTTCCGGGTCACCATGGGACGCAACCTGAAAATGCTCAACCAGAAGCAAACGTAACAAGAGGTATAACTGTACAAGAAGGGAGATTCCAACTAAACATCGGGAAGAACTTTCTGACAGCAAGAGCTGTTTGGCAGAGGAGGTTGTGGAATCTCCTGCCTTGGAGGTTTCTGAGCAAAGTTTGGAGGGCCGACTGTCAGTGACGCTTTGATTCCTGCATTGCATGGGGTTGGGCTAGATGACCCTCAGGGTCCCTCCCTTCTGCCTCTTTGTTTTATTATGTACAGTGGTACCTCAGGTTAAGTACTTAATTCGTTCCGGAGGTCCGTTCTTAACCTGAAACTGTTCTTAACCTGAAGCACCACTTTAGCTAATGGGGCCTCCTGCTGCTGCTGCGCCGCCGGAGCACAATTTCTGTTCTCATCCTGAAGCAAAGTTCTTAACCCGAGGTACTATTTCTGGGTTAGCGGAGTCTGTAACCTGAAGCGTATGTAACCTGAGGCATATGTAACCCAAGGTACCACTGTATTTTTGTTTTCTCATTTGGTGCTTTTATGTTTGTGAACTGCCCTCTGATCTCCAGATGAATGAGGGTATGCAAATTTAATAAATAAAATAAATGACAAATGCAGCAGCTAGACTGGTGACTGGGACTGGCCGCCGGGACCACATAACACCAGTCCTGAAAGACCTACATTGGCTCCCGCTACGTTTCCAAGCACAATTCAAAGTGTTGGTGCTGACCTTTAAAGCCCTAAACAGCCTCGGTCCAGTATATCTGAAGGAGCGCCTCCACCCCTATTGTTCTGCCCGGACATTGAGGTCCAGCTCCGAGGGCCTTCTGGCGGTTCCCTCACGGAGAGAAGCCAAGTTACAGGGAACCAGGCAGAGGGCCTTCTCAGTGGTGGCACCCACCCTGTGGAATGCCCTCCCATGAGGTGTCAAGGAAATAAACGACTACAGTGGTACCTCGTTTTGAGTCTGGGATCCATTCCGGAGCCCCAGATGCTTGACAAAGTGCCGCTCTGCGCACATGCTTGAGCGGTTTTGCGCTTTTGCACGTGCGCGAGCAGCAAACCCGGAAGTAACCTGTTCCGGTACAGTGGTACCTCGGGTTAAGAACTTTTCGTTCTGGAGGTCCGTTCTTAACCTGAAACTGTTCTTAACCTGAGGTTCCACTTTAACTAATGGGCTTCCCACTGCCGCCACCACACGATTTCAGTTCTCATCCTGAAACAAAGTTCTTAACCTGAGGTACTATTTCAGGGTTAGCGGAGTCTGTAACCTGAAGCGTATGTAACCCGAGGTACCACTGTACTTCCGGGTTTGCTGTTGACGTTCCACGAAATGGACACTAAACGGGGCGGACTCAAACGAGGTACTACTGTTACCTGACTTTTAGAAGACATCTGAAGGCAGCCCTGTTCAGGGAAGTTTTTAATGTTTGATGTCGTATCATGTTTTTAATATTCTATTGTGAGCCACCCAGAGTGGCTGGAGAAACCCAGCCAGATGGGCAGGGTACAAATAATAAATTATTATTATTATCAAAGTGCCTGATTCCAAAGGCAACCCTTCCCCTCAACTCACAGCATGTAGGTGATCACCCCCATGCTCCACATATCCGTTGTGTAGGAGACTTGTTCGTAGCTCACCACCTCCGGAGACAGGAACTCGGGGGTGCCAAAGTTCACTTTCAGCTTCTCTCTGGGGTTGTATCTGGGAAGGTGAGAGAGAGAGAGAGAAGAATCTAGCACCAGGATCCTGCTCCCTTCGGAAAGGACTTTGTCCTGTGCCCTCCCCTCGCCCGGTGCCCAGAAGAGGCACACAGCAGGGTCAGGAGTGTGGAAAGGGGAGAGGGGGCTGGTGCAGGCTGGCGATGCTCTGCGCCACGGGTCCCCAAACTAAGGCCTGTGGGCCGGATAAGGCCTGAGGGACTCGTTTATCCAGCCTGCGGCGACCCCTGCCGCCCACTGCCGTCGCACGCTCTTACCGGCACTGCGCTGCGCAGCTGCCCACTTCCGTGTCAGAGGAGCACCGGAAATAGCTTGTGCACATGCCGCAAGAATTATGTCGAATGCGCAGGCATTATGTGCGCATGCGCAAGCACTATTTGCGCATGCACGAGCGTTATTAGCACATGTGCAAGCGTTATTTGTGCACGCTCAAGCATTATTTGCACATGCGCAAGCGTTATTTCCGGTGCACATCCGGGTCGGAGGAGGCCCCTGCACATGCGCACAAGCTATTTCCGGTGCTCCTCCGACCCAGAAGTGCGCCGGAAATAGCGTGTGCGCACGCGTATGGGCATGCGCTCCCTTGCCCTCCTGCCCCCCGCGCGATCGGCGCTGGAGACCCCGGCCCGAGGCACGGTAAGTTTGCTGACCTCTGCTCTGGGCATTACCTTCGAGCGAGTCCAAAATCAATTATCTTCACCATGTGGCCGGTCGAGGTCACACACAAGATGTTCTCCGGCTGTGGAGGGAGAGAAAAGAGAACACCCCCCACCCCAAAACACCACCTCCGGTTAGTGACTTTGTGGGGAACCTGCAAATGATCCCCTTGAAATCTGGAAAGGTTTGGGGAAGATGGCAGGAAGGTCTCTCTGCCCCACGGAGAGCAACTAGATATCTTGTGTCTGGCGCAGCAGAGGAACTGGGCAGACCCACGGCTGTTTGATGCCCATCTCTTTTTTTCGCAGTGGTTACCAAAGTTGGTAGGGACGCAGGTGGTGCTGTGGGTTAAACCACAGAGCCTAGGGCTTGCCAATCAGAAGGTCAGCGGTTCGAATCCCCGCAACGGGGTGAGCTCCCGTTGTTCGGTCCCTGCTCCTGCCAACCTAGCAGTTCGAAAGCACGTCAAAGTGCAAGTAGATAAATAGGTACCGCTCCGGCGGGAAGGTAAACGGCATTTCCGTGCGCTGCTCTGGTTCGCCAGAAGCGGCTTAGTCCTGCTGGCCACATGATCCGGAAGCTGTACGCCGGCTCCCTCGGCCAGTAAAGCAAGATGAGCGCCGCAACCCCAGAGTCATCCACGACTGGACCTAACAGTCAGGGGTCCTTTACCTTTACCTTACCAAAGTTGGTAGTAGGAGCCCCTGGGTGGCAGTGGGATTACATGGTGCGGGGGCCGCTAAGAGGCAAGGAGGCAGCAGGGAGTGTATAATTGCCGTATTTTTTGCTCCATAAGACTCACTTTTTCCCTCCTAAAAAGTAAGGGGAAATGTGTGTGCGTCTTATGGAGCAAATGCAGGCTGCGCAGCTATCCCAGAAGCCAGAACAGCAAGAGGGATTGCTGCTTTCACTGCGCAGCGCTCCCTTTGCTGTTCTGGCTTCTGAGATTCAGAATATTTTTTTCTTGTTTTCCTCCTCCAAAAACTAGGTACGTCTTGTGGTCTGGTGCGTCTTATACAGCGAAAAATACGGTAAAAAAATAATTTATACCCCATCTGACTCTGAAAAGTTGGTATCACTGGATCAGATATATCCATTTTGCTGAATTCAACTAAATAGGTTTTCATTGGCATTTGAATAAGCGTGCCATTAATTGCTGCACTTCTGAATTTTATCTTCCTTAGTGGGTTATGCAAACTTCTACTGAGAGTGATGCTTTTTATAAGGTCGCGTCGGAGCTACTGCAGATGCATTTATGGAAGCAGTGTCCGGGAACTGCTGGTTTGGCCCCAAAGGTCTTGTGCCCCACAATAGCTTTGCCCCTCCTCCTCCTCCTCCTCCTCCTTCTTGAGGGAGGGCAGAGATGTTCTCCTACCTTGAGGTCCAGGTGGAGAACACTCATGTGGTGCATGAAGAGGATCCCGTCACAGATCTGACGCACAAAGACCATGCAGTCCACCTCCGTCAGCTGGTAATCCTCGTCGATGATCCGCTCAAAGAGCTCACCGCCCTCCACGCTGCAACGCAGGACAGGGGCTGCCTTAGACCATCAGGTGAACCCCAAACCCCTCAGGGCCATAGCTGTCAACTTACAGATTTGAAAATAAGGGACAAGAAGCCTCAAAAATAAGGGATCAGCAGCCAAAATAAGGGATCAACAATTACTTTGATAAAATACCTATTTTGTTGCGTGCAAATGGCTTGAGATACCTATTAGGTCCATAAATTACCATATAGCATATATTCAACACAAAAAAATCAGCAACAATTTGTTGTTGACAAAGGACAGCTGGACATAGAAAGGACCTCATTACCTTCAGTAGCTTATTTAAGGGACATCATCAATAAGGGACAGCAGCGAGACATGGCGCTGGGATAAGGGACTGTCCCGCCAGATAAGGGACGCTTGACAGCTATGCTCAGGGCAGTGCATTCTGGGTGCTACTCATGCATGTGGGATTTTCCCAGCATCCATGTGACATCATCAAAAGGCCATCCCATATCCTCCCACATTTAGGTCCCATTTAGGCTGGTCACCACCCCAATGAAACAAATGTCCTGACTGGAAGAATCCGCGACCAGAAAGAAGAGGAATATCAAGAAGATTGGAAGAAATTTAAGGACTATTTGAATAAATATTGTAATATAAATAATTAGAAGTCACTTGAAAGCGCCAAATAGGCCTAGGATTAATTTAGGATTTAATTAAGTAAATTGGATTAAGAACAATAAGATAGTTAATTGCTGGAAATATTTTTAGTTTAAGAATGATATTGGAAAGCTGTTACATACAGACACAATGAAATTCAGAAGGGAGGGATCTGGGGAAGTCCATTAACAATGTAAATAAAATTGGGTTTTTAAGGGATATGGGACTAAATTGTTGTTTTGCTTTTGCTTTTTCAGTACTGTATTGTTTTTTGGTATGGTTTTTTCTTCTTTTTATGTTATATTTGTTATAATTGTGGAAAATTTAATAAAAAAAATTTGGAAAAAAGAAAGAAACAAATGTTCTCATTTGAATGAATCAATGCTGTTTCAGCTAAACTTGTGCCAGAGCTTGCTTTTCTCCTCCTCCCTCCGCATTCATTTTTCCTCGTGTGTCGTGTCTTTTCAAACTGCGGGCCTGAGCGCAGCGATTGCCCGAGGACCGAGAGCCTGCCTCGCAACTCCATGACTCACAACTCCATGAAGAGCATGATGTCCTTCGGAGTCTCGATGGCGTCGTATAGCTGGATCAAGTTCCTGTGGTTCAGCTGATTCATCACGTCGATTTCCACCTCGGCCGCCTCCTAGAGGGGCAAAAACTGGTCAGCGTGGAAGGGAGGCTGGCTGTGGGAGCCTTTGCCAGGCTGGTACCCTCCAGGCATTTTGAACCACAACTCCCATCAGCCCCCGCCAATGTCATAGTTTTGAACGACAGCTTCCACCAGCTGAGACTGACAGGCGTTTCAGTACAAAAACTAGGAAGGGCACCAGGTTGGCAAAGGGTGGGCTTCAGGAGAGACGCTTCTGCCATGCTGCCACCTATGCGCAGACCATGGGTGCTATCCAACTAACATGCCCTGTCAGTGCAAGGATTTATTCTTGCACAACAGAGTTTCCCCTCTCTTCCCCCCAAACCTTTTCTAGGGGTTCCCCCAACCCTCCCGATGTGATGACCTGGGACTCGGACTCAGAACCAGAGGAGTCTCAGTCCGCACCAGATCCTCTGCCTCAGGCAGCAGCTGAGCCAAGTCTGGGGCCTGATCCTGAAGAGTCCCAGTCTGCACAGGTTCCCCTGCACCAGCTGGGCTGAGTCCGGGGCCTGAGCCTGCCCTGGCTCCAGATGCGGGGATGACCTCTGTTATGTTCTGAGTTGAATAGGATCCAAAAGGCAGCAGTCTGATTGGTCCTAGAGCAATAGGATTCAGAATGCAGCAGTCTGATTGGTCCTAGACCAATAGGATCCAGAATGCAGCAGTCTGATTGGTCCACAGGAGCCACCCAATCCAGCTCCAGGTGGAAGTGAATCCACAACCTGATTGGCCTACAGGTGAATCCCGGAATTAGCCAATCACGTGAGGCCCATTGTGTAAATAACGTATATAAAGCAGACATTCTGGGGGAACTTCCATTCCTCCTCACCACTATGAGCTGAATAAAGAGCATGAAATCCACTCTCAACTCCGAGTATATTATTTCAACCTCGTTGCCTTCAGCTGAGCCATCACTTACCGCTGCTCCACTACCGGTTGGGTCAGGGGAGGCTGAGGCTGCCTCTGGGTCTTTAACCCACCGACGTCTCCAGAGCTGCAGAGACTGAGGTCTGAGAGAAGGAGAGACCTGAGTACTCGCAGGAGGAGTGCTCGCCTTAGGGCGAAACAGGGAGGTGAGTCGCCGGGGGATCAGGACCGGCCGCTACCCCGACAAAGATAAAAGGCTGTCGGACCCTGCCCCAGGTTGCGGGAGCAACATTGCTGTTTGCTAGAACCTGCCTGGGACCCTGTGCCTGACCTAGCCTGGTTTCCTGCCTTGGCCCTGTTGGACTGACTCCTCGTGGAAACCTTGGATTCGGGACCGGACCTGGACCGCGTTGCTCGGGTTAACCTCCAGGCCCAGCAGGTTTGGGAAATGCCCAGGGCGTGAGGAGGAGTAGGGGAGGCTCTGTTGCACAAGCGCTGACAAAACACCTTTTAGTAAATTTGCACTGTTCTTACGTTATTTTGCACGTCCGTCGCTTTGGTCCTCATTTCGGCCGGACGAATTGATGAATGAGTTTCACAAACCTGAACTAAACTTAGCAGGGCAGCCGTGCAGGAAAACCCAGCACAAAGACCGGCGCAGAAAAGGTGTTGCGTGCATTGCTACATGTTGCAGCACACCAGAGGGCACCTACCCTGTCTTTCGGCCCCTGCTTCTTAATAATTTTCACGGCCAGCTTGAGGCCCGTCTCCTTCACTGCACACGTACGGACTTCTCCAAACTTCCCCCTGTGGAGGGAAAGAGAAAGGCAGGCCCTGAGAATTATGAATTCTTTCCAAAGTTCCTCCAAAGCACTAAAAAGCTCACTTTTCCCATGAAGCCTCATTCCCAACTGCAAGAATGGATGACGTTTATCCCTTCCTCCTCACCCTCACTTTCCCCTTTCTGTTTCACCACCACCACCAATTATCTTTCTGGATTGTAAACTCCTTGGGGCAAAGACGCTTTTGCCTTTCACGCACTGTGTGCAATGATGGCTTGGTAACAACAAACCTCTCATTACAGTTCTTTCTAATAATAATAATAATAATAATAATAATAATATTTTAATTTATATACCGCCCATCTTGCTGGGTTTCCCCAGCCGCTCTGGGCAACTTGCAACACATATAAAAACATAACGCATCAAACATTAAGAAACAAAATATCCTGTACGAGCAACAAACAAACCAATAAATCAGTAGAAACCAACAACAATAATAACAATAATAAACAGTTTACAGTTATACCCAAATTATAATAACCACCAAACCCAACTAAACATTTAATCAACATCAGCCCAACAAAAACAAAACAGAGAAATCAAATTTAGAACTGTTTAAAACATTTCAGCGAGTTGCCCCAACCCTAGAGGGCATGCATGAGAAAGTAATGGGGATTTCTAGATCTGAATGATGAATGACCGGACTTCTAGATTTGATGGTGTTGTGAATGATAGAATTGAAAGGGACCCAAGGATCATCTAGTCCAACCCTCTGCAATGCAGGAATATAGGGATACAGGGATCGAACCTGCAACCTTGGCATTATCAACACACTGCTCTAACCAACTGAGCTAAGTGTTCCTTTAAGGCAGGGGTCAGCAACCTTTTTCAGCCCTGGGCTGGTCCACCGTGCCTCAGACCATGTGGTGGGCTGGACTATATTTTGAAGAAGAAAAAAATATGAACGAATTCCTATGCCCCACAAATAACCCAGAGATGCATTTTAAATAAAAGGACACATTCTACTCATGTCAAAACATGCTGATTCCCGGACTGTCCACAGGCCGGATTAAGAAGGCGATTGGGGCGGATCCGGCCCCTGGGCCTTAGGTTGCCTACCCCTGCTTTAAGGCAATACTTTATTGGTCTGTTGCTTAGTGATTGCTGGAGAGGGTTTGGCTTGCAGCTGGGTGGGTGTGTTTTCTTCAATATTCTGCACTTTATAAAACATTGTAGCATTCTCTCTTTCATTTACAAATGCCAATCTTAACCACGGCTGCTGTATTTTCTTTTACGTGTATTATTTCAAAAATAATATCCATATCGCAGAAAACCATCAGGAAATTGGAAACAGTCACAATTATTGTGGGATGCGATACATAAGTAGCAGTCAAGTACGACATTCCTTGTTTTCCTAGAGTGGACATGCAGGGGAATGTTTGGTCCAGCCAGTCGAAAACTTCCTGCTTCCTCCTAGCCTGGGACATCCTTCCTTTGCATGTGACTAGAGGTGGGCGTGACCTTACCTGCCCAGGTAACAAAAGGGACAAAGCACACAGCACCACCTCTCTCTTTGGCTCCCTCCATTGTTGGAGCATCTCACAGATCCACATGTATGTACTTTGTAACTAAGTCTGCCTTCAGGGATCCAACTTTGAACTGATGATGTGAGTAAACTTATTTTATATACAGTCATACCTCGGGTTACAGCTGCTTCAGGTTGCGTTTTTCGGGTTGTGGACCGCCGAAACCTGGAAGTACCGGAGACAGCTTACTTCCAGGTTTCAGCGGTTGCACATGCACAGAAGCGCTAAATTGCACTTTGTGCATGCGCAGAAGCGCCGGATTGCAACCCGCGCATGCGCAGACATGCAGATGCGGGTTGCAAATGCTGCGGGTTGTGAACGTGCATCCCGCACAGATCATGTTCGCAACCTGAGCATCCACTGTACTTTAAACAAGATTGTGGCATGTTTATTCTTTTAAGAGGGACATAAGGGAACTTAATGGGACGCGGGTAGCACTGTGGTCTAAACCACAGAGCCTAGGGCTTGCTGCTCAGAAGGTTGGCAGTTCGAATCCCCGCGACGGGATGAGCTCCCGTTGCTCGGTCCCTGCTCCTGCCAACCTAGCGGTTCAAAAGCATGAAGTGCAAATAGATAAATAGGTACCGCTCTGGCGTTTCCGTGCACTGCTCTGGTTCGCCAGAAGCGACTTAGTCATGCTGGCCACGTGACCCGGAAGCTGTACGCCGGCTCCTTCGGCCAATAAAGCGAGATGAGCGCTGCAACCCCAGAGTCGGCCACGACTGGACCTAATGGTCAGGGGTCCCTTTACCTTTAAGGGAACTTACCAGGAACTTAATAATGAGAGGCTTACACAAACCTGCAACCAGCTATCTGCTGTGCGTTTAAAAGGGGAACTGTAAAACTCTGCTAAGGAATAGAACTTGCTAGCGCAAGTTAGGAAGGATATTAACAAACAAAATATCCTCTCCTGCCACCCTGAGCATTCCCACAATTATGTCACTGGAAGAGCGAACGATTTGGCACCCTCTTCCTCCCACCCCCCTGCCGCCAGGCCTCACCCTCCCAGCATCTCCTTGGTGTTGATGCTGTAGGTGTCTTTGAACTCCGCCGTTCTCAGCTGGACAATGCGATGGGTGAAGGGAGCAGGTGGAGGGGGAGTGTCATCTGGAAGAGAGAGGCAGGGGTTAAAACAAAAGAAAAACCACTGGGCTAATTCATTCATCCACCTGGGGCTCCCGCCCTGCAGCCAGCTCTCCTCCATGGCTCCTAGAAGCTGTCTCAAAAAACACACAAGACGTAACCGGCTGTACTTTTGAATAAATAAGGTATACTATTCACTCTATCAAATTGTAGATTTCATTTCCCATTTCATTTGAAATCTACAATTTGATAGAGGGAAATGATATATAATGAATTAAAAAAGGTATTTAAGTATACCTTCCCTAAGAAACCAGAGGCCTTTCTCCTGGGCATAGTCGGCCAAATGGTGTTAAAAAAGGATAGAACTTTCTTTATGTTTGCAGCATCAGCAGCAAGAATACTTATCGCAAAGTATTGGAAGACACAAGAACTTCCTACGCTGGAGGAATGGCAGATGAAACTTATGGACTATATGGAATTGGCGGAAATGACTGGTAGAATCCGTGACCAGGGAGAAGAGTCGATGGAGGAAGATTGGAAGAAATTTAAAGACTATCTTCAGAAACATTGCAAAATTAAAGAATGTTAGAGTGATGTTGGACTGAAAATAAGCGGTTTCGTGCTGTACAGGTTAAAGTTAATGATAGACTAAGATTAAAGATTAGGATTAAAGATGTTTAAAGAAATGGAAATTTGACATTAAGAGGGAAAATTTTAACGTTATATGATACTAAGACTAAAGATCAGGTTTAAAAAATTGAAGTTATATATTTCAATATTTTATTAAAGTTAAAGATTGGGATTAAAAAAGTGGAAAAGAAACTGCTGGACAAATAATTTGGATTTGGAATACAAAAGAGGGAGGTATGAGGAAGTCCAGAAAATAAGTAACTAAAAAACGGAAATGGAAAAGAGATATTGTTTTTAATTGTTTTATTTTTTGTACTTTTATTGTTGAATCTTGCTTTTTTTTCCTTTTTTTGTGCTTTTGTTATATGTATTGTGTATGTTTTTCTTTTCTTTCTTTGTTGTTTAAAACTTTAATAAAAAATTTAGAGAGCGGAAAAAAAAATGTAGATTTCAATGGAAGTCTCATAAAGTTCAACAGAAAAAATCCCAGTCGATCAGTTCATTCTCTAGTCAGTTCATGCATAAGGTCCATACATGTATAAGTGTCTATTCCACCTGTCTGTTCAAAGAGTCCAATAATCTACATGAAGAGTTGTTACAGTTCCACAGAATCCTTTCATGGAGTCTAAGACAAGGATTTCCGGAATATTAGCCTTGTTTTGCCATCCTAGGCTTCATCAGTAGAACAGGCTCATATACTATGCTATAAGATCCACTATCCTGTAATATAGCTGCCTTGTGGCTATACTCATTCATGAGAAAGGCTTTGAAAGTACAAAAAAGAGAAGCCTTTTTGTTAGGAACTGTACTATGTACTAAGCTGTTGGAGTATGCAGAGATGGCAAGAATGAGCAGGAAAATTAGAAACCAAAAGGATCAAAACTTCAATAAAGAATAGGGAAATTTATATTATACTTGAGAGACAACATTTGAACTCTTTAGCAGGTTTGAAATAACTCTTGTAATATGTGCATGCGCACAAAAGCTCATACCAATAACAAACTTATTTTCGTCCAGGTGCTATAGGAAGGAATTTGTTTGTTTGTTTCTTGTAATGTTACATAGACTTTGGACACAACGGAGAACTGAAAAGCCAGAGTGATTTACAATATGCAGTTGAAAAAGTTAACTAAAGAACCCATGGAGGGGAGGAGGGAAGTCTAAAGATACGGAAGAATCTTCTTGTAATTTTTTTCATTTGTGATTTTGAATGTGAATAAATTTGTAAAACCAAAAAAAAAAAAAATTTTTAAATGAAAGTAAGCCCCAAGGAAAATCTGTACCCGCTGCCTTGTGGGACATTTTCGGAAGAAAGAAAGGTTAAGGAAACTCTACACAAATCCACAGGCTGCATGGCTGGTCCTTCCTGCAACTCCTGCAGCCAAACATCTTGCTCTGCTTTGCTTAGGGCAACATTGGTGGGGCTGAGAGGGGGAGCGGATCTTGTCCTCTGGGCAGCCCAGGACCTCCACACACCCTGGCCAGGCTTGTGCACCTGGGGGAGAAACGCAGTCCAGCCACCGATGGAAATTGCCATGGCCAGGATTCACAGCTGATGGTGACAATTCTGTACGCAGCAGTGCTTCCCCAAGGCATGTGCAGAGGGCGACCCCTACTGGCGAAATGGGGATGGTGCATCTGGGCAGCAGCATGAGGGATGGCGCCTTGCCGACTAGCAATAATAATAATAATAATAATAATAATAATAATAATAATAATAAATTTTATTTATACCCCGCCCTCCCCAACCAAGACTCAGGGCGGCTAACACCAGGTAAAAAACAATTGATTAAAATACAACTTAAAAACAAGATTAAAATGCAGCCTCATTTCAGTGGAACTGAATCAAAAACTTTTTGGGGATGAAAACGTCAAGTCTTCACCAAGGCCAGCTATCCAGACTGGTCCTACGTGGGCCAGAAAAAAGCCAGGGAAGTCCCCAGATAGGAGTTCCATCACAGAAGAAGAAAGGAAAAAAGGAAAGAGGGGGAGGGGATCAAGTTGATTCCAAGCCAAAGGCCAGGCAGAACAACTCTGTCTTACAGGCCCTGCGGAAAGAAATCAGATCCTGCAGGGCCCTGGTCTCATGAGACAGAGCGTTCCACCAGGCAGGAGCCAGTGTAGAAAAGGCCCTGGCTCTGGTTGAGGCTAATCTGACTTCCTTAGGGCCCGGGACCTTTAGGGTGCTACTATTTATGGACCTTAAGGTCCTCCGCGGGGCATACCGGGAGAAGCGGTCCCGTAGGTATGAGGGTCCTAGGCCGTGAAGGGCTTTAAAGGGGTTTCATCTTTGCTCCAAGACGTATCCAGGCTGGGGCCAAAACCATCTTGGCCACGGGTGCAACCCAAGGTCTTAGCTGTTTTCCCAATCGAAACTGCTCCCTTCCTCAAGATGCTGCTTAGCTTGAGCTGGGCTGCAGGTTGTGGACTCTCCTTCCTCGGAGGTCTTTAAGCCAGGCATAGGCAAACTCGGCCCTCCAGATGTTTTGGGACTACAACTCCCATCATCCCTAGCTAACAGGACCAGCGGTCAGGGATGATGGGAATTGTAGTCTCAAAACATCTGGAGGGCCGAGTTTGCCTATGCCTGCTTTAAGCAGAGGTTGGGTGATCATCTGCCCTGGGGGCGTTAGCTGACATTTCTGCATTGTAGGGGGGTTGGACTAGATGACCCCTGGGGATCCCAACTCTACAATTCTATGAATTCAGGTGCTCATCAGGGAGAACGCCTGAAGCTCAGTCGCAGAGGGACCACATTTCTTGCAGGAGATTTTGGGTTCAATCACTGGCATCTCCCGGCAGGGCTGTTGGTGGAGGGGTGGTCCCCTATATGAAACCCTGGGGAACCACGGTGACTCATTGTAGATAGCACTGAGCTGCCTGGACTAATAATAATAATAATAATAATAATAATAATATTTATACCCCGCCCATCTGGCTGGGTTTCCCCAGCCACTCTGGGCTGCTTCCAACAGAATGTTGAAATACAATAACCTATTAAACATTAAAAGCTTCCCTAAACAGGGCTGCCTTCAGATGTCTTCTAAAAGTCTGGTAGTTCTTCTCTTTGACATCTGGTGGGAGGGCGTTCCACAGGGCGGGTGCCACTACCGAGAAGGCCCTCTGCCTGGTTCCCTGTAACTTGGCTTCTCGCAGGGAGGGAACTGCCAGAAGGCCCTCGGCGCTGGACCTCAGTGTCCAGGCGGAACGATGGGAGTGGAGGTCTGGCTCAGTAGAAGGCAGATTCGTATGTTCCTAAAAACGCTGGAAGCTGTGCTACAGACAGGGCACCTCGTTTAGTATTTAGACACATTCATATGCCAATGCATGGATGGTAACCATGCAGGAAAAAAGGATTGCAAGATTCGGCTCATTAGGCAATGAGGAAAAAGAGATCTCTCTGGGGAAGGTCGGCTGGAATCGCACAGAAACTGAGAAAAATCATTCTATTTCCAGTGTTTAGGCTGGGAGTAAGAATATAAGAGGGGACACGGGTGGCGCTGTGGGTTAAACCACAGAGCCTAGGATTTGCCTATCAGAAGGTCAGCGGTTCGAATCCCCATGATGGGCATTGGTGCATCAGTCTGGCCCAGCAGGCTCTTATATACTTAAAGGTAAAGGTAAAGGGACCCCTGACCATTAGGTCCAGTCATGGCCGACTCTGGGGTTGCGGCGCTCATCTCGCTTTATTGGCCTAGGGGCCTAGTACAGCTTCCGGGTCATGTGGCCACCATGACTAAGCCGCTTCTGACAAACCAGAGCAGCACACGGAAACGCCGTTTACCTTCCCGCCAGAGTGGTACCTATTTATCTACTTGCACTTTGACGTGCTTTCGAACTGCTAGGTTGGCAGGAGCAGGGATTGAGCAACGGGAGCTCAGCCCATCATGGGGATTCGAACCGCCGACCTTCTGATCGGCAAGTCCTAGGCTCTGTGGTTTAACCCACAGCGCCACCCGTGTCCCCAGTGCTGGATTTACGTATAAGCTAAACAAGCTATAGCTTAGGGCCGCACTCCCTTGGCCCCCAAAAAATTTAAAGAAAAAAAACCTGGATGTACATTTCCAAAATAAAAGATAAAAAACAAAACAAAAAAAACCTACATACAGCAACAGTGTTTTGTGTTGTGTAGGCTCCTATGATGTAAGTAATGGGCCCCCAATCATTTTATGTTAAGCTTCATAATTATTTCACTATTAATATACTTCTTCTTAATTGTATTTCAGTTCAACAGTTACTTTGATAAAATACATATTCTGTTATGTGTAAATGGCTTTAGATACCTATTAGGCCCATAAATTACCATAGAACATATATTCAACACAAAAAAACCAGCGACAATTTGTTGTTGGCAAAGCACAGCTGGACATATAAAGGGCCCCATTACCTTCAGTAGCTGAGGGCCTCATCAAACCTAAATCTGGCCCTGCCCCTGGCCCACTTAGTTCAATATTATCTCCACCAGGCATGGGCAGAAGGTAGGTTGGGATTTACTGGTCAATATCTGCATCATACTAGATCTACGTTCTCCAACCTTGGGTCCTCAGACATTGTGGGACTACAACTCCCATCATCTCCAGCCAATTCGGCAAATGGCCAGGGACTATGGGACTTGTAGTCCAACAACATCTCGGGACCCCAAAGTGCAGAATGCTGTACTAACCAACCGTCAATCTTCATTTCCCAGGTTGTTAAACAACAGCAACAGCATCCCTCACAGCTGCCTGCCCTCCCCTGCCAAAGCAAAGAAACTCTGGGGGCAAATTAGGAATTAATTTTGTGTGAGAAAGGACTGAGGGTTCAGTTCTAGTGCCGCAAACTAATTCCTGGGCTGAAAATGTGCTTGGATGCACGCTGCTCCTTTATCCTGGGTGTCTGTCTGTTATCAGTTCAAAGGCAATATTTTGCACTTACTGGTGGAGCTCAGAAGTTCTAGCTAAAGGTAAAGGTAAAGGGACCTCTGACCATTAGGTCCAGTCGTGGCTGACTCTGGGGTTGCAGCGCTCATCTCGCTTTATTGGCCGAGGAAGCCGGCGTACAGCTTCCAGGTCATGTGGCCAGCATGACTAAGCTGCTTCTGGCGAACCAGAGCAGCGCACGGAAGCGCCGTTTACCTTCCCACCGGAGCGGTACCTATTTATCTACGTGCACTTTGACGTGCTTTCGAACTGCTAGGTTGGCAGGAGCAGGGACCGAGCAACAGGAGCTCACCCCGTCGCTGGGATTCGAACCGCCGACCTTCTGATCGGATCATGCAAGCTTGAAGTCAGTCCATCTCAGATCTATCCTGCCTTGCAATGGCTCTCCAGGGTCTCCAACAGAGAGGTTGTCCCAGGCCTTCCTGGAGACGCCAGGGAGTGCGGCCTTCTGCGCATGTCCCATCACTGTTTTGACCCATCCCTGAGACACTGGCCTCCTGGTTCAGGTCCCGAGGTCTCCATGAGAAAGAAAGGAGGAGTGGACAACACAGCACTGTCTGCCTGAACTCCCCTGCACTTTCATTGGGCCTTCGAACATTTCTTTTCATAAGGACTAGAAACTTGAGATTCAGTTGTTTCATTTGACTTGGAGATGGAAGATTCTGCAGATCCTGCCCTTGGCACACGAAAACTGCAGGTGCCTAGCGAATGCTCAGCCCAGGACAAAACCCACCTGGTGATCGCTCCCCAACAGACAACACACAATCGTCCTCCACTTCCATTGCTGCCCTGCCAACCCGCCTCTGCCCCTTAACCTCACCCACTTGCCACATTTTGCCTTGCACACACCCCACACTCCCTCCCTCCCAACCCCACTGCAAGGTCACCCAGCCACAAGACACGTCCCATCTGTCACAGCGGGGAGAGCGATCTCAACAACATGCGCCCCGGTCCCTCGCCCTGCCAGCCTGCTTAACTCATGGAAAGGAGCTTTTCTCCGCATGCCAGAGAGGGAGGGAGGGAGCGCATGCCAGGTGGATCAGGGAACAAGGCAAACTTTCCTCCTGCCCTGCAATCTTCAAGCTCTGGGGCTCAGCAAAACCGCAGCCAAAGGCACCAGCTGCTCAGGAGATCCTATGAGGCCGCGGTGGTCAGCAACAGCGCAACCCTGGAGCAAATGAGGGCCACATGTTGGGCAAACAAGGAGCTGAGGCATCCCACCAGTTGATGCGAGTTTTAATCCATTTTAGTATGGATCCTAAACAGCCTCGGTCCAGCATACCTGAAGGAGCGTCTCCACCCCCACTGTTCCACCCAGACACTGAGGTCCAGCTCTGAGGGCCTTCTGGCGGTTCCCTCGCTGCGAGAAGCCAAGTTATAGGGAACCAGGCAGAGGGCCTTCTCGGTAGTGGCACCCGCCCTGTGGAACGCCCTCCCACCAGATGTCAAAGAGAACAACAACTACCAGACTTTTAGAAGACATCTGAAGGCAGACCTGTTTAGGGAAGCTTTTAATGTTTGATGGATTACTGTATTTGAATACTTTGTTGGAAGCCGCCCAGAGTGGCTGGGGAAACCCAGCCAGATGGGCGGGGAGATATAAATAATAATAATAATAATAATAATAATATCATTACCTGTGCAAAGTGCTTTGTTTTCAAGTAACAGTCTGCTGCAGGGAACCGGGACGGTGCCGAAAAGGCATCCCTTTGCACAACCAGGGCCGGCCCACCCATTTGGCAGGCTGAAGAAGCAGCCTGGGGGGGGGGAAATCCCACCCTCTCCCTGAGATGAAGCCAGGCACAGCCTAAAGCAGGTGTCCCCAAACTAAGGCCCGCGGGCCGGATAAGGCCCGAGGGACACGTTTATCCAGCCTGCAGCAACCCCTACCGCCCGCTGCCAACACCCACTCTTACCAGCACTGCCCTGCTGCCCACTTCCGGGTCAGAGGAGCACCGGAAATAGCTTATGCGAATGCGCAAGCATTATTTGTGCATGCGCAAGCATTATTTCCGGTGCACATCCGGGTCGGGGGAGGCTCGTGCACATGCGCACAAGCTATTTCCAGTGCTCCTCCGACCCAGAAGTGCGCCGGAAATCGTGTGTGCGCACGCGTATGGGCATGCGCTCCAGTGCCCACCGCGCGATCGGCGCTGGAAACACCGGTCTGAGGCGTGGTAAGTTTGCTGACCCCTGGGCCTAAAGGATGAACAACTTACATTTCATTTCTTCCTTTTTTTAAAAAAGGGAGCTGTTCTGGCCCCCTGCCCCTCACTCCTATTCCCTCCGTCTGGACCAGGCTCGTTCTGCTGGCCCCGCAAAGCCAGAGGCCTCGATGGCCTTACCCAAAATCAGGGACGGGTCCTCTTTGCCAAAGTCCGGGGTGAGGTACGGGCTGGTTGGGGTATCCGGAACCTCTGCAGGGGTTGCTGCGGTCTCGCTTCCTTCCGACGGCGGCTGCGCTGCGGAAATACTGGGCTCACCAGCATCCTGAGTTGTGGCCCCTGGGGCTAAGGGAGCGGGTTCGGCCAAGGTCCTTTCTCCTTGATCCGCTGGGCCCGCTTGCTCTGCCGCTGCTGGGGCCTGCGCCGAATCAGGGGGGGCCTCCTTGGCTTCCCCAGGGGGTGGCGGGTCCGCTTTGTGGGTGGGAGCCGCCGGGTCCTGAGGAGTCGGCTCTTTGAGATCAGCCGGAGCCTCTTCCGGAATATCTGCTAGGCTGAAACGTCAGAAGAGGAGAACATGAAAGGAGAAGCTGCTACAGCAGCTGGCCCTATCTAGTCCAGCCTCCTATTCTCACTTTGGCCAACCTAGATGCCCGTTATGGGAAGCCCGCAAGCAGGATTCGAACACAAGACCCCTCTCCCCTCCTGCGGTTTCCAGCAACTGGGATTCAGAAACATTTGCTGCCTCCAATTGTGGATGCAGAGCACAGCCAGCATGGCTAACAGCCTTCGAAAGCCCTCTCCTCCTCCTCCTCCTATTATTATTATTAATAATTATTATTTAGTGTTACATACAATGTTAGGTTAGGAAAAAAAGGGGGAAAGAGGGGGAGGGGGAATGGTGAGTGGGGTGGGGTGGCAATGCTTCTATTATTCTACTTAGTGTATGTGACCCTAGCTGCCCAAAGACTGTCTTGCCAGAGTTGTGCATGCTCTAGTTATCTCCCGCTTGGACTACTGCAATGCGCTCTACGTGGGGCTACCTTTGAAGGTGACCCAGAAACTGCAATTAATCCAGAATGCGGCAGCCAGACTGGCGACTGGGAGCAGCCGCTAGGACCACATAACACCGGTCTTGAAAGACCTACATTGGCTCCCAGTACGTTTCTGAGCACAATTCAAAGTGTTGGTGCTGACCTTGAAAGCCCTAAAAGACCTTGGTCTTGTATACCCGAAGGAGCGTCTCCACCCCCATCGTTCTGCCCGGACACTGAGGGCCAGCTCCGAGGGCCTTCTGGTGCTTCCCTCACTGCGAGAAGCAAAGCTACAGGGAACCAGGCAGAGGGCCTTCTTGGTAGTGGCACCCGCCCTGTTAAACGCCCTCCCACCAGATGTCAAAGAAAAAAACAACTACAGTGGTGCCCTGCAAGACGAATGCCTCGCAAGACGGAAAACCCGCTAGACGAAAGGGTTTTCCGTTTTTGAGTTGCTTCGCAGGACGAATTTCCCTATGGGCTTGCTTCGCAAGACGAAAATGTCTTGCGAGTCTTGAGATTTTTTTTCGCTTTTCCCCCCCTTTATCTAATCCGCTAAGCCTTTAATAGCCTTTTAGCAGCTAATCCGCTAAGCCTTTAAGTCTTTAATAGCTGCTAAACCGCTAATAGCGCTAATCCGTTAAGCCGCTAATAGGGTTGCTTCGCAAGACGAAAAAACCGCTAGACGAAGACACTCGCGGAACGGATTAATTTCGTCTTGCGAGGCACCACTGTACCAGACTTTTAGAAGACATCTGAAGGCAGCCCTGTTTAGGGAAGTTTTTTCTTTTATTGTGTTTTTAATATCCTGTTGGGAGCCGCCCAGAGTGGCTGGGGGAGCCCGGCCAGAGGGGTGGGGTGTAAGTAATAAATTATTATTAAATTAAATATTATTATTAAATTAAATATTATTAAATTATTATTACAGTATTATTCCTTGGTGGTGAGAGAGGTTGGGGGTGGCTTAGGGTGTGGTTGGTTGTCTTTGGTTGGCTGTAGTGAAATTTGTTTTTTTTGTGGGTGGGTGTGTGTTTTTGGATCAGGTTAGCCACATTGATTCGGACGCTGTTGGCGGGTTCTTGTTGCTGGCTGTGTATGTGATAAAGGGGAACGAAACTGGGGTGAAGGCGTCTTCTTCTATTTGCCCCCGTGTCAGTTTCAGTTTGTTGGTTAGTTTTTCTAATAAGGCTGTTTCCCATACAGTGGTACCGCGGGTTACAGACGCTTCAGGTTACAGACTCCGCTAACCCAGAAATAATACCTCGGGTTCAGAACTTTGCTTCAGGATGAGAACAGAAATCACGTGGCGGCAGTGGGAGGCCCCATTAGCTAAAGTGGTACCTCAGGTTAAGAACAGTTTCAGGTTAAGAATGGACTTCCAGAATGAATTAAGTTCTTAACCCGAGGTACCACTGTACTATTTGATACCACTGGTCCATGCTTACTCCTGACAGGTCTCTCCAGTGTCTGGTTATGATGTTCTGGCTGCTGAGAGCAGGTGGGTTCCCTTTCCTCCTCCTCGAACTTGTCTAATCCTCTTTTATTGTATTGGATTATTGTAATTCGCTCTACGTGGGGCTGCCCTTGAGACTGACCCAGAAACTCCAGCGGGTGCAGAATGCCACGGCGAGACTCCTTGCAGGGTCCTCACTGCGAGATCACATTCACCCGGTGCTATACCAGTTGCACTGGCTCCCGGTGGAGTACAGGATCAGGTTTAAGGTGCTGGTTTTAACCTTTAAAGCCCTATACAGCCTAGGACCCTCGTACCTACGGGACCGCCTCTCCTGGTATGCCCCACAGAGAAATTTACGGTCTGCAAATAAAAACATCCTGAAGATCCCAGGCCACAGGGAGGTTAGGCTGGCCTCAACCAGAACCAGGGCTTTTTCGGCCGTAGCTCCGATCTGGTGGAACACTCTGTCCCAAGAGACTAGGACCCTGCGGGACTTGACATCTTTCCGCAGGGCCTGCAAGACAGAGCTGTTCCACCAGGCCTTTGGTCAGGGCACAGCCTGACTCCCTCCCTAGGCAATCTTCGCGGAGCTCTGGCCCAATGGTTGCCAGTGGCTTGATTTGACTTAATTTTATAATGAATGATTTTAGAGTGTTGTGTTGTGTTGTACTGTTGTCCTGTTTTATTGTTGTTAGTCGCCCTGAGCCCAGCTTCGGCTGGGGAGGGTGGGATATAAATAATAAAAAAAATTAAATAATAATAATAATAATAATTATTATTATTATTATTATTAACTCATCCAGGTTGGTGGCCATCCCTGCCTCCTGTGGCAGTGAGTTCCACCGTTTTAACTCTGTGCTGCATGAAGAAAGACTTCCTTTTTCCTGTCCTGATCAGTCCAGCTTTCATCTTCATTTGATGTCTCCCCAGCTGAGATTTGCAGCACACACTTAGACCCTACAAGTGTCCCTATTTTCCAGGGACAATCCCAGATTTACAGAAGCCGTCCCAGTTTCTCATTCGATCCTGGAATGTCCTGCTTTTTCTTAGGATGGCTGTGTTCTGCCTCCACCATCGGAGGCATTATGTCTCTGAAAACCACCTGCTGGGAATCTCAAGTGCAGAGATCATTTTCAGGAGCGTCGCTCCCCGAGATGGTGAGACTCACTTGGCAACAGCAAGAAATCACGGCTTTAGTCCCATCATCACAGCCCTGTGGAACTCTCTGCCACTAGAGATTCAGCACCTGTCTTCTGTGCCAACTTCTAAACGCCTGCTGAAAACTTTTCTATTCTGCCAGGCAATTATGAATAACATCACTGCATTCCAAAGAAAGAATCAGAGCTGGAAGGGACCACCAGGGTCATCTAGTCAAACCCCTTGTAATACAGGAATTTTTTTACCAATATGAGGCTCATCCTGGAGATTAGCAGGCTCTACTGACTGAGCTATCTCAGGTATGGTTTTATTACATATTCAACATGGATAGAACATGGTTAACGGCAACTGAGGACACGTGACAACAACAACAACAACATAATAATAATAATTTATTTATACCCCGCCCTCCCCAGCCAGAGCCGGGCTCAGGGCGGCTAACACCAGTAAAATTACAATAAAAACATAATGGGGGGGGGGAGAATTTTTTTAAAAAAACCAATTTAAAATACAGGTTAAAATACAATTTAAAATGGAGCTTCATTTTAATAGTAGTCCACAGATCAAAACCTTAAGGGGAGGCCAACATAAGGGTCAGCCTGAGTCCAAACCAAAGGCCAGGCGGAACAGCTGTCTTGCAGGCCCTGCGGAAAGATGTCAAGTCCCACAAGGCCCTAGTCTCTTGGGCAGAGCGTTCCACCAAGTCGGGGCCAGTACTGAAAAGGCCCTGGCCCTAGTGGAGACCAATCTAACCCCCTTGAGACTTGGGACCTCCAAAGTGTTGTCATTTGTGGACCTTAAGGACAAAGGAGGAATGTGGAATGATACCTTTGTCTTGTGGACAACCTTTGTCTTAAAAACCGAAATCACTTAAAAGTTAAATGAAATTAAATAGACCTTTGGTGCTTTTATAGCTGCTGCTGGTGGTGGCCATTGCTGAATATTGATGGTTGCTTCTTGCATATAAGTGAAAACAATAAAATAAAACAATGTCTGCTTTTAACTTTCCCCCCCAAAATTTTATATTCATTTTATAACACAAATAAACAGCACAAACAGGAAAACAAACAATAGAAACAGATTCTTATCCTTATTTTTTCTATGATGGACTATATGGAACTTGCCGAACTGACCGGGAGACTCCGAGACCAGAGAGAAGAGACGGTGGAAGAAGATTGGAAGAAGTTTAAGGAATATTTGAAAAAAAATGTTAATATTTAAATCTTAGAATAGCTTTGGAAGTGGATTTAGGCTGCAGGGTTAGAAGCAGAAGATAGTGTATTTTAAAATAGTATTATTTGCAAGTGAAGAGTTTTATGGCTAAAGTAAGTGTGATTTTAAAAAATGGTTAGAAATTATGATATATGCAAACTGCTAAAGATGAGGTAAAATGAAAATCAGATAGGGGGGACTTGGGGAAGCCCACCTAACAATGCTTTCAACTTTTTTATGGCTTCATTGCTGCAAACCGCTTTGATATATATATTTTTAGAAACAAATATTTTCGTACATCAATGCATTAATAAAGGCTGTACGAGAGAGAAGCATTACCTGGGCAGGTGTGCTGGGCAGCTGAGGCTCTGCTGAAGTTCAAGGTGCTTCTGCTGGGAGCTTGGTGGGCTTTCGTGGCTCCCTTCCCCTCCTGCCACGGCGGCTTGGCTTGGCGTATGGCTCTCTTCCACTGCCTTGGCCGCATCCTGCCCTGCTCCCCCTTCCGCCACCTGGCTTGGCTCTTCAGGCCCGGCTTCCGCTGCTTCTCTCGGCTCCCCCAGGCCCACGGCAGGCGCCTCTGCTCCCCCTTCTGTGCCGGGGGTACTGCAAGACCCTCCCTCCTTCTCCATCCTCTGCTCTCCTCCCAGGGGAGCCTCCTCGGACGCTGGGTGTTGGGCAGAGGCCTCCAGACCTGGGCTTACCTCCTTGGCCTTCAGCTCAGCTTCTGCGCAAGACACAAAATATGGGAGAATAGTGCTTTCCCCCCCTGATACAGCAAATAACAAAAATTAAAGCGACAAAAAGTGTTTGGGGGCATTGCAATAAATTGCCCTACATGCCAAGAGGAGGCAGGGTTTATTCATTTATTTCCAAGAAAGAGAGAGAGAGAGAGAGAGAGAAAGAAAGAAAAAAAGAAGAAAAAAAGAAAGAGGAGGGAAGGAAGGCAGGAAGAAAGAAAGAGAGAGAGAGAGAGAGAGAGAGAGAGAGAGAGAGAGAAAGAAAGAAAGAAAGAAAGAAAGAAAAAGACGGAAGGAAGGAAGGAAGGAAGGAAGGAAGGAAGGAAGGAAAAAAGTAGTTTACAAAAGAAAGATAAAAACAACAAAAAATTCATTATGAAAAATTAACAACAAAAACTTCAGACATTTAAAAAGTTAAAATAATAAACTAAAACAGGTGAAAGGTCGCATTAGCTTTTGATACACCTGGCTAGGATTGCTTAAGCAAAGAATGTTTTTAAGCAGGCACCAGAAAGAGTTCAGCGAAGGCTGACGTCAATAGGCAGGGAGTTCCAAAGTTTTTCTCAGAACAAGGATCCTGTGTGAGGGAGATGGAGTGCCAGGGGCGGGCAGTGCCAGAGGCCAAAGTGGCTGGGGCAATGGATGTTAATTTCACCTTTGTGCAGCAGACTGGTTCCTACATACATTCGCAAACACTCTCTCCTGCCTCTATTCTCTGTCCAGACGAACAAGAACCATCATCAGAGTTCGAGGGTACTTTCCAGCCAGGCAAAAACATTCGTGGGCAGTTCCAAGGGCCGGATAGAGAGGCATTTGCCCCCCCGGTCTGTGGCTCCCTGCCGAATTAACAGCAAACTCGTTCCCTGAGTCCTGACCCTCATGCCCTCCAACCAGATGTCAAGGAGAAAAACAACTACCAAACTTTTAGAAGACATCTGAAGGCAGCCCTGTTTAGGGAAGCTTTTAATGTTTGATGTATTACAGTATTTTAATATTTTTTTGGAAGCCGCCCAGAGTGGCTGGGGAAGCCCAGCCAGATGGGTGGGGTATAAATAAATTATTATTATTATTATTATTATTATTATTGCGCCTCCACACTGTCATTCCGCAGGAGAGAATAAAAAAGCGCCTAGGAGAATTTAAGTTTTGCATGATTGAAGGACCCTGGCACAAGAAACCCACCTCTTCAAACTACAGTGGTACCTCGGGTTAAGTACTTAATTCGTTCCGGAGGTCCGTACTGAAACTGTTCTTAACCTGAAGCATCACTTTAGCTAATGGGTCCTCCTGTTGCTGCTGCGCCGCCGCCGCACGATTTCTGTTCTCATCCTGAAGCAAAGTTCTTAACCTAAGGCACTATTTCTGGGTTAGCGGAGTCTGTAACCTGAAGTGTATGTAACCTGAGGTACCACTGTATGGACTTTTTGCAGTAGTGAAAGTGATAGGGACTACATTTTCCAGGATTCTTTGGGCAAAGTCCTGGCTGTTCAGGCAGTACAAGAGAGTTTCCTATATATTCTCTATGTGCACCATCTATATCTGCAAAGCCCAAAAAATGCCACAGGGCCTCAAGTGCTCTCCTCCGGATAGAAAAGCAAACTCTGCAGCAGCTGCCTCTGGAACTCCCTGCCACTTGAGGAAACGGTGTGCTGTGTGCACGAAACAGGACGCTTGTTCCCTGCTTTAAAAGCACCGCTTCTCATCCTCTTCAGGAGAAGCAAACGCGCAACAAGGGGAGCCTAGGAAGGCATGTCCCTGCACGACTCAGAGCGCATGTCAAGGATGAGCATTGGGGAGTGTGTACAGGCCAAAGGGAAGCTGCTCTGGCTCAGCAACCCGTCCCCCTCAGTGGCCGCCTGCTCCAGGCGCAATCTCTCATAGCATTTCTTGCTAAAAGTGACAGCAAAGACCCTCTCTCTGGCAGAGATAATGTTGGGTGAAGGCGGTGAAGGTCCTCCGTCTGGAGGCGGTTGGAGGACGGATGGTGGCTAACAGATTGAGGTTGAATCCTGACAAGACAGAAGTACTGTTTTGGGGGGACAGGAGGCGAGCAAATGTGGAGGACTCCCTGGTCCTGAATGGGGTAACTGTGCCCCTGAAGGACCAGGTGCGCAGCCTGGGAGTCATTTTGGACTCACAGCTGTCCATGGAGGTGGCAGGTCAATTCTGTGTCCAGGGCAGCTGTTTATCAGCTCCACCTGGTACGCAGGGTGAGACCCTTCCTGCCCGCAGACTGTCTCGCCAGAGTGGTGCATGCTCTGGTTATCTCCTGCTTGGACTACTGCAATGCGCTCTATGTGGGGCTACCTTTGAAGGTGACCCAGAAACTACAATTAATCCAGAATGCAGCAGCTAGACTGGTGACTGGGAGTGGCCGCTGAGACCACATAACACCGGTCCTGAGAGATCTGCATTGGCTCCCAGTACGTTTCCAAGCACAATTCAAAGTGTTGGTGCTGATCTTTAAAGCCTTAAACGGCCTCGGTCCAGTATATCTGAAAGAGCGTCTCCACCCCCATCGTTCTGTCCGGACACTGAGGTCCAGCGCCGAGGGCCTTCTGGCGGTTCCCTCGCTGCGAGAAGCCAAGTTACAGGGAACCAGGCAGAGGGCCTTCTCGGTAGTGGCACCCACCCTGTGGAATGCCCTCCCACCAGATGTCAAAGAGAAAAATAACTACCAGGCTTTTAGAATACATCTGAAGGCAGCCCTGTTTAGGGAAGTTTTTAATATTTAATGCTGTATTGTTTTTAACACTCGATTGGAAGCCGCCCAGAGTGGCTGGGGAATCTCAGCCAGATGGGCGGGGTAAAAATAATAAATTATTATTATTATTATTATTATTATTATTATTATTATTATGTTGAAAGAATCGTTGGAACAGTTGAGTGACCTGTCTTGGGCTGGCCATTGGTCCATCTTCCTCAGTACTGTCTGCACTGGCTGGCAGCAGCAGTCTAGGCTTTCCGGCAGGACTTTCTCCCAGCCCTTGTTGGAGATGCAAAGTGAGGGACGTTTTCCCATCCATTCCGCCTGGCCTTTGGTTTGGAATCAACTTGGTTCCCTTCCCCTCTTTCCTTTTTCCTTTCTCCTTCTGTGATGGAACTCCTATTTGGGGACTTCCCTGGCTTTTTTCTGGCCCACGTAGGACCAGTCTGGATAGTTGGGTGTTATGTACTGAGTTGAATAGGATCCAAAATGCAGCTGTCTGATTGGTCCTAGAACAATAGGATCCAAAATGCAGCAGTCTGATTGGTCCTAGAACAATGCAGCAGTATGATTGGTCTGCAGGAGCCACCCAATCCAGCTCCAGATGGAAGTGAATCCACAACCTGATTGGCCTACAGGAGAATTCCGGAATTAGCCAATCACCTGGGGTGCATTATGTAAATAATGTATATAAAGCAGACATTCTGGGGGAACTTCCATTCCTCCTCACCACTAGGAGCTGAATAAAGAGCATGAAATCCACTCTCGACTACGAGTATATTTCATTGGCCTTGGTGAAGACTTGATGTTTTCATCCCCAAAAAAGTTTTTGATTTGAGTTTCTACTGAAATGAGGCTGCATTTTAATGTTGTATTTTAATCTTGTTTTTAAGTTGTATTTTAATCAATTGTTTTTATACCTGGTGTTAGCTGCCCTGAGCCCGGTCTTGGCTGGGGAGGGTGGGGTATAAATAAAATTATTATTATTATTATTATTATTGGTGAGCTGCAGCCCCTGGGCTCTGGCGTGACAGAGACGAGTTCATCCCCAGCTATTCTGCATTTAAGATAGCATCTTTTCCCATTTCCCCCCACTGCTGCCTGCAACACACGTTTCCATCTGCTGCAGTCCATCCTCTGCCAAAAACTACATTATTCGTTTTGCTGTGCGCGGTGGTAGAATTGCATTATATTGGCGTTGTTTCATTATTACACCCCATTCATTTCAATGCAAACACAGTGGAAATGGGAGGAAACACAATCACAGAATCTCAGAGTTGGAAGGGACAGCAAGTGTCATCGAGCCCAATGCGAGAATCAGTGCCAAATCAATTCCATATCGAAGGCTGGAAGTGACAACAGTGGATACCAATTATGTCCAATGGATTGAGTTTGATTCCGCAAATGCATTGTCAATTTCCCCTCCCATTTCCATTGGAAATCTACATCCTGCTGGGGATATTGGACAGCGAAATTCCAAAGAAAGACTCAACAGTATTTCTGTATGTGACTAGAGTGGCGAGGATTCTCTGTACACAGAAATGGAAGCAGGAGAACACCCTCAAAGGGAGGATGGCTGTGAAAAACTTGGAATATGCAGAGATTGCAAAATTGGGAGCGTGGATGAAAGATGCAGATACAGAAGGAAACAGATTTAGAATCTTTCAAAGAAGACTAGAAAAGCCTTTTCTAGTCTATATGAAAAGTTGTTTTCCCATATGCGAAGGCCACAGTGGAGTTTGAAGCAATTATTATTATTATTATTATTATTATTATTATTTAGAAAACAGCAGAACGTATTAAGAAACAGGTTGGAGAGAATGAAAACCGAACCTTAAAATGTAACTGTATGTAATTTGGGCTATGAATATCGCTGTTGGCTGAGTGAGAACTCACTAGTTTTGTTGAACTGGAATATAATCGTTGAGCAACAAATGTAACTTTCTATATGGAAAAAAGAACAAATTATTATTATAGGGGGGAAAGTAATCTCTGACATCCCTGCTCTTAATCAACCCATCAATCAAAAGAAGATCTACTGTGTTGCCTAGAGTAGATTCAATTCCCTTATTCACACATTGGAATAGAGAGTATTTCCTTTTCAGCCATTCCTTTTTTTTCTTTTTTCTTTTAAAAATTAATTTATTTCGGGAGTTTTACATACATTATATTATCTCCTTCCAATTTTTAAATTTCCCGTACAGTTTTTCCTTCCCCTCCCTTCCCACTCCCCCATATCCATTGGAAGGGTTCAAACAATTATCCTCAGCCATGGGCATAGCGTCTTTAGTTTCTACCAAATGTCTTTTGTTCCAGTAGTTTTTATCCATTGAAAATAGGGGTTCCATCTGTTCCTTATCGTGGTGGACTTGACCTTCCACGTTGTTTCCTGTGACGTTACTGCGACAGTGTCCGACTGAATAAGTTCAAACAAATAACTGTTCCATGCCTCTACTGTCCATTTTTCTCTGTCTTTCCAACCTAAAGCTATCGTTGCCTTTCCCTCTAATATCATAGCTTTGAAAGCAAGCTGGTCTCCTTTGTTTATAGCTGCGTTTCCAAGTATATCCATGGTCATGAAATCAAAGTCTATTGAAAGCTTCGCTTTAAACAGTTCATTAATAACCTTTAGGATTTTATCCTTTATACTTGGAATAATAGGACTGGAAATGCCCCCAAAAGATGTTAGACTGTTTTTGTGTGCCACTACAGCGGCAAGACTTTTATTAGCCAAAAGCTGGAAATCGCAAGAAATCCCAACAATAGAGGAATGGCAGATGAAGATGTTGGACTTTTTGGAGCTGGCTGACCTGACTGGAAGAGGAGATACATGAGGATTGGAAGAAATTTAAAGAATATTTAGCTAAATATTGTGATATAGGATAAACAGAAAATTCTTGGAAACAGTAAATAGGCTTAGGGGTAAAATAAGAATATGTGATAGTAAATATTAAGGATTAAAATATATTAATTAGGAGAAGAGGTTGGTAAATGAAAGGAATTAATATTACTGTATTAGAAATATGAATTTGGAGAACTGTTATATAGGTGATATAAAGAAATTCAGTTAGAGGGGATTCGAGGAAGTCAGTAATCAATGTAACAAGAATTAGGTATTTGAAGAAACAATTTTTCTTTGTGTTTAATTTATGTGCTTTCCTTGTGTGTTTTGTTATGTCATTTTTGTGATTAAGGTGGAAAATCAATAAAAAAAAATGGGGGAAAATAAAATAAAATAACCTTTAGGATTTTATTCCGGAATTCTTTTACCTCTGGGCATTCCCAGTACATCTGGGGAAACCACCCCTTGGCTAGTTTACAGTGCCAACAGTTAAGAGTTCAATTCTGCTACCATATTAGCTAGCTGGGCCGTTCAGCCATTCCTTATCCTGACCAGGAGAAGGCAATGAAAGCAGCCTGGAGGGACAAGGGCTGCAGCCTGGACAGAGCCCAACCGGAACGCCCTCTGTGCCAAGGGAGGGAAGACTTGGCAAGGCTGCTAACCAGGCCGGCTGTCTGCCCTGCGGAGGCAGCTGCAAATGGGTCCCATCAAGAAAGTGGCTGGAGTCATAGCGATTGCACCCATCAAGGACACATAGCCGAGAGCCATGCATCCCGCTCGAGTTCACTGGGATTAAAACAACCGCCTCGCCTGGTCCTCCGTCTTGCAGCAGACCAAGCACATCGCTTCTCCAGTGTCCCTAGGGGTCAGGGACAATTGTTTGAACCAATTAAAGATCAGATGATTGATTGCCGGCCGGCCTTTAATACTCATCCCCCGCTGGAACCAAACATTCGTGGCATTTGCCCGCATTCATCATCCCTTGCGGCTGCACACTGAGTCTCCCTCCTACCTGCCTGCACTATGGAAATTATGATTGTAAGCTCCCAGGGGCAGGGGCTTTTTCCTTTTTGTTTAAGAAAGCTCAGTGTGGCGTTGCATACATTGGAAATTAAATCTCAGCCATCACCGTTAGTGATGGCTTATGGTCATACAAGAAAGCCCAACAATAATTACAACCAGTCAGGAATCAATTAAAAATAGTAAATTCACATTTCACCGAAACCACATTGAAGTTATTGCGCATGACAACATGTAGGTGAAATTGATTTGTCTACTACAAAAGAAAACTCAGCCTCAGGCCTGAAAAAAGTATGAGGTGACAAAGATTCACGACTAAAGGCTATCACTTCGTTATTGGAACAAAACAACCTCTTTAATATACCGGTAAGTCTTCCCCAATTCCTTCTTACAGCAACATACCAGAAGCAAAATCACATCCAAAGATAAACAAGAATGCTCTCTTTCCATCCCTACCAGTTAAAAAATTCCTGCGTCAATCAACATGTTGGCTGATTGATCCATAAATCAGATCAATTAGCACTTGCAGGCCTGTTTGGAATGCCCCTGATTTTTACATTTTTTCCTCTTTGGCTTGGCCCGTAGCCATGCCCATTCCATAGAGCACCTGACTGTTATTTCAAACTATACTCCACAGGCACACACACACACACAATAAAAAAGGCCAACGGAATAGATGCCCCAGTGCCTAAAAACAAACTCAGTCCAACTTTGCAGACGATTCCCAGCTTTGCACAAAATTTCACAGTTCTCCGCAAACTCTGGATTCACTTTGCACACATGCTCTGCTTCAAGGTGTGTTGTTTTTTTGCCACCCCAAGGCACCTCATCGATAGGTGGGCGGCAGCTCAGACTAAAGCTCAAGGCTGCCTTGGAATCAAAAGCCTGAATTGTGCAAGGAAGAAGCTTGCAGCGTGAACTGCACTCCAGACGGCCGAAGGAAATCAGCAAAAGTCTGGCCAAGATTTGCCTGATCTTACCCTAGGGAGCAGATGGAAATAGCCGCCTGCAGAGAGCCATCGCCCGGGCACCTGCCAGAGACATTAGCCTCAAGAGCAGCCACCTCAGAGCTCGATTCTCAGAGCAGGAGCCACCAAGACGGTCAAGAGGACCTCTTTGGCCCAAGGCATCTCTCGACTGCTGGTAGCAGAGCATCCAAACCACGCCAAGGCTACCCTGCACGGTGCCCGGGCAACGCTGGTGGGAAGAGCATCCCCAAACCATCTCTCTCCATCTCCCATGAACAAAAGGTTGGAGTTTACCTGGACAGGTAGCCCTCCGCATAAACCCACAGAAAGGCCACGAGCAAAGCCGCAGGCTAGAAGACTCTGCCCGGCCCAAGGAAGTCCCAGCGCAGAGTGAGGCCTCTCCCGGTCTCTACCCCTGGGGAAACGAGGCAAGGGACCCGTTACCTACCGTCGCCGTTGCCGACGGCCGCCAGCGCTGGATTAAAAGTGGGACAGAGCTGCCCGCCTTCTATACTCTGCGTAACTGAGCTGGATTAAGCGTGGGGAGAGAGGAGTATCTTTTACCCCAGAACTCTGGCAGTTATGAGCCTGCTGCGCTCTGCTCTGCGGGGCCACCTGTTCCCTCTGGCTTCCGTTCAAAGGACACTCCATTCTGCTGCCCGGCGCTCTCTCTCTCCTGCTCAGAGGAGATGGGAATTCAAACAAACAGAAATCAGATGACCCAGCCACCCTTGCTGAACTCCCTGCTCCTTGGGGAGCCTGCCGGAGGGGGTCTGGCCCAGAGGAGAAAGCCCTCCCTTGCCCGCCCGACCCCCAGCAAGACCCAAGCTGGGAGAGAAGGCTTTCTTAGGCAAGGTCTCCTGGGTTTGCGTGTCCCAGGGAGGGCGTCCCATAGTTGCCCGGGGCTGTTTAGCGGCGATGGGGATTAGGCCAGATGCAACGGGCAGAATCTCCTATTGTTTAACCTTTGCCGAGTGCCAAAAGGCTGTTCAGACTAGCAGAGTGCCAGGGCCCTTCCCTGCTCAGGGGGGTTGCCATCTATATTAAGACCAGGAAGGAAATAGGCAGTTTGACTGGGGAAACGGAGGATCAGCTCAGGCGAGGGCAATTCCCACCCTGTGCGTCACAGGGCATACATTGAAGGCGCCAGGAAGCCCCTGTTGGAACTCTGAACGATTCACTGCTCCGGACTGCCAAGAATTCCCTGCTAGGTGGGGTTGCCTGAGCTCTGACCCGAGGCCTCCAGGTTTGCCTGGTCCCCTCCAGGTGGAAGGTTGGAATCTCCAGGTGGGCAAGTGAACCTTTAATAATAATCACAGTGGGAGCGCAGCTGTTCAAGGTGTTAACCAGCCAGAGGTGGCTGAAAGGCGGAGGAAAAGAAAGTTTTCTGAGCCCTTTTTCAGCAGTTCTGTTATGGACAGAAGAGAGTTTCTCAAAAAATTATCTAGAAGATTGTGCGTCCATCTTGCAAGCGTTCAGCCCATTAGAAGCTGGCTGAAAGTTATATGAAATATACTCGGAGTCGAGAGTGGATTTCATGCTCTTTACTCAGCTCATAGTGGTGAGGAGGAATGGAAGTTCCCCCAGAATGTCAGCTTTATATACATTATTTACACAAGGGGCCCCACATGATTGGTTAATTCCGAGATTCACCTGTAGGCCAATCAGGTTGCGGATTCACTTCCACCTGGAGCTGGATTGGGTGGCTCCTGTGGACCAATCAGACTGCTGCATTCTGGACCCTATTGGTCTAGGACCAATCAGACTGCTGCATTCTGAAGCCTATTGTTCGAGGACCAATCAGGCTGCTGCATTCTGAAGCCTATTGTTCGAGGACCAATCAGGCTGCTGCATTCTGAAGCCTATTGTTCTAGGACCAATCAGACTGCTGTCTTTTGGATCCTATTCAACTCAGTACATACATTATAGCACAGACATTCTGGAGGGGGCAGGATCCTCTGCTCCCCTCCCAATTAACCTCTGTCTCCAGGGCCAGTGACATCACCAGGGGGTCACCTCTAGGTCTCAGGTCTGGGCCTTGAAATTTCATGGACTGGGATGCTTCTGACCTGGCATGAGACAACCAGCCCATCGTTCCAGTAGCAAAGGCATAGCTGTTGCCCTGATAATGGCAGGTACACATCACTTCTCTGTTAAGAGTCCCTCCATGGATTGGCCAATCTGGAAGCATGGTCAGAAAAGTGATTTTAATACTATTTCCCCAGACGCTGGTAGGAAACCCACAAGCAGGATTCGAACACGCTTCCTTCCTGCCATTTCCAACAACAGGCATTCACAAGTGCTGTACACAAAAAATTGCCCTTTTTCCCTTATGGGGTACCCAAGAGCCCATATAGAGTCCTTACGTGGATTCCCTATTGGTAGGAGCAAATAACAGAGGCCAACCAGAGAATATTGAGAAGCAAAGCAGCTAGTAAGCCTGATCTTTATTGATCTATTGCAACAGGGTGCTCCCCTCACACGCAGGAGGAGGAGAAGGAACCCAGAACCAAGGTGTGCCTGCCCTTATCTAGACATTTTAAATTCCCTGCCCTGGAGCTCAAGACCACCCCTCCATACATCATACATACATCACAGAAGGTGTGTAACCCAAGACCACATACATCATACCTATAACACAGAAAAGGCGGTCTACAGCAGAAATCTGAGTGCGTTGTTTATCTCATCTGACAGGTTACCAGTTAATGCTCACTTGATTGGATACCCTGGGGAGCCTGGCCAGTCTTTTGTCATGATAAATACTTAGTTCCTGAGCCAGGTCACAGGCTCACCCTATTCAAACACAGACAGACATACCCTTAAGACAGGATTTGTGAAGGGAAAGACAATGGGGAGGCTTTTCCATTTTCTTACTGTGGGAGGGAGTTCCATAGCTTAGCTATGCCCCATCCTTTCTTGTTTGTTTGTCCTGAACCTATCACCCCACCCTAGGCAGCCTCTCTCTCTCTTTCCCCTGCAGAAGAGTGGCAGTTAGCGCCTGCCCGGGAAGGAACTCCTCCTTGTTTGCAAAATGTCAGGCATGGCATCTTTTTGCTGCTCTTGGCACAAATGCGGAGGACCAAAATAATTCTGGAAAGGACCCAGGGCCTGGGGCAGGGGAGGCTAAGAGGGTCTCTCTCTAGCAGGGTCCAGTTCGGGAAAGAATCACCCTTAGTCACCGTGACGGAAAGCAGGAGGAAAGTGCTTTGCCCTTTCGGACAAGCAAATAGCTTCTTCAGTGCCACAATCCCCAGGCAAGGGGGCTGCTGATCAGTAGCGACTGCATCCAAAGCCTCGTCTCTTTTCCATCCTAAGTGGAGCAGACACCGGTGAGGTATATGGAGAGCAATGGATGCATCTAAGTAAAAAACCAAGTGAGCTTGCAGGGTCCCAGATACGCCTGCAAATACTTGCCCATTCCCCTGAGCGCACGCATGCAGCTGGGCGAGGCAAGGGCCCAGAGATCCCATCCTGTCAGGCTGCCAGCTCCGGCCTAATTAAAACAAGTCATCCATCCGCTTCCTTTGCTCTCGTGCCGGGAGTCAGATTCTCGCAGTCAACAAGCGTGCCAAGGATCAGAGGCTGGGAAGGGCTTTGAATGAGCTGCTTAGCCAGACCCAAATGTGCAAGTGATACAAGCATCTGCCAGGGGCAGGGGGAAAGCAATGGGGGGGTTTGGGCAGGGGGTGGGTGGGCATGGATAAAATCAGGGCAGGATCCAAGAAACCACGGCCCGGGATCTTCTGAATGGTGCAAAAGCTGGTGGGGCGCCGCTCCCAAAGAGAAGTGCGCAGGCAACATCCGGATGAGAAGTGGTGCTTTTAAACCGGGGGACAAGCGTACTGTTTCGTGCACACAGCTCACCGTTTTGTCAAGTGGCAGGGAGTTCCAGAAGCAGCTGCTGAAGAGTTTGCTTTTCTATCCGGAGGAGAGCACTTGAGGCCCTGTGGCATTTTTCAGGCTGACCTGCAGATTTGCAGATATAAATGGTGCACATGGAGAAAATATAGGAAATGAAGATCCGATTGGATCAGGCCAATGGCCCATCTAGTCCAGCAGCCAGTAGGCTTGGTCTTTATTGAAGACAGTCGCGACAGGACTCCCACCTGCCACCAGGTGGAACAAGATGGAAGCCCAGAACAAAAGAGCCCCCAAACTTTTATTAGCTGCTAATCCCCATGTTACATCCCCCCCGCAACTACATCACTCATACATCACGGTTACATCATGAAAGGGGAGGTCTGGTGGCAGTAATCTGAGCATCCTGGACCCTGCTCCATGGTTCCCCTTGCCCTCCACCAAACACCCATCAAGTGTAACAAAAGAGATATTTAAATTTCCCTGTTTCCCAGGCAAGTTAATCACACCCTTTTGTCTTCATCTGGGTTTGTTATTTCTGGAATGGCTACCTGTCTGGCACTCAGGTATCAGGATGCCAGGGATTATCACTCAGGCAGAGGGGCTGCTGAGCAGCTGAGCTCACATGTCTAGATGAATTTCTGAAGTTTTCCCAGTGAGCCAGTACATAGGTACATTTATCAGTGAATTCTTACATTTGGTATCGTGCAGCAGAGGCCCTTTGAATATATAGGAAGAAACTGCGATGAAGTATTTTGTGGGGACAAGTCACAAAAGTCACAAAAGTGATTGTCCTGATTTTGGCAGTGGGCTGCATGCGCATGATATCTGCTGGAGGGGCAACCCCCCCAACCTATACATAAATTCCTGCAACAGGATTAAATAAGGAGGGAGGGGGAGAACGATGTCTGCCACTTTGAGCTCCTTGGAGAGGGGGGAAGTTGGGATATAAATGCAATAAATAAATTAAATCCACAGCTGGGCAGCATGCAATTGCGTGTTGGGTTCCACGTCCCCCCCATCAGGATAAATCAGAATTAAATGGAGGGGATGTGCGGACTGCCACTTCGAAGAGGACCGCATGGGATGCACTGCCTCCCCTTTTAACAGCTGTGAATCCACTGCCCCAGCTGCAGATTCAGCCTGGTGTTGCCCCAGCCACTTAAGGAAACTGCCCCCCCTCCAGGGAGCTATTCTCTCCTGAGCAGCCAGAGCTGAAGAGCTCATTGCCTGTTCTGCCTTGCATCTCACGCCCCCCCTCCAGCAAGCTAAGAAAGGAGCAGTGATTCATACATTGTTGTCCGCAGCATAGCAGCGAGTTAGCACCCCGCGACTATGCCATTCACCTCATTAGCCTTCATCAGCCTCCGCCATGGGCTGGCCAAACAATCAACGGCACAGGAGCGATTGTCTCATTAGCAATGGCTTTTGCAAGGCCTTAGAGGCCGGGCCAACGGAAGGAGGTGCCGTTACAGCACTTAGAAGGCAGCCGGGCTGGTTGCTGCCCAAGGCAGAAAACGGAAAACCCACAAAGGTTTTGCTCTGCATTAAGGACGCACATCTATTTATTAATTGCTCTCGTTAATTTGATCGCCGCCGTTCACCCTAAGGCTGCTAGGAGCGTCACGCAGCATCGAAACACAATGTTAAGAGCGATTTAAAGCGACTTACAAGCATAAGTACAAGGTGGATTGCAAAAAAGATACGCCTCAAGTGTCGAAATTCAGCGTAAATTGGTGTGCCTTGAGCAAGCTCCAGAAACTTTACAAGGAAGGTGCCAGGCGCTTCTGCTGGAGGGAGTTCCAGTGGTGTAGTGTACGATGGGGGGGGGGGGCGAGAGGAGCAGTGGCCCCGGGTGCATTTTTTCTGAGGGTGGGGTGCAAATTTTCATCCAGGAAATTGATGACCCTGCCGTTAAGGCTGGAGCAGACAAGTGGACTTGGCTAGGACTGAACTGGGCTCACTGGTGGCCAGAGGTGAGGAAGACCCGATGGGATGTCCCTGTTAGAATTCTGTACTGTGTGTATGACATCTGCATGGTTGTTGCAGTTACATTGATGACTGCAACACAGATCATGAATTGGGGGAGGATGTTAGAATTCCTGCTCCTTGGTTGCAGTCATGGGATTGTTGTCTATCACATGACGGTGTATGTTTTGACTCCAGAGAGTGGGAAGTGACGGAGACAGGATGTTTGTGTTACTGTGTTCCACGAAGTGGGACTATTGTCCTTTGTTCTTTTTCTCTTTGCTGTCTGACGCTAGAGAGAGAGGGAGCCATGTTGCAGTGCTCCGTGTGTGTTTATATGTAAATAAAGTAGATTAGCCAAAATGCTGAGTTGCTGAGGTCTGTTATGCAAACTGCGAACACTCTGCGGATCCCTAAGTGTGCCAATGTCGGTTGGCATCGGTCGCTGTGATGTTCGGGCTGAAGAAAAGCTTTTGAACCTCCCAAACGAACGACCAGGCGGGAGAGAACATGCCAGTCAAGCATGTGTCTCTGCCAGAGTCCTACTCAAGTGTAGGCTGAACTCCTGACAGTCCCCTCCCCAAGCCGCACCAGGCAAGGCCAGACAGGAGGATGGGCGGGGGGCTCCTTGTGTGGCAGAGCTCCACGCCTAGGCCCAGATCCAGCGGGCAGGAGGGACAAGAGTGAGGAGAGGAGAGGAGCTTCTGCATGCAAAGCTGGAGGGGTTGCTCAGAGCAGCTGGTGTGCAGAGATAATAACGCCGGGCCCCCTCTTGCCGCGCCACTCTGCTTTGAACCTGCTTAAAGTGGCACGATCCTGCTTTCAATGCATAGTGAAGATCAGGGCCTCAGTCTCTTAGGAACCACGAGGGCTTGCAAAGCCCACTTTCGTTGTCCTGCCGTTAATCCCTGCACAACAATGAGTAAACAAATAAACCCCTGTGTTGCAAAATATGAGTCAGCAATATCAAAAGCAACACGATGACCAGAAACAATGACAATGTGAAAAACTTTATGGAATAATTCAAAACATCAAAATTAACAAGCTGAAGTCTCTGAAAGTCTCTAGATGTCCATAAATGAATCACGGTGCCAGACTTTACCCGGCAGAGAGCAAGCTGTGAAGCTTTGTATAATCAGCAAATGTCCAATTCTGATGTGCAACTCTGAACTCTGCTGAACAGTGTTTCCGGATAGCAACTGTTTTGTTGAATTCTTCATCAGCCAATTAGTTCAAAACTCATAAGTAGAAAGATATGTAATTTCTTCATTAACCAATCTTTTCCCCGAATAGATATAATATACATGAGAATGAAAAATACTCTGTAAGTGTTCATGCAATTATGTAGTGACTATATGTATATTATATCTATCCAGAAGTAGTTGCTATCTGGAAACACTGTTCAGCGGAGTTCAGTCTGGCACCGTGATTTCTTTAAGGACTTTCAGAGACTTCAGTTTATTAGTTTTTATGTATTGAATTATTCCATAAAGTTTTTCACATTGTAATTGTTTCTGGCCATTGTGTTGCTTTTGATATTGCTGATTAATCCCTGCACGACAGAAATAGAACATAAAAATCTGCTCTTTGGGGAAAGCAGGTCTGTTGAGCAAGACCTGGCCATCAGCTTGAACTACGCGACTTGAATTTGCTGGGATGTGATTGAATATCAGCCGAAAACAGCAATGGCCTGGAAGCGCCCTGCGAGGCTTGCAGCACTCAAAAGATGTTTTGATATAGAAGACGGATCCAAAAGGCACACACACACACCCGGGCTGACTTTTGGAGCATGGCTGGGGTCAATGTGTGTGTGTGTGTGTGTGTGTTTGTTCTGTTCCAGGCTGGAGAAAACAAGCACACCCACCGGGTAGTTTTTGGCTCTGTGGACACAGCCCAGAGGCTCCAGCCAGTGCACAGTGTCCTGGGAGAGTTGGCCAGCGGTCAAGCATGCCTGTTCCCCTGGCTACAGTGCCGTCACAGCCTCAAGCAGGACACACTTTAACCTTTCTGCTCTTTCCATGGGTCTGAGAAAGTTGGTCGGGCAGTCAGGCCCGTCCCCTTCTCAGGGAAACTCTATCCCCAGGCTAATTCGAGCCACTCAGCAGGGCAGCTGGCTTACAAGAGTTGGAACAGGATGGAGAACCCTTACCTGAATATCCCAGCCCCTGCTCCGTAACTGGAGAACCTGGAAAATCCGGGGAGAACAAGTCTGTGATGTAGTCAACAGCTTCTCAAAGCCTTCCATCAGCACTGGGAACTTCCTGCCGGGGGGGGGGGTGATTGGGAAACATCAGGAACACACTTTGACAACTCTTAAACAGGGTGGGGGGACAAGTCTATAACCCTGGGCCTGAGCAACGATGCTCATATTGCCTCTTTGAAGGGGTACCAGAGAAAATGCCAATTGCAGCCAACGCAATCACGGGTTATCGAAACATAGTTGGAAGGGACACCTAGGGTCATCTAGTCTAACCCCCTGCAATGCAGGAATTGTGCCTAAAGCATCCATGATCGGGGGTCATCCAACATCTGTGCAAACATCTCCAGTGAAGGCGAGTCCTTCACCTTTCACCGGACTTGAAAGACCTCCATTGGCTCCCGGTAGGTTTCTGGGCACAATTCAAAGTGTTGGTGCCTTCTCGGTAGTGGCGCCCGCCCTGTGGAATGCCCTCCCATGAGGTGTCAAGGAAATAAACGACTACAGTGGTACCTCATTTTGAGTCTGGGATCCATTCCGGAGCCCCAGATGCTTGACAAAGCGCCGCTCTGCGCACGTGCTTGAGCGGTTTTGCGCTTCTGCACGTGCGCGAGCAGCAAACCCGGAAGTAACCTGATGTCAAAGAGAAAAACAACTACCAGACTTTTAGAAGACATCTGAAGGCAGCCCTGTTTAGGGAAGCTTTTAGTGCTTGACGCACTATTTTAATATTTTGCTGGAAGCCGCCCAGAGTGGGCAGGGTATAAATAAAAATTATTATTATTCCGAAGGAGCCCATTCCACGGTCAAACAGCTCTTAGTGCAAGTTCTTCCTAGTTTAGTTGGAATCTCCTTTCTTGTCGTTTTAATCCTTTAGTTTGGGTCTTACCCTCTGGAGCAGGCGAAAACAGGCTTGTTTCACCTTCCATGTGATAGCCCTTCAGAAGACAGCTATCATATCACCTCTTGGCCTCCTCTTTTCCAGGCTGAACATACCCAGCTTCTTCAACTGTTCCTCATAAGGCTTGGTTTCCAGAGCCTTTTTCATCTTGGTCACCCTCCTCTGCACACCTCCCAGCATGTCAATATCCCTCTTAAATTGTGGTGCCCAGAACTGGATACAGGACTTCTGGGGGGGGGGTGGTCTGACCAAGGCTGAATAGAGCAGTACTATTGCTTTTCTTGATCTGGACACCGGATGTAGCCTAGAACAGCATTAGGGTTTTTTTTGCTGTTCTGCATTTGATGTATGGGCAGAATGTAGACTGTTACCTTAGACAGAGTCAGACCATGAATCTATGTAGCTCTAATGTCTACACTACCAGCAGCTCCCCAACATTTCAGACAGGGAATCTTCCCCAGCCCTTCCTGCAAAGGCTGGAGCCATTTCCATGCAAATGTGGAGGTTATTGGGTTGTTTTTATTTTGATTATGCATTTTGTGGTTTTATATTTTTATTTGGTGAACCGCCCTGAGACCTGCGGGTAAAGGGCGGTATATAAATTCAATTAATAATGCAACAACACAGTGGTCCTTCCCCAAATATTAAGTGCAGGGGGCACCCACTTATAAGCAGACACAGGCTGGAGAAGGAACGCACCTGCCTGTTTTTCCTAATGTGGAAGCAGAATGTATGCTTCTGCGGCCTGCAGGGATCTGGGCCTGTCACAGGAGACATGAGCTTGCTTCTGTCTTAAGGAAACATCTCTCTTAAGAGTGTAACAGGATCAACACGAAGGTGGGAGGAAAAGTGAAGTATGGAATGTTTGAGGGATTTGGACCAGAAATGTTTGCATATTTCCCCCCTACAAACTACAGTAGTTTCTTCTGGATTCTTATTAACCGCATTGTGATAACTTTAAAAACTGTTAGGGTGTTTTGATTACGTACAGAGGGTATCAATCAGCTGAGAAGTCTGGCTCATGGAGTCTTCTGCATTGCAATTGCCTTGTCTTAATAAACAAGAGTCTTGAACAGACTTTATTCCAACCACGTTGTTTTTCTTCCACACTAATATCAGTGATGAAAATTACATAATTCTATTTCTTTTAACGATAGCTCCTGCCCACACGGAACAGTATTGACCCATGCAACTGTATTTAGGCTATGGACAAAAAACAGGCAACTGCTTGCTTGGGTGTAGTGTGGAAGGGCCCAAATTTGAGCAATAAGCTAAATGCTTTGCATGCAGGGAACCCCAGTTGCAAATTCCCTTTTTTAAAAAAGGGGCTGCTGGTAGTAGTTAAAAAGATTCCTGCCTTTGAGATACACAAGTGGATTACAAGGGCTAACTTAGCTTCATGTTTGCGCATTCCAGCTCTGGGGAAAAGATGCTGGATGTCCACCACACCCTGGCAGCTCCCCACCAAACAGCCTTAGCTCAATGGCAAAATGAAAACCTATTTGCCCTGAATCTGCCTGTGGTCTTTACTGAAAGTCAGCTGGTAAGCAGATCATGGGGGCTTCTGCTAGGCAGGCCAGCGGTCCCAGAAGCATTCGTAAGTGACAGCACAGATCTACCTTTAAATTTGAGCTCCAGTGCCGAGGGCTTTCTGGCGGTTCCCTCATTGTGAGAAGTGCGGTTACAGGGGAACCAGGCAGAGGGCCTTCTCGGTGGTGGCACCTGCCCTGTGGAACGCCCTCCCACCAGATGTCAAAGAGAAGAACAACTACCAGACTTTTAGAAGACATCTGAAGGCAGCCCTGTTTAGGGAAGCTTTTAATGTTTAACAGACTATTGTATTTTAGTGTTTTGTTGGAAGCCACCCAGTGTGGCTGGGGAAACCTAGCCAGATGGGCGGGGTATAAATATTATTTATTATTATTATTATTAAGAAACTGAAGTTCAGAGTGTTACTCCCACCTGCAACAAACCAGAAGCAAAAGGCTGCTTTTCACTACTAGCCCAGTCCTGGGATCCTCATGGGTGTTGCAAAGCCAGAGCTATTGGGCCCACCTAGCCCATTGTTCGACACACACTGGCAGCGGATCTCCAGGTTTTCAGGCAGATTTTCCCAGCCTTACCTGACACTGCTGGACATTGAACTTGGGACCTTCTGAATGTAAAGTTGCAAATCTTCACGACTGAAACCAAGTTGTTGGAATTTATCCATGAAACTACAGTGGTACCTCGGGTTACATATGCTTCAGGTTACAGACTATGCTAACAAAGAAATAGTACCTCGGGTTAAGAACTTTGCTTCAGGATGAGAACAGAAATCGTGCTCCGGCGGCGTGGTGGCAGCGGGAGGCCCCATTAGCTAAAGTGGTGCTTCAGGTTAAGAGCAGTTTCAGGTTAAGAACGGACAACTGGAACGAATTAAGTACTTAACCTGAGGTACCACTGTATAGGTGAAAGCAGGGAGGGATAGCACTGATTCTTGTTACACCATTATCCCAAAGGAGGCAAGTAGGGACAGGCTGGGGCTGCCCTGACAGAACCTCATGTGGGGGCATCCCCACGACCCAACTCAAGCGATCCAAACCTGAGCTCTGGCTGAGTAGACAAAGAGCAGAGGCAACATTAACCAGCCTTGTCGGCAGCTGCAAGGAGGGTGCAAGCCCAGCGTCTGGGAAGGTGGTCAACAGCGTGCATCCAATTTGGATCCTAAAATAGCACTTCTATCATACTGCTCAGAAGCCGCTCAACAGCTTTCCTACAAGGATCTCGTTACTCACCTGATGGCTGCAGCACGGCTTACCATTGCAATGCACTGGAAGTCTCTCAGCACAGACCTGCTTAAGATCTGGATCGCAGAACTCTGGGAATTAAAATTCATGGACAAACTAACAACCCCTGTGCAAAGGAGCCAAATGACAAGAAAACCACCCATTTTCAAACAACCTGGCACAGTTATTACATTTATTACATATACAACATCAAAGCAACATTGTTCTATGGTCATGACACACATCAACCTTTGTTTAAAAGCTAAAATCACTGGAAAGTTAAATGTAATTAAAAGAGAAATGTGGTGCTTCTGGCTGAATACAGATTCTTGCTTCCTGTATAGGGATGTGAAAATAATAGCACAAAATGGGGGTGGGGAGGAGAAAGAGCATGCATCCATCTCCACCTCAGCTCAGAGAAAAAGAAAGCCTGCCCCCCTCCCCTTGACTGTACTCAGTTCCCCATGCTGTGGTACAGGTTTATCAAAAGCACGGTTCCCAGCCAGAGCCACCGATTAAGGCAGAGGGTCCAGTCCAGGAAACAAGGTCACACAAGAACAAGGAAGTTCTGCACAGCAACTCAAGTCCTAGAGGATATGTGCAAAATGTTTTGAGGGTTGGGTTTCAGTTACAGAGAGAAATTGAAAAATGACACTTTTCCCCCCCTAGGCTTAGCAGGAAAAGCACTCCCAGTAGTAACGTTGTATATTGCTTAAGTATAATAGTTTATTGATAAACAAGTCAATAAAATACAAAAGGGGGAAAAAACACTATACTAAGAAGGGAAAAAAAGCACCCCTTGTCTTTTCTTTCTTGGTTACGCATCAGCGTTGAAACCTTTTGGAAAAGTTTGGAGAGTGGGGTACAGTCAGGGGCTGGTCGCTGGCCTTGATCTCCACTGGCTGGTACCTGTGGATGGGGTTGGCTTTGTGTACCTGGGAAGGAAAAGAAGGAGATTCTAAGCACCGTCATCAAAGGAGAAAGTGCTGTTGTCAAGTGGTGCATGCTCTAGTTATCTCCCGCTTGGACTACTGCAACCCGCTCTACGTGGGGCTACCTTTGAAGGTGACCCAGAAACTGCAACTAATCCAGAATGCGGCAGCTAGACTGATGACTGGGAGTGGCCCCCGAGACCACATAACACCGGTTCTGAGAGATCTGCATTGGCTCCCAGTACGTTTCCGAGCACAATTCAAAGTGTTGGTGCTGACCTTTAAAGCCCTAAATGGCCTTGGTCCTGTATACCTGAAGGAGCATCTCCACCCCCATCGTTCCACCCGGACACTGAGATCCAGCGCCGAGGGCCTTCTGGCGGTTCCCTCATTGCGAGAAGTGAGGTTACAGGGAACCAGACAGAGGGCCTTCTCGGTAGTGGCGCCCACCCTGTGGAACACCCTCCCTTCAGATGCGAAGGAAATAAGCAGCTATCCTATCTTTAAAAGATATCTGAAGGCAGCCCTGTTCAGGGAAGTTTTTAATATTTAACGCTGTACTGTTTTTAACACTTGATTGGGAGCTGCCCAGAGTGGCTGGGGAAACTCAGCCAGATGGGCGGGGTAAAAATAATAAATTTATTTTTATTTTTATTATATTGTCAAGGAACAGCCTTGCTCACCCCCCCCGAGGGGGGCCAGGGGTGGACTGCAGCCAACCACTGAGAGACTGCGGATGGTGGTGGAGGCATACAAGAGAAAATTGAGCTGTAAGTTCAAGTTAAGCCAATTTCAGTGTGCCTTTGATTGCACCTTCCTGCCTCCCAGTATGTGTAGAAGCAAGAGTCAAGACATCTTGACCCGCCGAGACGCAGGAAGAGTTGCAGGTACCTTAAAAGTCAAAGGAACAGATGAAGCCACTTTATAAAAAGGCAGCTCTCCTACATCTTTCCAGCTCAGAATTAATTGCTGCAAAGTGTAGCAGACATCTGGCTGGGCCTGTTTTCCCAGAAAATCCCCCACACAAGGTAAGAGATCTACCACTGAGCTACGGAGCCGGCTTGGTTGGTTTTAAGACCTTCTGCCAGTAAAAATATTATATATTATGCTATTTTATTTACTGAGTTGCCTGCACTGCTAAGAAAAGATGGGATCCATTGCTGACCCAGCCGCTTAGGCATCTATGATCCAGATTCATGCCCCTCAAGCCACAAGTTCATTTACCAGCTCTTCTCTTAGCTCAGCCAACTCAGCTTTCCTCTGCTCTTCCTCATGACGTCTCGCTGTCTCCTGCAGCCGCGCTTTCTCAGCTTCAAGTTCTGCCATCCGCCTCTCGAATTCCTGCCGCTCTCGGGCGCGCCGCTCTGTGGCCAGCTCAAAGCTTTTTGGAGCTACGGAACCAGAAAGGACATCTGAGTTTCGGAATAGAAGGGGGAACAACTCTTTATGCGGGAAGGTGGTGCCTGTCACGCAAAGCACCCCAATTGCATGTTTGTTTTTCAAAATGGAAGAGCAGCCCTGCTGGATCAGACCAAAGGTCCGTCTAGTGCTAGTCCTTCATCCTACCGGATCCAACTAGAATTTCAGCTGCAAAACTGAACTTTGCAGAACTGGTTGGATGCTTTCTCTTGAAGCTTCATTTGCTAGGATTAAAGGTACAAGGCTTTATGTAGACACCTGGCTCCCTGCTCAGACAGGCCGTGGGCCATCCAGCCCAGCATCCTGTTCCCACAGGGGCCAACCAGAGGCCTGTGGAAAGCCCACATGCAGGATTCAAGCACAAGAGCCTCTCCTCTCCAGCAATTCAGAAGTATTGCAACCAAGGCTTCAGGGTGTGGGATGTAACATAAGCAGTCAAGTACAACACTTCCTGTTTGGCTAGAGTGGACACAGACAGGGGGATGTTGATCCAGCCAGTTGAACTTCCTGTTACACCTGGTCTGGAGCATCCTCCCCCTGCTGTGACCAGGTAGGTGGGCGTGACCCTTGCAGACCCCACAAAAGGTCCGGTCACGCAGCCACCTTCCTCTTTTGATGCCTTTTCTTCTCTTGGACTGCACTGCTGGCTCTCTGCCAGCAGCACATGGGCGCATCCTTATAAGGATGTAAGCCACACTGTATCTGTAACTACAGTACGAGCTAAAGGCTGCCTTCAGGGATCCAACCGTGAACTGAATGTGAGTAAATTTCTCATTACTTTTAAAAGAAGCTTCTTGTGTCTTTAATCTTTTTAGGAGGGATAAAAGGGGTCCTACCAGGAATATGCTCCAATCTGAACAAAGCCAGATTGGATTGCTTAAGTAAAGAGATTCAAACCAATCTACCAACTAGCTTCCTGCTGTATACTGGGAAATGTCACTCTGCTGCCGACTCACAAGCGTGAGTTACGAAGGATACTATTAAATCAATATATCCTCTCCTAGTACCTACAACATTCCCACAAAGGGCACTGACAATATTCTGTCACCCAAGAGCAAGCTTGCCTCTTCCTTGGAGTAGCCATAAGCCGAGCCCTTTGTCCTCAAGGAACTGAGGAATGTAGAGAAGGCTGGAAGCGGTTGCCAGGATTATGACTCCATGCCTTCTGCTTACGCCTGATCTAACTTAGCACTCAATCAACAGCCATGTCTCCACACAGCTGTCAAAAGTTGCTGCCCTCACCTGTTCTTGTGGCAACTGAGATGGGACTTCTCCCTGCCCCCCAGGCACAGATGCAAGCTAACATCACGCAAGGCACCACTTTGGGGTTAAGTGGCTGGGCCCTGAAGGCTGCCCAAAGGAGCCTCACCTGAAAGGACTTTGCTCTCCCTCTTGGGCACAAAAGGTTCCTGGTGCAACACGGTGCTTGGCTGAGCCTTGAAAGAGGCAGCTTCCCTCTGTTGTTTCATCTCTTCCTTGAGCTGTTCAGGAAGGGAGGGAAGTTGGGGGGAAAGAGATTTAAGAGAACCCCAGACACTCCTCACCAAGGCAAACAAAGTCCACAAGGCAGACTGACAAGTCAGCAAAAATAAGGTACTGTGGTCTAGTAACGCCTGGGTTGGCTAGGATTTTAAGAATTTGATTCGGTTTCTTCCTTTCTACCACACGTTATCTAAGACCACGTTTACAGACACTATGCACTTGCACACAAGTACAAATACACACTCCTTGTCATACACACGTGGCCCTTGAGCCATGCAACAACACGTGGCTTGAAAATCACTAAAAGCAGCGATGATGAGAAGGGACCAGACTCTATACACCCAAGTATTCTTTAAAACAATGTACTTTAAGCAGCAAGTTCCAGGGCTGAAAAGCATTCATTCAACAAGGAGGGCTTATTCCATATAGCTACATCTCTCTCTCTCTAGGCCAGATGTGGCTAATTTGAGCCTTCCAGATGTTGTTGGACCACAACTACCTTTATTAGCCCTGACCAGTAGCCAAGCGGGCTAGAGTTTGTGCGAGTTGAGGCTCAGTAACATATGGAGGGCTCCAGGTTAACTATCCCTGTTGTAGGAGAAGGCGGGGTGGAGAGTAGAGATACAGATCTTACATTCTTCCCTGTGTGGGTGAGCAATTTTGATGCATAACAGGAAAACCATCTCTAGTAGGATGCTTCCCCCATCTGTTTCTCATGACCCTATCCACACAAGGCCACTTTGGCCAGACAAAACACTGCAGGAAGAGGCCACTAGGACGCTCCCAGTCCAAACACCGGAATCAGCCCCCACAAGTGCAGGGTTGTGCTGGATGCTGCTTCCGATGGCAGCCTCAGACTCTCTCCTCTTCCGATGATGGAAGGGAAATGGTAAAGATGGCCAGGAAGGGCCCCCGGCTCAGCCAGCTGCTCAGCCCCCTCACCTGCTGCTCCCACTGCTCTTGCTTCACAGCTCCTCTCATATCAACAGCCAGTTGGAAGGGCTCCAGCTTGGTGGGGCTCTTGGTCTTCTTTTCCGGAAGGCTGATGTGGTCAAAGTGGGGCAGGGGGAGTGCTTTGAACTTTGGCACCTGCCAACGAAACACAGAACAAGGCTCAGCATTGCTGGTGAGATGAAGACTTGGAACATAGTAAACACATCAAGTGAAAAGCTCTTGAGGAAAGCTAGGAGAAGTCTTAGAGGCCACCTTCCCTCACCTAATCTTTCAGGTGCAACTTCTCTCTCCTTTTAGATGGAGGCCCTTCCAGCTGTTACAATTCCCATCTGCCCCAGCCAGCACGCTCATGGTGGCTGGGAATGACAAGAATTGCAGTCCAAAACAGCTGGAGGGCACCAAATTGGGGGAGGCTATTTAGAGATCAATAGGCCCTCCTTCTCCTCTGGTTCCCACCTGGTACCTGAGGTCAGGCAGAAGGTGACTGGGGAGAGGCCCTTTTAAGTTGCTGTGCTAGGGCTGTGACTAAACATCAGGAAGAACTTTCTGACAGTAAGAGGTGTTCAACAGTAGAAGGGTCTCCCTCGGGAGGTTGTGGAATCTTCTTCCTTGGAGGTTTTTAAGCAGAGGTTGGAAGACCACCTGTCACTGCAGGGGGTTGGGCTAGATGATCCTCAGGGTCCCTTCCAACTCTATGATTCTATGATCTTCTGCCTGAAATCCTGGGTAGCTGCTGGTGGTCAGCACAGACAATACTGAGATAGATGACCCAGCCATGTGACTCCATATGAGGGAGCTTCCTATACTTTGTCAGTACATTATATGCTCACATGGACCATAGATCCCACAAGGGAATCCTCGTGGAATAGCAGCAAATAAGGACTGAGATTCTTTGTACAATGTAATGGTGTAAATAAACAGTGACGCTTACATCTGTAATGTTTTGAAAGATTTTAAGATAACATTTTAGTTTCCTGTTAATTACGTTGCTTTGAATGTATACTTTATATTTGACTTCCTTCTGTAGTGTTTTGGATTTGTGCGCATTGGCTTATATTTCAGAGCCTAGGATTTTAATCGTAGGTTAGGTAATCCCAGCTGGTGAGATTCTTTGCCAGCCCGGCTAACAAATATAAAGCGGTCTAGAAATCGAAAGAATAATAATACAGATTGGCATAAAATGTTATTATTATTACAGCCTGATAATCAGCCTGATTACCTTTGGTAATTCTTCACAGAACTCTAGCCTAATGGTTGGCATCAATTTGATTTGAACTGATTTTATAATGAATTGATTTTAGAATGTTGTATTATTTTACTGTTGTTAGCCGCTGAGCCTGGATTTGGCTGGGGAGGGTGGGATAAAAATAAAATTTTATTAATTATTATTTTTTATTATTATTATTCACTTTTCTCCAAGAGTCATCTACTTCCCTACAGCTGTTTTAGGCAAGTGGGCCTCCACAATGAAGCCTGGACAATTGATGGGAACCTCTGGCCTTCCCTTCTCTGCCAAAGACACTTTTAGAAGCTTGGTCTTAAATCTGATCAATTATAGCAAGGGTGAGGAACCTATGGCTCTGCAGATGTTGATGGACTACAACTCCTTGAGCATTGGCCATGCTGGCAGGGGCTGGCGGGAACTGTTTCTTATTATTTTATATAACACTTAATTGCCAAAGTGGCCTCTAAGCAGTTTACAAATATAAAACCAGTTACTCAATAAAACAATTCTGTCAAAATATTAAAATATGGGAGTGGGAGTCCAACAACATCTAGAGGACCCCAGGTTGCCCACCCGTGAGTTAGAGATATAACCAGCAGACTCCTACGTAGCCCGGGGAATGGCCAACATCTGCTTCCGTCTTTTGTGGCCCATTTACATTGCGAATTGTGCAAAGATCCACTTTTGCTTTTGGACAGTAGTGTCAGGAGGAGGATGGCCTCTGCCCCAACAGGAAGAGGGTGTCCCTAAATGAAAAGCACCCACCTCTTCTTTTTGCAATTCTTCAATTTTCTTCTCTTTCTGAAGAAGCCTCTCTTTGTCCCGAGAGTCAAAGGAGAAAGGGCACATCTCCACCTGCCTAGGTTCTGCAGCTTTTGGCTTAAAGGGCACCCCAAAGTACGGCACTGGCTTGGCTTTGATCACAGGCACAACTTCCTCTTCCTGTAGAGAAAAACAGCATGGGAAATGGAGTAGGGAAGGGAACAAAGGCAGCCTCCACTCCCCCACCTGACCTTGTGTGAAGAGTTGAATCTTAAGGAGATTTGGAGAGGGCAGAATGGCTGTTCTTTGGGGAAGGCTCGCTGTGGCAAATCCAGGAACCAGTTCAAAAAGGGACTCTTAAAAAATCATCCAGCCGCTAGGATATTTACCATCCAGCTGTGTCAGCTGATGGCCCAGAACTGCCTGGTTGCAGGCAAAACACTCACTGAGAAGGGCTGAGCAGCTCATTTGAACCCTAACCCCCATGTCAGGCCCTGGCTGGCTACAGCAGTGAAGCAACACAAGGGTCCCCAACTGCCACGCACTACAGAAAAAGAATCACCTTCACTTTCTCCTCTTTAGCCAGGATGCCAACTCTGTTCTTCAGAGCAAATGCTGGGGACTGTGGAACTGTGGGAGGAAGCAGTTTTTTCTCAGGAACACCCTGCAGGAACAAAGCAGCAAGTTGCACTACCGGTGAGTCAGGAAACATGGAGTAGCGTTAAAACAAATTCCCCTTCTACATTTTGCACTGGGACAAATGGTGGAAACACAGCAGTGCCATCTGATTATCAGTTCTGCCCTTAAAAACATAGGGCTCTGTGTGCCCTGCACAAAACCCTCATCTTTGCTCACTCAAGTCTTAACCAAGAGAGAGTTCTGTTAATGTTAGAATCATTTTCAGTGGCCTCCCTGTCCCTTGGACTAGTTTTATTCTGCTCGCCGTGGAAAAAAACCTCTTCTCCCTCTTGCATGCTGCCACTGCTAGCAGGTCAGAGCGCTAGGGAAACAAGGAGTGCTCCTTCCTGTATCTAGAGTGCTCTGAACTGCTCAACCTTTCCAAGAGGTGAGCAAAAGTACTTTCCTTCCCATTGCAGAGCTGGATGGACAGCTTCCAGCAAGAGGCAATAAACCTTCACACACACCCTCCATGCTGCATGGATTGGGGAGACTGGATATCTGCCTGCTCCTGATTGTGTGCGCCCATTTGTGCACCAACTTTGCAGGCCCCCCCTGGCAGGCAACCCTAAGTTGGGGAGCCAACTGTGGATGCAGCCATTGGGTCCCAAAAAGGTGCATCTCCTCTATGACAGGAGCTGGTAAGCATCTGGTTAGGGATGAAGGTGAGAATGTTTCTGATGGACGTGGGGTAAAAGTAGGCAGTGAGCACAGCAGCCAAGCAAAGAGGCCGAAGGTCCATTGGTGAAAATGTATGAGCAGCAAGCACTAGACTAGAACAGGAAGACTCTGAAGTCAGACAAAGTACTGAAGCTCTTGGCATCCAAAAGGCAAACTGGAAGCCAGGCAGAATGCAGAGAATCAATCATAGATTCAGACCATCTTAGTACCAACTTCAGCCCATTTTTCTCTGAGGTTGAAAAACACAAGCTGCAAAGATTACCACCACATCCTCCAGGATTTTAGTCGGACATGGCCTCGAATGGAACTGGAAGTGTTCCTCCTCCTGGTGCTTCTTCTTGCTCTCCCGTTCTTGAATGCGCTTCTCTATTTCCAAATCAAAGCCAACTGGCTTGGTGGGCTCCTTCACTGGAGGCTTCTTGGGCAAGACTGGTGTTCCCTCCAGGATCCGGGGGTTGAGCTCTTGAGCTTTGAACCTGTACCTGCCAGACAATGAAGCAAATGGTGGGACTCCAATGTGGAGTTGAAATTACTCCATGCCATGGGCTGAGTAGAGACAACTGAAGTTGCCTGAAGTTATCCCATTCCTGTGACACTTCAAAGCTGTGTGTCTGCATTTTGACACTTCTGACTGCAGAAGTATTGAACTAACCCACAAGGCTCCTCCTGTCTGATAGGCAGATGAGCAGACAGGGTAGTGCTAATGCCTTCTCCCACTCAGAAGGGAGGCTGACCAGCTTTAACATACCCACTCATGTGGGTGTACAAAGCTGCTCTATCCTAAGTCAAACCACCGGCCCATTGAGTCCAATATAAGATGGGGGACACCTGGCTTGTCAGTAGTACATATGAGAATGATTGAGGGGTCTTAGCAGACCACAAGCTTAACATGAGCCAACAGTGTGATGCAGCAGAAAAAACAAAAAACCTAATGCTATTCTAGGCTGCATCAGCAGAAGTAAAGAGTCCAGGTCAAGGGAAGTAATAGTACTGCTCTATTCAGTCTTGGTCAGACACACCTGGAATATTTGAAAATGGCTATCATATCTCCTCTCAATCTCCTCTTTCCCAGGCTAAACATACCCTTGATAATCTTGGTCGTTGTCCTCTACACCCATTCCAACTGGGCACCAGAATTTAAGATATTGATAAGTTGGAATGGGTGTAGAGGACAACGACCAAGATTATCAAGGGTGCTGGGTATGTTTAGCCTGGGAAAGAGGAGACTGAGAGGAGATATGATAGCCATTTTCAAATATCTAAACGGCTATCACAGGGGAGATGGAGCAAGCTTGTTTTCTTCTGCTCTGGAGGGTAGGACTTGTACCAATGGATTCCAATTAAAAGAAGGGAGATTCCAACTAAACATCACAAGAACTGTCTCGGAGTAAAGCTGTTAAACAGTGCAATGGTCTCCCTTGGGAAGTGGTGCTCTCCTTTGTTGGAGATTTTAAAGTTGGATGGCCATCTGTCAGGGATGCTTTAGTTGAGATTCCTGCATTGCAGAGGGTTTGACTAGATGACCCTTGGGGTCCCTACAACTCCACAATTCTATGATTCTATGAGTCATGGGTGATGCTTACTTGCAGCAGCTCTCCAGAGTCTCTCAAAGCTCTACTACTGGACTTCCTTAGCTGGAGAGGCTATAAATTAAACCTGGCACCTACAGGCCAAGCAAGTTCTCAAGCACTAAGGTATGGACCCTCTTCTTCCAGAGGCATTCCTTCCCAGTTTTGTAGATGACACAATCTCAGTTGGAAGATTTGCCATGGAATAGATACAGGCAAGTGCACAAACCAGCCTCTAATCAAGGAAGCCCTTGGGGTGGGTCTTGCTGCAGTCTCACCCAACATGTCTCCCCAAGTATATTCATACCCTCAAGGGGTTCTGACTACTTTTCCTTACCCCCACTGGACTGCAGGACACAAGCCTGGACATATAAAAAAAATTAAAAAATTGTCCAGTAGCACCTTAGAGACCAACTAAGTTTGTTTTTGGTATAAGCTTTCGTGTGCATGCACACTTCTTCAGATACCAACATGAACATGAAATCCATGCAGAGAGAAGCACTCACACAATTCTGTTTCACTGCCTGGATTCTACACCAAGGACACCACCAGGAGTCCTGAACTCTATTCGGTTCAGACAGGCGTCATTTGGGCAAAGAGTTGCACTTACTGTTGAAGCTTCTCAGTCTCCTCAGCCTCTAACTCAGCAGTGCTCTTGCATTTGACAGGTCTCTGGCGGGTCTTGGTTTCAAGGCGGGGAGTTTTGGGGTTGGTTACCTTGGCCTTAAGTGGCTTTGTTTGGCTTATGCCTGCAAGAACGGAGGGAAATGACCATAAACAAAAGCACAGCTTACAAAGTTATCTTCAAAAAAGCAAGAGGTGCATTTAGCCAACTCTCATATTTGCAAATATGAAATCTTATTGCCTTAGAAAAAAATAAGAAAGTATGGAAAGTGAGGCTGATGTTAGTCCTGATATATTCAACCCTTCCTTGTGCCATCCACAGTTCCCATTTTACATTTTTCCAAGTTTAAGCCTTGTGTCCTTGCCCAACCTCTTCAAATAAAAAGAGGAAGACACAAACCTAAATTCTGATATTAACAGAACGCACACTAGTGGAAGTAACTGAATTTTCTTAGGAAAAGTAAGCACAAGTCTCAATTCCAACTTCAATCTCCTATCTCTGACTGTCTAGTCCCCCTAGAACTGCAAACTTGAAAAATAGCCAACCTATCTTTACTGTGGTTCCTTACTCCTCTTAGCAGGAAAGAAGAGGCACAGCTGTTTAGCAGTCTCCAAGACATGAATAATTGCACCTGATTAATGTCACCAAGTTCAGAGGGACTGTGCTCACAGAGTTCTTCCCACTGTCACAAAGGGGTTCCCAGTCAAGCCACTTGCAGCCTTACCTTCCTCGGTCTTCCTGCTCCTCAGGTGGTAACGTGGTGGGGTGCGTTGCTGAAAGTTTCTAACCTGCTGGGCCATTGATACAAATTCTGTGGAAACTTCATCAAACTTCCTTTTGTTGCTTTGGGACAGGTTGAAGGGTTTCGGGACTGTCATACCCTTTGACGCTTGGACCTGTAAGGAGACAGGGCTGGTTTGTTAGCAGAATGTTCTCAAGGCAGGATGTACCTAGGATGTACCTAGCCCACCAGCTGCGGACAAAATTTACTTGGCCTGGAAGTCTATCTCATTCTAAAGCTCTTAGTGCAGTGCATGGTCTCCACACCTCCTCAAAAGCACATTTGGGAGCTTACCTGTGAACGGAATAAATGAATAATTATTCACTTCAGCAGTAGGTGAAATCTGCATATATACATTTTGAAGGCCCATTCCTTTTTAAAAGAAGCAATGCAGAAGCACACGTTTACAGATGTATTGTTCTGAAAGAGGCTAAAGTTGAAGCCTCTTTAACATAGCATAAGGAAAGGGCACTATAGAATGGTTAGAAAGGGTCTCATCTAAGCAGAGATTAACCCCACTAAGTAGGCTACATACATGAGAAAATGTTGTATGCTGTATTGTTTTTAACACTCGGCTGGGAGCCGCCCAGAGTGGCTGGGGAAACTCAGCCAGATGGGTGGGGTATAAATAATAAATTTATGATGATGGTGGTGGTGGTTAGCAGTCTGTGTCAAGGTAACACGAGGCCCCAGCAAAAGACTCCAAAATAATCTGCCTCTATTCTTTTTTAATTGGCACCTACTTCTTCTTGTCCTATATAGAATTTATTTCTTGCAAATCTTTTCATCTGCAAATCTTTACACCCCAAGAGATGCAACAACAGGCAGTTGAAGGCTCTCTAGCCAGAAGCCTCATTTCTTGATTCTCGTTGCTCTCACCGGAGATGGTGGGTGCCTCCTCAGAGCAGCTTTGAAATCCACCTCCTTATACTCTGTGGCGGGCTGATTTTCGCCATGCTGTTTAATCCTTTCATCTGTGCGGAAGTGGAAATCTACTGGCTTGGTGATATGGGTCACTATCTTCTTGACAGTTTGCCCTGGTGGGGAGAAAGTGGGAGATGAGATTCAGTAAGAAGCATTCCAATGTCCAGGACATGGCAGCTTGAACAACTCAATATGATGTACTCACATTCCATCCAATCAAGACAAATGAAATATTGGGCATACTATGAAGGTTCATTTTCTGAAGGGGATGGAGGAAATCCTCAAATGGGTTGTGCCTCCCACTTGCTCCACTAGGCAGGAGTATGCCAATTAAGTTGGTGCATTCATTTTCCATCCACATCAAGATAAATTGCCACACTCGCATACATATAATCTGTTCTAGGTACCACCCATGCAGATTCACATGAACCAGTGAGAGCTCAGTGGGACATGGAAAGAATTTGTGAAAGCCCAGCTTGTAGAGAGTCACAGCCAAGCAGTTTGTCTACTGTTTTCACTTAGGGAGTCGCCAAGACCTCTGCAGACTTTATGGCACAAAGGCTAACTAAAGTGATTAAGAAGCTTAATCAGTCAGTGGGTTTCATTGTTTATAGCCAATGGCCATCACAATGCAGTGCAAGCTCTTAATCACATTCCATAAGAAGAGCCCTGTTGGATCAGAGCACAGGTCCACCTAGCCCAGCTTCCTGCTCTCAAAGTGAGTATAGCCAGGTGCTCCAACGGGAAGCTCAAAAGCAGGCCCTGAGTGAAACAAGTCTTCTCACTTGTGATTCCCAGCAGCTGGTATTCAGAGGGATGCTGCCTCTGGCAGTGGAGGTAGAAGATAGTCCTTCCAAGGTGGCTAGTCCCAAGAAACATTGAGAATTAATTCCCTTTCTGCTTTGTGTTTATATCTAGATTGTTAGACTGAAAGGCAGGAGTGGACCATGCATTTTATGCATTTACAGTGGCTAGCGTGGCTTAGGTGCATCTATAAATAAGCCATGACGACGACGAGAAAAGCCACCCAAGGGTGGGGGGAGTAGAGCAACTTGAGAGGTCTGTAAAGTGACTCCCTTTTCACTCAGTTCGCAGAGAGGTTTCCCATAACACTAGAATTTGGAAGTGTCCAATGAATCCAGTTGGAAGCAGGTTCAGGACAGATGACAAAGAAGCACTCAATACACAACTTTTGGTAGCCCCTCCAAATTACAGCTTAAGAAGTGCTGCCAGTGGCCCACGGTGCCAGATACCTGCCTGGCAGACAGAGATTACCTGTGCCCAGCAAGGCCTTTCAAGGTTGGGACTAACACCTGCATTAGGAAGTGCATGACTATAGTCGTAAGAAAGCTCCTAGGAATAATGTATTTCAGAACATTCAGCTGCAGACAAACTACGATCATATGGCACAATCACATTAAGGATAGCCACACACAAGGTTGTTTTGCCCAGGGCCAATGTGCCAGCAGAAGGGTCCAGTGGGGAGAGGGGGAAAGAGCAAGTCCCACGCCAGCCTGCTTGTACACCAGGCAAAATCCTTTTTAGAAACCTTCCTTCCTGACTGCCATCTGAGATGAAGTGGGTGAAATTGGAGATGACCTCAGTTCTGGCATCCCAGTTGTGGGGTCCTTTCCCCAGGGGAAAGCCTTCTGTGGCAGGCGAGAGACACCCTTTTCATGAGAAGGGCCAAATACCCTTTCAGAGACCACAGTAAGAGGAGAAGTGGGCACAGCAACAAACGTAAATTTCACAGGCGGCTAGTTTCTACAACACACGCTTTGTATCCTCCTTTCACACAAACAGGAGTCATGAGCAGAGTTAAAGGACACATTCCAGCGAGGCAAAAATCAAAACAAAACCCTGGGTGTGAAATGGGACCAGTGAGGGATCTGGCAATTCTAAGGACCACCTTCAGCCCCTGGCCTGAGGTTTGCCACTCCCTTTTTATGACACCAACAGCCTTTCTATCTCCTAAGGCTATGATGTTGTGCTGTTTTTAACTTTTAACTCCTCTAGTGTTTTTACACTGCTGGAAACTTCTTATTTTACCCAGTATAACAGTTCCAGACAGGGGCGCCGACTTGCCCCCCACATTGAGGGGGCTGCTGTCATGTGACACTTCATGTGATACTGCCTGGTGTCTGCGCGGAGGGCCAAAAAATATTGGTGAAGCTGAAATGCCCTCCACCCCCTATACCCGGTGCTGCTGGTTCCAGATTTTATTTTATTTTACAGTGGTACCTCGGTTTACAAACAGTCCTGTTTATGAACTATTCGGTTTATGAACTCCGCAAAACCGGAAGTAGTGTTCCGGTTTGTGAACTTTGCCTCGGTCTACAAATGGAAGCTGAACGGTGGAAGGGCACCGGCGGCGGGAGGCCTCATTAGGGAAAGCGCACCTCGGTTTAAGAATGGATTTGGTTTAAGAACAGACTTCAGGAACGGATTAAGTTCATAAACTGAGGTACAGTCATACCTCGGATTACGAACGCTGCGGGTTGTGGACTGCGCCGAATCCGGAAGGACCGGAAGGGGGTTACTTCCAGATTTCGGAACTCACGTATGCACAGAAGCGCAAAATGACGTCACACGCATGTGCAGAAGCGAGTCACACGTGTGCACAGATGCGGCGCTTCAGGCTGCGAACGCTGCGGGTTGCAAATGTGCCTCCTGCAGGGATCACGTTCCCAACCCGAGGTATGACTGTACCACTTATTGGTAAGCTGTCCTGAAAATACATACATTGAAGGGAAAGGCTGGAAGTAAGTAACCGTAAATCATTAATTTTAAAATAATTCTTTGGTGAGCTGCCATACAAATCCAAACACTAAAGAAATGCACACACTTTATTAGTGCAATAGGTTGGCTGGGGTGGGAGGGGAGGAATCTTTGTAAGTTACTTTCAAGCTTACCCGGTCCGGCAATGGCCACTTTGAGGGAGTCCTCGTTCTTCCTGCGCAGCTCAGCTACCTCTTGCTGCAGCTGCTGCATTTTCTCTACCTCCAGGTCCTCAGTGGACTTGCCCTTGGATGAAATCCGTTTCCTGGAAAATAAAAAGACACGGATGCCTTTCAGAAAAGGGAGCAGTGAACAAGGCTGCAGCTGCCTGAAGGTCCTCAGCCTCAGTCCTACTGCTTCTGACCCCTGCACAGCTTTGAAAGTTCCTTTAAATCAGAGGTGGGGAATCTGTGACCCTCCAGAGGTTGTTGGGATTCCAATTCCCATCAGCTGCAGCTGGTCTGGCCGATGGTCAGGAGTGAAGGGAGCCACAGCCCAGCAATACCTAGAGGGCCACCGATTCTCCCACACTGGCTTTTAAATTAACAGGAATAGGCAAGATTCCAAGGGAATCACATTCTGTGCCCATCACAACACCCGATGCTTGGGCAAAATCACAACACAGATCAGAGCACTGTGGAATGCTATCCCAAGGGAGCTTCGACTGGCACCTTCATTATACACCTTTAGATGCCAGGCAAAAATAATGTTCCCCTTCAACCAGGCTTTGAACTGATTAACATCTTATACCTTTTAAATGTGTATTTTTATGATGTGAACCACCCAGATATCTATAGATGAAGGATGGTATACACATTTAATAAAGAAATAAAGTCCAAACATGAAGCCAACATTTTTGTACAGCTTTCCTTGCATCAATGAGGCCTGTGCAGGGCAAGTTCCTGGTGGATTTGGGCTCAGTTCAGACATCTCTTAAACACCCCAAGTTTGGGGTTGTATCCAATGAAGTCATCTGGTTACCACACCAGTTTCCACCTGTGCAACAGGACTTCCTCTCCTTGTGCCTGCCAAATCTGTTCCAGAAAGTTGGGTGAACCCATGGAACAGATGGGGGGGCGGGCACAGGGAGAGGTTGTCCCATCGTACTGGAGGAAATTATTGCGGACAACTTTGTTGGATAAAACTTTCTTGGCACTTGAAGAGGGCTTGAAATAAGATGGCACCGTGACCACCAGCCAATTCAAACACCACAGCAAGCCACTCCTTTGTGCCTCTCCCCTTGCTCAACCCACCAGACCTACACTTACTGTTTCTTTACAGGTGGTGGCAGCTGTTCATTGGTGGCCAAGGCGGCACATCTCTTGGCATGCATTTTGGCAGCGCACTTTCGCTGAGCGCTCTTCTGCCGTTCCAAGAGCTGTTTTGACACCCTGCAGGGGAGGAAAAGGGAAAAGCCAGACGACTGTAAAGGAACGGGGTGGAATGAGATGAAGAGACACAGCCTCAAAGTTTACAAGTTTCAGCTACTGCAATAATATGGAGCCATTCCAAAACAAGAGGGAAAAAGAGGGGATTAGTAGGGCATTCAAAATAGGACTCTTGCATATTTTACATGGGATGAGCATCATGTGCTCTTGCACCTAGCACATAGTCTGCTTGGGGTACGGAGGCTGCAGCTGGAGGCACCAGAAGCAGTTATCCAGGAAATAGCTCCAGGTACTCCAATTTCCCCATGTTTGCAACATGCAATATTTTATCCATTTGGCTTTGGGCAAGTATTGTTTTATGCAGCGTTTTGAACATAGTGGCTGATAAGAGACTCATTTATGTAGAGCATCTGCTGAGAAATTGAAGCATCTTTCCACAAGAAGGCATCTAATCTGTCTTCCCTCCTCAACCACTGATCCAGATCCCCCCTCCCATGATGACTTTTGACAGTTATTGGGAGAAAATCTGGCTGGCGTCCCTCCTCAAGCTTTTAGTACTAGATCCTGGAAAGATGCACACCCACAAAAACACATTTGCTCATTTATGTTGAGACTATTTGTCATGTTCTCAAGGACAACCTGATTTCAGAATTGGATCACAACATACCATATTTTTCGCTCTGTAAGACGTACTTCCCCCCTCCTAAAAAGTAAGGGGAAATGTGTGTGCATCTTATGGAGTGAATGCAGGCGGGAGGCTCTGCTCAGCGCTCCCTTTAAGGAGCCGCATGGAGTGTGCGTGCAGCTCTTGGGGGCTTTTCCTGAGGAGGGAGAAGGGCTGCCCTGCAATCCTGCTGGCTGTCCTGGCTTCTGGCTTAGCCACACGCAGCCTCTCCTGGGCAAGGGGAGCCTTCATCCCCTGCCCAGGAGAGGCTGGGCGGCTATCCCATAAGCCAGGACAGCCAGCGGGATTGCAGCGCAGCGATCCCGCTTGCTGTCCTGGCTTATGGGATTCAGATTTTTTCTCTCCTTGTTTTCCTCTTCCAAAAACTAGGTGCGTCTTATGGTCTGGTGCGTCTTATAGATCGAAAAATACGGTAATAGCCATGTTGGAGATTCTTGGCAGCCATGAGGACTAGAAACTTATTATTTTATGAATTAATTATACTGGCCTCTCTGAGAAGAAGCCCACTGAAGGGGCACTGTGGCAGGAAGGGTTGTGCATCAGCTTTATTCCCACATTCAGATCACTTTGCAGCTTCCCAGAACTGCAGACCCGGAAGTTAGCTTAAGAGCAACGAAAGGAGAAGGAGAGTCCTAGGCCAGCTGGGAAAGCTCAGCAGGCCATTTCTTGAGAAAACAGAGAGAAGCACTTGTGGGAGGATCAAGATGTTAGGCAACCATGGTCTACGTCAAAGCTTACAAGCTGTGTCAACACCAAGTCCCAGGGGAAAGGTGACCCACTTGGAGATTAGAATGCTTACCTTCCTGGGGCCCTTGCAGGGGCAGCTACCGTCTCATTTGATGTACTGCGCCACTGTGCCATGGATCCAACTACATTTGGTGGCACCCCGTTAGCCAGTCCCATCTCATTTTCATTGTGATTCTCAGCTAAGGCAAATAAGAAACACGAGCTATATATATTCCTCAAAATTTATATGCCCCTTCTTCCTCTCCAAGGGCTCAAAGCCAGCTAATAGCTTATACAACATTCACAAAAAGACCCCAATAGCTATCCATAAAAACCTTACAGTGCTCCCTCCGACACCCCCCAGGAAAAGCCTGCTACAGGATAGGATACTACCAACAGATGCACAGAGGCTTGAGCCTGTCATCGGCAAGTGAGGTTGTGAAGGAAGGAGCTTTAAAAACTTCACAGCTTTGAACTATCAGCACAGAAGAAAAACAAATGAGCAGGAAATAGATCTTTTGCTAGCTTCAGCAGTAAACAGCTTGCTTGTGTATTTGAGGTTGTAGTTCATCTTTCCACTCTATATTTGGGACCCTGCGTTATCCTTCCACAGCTCCACAGCTTGATGCATCCAGCATGGCCAATAAAGCACCCTCAGAGGGATACGTAAACCTTAGCTTAGCCCCACTGAGACCTGAATTAGGACTTGTGCTTTTTAATTTACTTAGAAGTTATCCCGAGTCAGTGGCAAGTTAAGGCGGTAGCCTTGTTTGTAGCTAGTATCAAATTATTCGGAATGGTGAAAAGCCGAGTGGACTGCAATGAATTCTGCTGGTTGACTGACAGAACCCAAAGAGTACTCACTAATGGTTCCTCAACATCCTGGAAAAAAGTGACACATTGGGTACTGCACTCACAGGATTCTGTCCTGAGCCTGGCACTGTTCAACATCTTTATAAAGGACTTGGATGGAGGAATTGAGGGGACGCTCATCAAATCTGCAGATGACACCAAACTGGGAAGGGTAGCTAATGCTGCAGAAAATAAGAGTCCAGATTCAAGGCAGCCTTAACAGATTGGAGAACAGGGCCAAAACCAACAAAAGGAATTTCAATAGGGACAAGTGTAAGGTTCAACCCTTAGGCAGGAATAATCAGATGAACATTTGTGTGTCAAGCATTCAGGTCTTGACACTGCCAGAGAAAGCCAAGCCTCACATGAGCAAGTTCACAGGCCATCACTGGACTAGGTCCATATACCCTTCTATTACCATTGTAAGTTTACAAGAACTTGCTGTCCTGAGCTGAACAACTTACTGGATTTCACCATTGGAGAGACAATGGCACGTGGAATGTTAGCCCTTGATGCTGAGGATTTCTGCAGGATGCCGGCTGGCATGTCTGAACTTGGAGTTCTCAGATGACTGGCTGGCATATCTGAACTTGGAGTGCTCAGAAGACCAGCTCTGAGATCTGGAAGAACCAACAATCACCTGGTTAAATTCAATGTTCCTCCCAGTGCTGCTTGGTAGGCTAACTGCCATCTCCACTGCCAGCTGTGGCCCTTATGGCCCTTCCTCTCCCAGTCCGAGGGCCAGGCAAACACAGAGAAGACCTCAGGTCCCCTGCTCCTTTCCCACATTTGAGAGAGAAAAAGTGCCAGCTAGACTCAAGAGCAGTCGAGTATGCTAGTCCAGCTTTTGACAAGAGGATAGATTAATCTTCTCCCACCTTGACTCAAAATTCTCAAAGCTCAAAATCATCAGATGTAGTGTGGTAGAAGCTTGAGGCTACTGCTTCCCGCCCCCTTTCCTAAAGTTGGCTGAAAACATATCGCAGCACAACAAAAAACTTGGACGCTGCAGATCCCGTGTGCATTGTTAGAACATATTGCAGGTTCACAGCATTTGGGAAGTGAGTGTTCAAGGAAGCAACTGCAGATCTCTCAAGAGGTTTTTGGTACGTCACATCCTTCCACTACAGAGAGGAAGATGTGTGGAATCACAAAAGCCACATTCGAGACAGAAGATCACAACTGGATCTCTCTACATGTTTTTGTAAACATAAAACAAGTGAAGAGAAGTCGTTTACTCTCCAAAGGGTCCCTGCAGGGCTAATTATAGCTTCTGAGGCAGGACAAACTTAGGCTGGGGAAAAACAGTTGAACACCCACCCACCTTGGCACCGCTCTGAAAGCATTTGTAGATTCCTGTTTTTTGGAAAAAGCTCTTGCTCTTGCTCACATACAGATTAATAAAGATCAGATGATGATCTCCCAGATCACATGCGGTCCTGAGAATCTCTTAGAGACACATTTCTAGTCTTCTCTTTATTCACATGAAAACTCCATCATCCTTAATACTGGTCTGCATCCTAGCACTTCCATCAAAAACATGAGGGCATGACAGTGTGGAAAGGTTTCCAAGATGAACTCAAGCAAGTCCCTGATTATGTCTATCTGTCCAGAAATCAGTGTGCCAATACTGGTAACTCTGTTTGGCTGACAGCACTGGCAATAATCTCTGTTCTCCAAAGCTTTGTATTTCATCACCTTAAAAGAATTCAGGAGGGCCAGGCAATTCGTTTTATTCTGATCTGCTTCCAACCAAGCAGAAGGACAAGTGTGGTGCATTTAAGGGCTCTTGGAATATTAAGCCATCCCAACTTGGGGTAGCCTACAGCATATTATATGTTGGCCTTTCCTCTCTCTTATGTTGCTTCTCTCAGCTCATATAGCCCCTAGCTGGCCCCCCTTCTCTTTCAGACAACCCTATGCATCTTTAACCATTGCCAAGTCCAACAAGGGTCTCCTCAGCAGTTGTGGGTTGCTTTGCCCAACACCTGCACGTGGAAGAAAGTTGTTGACAATATAGGCAGCCCTCTTCCATGCTCCTTTTGATACAACGGTGGCAGAGAGAGTAGAGGGTTGGTTTTCTAGTGCTGTTTCATCACTCCCTGTACAATGAGTATAAGATGTCTGCAGCCCTCCAGATGTTGTTGGACTACAGATCCCGCCATCCTTGACCTCTGGGCCATGCAGTCTGTGGATGATGGGGGTTGGAGTCTTACAGCATCCTATACTGGCTGTACACCACAGTTTATGCTAACAAACACCTCCTCAAGCCTGTGAAATCCCCTAGCCAAAAAAGTGACAACCCCCTGCTCACCAGGACCAGTTTTTCATCCCAACTTGGCAGAATATGCAGATACTCACCAAACCAGGCATCAATGCCAGTTGTTTCACCATCTTTAATGTTCTTAAAGTCAATGTATTCATTGGGGACATCAAAGGAATACCGTTCCTCAGACATTTTGCTGGAGCAAAGCCTTTTTCCAGCAATCTTGGAGCAAACCCCTGAGAATCAAGAAATATACAGCACTATTAGCATGGCAAGTAACTTACAAATGCTATCTTTTTCAGCCTCTCAAAGCTATGGATGGTCAGTCTATTTCTGCTTTTATAGATTGAAAGCTACAGTCACAAGCCACCCATGTTTAAATCTAACCAATGACCCAAGGTTGAACTGGGACTGCAACCTTGCAACCATCCCAGGTCTAGGTACAATGACTATCAGCTAGAGGACACTACAACCCAAAGCAATGCAAGATAGAAGACCAAGAAAGAAGGTTAAGCCTCAAAGTACTTCAACATTGCGCAACAAGGAATTCATCACTTTAGAGAAGAAACACAGGTGCTCACCCTGACCTTCAGCCAGCATTTAAAATTCACCAGGCACATTTTGGCACCACGCTATTGGCCACTTAAGACCAAGTGAAGATGCCCAGGTGCCAAGATGGCACCTGACATCTCTACCATCTGGTGGTGAATGCTTGGGGATCCTGTAGAATTCTATCCATGATATTTTATCTGCACAATCAGAACAAACTTCAGGAACCCAAGTGTTGTATTGAAAAATATGACTTTCAAGCCATCTGCCCCCAAAATGGCAACTACTGACATTCTATTTTGGCGCCTGTAACCCTGGTTTAAGGAGCCATCTGTGCCTTCAGCAAGCCACTTTCCGCAAAACCTGTTTCTACAGACTTAAAAGAATCAGCCTGGCCTCACAATTGACCCCAGCATGGTTGCTTCTGGCCTCACACCCAACTTTGCAGCATTTTGAGGGCCTTCCCAAAGCTTAATTGATTGCAATTAATAAGATCACCCAGAGAATGATCCTGCAGGAAGAGACCCAGCCTGAGTTAGAAGGAGCAAAGGGGATTATAGGTGTCAGCGGAGACAGAATCAAGGAGCCAAGAAAAGGACAGGATTTTCTAGCCTAGGAACTTGAGATGTTTTTCAGACCACACCTGGTGCAAAGCAAGCCAAGAAAGGGGCCCTGAAACTCAAGTTACTCAGATTGCTCCATAGTTCTGGCCTTGCTGCAGATAGGCTGATTTAATGGGTTAATGTTGCGCTTGTGCAGAGCACCCTTTCTACAACTACAAGGGCAACTTCCATGTTAAGGGGCAGGGCTTCCTAGAATCATAAACCTGGCGCATATTTTTATGCAGCATCCGAGGTTTGAGAACATGCATTAACATATCCAGTACATCCATCCGTGCCATGTTGCCCCACCTTATTAGCAACCTTCCACAAAAGCAACTGGCTTTTGCTAAGCCAAACGGCTTCAAGTTTATCCAAAGGAAGACTTTGCATGCATGGCCTCTTCAGTCAGCTGAGGCCTAGGGCAGGATTACTGCTGGTTTATGTGCTTTTAGAAAAGCTGGCTACACTCACATGCGGGAAGGGTGCCCAGATATAAATTACAGCACCATTAGCAGGTGCCACCCTAATTTATAACCCTTGGCCTTCCCTTGCCAAGGCATGGAAAGCTGCCACATTGAAATGTAGACAAGAGGTCTCCAAGCATGGACCAGCTGAGAGGCAGGGCAGAAAGGGTCCTGCAACAAGACTAAGGTGGTCTCCAAGATTAGGGAAAAGTTGGTACAATAGATCAAAATGCCCCAGAGGAGGAATGGATGGAGGGAAGAAAGTGACAGCCCCAAAGGGGAGTTGAGAGAGCTCCAAAGCCTGGCTGGAATTAGATCCCTTCTTAGCCCCCTTAATCAGGATCAAGTTTCTGTCAACACTAACAACTTAAAAAAAATATTGAAGTGCGTCATTGACGTTCTTTTCGCCCACACGACCCAACAAGTTGAGCTGCCAAGCAGGAGGAGCAGGAATCACATTTCAGAAATGGTTGGCTCCAAAGCTAGCCCACTGCTCCCTCAGCCCCTCATTCTGCAAGAGAGTGACAACGGCCATTTCATTAGCAGGAGCTGGGGAAGCAGCTGGAGCCAGAGAAACACATTCACAGGGGAGCTGTGGTGTGCTTGAGGCCCTTGTAGGGAATCCCCCTCTGGAAGGGTCTGATTTCCAGGGCATTTCCAGAGCAGGAGGGAAAGGTAGGTCGACCATGCGAGGCAGCGTTAAGCAATGGTCTGGCCACTGGAGGAAGCCATAAGCTCAACCTCCTCAGATATCAGCTGTGGGCTGCAATTTGGGTTGTACTACAGCCACCAATTTGGACCACACTATTGAGAAGTGAGCCTTTTACCTTTCAGCTTTGCACAGTGGCTAAGGCAAAGCGGATTATTATAATCTGCAGGACAAAAAAATTCCAATACACAATTTCCCCAAAAGCGCATACTGCTGTTTTCAGCTCAAGCCATCCATCCAAACTGGAAGCAATGGTACATTCTCATCTCTATTAAGATCTGCTGCCAGAAGATTGTCAAAGATTGCATTGAGTAGAAATACCTCCACCCTCATTTAAGGAAACAAGGAAAAATACAGATCTTGCAGGGAACATGTGTGCCTTGTTTTCTTTAACAGTCCATAACCTTCCAAATAGATCTGCGAGCATTGGACATCAATACACAAGCATTCTTATCAAAAAGCTGATGGACCTGGACCTTTCCCCTACCATCTGCGATTGGATTAAAGACTTTCTGAGGGATCACACACAATTCGTGAGGATTGGGCCTGTTACATCTACCTCTTGAAGCTCAGCACTGGCACCCCACAGGGATGCGTACTGAATCCCTACCTGTACTCATTGCATACATATGACTGCATTTCATCTGATCCATCCACTGCAATTATTAAGTTTGCAGATGATACCACCATAATGGGTCTAAATACAGGTGGAGATGAATCAGCATATAGGGAGGAGGTTCAAAAAGTCTTCACATGGTGCCTAGAGAACAACTTGAACCTAAATATCAGCAAGACAAAGGAGATGGTGTTGGACTTTCGGAGGAAGAGAGAGGAACTAGCCCCGTTGTATATCAGGTGTGTGCGTGTGGAGAGTCTCTTCCTTTAAATTCCTGGGAGTTTACCTTAGTGAAGACCTCACTTGGAAAATCAATACAACCCAGGTGGTTTAGGAAGGCCCAACAGAGACTCCATTTCCTCAGGGTCTTGCGAAAGAACAATGTCAAACAAAAATTGATGATCTGCTTCTACCGGGCCACAATAGAAAGTGTCCTTTAATACTGTATAACAGTGTGGTACGCTGGTCTGACAGTCATGGACAGGAAGTCCCTACAGAGGGTGGCGAATACAGCATATGACATCATGGGCTGTCCTCAGAGTTCGCTAGATGACATCGCGGGAGACCGCTGCCTCAGAAGAGCGAGGTAAATTCTTAGGGACTACTCACACCCTGGCCAGCACTTCTTTAATCTCCTACCTTCGGACAGGAGATACAGAAGTATAGTCAGCCGCACCAACAGGTTAAATAACAGTTTTTATCCGTAGGCTGCTGAATGGAAAAAAAATAGTGGTGTAATTGACTTCTGACAAGCACACAGAGCGCAAACTAGACTGAGTGTATGGGGGGGGGGGCTCGTTTAATTTCATTGCACACAGGTGGTGTAGCGACAATAAAGGTTTATTATTTATTTATTATTGTAATAAGAGGCCTCTGAGAACCAACCCTTCCTATTTTAGAAGAAGCCTCACTGGAACACAGGAAGCTGTCTTATTCCATGTTACACCATTGGTCCACTGACTGCCATCAACTCTCCAGGGCTTCAGGCTGAGGAATTTCCAAGCCCCACCTAGGAATATCTGAGATTAATCTGGGGGCTTCTGCATGGAAAGCATGTGCACAGGTTAGAAAGCAAGTAGCCATTTAGATGCCTGAACAGCAACAAAACCGAGGAGCAGCTCTACTGGACTAAATGTTTCTAGAAATCACACAAGTAGGGCACTAAACCAACTGCTCCCACCCGATTATCCTCTCCTAAGTACACAGGATTCAGATGCTTTTGCACATCTGCTGTTCATTGCATTAGGGCTTGTGAGGAAGAACATTCTGGGAGATGGTGCCTCCCACAGCCAATTTACCAGATAAGCCTGCCTCTCTGCCACCTCACACCTTTACTTGGTTGGTACAGGGGTACTCAATAGGCTTTACTAGTGAAGTTCAGCAAGGCTATGGATTGCAGGCTTTTTTTAGCACTTATCTCAACTCTTTCATCACAGGGCAGGGCTGTGTCACTTTCTGCACCTCTGCAGAAAAGGTCACCCAGCAGCATGGAGGGCATAGCATGCCTTTTTCCAGCTAGGAACCACAACAGCCACACTTAATCACATCCAACCTTGGGCATAATTTATCCTTCACTGATACTGCACAGCTTCGGCCTTTTCATCAGAGGAGTAAGAATAATCCCTGCTAGACAAGTAGAGGCTGTGAAGCCACAGAGAAATATGAATTACACCCAAGGTTAGAAGCCATTACGTTCTGCCCACTCCTCCACTGCCACCACCCAATCATGCAGATCTTTTTGCTTTCAAGCCCAGGCACTTCCAAGAAACTACTGTGCAAGACCAGGCTGGAGGACATGAGCAACTCATGCTACAAACAGAACAAGCTGGCACAGGTGCTGCGCTGACCACTTGCCCCATTGACCATATCCCCAGCTAACTTGCAGGCCTCTTGTGCCCAAGGGCCCACATTCCTTCACTGCAGAAACACTTACAGATGTTCAAGGCTTCCATTACACTAAGGAAATCCCAGGACAAATCAAGGTTTCAGGCAGAGCAGCGGAAGTATTTTAGGGTCTCAGCATCATCAAAGGATGACTGCCTGGTAAGTCCCACCCCAAACTTACTCATGTAAGTAAGGTTGCTCATGCCATAGGTACCTATTTCCTTACAGCACAGTCCTCATGTTAGAAAGCTAATTCCCAGGTACCCAGGAGGGGCGGGTAATGTCTTTACTAGTAAGTATGCCATTTGTAAATGCATTTTTGTTTTTATGCTTTCAACTCCACACATGCAAGACACACAGAAATTCTGTTCAGCACTTAGTAGAATGACAATTTGGGGGCAGGGGGAGGAGAAACAAAAGGTTTTTGGAGTTTAACTTCTATGCACTGCCCATTTAAACTGGACCTTATATGTCAAACACACAAAATGCATTAGGAATCTCAGCACATGGAATGGTAATGTTTGTTATATTAATAGGGCACAGGTTCTGCTGTTTCTATTCAGGTCACTTCAAATCTGCCCATAAATGGAAACTGCAATGCTGAGCCCTTTTTCTCCCACCCCACCCCCCAATATCTGCCTTCAGCTAGCAAAAAATAAGTTGAAAATAGAAGCCAATGACCCCATGATAACAAAGAAAGGTGACTGTATTATTTGGGATCAGGAACAATATGAAAAATCAACATTCTAATGTGGAAGCAGGAAACGTGTCAAGCAGCAGCTCAAAGTGAACAACCCAATTTTATTATTCTATGATGCAATTAGCATCTTCTCTCAGAATGAGCCCATTTCTAATGTTTCTATGTTGTAAAGAAAAAAACTTGTTATTCTCTTCCCCCACAAGTATTTTTCCCCAACTATCCTTCACCATTTCTGGTGGAATTTACGGATGCAGACCATGTACCCTGCTGGTACCAGTGTCAGAGCTGTTCCAACTGTTTCTGGGTGCTCTGCAAGGTCACAACCTGACTCAGCTCCTGGTACAGAGCTCTGGGGCCTAACAAACATGTGGGAGGCCCTGCACTTTAAGGCCAAGATGCAAACCGTAATGTGCCAGCCAGGAAGTCTTGGTGGATCTGCAATGTTATCCCCATGCTAATTCTGCTTATCCATCATGCTTGATGTTGCAACAGACTCATTTGTGGAACAGGGAGAGTCAAGTGAGAGAGATAAAAGCTGTGCCAGTATTTCCCAGACTTCTTATGCCCCTCCACCCCAGCTAGAGATCCGTGTCTCCCTTCCCAGCAACCCAAAAATAAATGCCCCTGACATCGTATGCCCTGTAATTCAGGCCCCACAAGCTCTAGGCAACATCAAGATGGGACAAGTTAAAAATAGGTGTTAAAGGGACAGCAGGGGATTTGGGGCTGATGTGTTAGACTTGGTGCAAAGGGGAACCAGAAAGCCTCTTAAGACACCCAAAATCTCCTGCTTAATGCCAGGCCAGCTTTCGCCTAGGTGCCCTAAGTTTAGATTTGTCATAGTGCCTGAGAAAGGAAGGCATGGGGCGGGGGGAATCGCTAGAACAATGAAATCCCCCCTAACCAACACCCTGCAGCTGAAAATTGGGCTGGTTATTTTGAGACCTAACATTCCTTCCAGTTGTGTGCTCTTATTTTCTTCCCATTATGTGAAATGGCTAGAACCAAGTTTTTAATTGGATGCATATTATTTAGTGATCAAAAAGCTCTCCATTTTTAACTTGTTCTCCACTCTAAAAGCTAACAGTTAGGGCAGGCTATAATACCTAAATTATGTCACCACAACACAAAACCAGGAGAGTGTAACACAGAGCAAGTAGACAGGCCTTACTCTGCAACAGAGCAAAAAAGTACACTGGAAAGAGGAAGAATTGTAAGTATTCTAAAACCTCCTGGCAATCGGCCTTGAATGTTCTGTTAATATGCATCATGCACCAGAGCAGTGGTGGCATTCCAAAAATTTGTATCTACTCACTGCTTTGGCGCTGTTGTACAGGGAACTTAATGATTAATCATCCATTTATCTGCCTGGTGTTTCTCTCAAACAGAAAGCAACTAAACCATCACTGTCTCTATCAGAACCATTGGAAATAAAGAACTTGCAGAATACCTCACCTCATCTAAAGCAAACTTGCCTTCTGAATGCAAGAACAGCTCTGCTAGCAGATGAAAGGGTCATCTATCTAGTGTCAAAATCACTAGTATCCGTTTCAGTCAACCAGATTCCTCTAAGAAGCCCAGAACGCCACTTGTCTCAACACTTGGCTTTGCAGCCATCACTTTTTCCCATCCTGCTGGGTGAGTGGGTTAAAAGAGAGAGGAACCCATATAAACCTGTCTAGATGTTATGATCTGGAGGGGAGGTCCTGCTGGAAGCTTTGCTGCCTTATGAAGCTCTATGAGCAGGAGTGTGTGAGGGGGCCTTCTTTGTGTTGGCCCCTATGTATGGGTCATACATGACAACACCAGATCAAGACATAAAGATGAGATCAGAATATGCATCCTGTTTAACAGCTACTTATACTGAGCTGTATGTAAATAATACTTGGACCACATGATGAAGGATGGGTGGAACATAGTGTTGTATCCCACCCCCAATCTGCAAGCGGTGTGAGATCGCAAGGGTTCTTGGCACTAACTCAAGGTTTGTGTTTCTTTTTGGAACGAGATACAGGTGAATATTTTAGGTGCATTCAATTGACATGCAATCGCAGACATCCAGGTCCTTTTAAACCTGGAAGAGGGCATAAGAGGGGGGCATAACAGGGCATGCTTATGTGGGGGCTGATGCATGTGGGGGCTGGGAACAGAGTTTTCACGAGAAATGGTCGCTGCCTGTACAGCAGAGATGGTGCTGCCTTTATGGTACATGGTTTATTTACACATATATACAACCCGAGCCTAAAAGGAAATCAGGCCTGTCTGTCCGTCTCTCTCTCCGACTTTCCAGCCTTAAGCTTTTGCATCCAGCATGTAACTCACGTCACTCAACTCTGGCCTCTTGTTTACCACCCCTTCCTCTCTTCCACCCCCTTATACTGTATACAATGGTGGTTGCCATACAGTGGTACCTTGCAAGACGAATGCCTCGCAAGACAAAAAACTCGCTAGACGAAAGGGTTTTTTGTTTTTTGAGCTGCTTCGCAAGACGATTTTCCCTATGGGCTTGCTTCGCAAGACGGAAACGTCTTGCAAGTTTGTTTCCTTTTTCTTAACACCGTTAATACAGTTGTGACTTGACTTCGAGGAGCAACTCATAGAACGCGGTGTGGTAGCCTTTTTTGAGGTTTTTAAAGACTTTGGTGATTTTTGAAGCTTTTCCAAAACTTTCCCGACACCGTGCTTCGCAAGACGAAAAAAAATCGCAAGACGACAAAACTCGCGGAACGAATTAATTTCGTCTTGCGAGGCACCACTGTACATCCAGAATTTCACAGACATACACAGAATACTACAGTTGGAAGCTGCGTCTGGGCGGGAAACGGCAAAACATCTGGGGAAATCGTGACATATGGCAATCTGCATTGGCAGTGTCACTTTTGCCTCTTTCCCTCAAAAATAGCTCAAAAACCGTTTTGTTGTTGTTTTTTGCGATTTTGCCAAAAAAGATGAGCAACTTTGTATATATTTTAAAAAGCTGAACTTTTGCGTCTGGATTTTCAGTTTTTGAAATATGGCAGCCTTACATAATGTCTCTCATCAAATACAACGGATCTGTAGAATAGGCTCTACAACCTGAAAAAGGAGAGAATGCCCATATTTTTGTAACCTAAAAGAAACTATTTAATAAAAATTATTTAAAAACAAAACAAAACAAAACAACCCACCCTTTGGCCTCTTGTCTTTTTAATGTATTTTTAATCTTTTTAAATCTTTTGTTGGAAGACCCCAGAGTGGTTGGGGAAACCCAGCCAGATGGGTGGGGTAGGCATGTATATATGTATAAATAAATAAATAAATAAATAAATAAATAAAAATAATAATAATATTGTCTTTGGCGGTTGAGGGAGGGAGGAGGCCCTGAGCCATTCCCCAGGCTATAGGGCCCATTTCCACCCCCAGAATCCCCACAATAGGAAGCTGCCCAAGGGAGACTCAGACTCGCGAGCTCGAACGGGCCTCCCCCGACTGGAAGCGGCTCTCCGGGGCTTCGGACGTGGCGCCCTCTTCCACCGGGAAGCCCAGCGGGGGGAGACGGCAGGTAAGCGACCCGCCGAGGCCAGTTCTTCCTAGGGCCGCCCGGCTGCTTCGAGGGCCTCGACCCGCCCTTGGGCCCTTAGGCAGGGGGAAGGGCGGGAAACAAAGGCGGGGGGGGGGGAACCAAACCGACAGACCCAGGAAACTAACGGAGGGGTTGGGGTTGGGCTTCTCCTCAGGACCCTGAAATTCGGACCCCGCACCTTCAGAACCCGCGGAACTACCTGCGGTTTTTACCTCAGGTGAGCGGGATGCCCACCCACCCCCGTCGCGGACCGCAGGGAAAGCAGTCGCTCTCCCGAATCTTTTTTCTCCTCTCGCCACTCCCGGTTCTCGCCTCCCGTACCTCGGAGCCGCCGGGGCCTCGTCTCGCCGTCGCCTCAGCTCCCTCCGCCGTTGCCGCCGTTTAAATATTTCAAACTTCGGCCTCCCTTCCGAACTGGCCAATCGCCGCCCGTCCCAAGGTCCCCATGGCGCGCTGATTGGGGCAGAGGGTGGAACTGACGGGCGGGAGGGCGGGGAGAAGGGGAAAAAAAACAACGTCCCGGATCGCGTTGGGATGCGGGGGCCCCGCCCCTCTCGAGGGCACGCTCGCCCCATCTTCCTTCGCGGCTCCAGGCCGCGCAGCCTCCTGGGAAACGTAGTCCGAGAAGAGGGGCATGGATTAAAGGCAAGCCGAGGAGGAGCGCGCCGAATGAACTACGAGTCCCAGCAAGGGTAGCGCGCGGGGGGGGGGGGAAGAAATAAAATGAAAACGCGCCTCCGTTAGTTTTAAGTGGTTGGTCCTGAGGGTGAATTAGATGGAGGGGGCTAGTCCTCAAGAATTTCAAAAAGAGGCCTGAAGGATTGGGGTGCCCCCCAGATGTTTTTGACCCCCAGCCAGCCCCAAAAATTGGCAGTTGCAGCCTGTTTCCTTGCAGTAGCCAATCAGGTGCCCAGAAAGAAAGCTTGCTCTTTGGCCCCCAAGCACATGGCAGATGCAGGTAGACTGCCTCTGAACATGCAGGCTCCATTCTTCGTTGTTGTTTAGTCGTGTCCGACTCTTCGTGACTCCCTGGACCAGAGCACGCCAGGCACTCCTGTCTTCCACTGCCTCCCACAGTTTGGTCAAACTCATGCTGGTAGCTTCAAGAACACTGTCCCACCATCTCGTCCTCTGTCGTCCCCTTCTCCTTGTGCCCTCCATCTTTCCCAACATCAGGGTCTTTTCCAGGGAGTCTTCTCTTCTCGTGAGGTGGCCAAAGTCTTGGAGCCTCAGCTTCAGGATCTGTCCTTCCAGTGAGCGCTCAGGGCTGATTTCCTCCAGAATGGAGAGGTTTGATCTTCTTGCAGTCCGTGGGACTCTCAAGAGTCTCCTCCAGCACCAGAATTCAAAAGCATCCATTCTTCGGCGATCAGCCTTCTTTATGGTCCAGCTCTCACTTCCATACATCACTACTGGGAAAACCATAGCTTTAACTACAGTGGTACCTCAGGTTACATACGCTTCAGGTTACAGACTCCGCTAACCCAGAAATAGTGCTTCAGGTTAAGAACTTTGCCTCAGGATGAGAACAGAAATCGTGCTCCGGGGGCGCGGCAGCAGCGGGAGGCCCCATTAGCTAAAGTGGTGCTTCAGGTTAAGAACAGTTTCAGGTTAAGAACAGACCTCCAGAACGAATTAAGTACTTAACCCGAGGTACCACTGTATACGGACTTTTGTCAGCAAGGTGATGTCTCTGCTTTTTAATATCTGTCTAGGTTTGTCATCGCTTTTCTCCCAAGAAGCAGGTGTCTTTTTAATTTATTAACTCTACTAAGAATATAAGAAGAAAGATGAATTAGCTGGTGCTCTCAGGTTAAGTGCCTAGGAGCATTTAAATTGCCTTAAGCTGCTCTCATCTCCCAGTTTTTGCACTCCTCCATAACTTACCCGCTCATCTCCAGCCCACATTCCAGCCCTGTTTCGTAATGGTTGCCAGGAGCAACACGTATTCTCCTGATCCCACTATCTTTTTTCCTGCCCAGATGAACCATCCTATTGCACCTGCTACAGAGATTGAATAAATAATAACAGCACCATCATGGTCCCTCACCAGCCAGGGTTTCTGTATAGTTAAAGCTATGGTTTTCCCAGTAGTGATGTATGGAAGTGAGAGCTGGACCATTAAAAAGGCTGATCGCCGAAGAATTGATGCTTTTGAACTGTGGTGCTGGAGGAGACTATTAAGAGACCCATGGACTGCAAAAAGATCAAACCTCTCCATTCTTAAGGAAATCAGCCTTGAGTGCTCACCGGAAGGACAGACCCTGAAGCTGAGGCTCCAAGACTTTGGCCACCTCAGGAGAAGAGAAGACTCCCTGGAAAAGACCCTGACGCTGGGAAAGATGGAGGGCACAAGGAGAAGGGGACGACAGAGGGCGAGATGGTTGGACAGTGTTATTGAAGCTACCAATATGAATTTGACGAAACTCCGGGAGGCAGTGGAAGACAGGAGTGCCTGGCGTGCTCTGGTCCATGGGGTCATGAAGAGTCTGATATGACTAAATAACAACAACAAGGTGATTCAATGTTACATCTAGCTAAATGTGATGTATCAACATCTTTGGAACATCATCAAAGCACAAATGTCCTGGCGTGTCCACTTAAGACTATTCTGTGGCAACCAACAATTTTATCATATACAGTGGTACCTCGGGTTAAGGACTTAATTTGTTCCGGAGGTCCGTACTTAACCTGAAACTGTTCTTAACCTGAAGCATCACTTTAGCTAATGCGGCCTCCTGCTGCTGCCACGCCGCTGGAGCACGATTTCTGTTCTCATCCTGAAGCAAAGTTCTTAACCTGAAGCACTATTTCTGGGTTAGTAGAGTCTGTAACCTGAAGCGTATGTAACCTGAAGCGAATGTAACCCGAGGTACCACTGTATTGTAACCTTGTATGGAATCCTTCAGGTATAGGATAGGTTATTAGGAAGACATTTGCTGAGCCTATCAGGATTGCTAAGAACATATGAAGCCATAACGTAAGAAGGTAGTTTATAGAATCTATTTTATATAATAGATAAAAGAAGGTAGCCAAACATTTATGTGGTTTCTCGTGTGTTAAAAGTAATAATTAGTGCTTAACTTAACAAGCTCCAAGGATGTGTGGCGTGTGGATGGTTTTTTATTACAGGCATCCCATAGTGGATGAGGCTAAGAGGGACTGTTTTCCAAGGTCAACAAAGGCTAAAGAGGGCTGGACAGCTGGCCAGTAAGACTGAAGTGTGAAGAGATGCAAACAGTCCAGACTTCTTAACGTGATGAAGACATTTTGTTGTACCAAAGAGGCCCAAGGCATGTGTGAAGAATTTGTGCAGTTACAGAGGTGTTCCTCTCATCTTCCTGCATGGGAAAGGCAAGCCCTCACCCCAGCTGACTGTTATCAACAGTTGTATCCAGGCTGCCTGGCTGTGGAACAGAGAAACATGTTTATCTGTGTTTATCAAAGACAGACTTTATTACCTCCATTAGAGAAGGGCAGCCTAGCTGTGCAAACATTGTAGGAAATAAAAATGTGAAACCTCCCATCATTGTGTGGTGTTTGCACTTGATCAAGATAATCTCATTCCACATGGCAGAGGCTAGTTGTTTCTGTTATAGGAATTCTAAGGTCTTATATATATAAAATAAATGTTAATAAATGTACAAGGCAAACACATACATAGGTATATAAACCACGCATCTGAAATAGTACAGGAGAGCAATCCTGAAGCCATTTTGACTCTCCCAAATTGACCTCAAATATTTTCTCTGCAAGGAGGAAGGAAATGGGGAAAGCTTTCCAATTTTCTTTGGACTTTAGGGGCTTACACCTCCCTTTTCAAATACAGTTTGGGAAGTATCTGTTAAGCTAAGCAAACTATCAGTATGCGTAAGAGATCCAGGAACTAAGTATTTACCATTCTCCAAGGAATGGCCAGGCTACCCAGAAAAGGCACTCAGATGAGGCATTATCAGGTATCCTGGCAGACAGGAGAGAAGCAACACACTCAAATTTCTGCTGGGGACCACCTCTTTCTGTGATGTATGTATGATGTTTTGAGGGGTGGTCTTGAGCTACAGGGTTTCAAAAGTCTATATAAGAGCTTGCACACCAATGTTCTGGGTTCCTCTCCTCCCTCCCTCCCTGTTGCAACAGTTCAATAAAGATCAGGCTTATGAGCTGCTTTGCTTCTCAATATTCTCTGGTTGGCCTCTGTTATTTTCTCCTATGGATTGAGAACCTACATAAGGACTCTATACGGGCTCTTAGATACCCCATAAGGGAAAGGGCGCAGTCGTCTTCTTCTTATGACATTTCCAAACAGGTTTCCTTGGCCCAAGCTCAGTTTTGTAAAGCAGGGGCCACTGATTAGATGTGGAGCTTGTGGGAAAGAAACCAGAGATGGTATTTAAGGACGACCACCTTCTAACCAGAGTAACAGCAACAAGAGAGGTGAGTGATGTGGGGCAGAGAGTGCTGGATAAATTCAAGGTGTCAAAAATGAGATAATGTGAGGTCACAGAAGAGGAGATTACAGTAGCCAAGACCAGAAAGGAACAAGACATGAGCACAAAGGAAGAATGGCAGGCGGATTTGATGGAATATGCAGAAATGGCGAAACTGACGGGGAAGATCAGAAACCAAGAAGATCAAGTATATGTTAGAGATTGGAGTAAATTTGTAGTTTACTTTAAAAACCACTGCAAACAGTTAAAATAATTGGTAGCGTTGTAATGACATTTGTGATATGAAATTGGTTATGATAAGGGGATTAATATGACAGCAAAAAATGGGAATTTATTCAAAGATAACTATGAAAAATGCTGGGCTGAAGTGAAAAAAGATTTAGAACACAACTTGAAGTCGCTGCTAATGATTGCTGGCGTAGTGCCGAATGGCCAGTTTGGAGTTTGTTTTGCTCAAACACGTAAACCGTGGATAAAAATGAATTGTTTCAAGAGGTGGTGAGAGATATTTTTAGACTGGTCTGGCAGCGCGCCCGAATGTAAATGGAAAATATCAACAGATTAAGAAAGAGGTGGACGGTTCTGCAGACCTTAAACTTTATTATGAACACAGCCTTGCTGAGCTGAGAATGGCTGCTTTTGAAAGACTGGACATTTTGGATCTAGAAGGTTTTGCCAATGTATTTGGATGGCATGGTTATCTGTGGAGAAGGAGGAGGTCAGCACATAAAGCATTTAAAAATCACATTGCTGGGGAAAGCATTGTTTAATGTTTGGATAAGATACAAGATTTATTGAAAACAACCCAAGGTGGTTGTCAACAATGGCAAGTTTAAAAGCTCAATATGGAGGTCAAATGGTCAAATATTGGGAAATTTTGAACAAGATGGAGATAGACCGAAATTGCAGAGTTTTGAAAAATTAAAAACAGCATAGACTGGCTTCATTATTATCAGATAATGAGGTACAATTCGGGACAAGAAAATTGGCTTCCAGGCAAAAAACCAAAATTAGAAACAGAACTGTTAGAACCCAACCAGACTTGTCAAGATCGGGATAACTTGGTTGCTGAAATGAACACTCAGGATGAAACGTGAAATCTGCATGATTGGGAATGGCACAAGACGTTGACACAACATTATGTTCATGATCAAACAGCAAGGACCACAGGTATGAAATTTACGGCATGTAATGCCATAAGAGAGAATATTATGGAAACGTGATATACAGGTGAGGTTATAACTGAATGTTTGCAAAAACCCATCTGGGTCTGCAATAAGTTTGGAAATGTAAAGAAACTGAAGGTACATTTTTCACCTTGGTGGACGCCCAAAGATTAAGGTCATGGAGATGATATAATGAATTAAAGCATTAAATATACCTTCTGGAAGAAACCAGAGGCCTTTCTCCTGCATAGTCGGCAATTGGTGTTAAAAAGATAGAACTTTTTTGGTGATGCTACAACAGCAGGCAAGAATACTCATCGCAGCACTGGAAGACACAAGAGCTACCTACACTGGAGGAATGGCAGATGAAATTGATGGACTATATGGAATTGGCTGGAGATGACTGGCAGAACTGGGTGACCAGGAGAAGAGTTTGTGTGGAAGAAGACCGGAAGAAATTCATAAAGATTACTTACAGAAACATTGGGTAAAATTAAAGAATGTTAGAAATGATGCTGGATTAAATCATGGCTCTTAGCTGCAGGCTTTAAAGCATATATGACCAAGATTAAGGATTTAGGATTAAAAAAGCAAGAAATGGAAAATTGGCTTTAATAGGTTAAAATTTAATGTTAGTAATATATTAAGATGAAGGGATTGGGATTAAGGAGGGAAAGGAATTATGGACAAATTAATTGGAATACAAAAAGAGGGAGGAAGAGGAGGTCAGGGAAATGGTAATGTGGTGTTAGATGAAAGATGGAATTGTTTTTAACTGTTTTTTCTTTTTTTTCTTTTTTGTATTTTGTATGGTGTATTTTTCTTTTTATTTTCAAATTTCTTTTTTTTATTAAGATGTCTCTTTTCATGTGAAACTTCAATAAATATCATTTTAAAAAAAATTGGTTAGGATAATTAGTGATATATAATAGTTGGATAAAGTAAAAGATGCAGAAAACTTAAAATTTTAATTTAAGAACCCATGGGAGGGAGGGAAGGAAGTCCGAAGTTTCAGCGGACCTAATATTTTAATGGTTGAATTGGTTGGAGATAAAATGTGTAAAAATGTGAAAATTTAATAAAAAATCTGTTTTTTAAAAAAGGAGCAGGACATGAGCCGGGGAGGAAGCGTTGTGCTTGTGTAACACTGAAAAGAGTGTGACTTGTTGCCAGATTGGATCCTGGCAAAAAAAGCAAAGAGAGAAGTCAGGATTAGCATTTTCCCTCTTTTCACAAACTAGTTCACTTGTCATCTCCGAAAACACCTAAAGATACCTGGTAGGTAAAGGGACCCCGACCATTAGGTCCAGTCGTGGCCGACGCTGGGGTTGTGGCACTCATCTCGCTTTATTGGCCAAGTGAGTTGGCGTACAGCTTCTGGGTCATGTGGCCAGAATGACTAAGCCGCTTCTGGCAAACCAGAGCAGCGTACGGAAACGCTGTTTCCCTTCCTGCCAGAGCAGTACCTATTTATCTACTTGCACTTTGACGTGCTTTTGAACTGCTAGGTTGGCAGGAGCAGGGACCGAGCAATGGGAGCTCACCCCGTCGCAGAGATTCGAACCGCCGACCTTCTGATCGGCAAGTCCTAGGCTCTGTGGTTTAACCGACAGTGCCACCCTGTAGCAGAGTGCTTATTCAAATAGCATTGAAATGGGGGGCTTTCAAAATCTTTGAAATTGTGCAGAATATTCCCCCTCCCCCAGAGGCTATATTCTCTACCATCAGAAGCTCTTCTTCATACAGAATCTGGGTGGCCAGTGAGACTTACTTCTGAACGATCCACAGAATCAGAATCCTCAGACCAACAGCTGGACCAAATGTCCTGGAGCTATTCTATCTCAAGGCTGGCACATTTGACAGACCCAGTCCTGGAACCACTCAGGTGAATAAAAGGGCCTTGGATCCAAAGATTCCAAAGCTACCTGTGACCTTCTCTGAAGCAGGCCTTGTGAAAACACAGAAAGTTGAAGATTTACACGCACAGATTTTCTCTCCATCAGTAGAGGGCCTCTCCTGTCTCCAGGTCTGTATATTAGGATTGAACTCCAAATCAGTGGGCTTATGATTTGAGATAGATGGATGCAAACCTATCCAGTTACTTGGGAGTAAGTCCCAAATAATTCAAAGAGTGTGACTGCTGAATAAACTGCAAAGAGACTGGGCTGCATGTTAATATATTCTCCTACAACTGCATCTTCAACATCAGTATTTCTGTTTCTTTTGCTGGTGAGAAAACTTTCTGCTTGTTTTCTTCTATTCTAGCAGAGCTGCCTTAATTGTTTTAAAATTACTGATTACAGCTAGGTGGTAGCTTTTTTTTGTTTTCGCTTTGTTTTGCTTTTTGCAAACAGCTAAATAAGATGGTGTGAGTTTTGAGATTCCCAAGTGGGGAAATCACTGAAGCATTCAAGTCCTGCTTCCCAACTTCTCGTTGGGACATCTGGTTGCCCACTCTGAGACAGGAAAGCTTGGCTAGATAGGCCTTTGGCTCTTACGCTACTACGTAAGATCTTGTTGTTGTTTGGTCGTTTAGTCATGTCCAACTCTTCGTGACCCCCTGGACCAGAGCACGCCAGGCACTCCTGTCTTCCACTGCCTCCCGCAGTTTGGTCAAACTCACGCTGGTAGCTTTGAGAACACTGTCCAACCATCTCGTCCTCCATCGTCCTCTTCTCCTTGTGCCCTCCATCTTTCCCAGCATCAGGGTCTTTTCCAGGGAGTCTTCTCTTCTCATGAGGTGGCCAAAGTACTGGAGTCTCAGCTTCACGATCTGTCCTTCCAGGGAGCACTCAGGGCTGATTTCCTTCAGAATGTGTAGGTTGGATCTTCTTGCAGTCCATGGGACTCTCCAGAGTCTCTTCCAGCACCAGAATTCAAAAGCATCCATTCTTTGGCGATCAGCTTTCTTTATGGTCCAGCTCTCACTTCCATACATCACTACTGGGAAAACCATAGCTTTTACTATACGGACCTTTGTTGGCAAGGTGATGTCTCTGCTTTTTAAGATGCTGTCTAGGCATCTACGTTAGATCTTACTCGTTGTAAACCCCGCAGAAAATCACGGCAACGCCACTCTGCCAAGCGCGTCTCTCTTTGCAGAGCGCAGTCACTGCAACATCAGCACCGCCGACCTCTTTTCCCACGCGATGCCGGTCTTCGGCCGAGAGAGGGCGCCAACGCCTTTCCTTTGCCTGGCGCGCCGCTCTTCGCGCAGGCGCATTAACCCCTTGTGGGAGCGCTTTCCCCCTCCCCACTCGCGTCACATTCCCTCGCATGCGCACTCCAGACCATTCCTCCCCCTCCGCCGCGGCTTCGAGTCGCGCATGCGCAAGGCGGCTCCGAGTAGTAAGTAGCGGTTGCTCGCGCATGCCCAGTTCTTTTCGCCCGGCCGGTCAAGGAGCGAGGCAGAACCGCCGAAAAAGCCGCCGCCTCGTCGGGTGGCAGGGAAGCTCCGCCGGCGCCGGAGCGGCCCAGCCCTCGCGGCGCCTTCCTCTCGGCGGTTCCTGCCGGCCGCTTCTTCCCTGAGGTAACCGGGGACGGAGGCCGGTAAAGGGAACCGGGGCAGGGGGCGGGGCTCCTTGGCATTTTCTGAGGTGAGGGCGGCGAGCGGGAGAGGAGTGACAGGAGGCTCGTCCAATGGGGAAGCAGTGCGCGCCGGGCATGCGCGTCTTCGCCCTCCCTTCTTTGTGATTGGCTCAGCCCTGGAACGGGGGCGGGGCTGCGCTTTGTCCTAGTTGAATCGGGGAAAGATGAATGGGGAGCGGGGGAGGGGCGCGGGGGAAGGAAGTGGATGCGGTTACGGGTCAGGGCGGATGCGATGCTCTCTGCAAAAGGGGGAAGTGAGACCTTTGATGCGTTGTGAGTTTTGCATCTTCCTCCAAAGGGCTGAGAAGGGGCATATTGGATTCACCCCAACTACCTTACAACAACCCTGTGAGGTCGTTTAGGCTGAGAAGCGATGGCTCCCCACTGATCTTCAGGACTGGGATTTCAGTCCTGGTCTCTCAGGATTGTCGTCTAATGGTCTCACCCAAGATCGGACAGCATTTTTCTTTCTTTTTATTTTTTATTTTTTTACCTTTAAGATATATGGTTTTAAAGTATATCTTTATTGAGTTAAAATAAATACATTTTTGGGAAAATAAACAAATAAGCAAAAATACAATCCAACAAACAAATAATAGAAAAGTCAAACAACCACAATATAAGAAACAACAATATTAATACTAATAATAATATTAATAATAATAATAAATTTTATTTATACCCTGCCCTCCCCAGCCAAGGCCAGGTTCAGGGTGGCTGACAAGCAATAATAAAAACAAGTTGAATGAATACAACTTGAAAACAAGATTAAAATACAACATTAAAATATTGAAATATTAAAATGCAGCCTCATCACAGGAGGAGAAAGGAAAAAGAAAGAGGGGGAGGGAATCAAATTGCCTCCAAGCCAAAGGCCAGGTGGAACAACTCTGTCTTACAGGCCCTGCGGAAAGAAATCAGATCCTGAAGGGCCCTGATCTCATGAGGCAGAGCGTTCCACCAGGCTGGAGCCAGTGTTGAAAAGGCCCTGGCTCTGGTTGAAGCCGATCTAACTTCCTTAGGGCCCGGGACCAGTAGGGTGTTGCTATTTATGGACCTTGAGGCTCTCCGTTTAGGCTGAGAAACGATGGCTCCCCACTGATCTTGATGACTGGGATTTCAGTCCTGGTCTCTCAGGATTGTCGTCTGATGGTCTCACTTTTTTCTTTCTTTTCTTTTTATTTAATTTTTTACCTTTTAAGATATATGGTTTTAAAGTATATCTTTATTGCTTTAAAATAAATACATTTGTGGGAAAACAGACAAACAAACAAATAAGCAAACACACAATCAAACAAACAAATAATAGAAAAGTCAAACAACCACAATATAAGAAACAACAAAATTAATATAACTAACATCATTTATACTCCCGATACTGAAAGCAATTATAAAACTTTTAGAGAAAGAAATTAAAAATGACTTTTTTCTTTCTTTATTAATGATGAGGTCTCCATTCTTGTCAGGCAGTGTTTCTCAGACTTGGGTCCCCCAGCTCTTGTTGGAGTACAAATCCCACCATTCCTAACTAGCAGGACCCAGGGATGATGGGTGTTTTAGTCCAACCACAGCTGGGGATCCAAGTTTGAGAAACGCTGCAGAAATAATCTGACTTTGGCCATGCAGAAGCCAATAGCTGGTGGGACCACTACCCTTTTCGTTCTTGCTGAACAGGTTGCGACACATCATTCTGGCCACAGGTCTGACCTGAGCAAGAGGGTGTTGGAAATTATGCCTGAGGACCACAGGCTGCTTGCCTGTGCCTTAGCCAGTGCAATATACTGACTCATGTGAACTCAGTAAATGTGAGGCAGCAGTAGGGTTCAATGGTGTGCAGTGGTCAGGGAGCTGGTCTTGGACAGCTCTCCCAGAAGGCAGCTTTAGGAAGCTATCTGGTTTCCTCTCCCTCTGGTTCTCTGGTTTGTTAAGGGATTAGGCTGATCGGAATGGAATCATCCTATACAGACAGCTCTGTCTGGGGAACAGTGTGTAAAAGGAAGGTGTGAGGAGCTGTGATCTGTGGAGAGCAGAGTGGGGTGCCAGTGTGGGAAGAGGAAGTGGCTTGAGAGGGGGGTGATTAGGGATAGGATAGTGCTAAGGGGTGGACAAGGATATGCGAGAGAAAGAAACAGGACAGAGAAAGGACCAGATGACATCGTTTGTAATCTACAGAGTGCCCTGCAATAATCATTTATTGCAGGTTTTCACCTTGAACCCATAATGTTGGTCACTGTTATACCCATTTTGTTGACCTATTGATATAGTGCCATTAGTGTGGATGGTTTGCTGAAGTCTTCTTAGTGCAGTGGTGGCCAAGCTTGGCCCTCCAGCTGTTTTGGGACTACAATTCCCATCATCCCTGGCCACTGGGAGCTAGGGATGATGGGAGTTGTAGTCCCAAAACAGCTGGAGGGCCAAGTTTGGCCACCACTGGGCTAAGGGCATAGGTTCCCTGATCTGCACCTGTACACCTATGAAGCTGCCTTATATTGAGCTTAGCTGTGGAACTACACAGCCCTGTGATGTCTACTCCAAATGCCAGTGGCTCTTCAACATCTTTCCCAGCCTTAGGATCTAGGATCATTTTACAGGAGATGCCAGGGACTGAACATGTGCCCCTTCCCCAGCTTTCAATTCTCCAACCAAAATTCCAGGGAGAAACTGCTTGAATTTGGGATTGGAGACATCATTGGCAGGGTTGCTCATCCTATAGTTGGGACAACAGAGAATTGCCAGTTCCAGACATGGGATCTGAGCACTTTTTGTTGTGCCCCTTGGCTTTTAATTCCACCATATCTAACGGGGTGATGATGCTTTAAGTCACCTGTTGCCAACCTGGTGCCTTCCAGGTATTTTGGGCTGCAAATCCCATCAGCATGTTGGTCACCAGGTTGGTGAAAGCTGTCTTTGGTAGTGGAACAGGACTTTTCATATTGTTGAAAGACTCTGATACGCCAAATCAATACAGTCATTCCTTGGTTGTCAAACTTAATCTGATCCAGGAGTCTGTTCGACTCCCGAAACGGTTCGAAAACCAAGGTGCGGCTTCCAATTGGCTGCAGGAGCTTCCTGCACTCAGTTGGACGCTGCAGAAGCTGCGTTGGATGTTCAGCTTCTGAAAAACGTTCACGAACCAGAACACTCGCTTCCGGGTTTGCAGTGTTCGGGAGCCAAAATGTCCAAGTACCAAGACGTTCAAGAACCAAGGTATGATTGTAAAGTGTTTTCAAATTAAATTCATTTAGGCATAGGATGGGCAGAAAAAAACAGATGAAATGTGGCATCTCTTCTAAGTAAAAAATTAAAAAGAGCAGTAAAAGAAGCACATGGTGAATGTGGAGATTTGTGGGTTGGAGAGGGGATAGTCAGGATGGAGCTGAAGGAAAGCAAGAAGAAGAAAACCCACAGAATCAGAAAGTTGGCCCCAGTTTGATCAGTGAGACTGCTCTTCCTTTTTGCAGGGAAATTCTAGTGAGGGACACATGTTTTACACTAGATGCAGCAGAGATGCTAGATGAACCCATGACAAAGGCATTAGAAAGAAATTATACATCATTCTTGAGTGAATTCACTCTGCCTTCACTCTAGCAACATTCTTTGCTCTTAAAACCATAAGAAGGGCCTGACTGCTGGACATAGCTGTCAACTTTTCCCTTTTCTTGCGAGGAATCCTATTCGGAATAAGGGAATTTCCCTTAAAAAAAAGGGAAACGTTGACAGCTATGCTGCTGGATCAGGCTGAACACCTACTTAGTTCAACACCTTGTTCTCACAGAGGCCCACCAGATGTCTCTGGGAAGTCCACAAGCAAGACATGAGGGCAATGGCTCTCTCTCTTGCTGTTATTCCCCAGCAACTGCTATTCAGGGTCATGCTGTCTCTGACCCTGGAGGTAGCTCACTAGTAGCCATTGATAGCCTTATCCCCCTCTTGAGCCTCACACAGAGTGGGGTATGCATGTACAGGAACCAGTGTCCAGATTGCTTGCAAAACTCAGTTAAAAGTACAGTATGAAGCTTCTAATTAGCACTTTTCTATCCATCTCATGTGCAGATAAGCAGCATGAGCGCAAGAGTTGCCAAGGCCAAACAATAACCCTGAATCTAGTTTTGAGACAGCGCACAATTGAAACTAGCAGAGAGGTGGGAAAAGAGAAGAAAAAGAGAAAGTGATATACCCATGACCTCTTGATTTGAGTTTTGGGAAACACGTTCTCACACCCCTGCAGAAAAGAAGTCATTCTGGCACATGGGGAACTCTGATAGAGAACAAGGGGAACCCAAGGCCCAGCAGTTAACTTTTGAGTCTGGTTTTCTTTTCCCTTTCCCCCAAGATGGGACAGTTCTCAGACAGGGAGTTCATCCTGCAAGTGAGTGTGTCCAGAGCCAAACCCTTTGCTCTGTGCATGTTTGGGGAGGAGAGAGAAAAGAAAGATGCTGATCTTGCCGAATTCCAGTAGCCTGCGGGGTGTTTGGCTGAAGGTCCTGAGAAAATGATAGAGGGTGGTCTTAAGAGAAGTCTCTCTGTGTGTGTTTGAGTTAGCAGCTCTAACTTTCGATGATCTCATTGTGGAGGACAGGATGATTTGCAATTGGCTAAGGCTTGGAAGACAGGCACACAGGTGCCTCCACACCCTTGAGGCATGGGACCACTCTACAGTGCTCTTGACAGGATTGCTTCACAGGTACTGAGTGCCCTCCAGGAGTCTTTTATTTCAGCCTGCCTGTGTCGCTTTCCCAGCAAAGGAGAGAGGGAGACGGAAATGTTAAAGAGTACAGCTGCTGGGAGGGAAATAAAAAAACCCACTTTGTCCAGGGAAAAGGCCACATAGGGCCTAGCAGTGGAAGTGGCGTGTGTGCTGTAAGGATCTGGGAAATAAGGGCTCAGGAAGCTGGGGAAGTTGACCAAGAGCTGATAGGAGTTGTTTTTATTGTGGTTCAAAATATCTGGAGCGCACCAGGTTAGGGAATCTTGCTTTAGCCTGGTGAGAATGAAGGTTTCTCTTCCTTAGTCTGTTGTGTGAAAATGGCATTTAGTTATCTCTCCTTTGAAGAAGCCACTGTCGCACTTCCCCACATGCGGTACAACCCTACAGAAAGCACTTTCAGGGTTACCAGGAAGCAAATTCCTGCTGGATTCAGAAGGGCTCGCTTCCGACTAACCTTTATTCAGATGGCACTGTGGGAGAAGAACATAAAAGATTGGGGAGAGGGTGTTTTCAGACCCCATAACCTCCTTGTGATGGACGCGGAAGGAGTCTAGATGTGTGCTGGACACAGGCTTGTGCCATACTGCTAGAGTGAATGGTAGAAAAATTGGGATTTTAACTACAAAACTCCCCTCTCCCACACACGCAAAAAAAAATCCTGAATGAAGGCTCAATTAACAGAATGGAGATTTCATAATCTGCTGAGCTTTGATGTTTTTAGGCCTCCTACAATCTGGGAATGGGGGCTGGCTGGCTTGAATGTTTGGCCAGCCCTTAGGAGGCGGGGCGATGGTGATGACAAGGCGGGTTGGCCAGTGCCTGGAACTTATCCCTGCTGCTGCCGCCTCCTCCGCCACATTCACTGCACAGCGGCTGGCTGGGTTCCTCCTTCCCCCAAGACTTCCCAGAACTGAGCTCGTCCTCCCTCTCCAGGGGGTGAGTACTGCACAAGCTCCTTTTGACACATCTCCCAGTAGGGGATAGCCTGGCTATTGTTGCCCAGCTGGCCTTCTGGGAAGGAGGAAGGGGATGCTGCTGTGACTGCCCTGCCTCTCCCAGCTCCTGCAAAGGAGGAAATAGGGTTGGGGTGGGCAGGAGAGAGAGAGAGAGAATACCACCGACCGGTTGTTAATACAAATTCAACATTAAGTTGGATCCTTTGCCATGCCTGGCACAATTGCAGCCTGCTATCACCCCCTCTGCCTAGTTCTTCGCAGTCATTTGCCTTGTGCGTGCCTGAGCTTTCCAATTTGGGGGATATGTCTCATGCATGACTCATTCCCATAAGTGGGTCTGTTTGTGGTGGGAGTTTGTGCTCAGAATTCTGCTTTGGAGCTGCATTAACGGCTGAGGTCTGCTGTGCCTCTGTGCTCGTCAGCTGCAACCCTTTGCAGTTAACGTTTAAGCTAGCGCAGAGTACTTAAGCTAGTATTTCAGGAAGGCAGAAGGAAACTCTTGCCTTTGACTTTGCTGCCGGAGCAGGCTGCAGGGAGGGAGTGAAAAACGAGCCGCTTTTCCAGTGTAAAATGGAGAGGCTGTGTAATCAAATTCCCCACACCTTTCAGGGTCTTGAAATCTAAGTCAAAGTGATCAACCTTGGCTTGAGCACACCTGAAAGCAGCTTCTAATCCTTCCCTGAAGTTGTTTTATAATTAAAAAAAAGCCCAAACTTCTCTCCCCGGTTTACTCTCTGCTTTTGTTTTAGGCTATTGAGAGACATTACTGACCAGGGGCAAAAGGTGGCGTCCTGATTGTTAATTCCTGGGTCCTTGTTGGGGAGCAAGCAAATACAGCCGAGAAGCTTCATCCAGTACTTGTCCCTTTAAAAAAAGCACCAGGAAGTGCTTAGATCCCGGGGATGGTGGGAGGTGGAGATGCAGGGGGAGGGATCTCTATGCTTCGCTGCTGCAAGAGCCGCAGCACTCAATCAAGGTGGCAGGGGGAGCCCTCTTGGGTTTTCAGAACCTTCTTTGCCTGCATCTTCCCAGCCTGGCAGGCTGCAGGATCACTCCGGTCAGAGCTGGTTTTGCTTCCAAAGATTGATCTCAGATGTGGCAGAGAGACCACCTGGGTACTGAGTGTCCTGATCATGCTGCACAGAATTTTGGGGGAAAGGACCTCACAGGCAGCACCTGAGCCCCGGTAAAACATCTGTTGGGGGGTGAACCCTGTGCATGAGATTTGGGACCAGCTTTAGTGGAAAAGTGAAGTGGCCGGGGGAGGGGAGGAGTTGGCTGTCTATACAGATGCTCATATGACTAAGTCTGAGGATGAGCCACAGAGATGCTCATGAATATTTGACTTTCCCTGAGTAGTAAGGGACTGCTTCTACGTGCATGCCAGGAAAACAGAGTGGAAGCCTGGTCCTTTTAACAGTTTCGTCTCCTTCTCTCTCTCCTTCTGCTCTTTCTCCCTTGAAGCTCTCTTGCTTGGCATTCTTCTGGTTGCCAGAAAGATGGAAAGGAGCAGCATCCTCGCTCGGTAAACGTGCTGGTTGGCTAGCATTCTGGACCATGGACTTACTGAGACACCTTCAGGTGTGAAGATGTCACGCAATAACAGGGCGCTCGTGGTAGACTTTGTTTCCTACAAGCTGTCAGAGAGGGGCCACAGCTGGGATGAGCTGGAGGAGGACAGCGAGAACAGGACTGAGTTGAGAGACGAGATGGACAGCGTCCCCAATGGGAGTCCGTCTTGGCATCAAAGTACCAGCCCGGTCGTAAATGGGGCTACTGGACACCCCAGCATCCTCAGTGATCTTGAAGACAGCCCGAGGTTGGACGTGAGGCAGACGCTAAGAGAGGCAGGCGATGAGTTTGAACTGAGGTACCGGAGAGCTTTCAGTGACCTCACATCCCAGCTCCACATCACCCCTGGCACAGCATACCAGAGCTTTGAGCAGGTGGTGAATGAACTTTTCCGGGACGGGGTGAACTGGGGGAGGATTGTGGCATTTTTCTCCTTCGGAGGGGCCCTGTGCGTGGAGAGCGTCGACAAGGAGATGCGAGTGCTGGTGGGACGGATTGTCAGCTGGATGACCACTTACCTGACGGACCACCTGGACCCGTGGATCCAAGAAAATGGCGGCTGGGTAAGCAGTTGGCAAAGGGTGGTAGTGGTGGGAAGGGCACCTTCGTAGTTTTAAGTATGAAACAGGCCAGTTTATATTTCTAGCAGCATCAGAGGCAGAACTTGAGGATGCTGGTGGGCTGGAGCTAATCGAAGCTGTAGTCCAAAACATGTGGAGGGCACCAGTTGAGGAAAGGCGCCAAGTGCCTTCTCCAGCAAGGTGCCAATGCAACATTGGATAACCAGAAGCTGGAAATGGCCACCAAGGGCTGAAATATTGTATCTTTGTTCCATGCTATTTCACACTTCCTGATGGATATTAGGTTTCCTGTTCTTTCTCCCCTGCACTGCCAAGTATTATAGACACACATGGTACCAAGGGCTCTTTCCTCAGCTGTGTAGTTGGATAGGTACTAGCCACCGTCTTTCCTTTTCTCGTTCAGGCTGGCTTGGTTCAGGTCACCCACAGGCCTGCCTCTGAATCCTGTTGTTCACTAGAGCATTTCATAGCCCACTAATCAAAGCCTCAAAGGTACTTTCCATTTCTTTTCTAGTTTATTATCCCCTTATTATATATCTATTTATACCCCACCTGTACCCTGACAGGGGCTGAAGGCTGCTTTCAGATAAAATGTACCACCCTGGGTCTTCTTCATTTTTAGGGGTCAAAGCTAATCTTTGGAACCTGGGGTGAGCCTTGAGGTTAAGGAAGAGGTTGGTTGACATTTTGCCTACCCTGCTGTCTGGCATGATTGAGGTGCATTTCCAGGGCACAGGTACCCAGTGAAGGGGTGATGAGACAACTGCTGGTCATGACTAGACTCAAACCTGTATTTTTCCTCTTCCCTTAACCCCAACTGTGGATAAATAGACTGTTTGTGTTGCCACACATAATCACCTTCCCAGGGAGTGCAGTTTGGTGCATGGCCAATGTGCTTGCCCCAAGCATGAATGTGCTATGGAAAAGGTTAGGTCATGGGATTTGCCAGCAGCTAGTGTGGCTCTGGGTGTGGCCTTGCATAAGTGTCTGGCAACTCCCTGGTGTTTTTCCTTTGCTTGACAGGAAGACCCTGTACAGTGATTGTGACACCCAGAATGTGCAATTGGTAGAGAGACATGGGTTAACTGCTGCAAATCAGTGCTGACTTAGGAAGCTCTCATACCACTCAGGAGCTCGTGCTTTGTTGGAACACTCCAAACAAATTCCTGACATTCATCATGGGTGAAAAATTAGTTTTATCTTTCCTTGTAAACAGGCCAGCCTTATTTCCTAAGGTAAAGGTAAAGGGACCCCTGACCATTAGGTCCAGTAATGGCTGACTTTGGGGTTGTGGCGCTCATATCACTTTATTGGCCGAGGGAGCCGGCGTACAGCTTCCGGGTCATATTTCCTGGTTCCCCCCAAAAGTTTTACTAGCCAGGCTGCCTGCATGTACCTGCGCAGAGTAGGGCAGTCTGAACAATGGGCCTAGCAATTAGTGACCAAGTTGGAGCCTGGGCATATGGGCAAGTGGCTAACAGCAAGGCTGCTTTTAACTCCAGGGCGGTTGCATTATGTTAAAGTAGGGGTGGGTCACTGGAGGCTCAGTCAGACTCCCCATCTGGACCCCTTGCATACCCTCCCCCAGCCCTCTTTATTTGTGTCTCATCTGCTAAGGACACTTTAATGCCCTCTTCCCCTCGGAGAGTGATCAGCAGCAGACGCGTTGGCAGAATCCTCCAGTGACGTCTCTCAGCTGCTCACTCCCAGTAGCTGTGATGCAGAATAACGGGAGACCCTTGACCCAGTCTCCGCGGCTGCTCACACCAAGGGGGCCATTGAGCCCTTTCCCTGCATCTGGCGGTGATGCTGGCTCAGTTGAAAATACATCCTTGTTAAAAATCAGCTGCTGGCTGTTTCACTCAAGGTCCCACCTGCTGAATTGTCTACATCCTTTGGTTTGAACCTAAACAAAGCTCCTGGTGGGTTAATGCTCACTTCTTGGGAATTTACTTTTAAGTACCACTCAAGGCTGTGTGTGGCAGCTCTCAGCTACCCAGATGTAAATGCAGCAAGCAAGGGATAAAACCTAATGGGCGCATGGAGTGAAATCCAGTATTGGATGCAGGCTGGATAGGGTGAGTGTTGAGAAAACTGAGAGACATGAGGAGGGGGTATTACTCAGGAATGCTGGGAATGCAGTCATCCTGGGGGCACAACCTGGGGTGTGTCTGCCCAAACTGACCCAACTGGTTCCTCTTCCTCTTAAGGCCATCTTGGTGGCTGGCCCCATCTCTTGTTCTCTTCTCTCCTCTTCTCCTGGTTCCCTCCAGCTCCCGAGATTAGTCCTTGGTCCAATGGAGATTTCCATATCCCTGTCGCTCTGGTGACGATTGGGCTGTATCCTGGAGACCGAGGCGATAATGTAATCTGATTTTGTAAACGAACTCCCCGGAGGGATTTAGATTAAATCGCTGATGGAAAGTCACTGGCCCTGGCTTGCTGGGAGGCTGAGATCCCCCTTCCCCTCCCCCCCAACTCAGCTAATACCGCCTACTGGGAGTCTTCCCTTTTTTATGTCTAAGGACAAATGCATTGTTTGGGCAAATATTTGTTCAGCATTTGTAGGAGGGGCAGAATTGCTCTGGGGTGCACACCCACTGGTTCCTGCTGCTCAGATCTCAACATTGTTGTCTCCCTAGGTTCTTCACTATTCTGGTATTGTTACATAGTTCTGCTGGTGGAAATGAATGGTGCAAGGTGGGGAAGTAGATAATGGTGGCCACAGAAAGGTTATGGACCATCATGTCCATGGGGATAACTTTTTCTGTACTGCAGAATAGCTTTCTTTCTTTCTTTCTTTCTTTCTTTCTTTCTTTCTTTCTTTGATGTTTGTTCCATGCTTCCTCCAAGGAGCTTAAGTTGTGGCATGTGGTCCCCTCCTGTTTTATCCTCACAACCACCTTGTGAGGTAGGTCAAGTTGAGAGAGAGAGAGAGTCATCCAGTTTCTCCAATATCCTAACCACTAATAAGGTTAGACTCCCATCACATATCATGGAATTACTGAGATCCAGTGGATCATATAATTGCACCTGGATCCAGAACTGACAGCTTGAGTCCCCACCCCTAACATCAACCAACTGGAGATAGCTTTGATGGAAAAGAACTAAATGAAAAGTAAAATAACATGTGTGGTCTTGGGCATGTTGCTCTTGGCCTCTGTTCCTCATCTGTAAAAATGGAATAATTTTCATTACCAACCTCGCAGAATTATTGCAAGTGAGGCTGCAGTGACTAGAAGGTATTTGGCAAATTAAGAACTGGTGAATGTTGTGGACAGAGGATTGACTTGGAGCAGGAAGAGCTGGGTTCAGATCTCTGGAAATGTGGCTGCTCTCTCTCTCTTTTTCTCCCTGATGAGTTTGTTATGAAGTCCATGCATTATTCTTGGCACTCCTGGAAGGATGCAAATGCATCTATTTCCCAGCATTTTATTCCACTTGCTGTTGCTCTCCAATGTGACCAGGAACCCAAACTCAGGATGGACTATATTGATAGTAGTGGGCTTGGTTGCCAGGAACTCAGTTCACCAGGGCTGGGGAGGAGGTTTGGTCCCCTGCTTCATGTTGTCTTAGTATATACCCCTTAATTTTATAAATGGTTGCTTGCCCTGGGAAAAAGTCACATCAATAAGACTGTTGAAGGGAGAACAACGCAGCCGTCCCCCCTGGCCCTGAGTGGGCTGGCTTGTGTGATGACTGGGAGCTTCCAGTAAGCAGCCAAGTACACAGTCCTCCAGTCATCATGGCAGGCATTTTTCTGGTAGCAATCAGTAGCAATAAACTGTCATGCTCTAGAGTGACCGAGAAACAGATGGCAGGACTGTGCAGTTAGAAGATTTGAGTCTTAATTATTGAGGGATGCGTTTGCAGGGGGTTGGCCTAGATGGCCATTGGAGTGCCTTCCAGCTCTACAACTCTGTGATTCTGTCCCTGACAGTGATCTCACAGAAGGGTCAGTAGCGTCTCCATGCAGATTGCACACAGGTGCGCTTTTCTTACTTGCTCATTTCTTTGCAGTATACAAGCCCCCTTCCTACCCACAAGCCTCCTGTCTGAATGAGGGGCGTTTTGCTAACAGTAACAGAAGCGGCTGGATTGGCCTTGTGCTAACTTTCTGATTGTGCTTGCAGCCTGGAAAATCTCTGGGCTCGAGAGGTGAGCTCTGTCTCTCCCCCCCCCCTTCACACTGGCCCTGAACTGGCTGCCCTGTTGTAAGCCTTCAGCCAATGTGCACTTCTCTCCCTGCTCTTGCCGTAGCCTTGTTAGCATGGGATTAGCACTCTCTTGGGGCCTGGGGAGCAGCCTTTGCCTGGCCCTTTCAAACAATGCTGTTGTGGAAAGGGCGTAGCTTGCGAGAAAGACCCACAGAGAGGCTTGCATGTTCTGGCAGGCCTGCCCCTGGCAGGGAGCAGGCTCCGTGTGTTCGTGCGCATTCCCCAGAGTTGCTCAGCATTTTATGTCTTGGAAAGTATCTTTGGAGAGGGCTTGAGGAGCAGCACACTTCAAAGCGGGTGGGACAATGCCTTTATTTGATCAGTCTTCAGGAGATGAAAGTTACTCTGGAAATTTTGTAGATAAACAGAGGCACATTGGGAGGGGTGTGTGTGTAAGGTAGCCAGCAAGGGGTCCCCAGTGCTCTCCTGGTCTTTCTCCTCCATTGCCTTTGCAGACGTCGCATGAAGCATTTTTGGCCTTCTTAGTAAGGTGAGGGAGGTGGGATCCCTTTTGTGCCCAAGGCTGGATTTTGGTATGTATGGATTTTGGTATGTATGGTCTGTTGTCATGGATGGGCTGTAGGAGAAGTACATGGGCATTGGAGCAGTAAAGCAAGCTATCTGGCAGGCTTAAAAAGCCTGAGAGGATGGATCAAGCCTAGATCTAGCAACTGGAAAGTGAAGGTGAGGGAACAGTGGTCAGTTCTGGTGTTAACCGTGTGCCCATGGCCACTACTAGTGTGGTGTAGGGGTTAAACAACCTTTGGACGACAGCGCCCAACATCGTCAGTCAGCAAGACCAATCAGTGGTCAGGAACTTTTAATTTTTTAATTAAATTTCCACATTTCCCTTCATCCGAAGACCACAGGGCAGTTTACGGTATAAAAACACAAAGATACATACCATAATAGCAAATAAAAACAGTAACCCCACCCCGGTATCTGTAATGGGAGCTGTCATGTGGAGGGCACCAGCTTGAGGAAAGGCTGGGTTTAGAGGATTGGACTAGGAATGCAAGACAAATTGGCTCCCATGGTCTGGAAGGTGCATTTTTCATGCAGTGGGTTCCAAACTGGAACATACCAAGCCGCCTCTTGGTCATTATGAAGATGAAATAGGAAGAAAACCACATTTGCTGCCTTAAGTTGCTTGGAGGAAAGGCAGGATATAAATGTACAATGCATAATTAAATCTGTGCAGTTAAAACTCAGTTGCCTATTGTAAGCTCAGTCCTCTAAGGCAACTGGTGTGTGGGCAGAGTGTCTTTTTTTTGGTGCATAGGTGATTTTTCTGTTTCCTTTTCATTGGTATGTATGTGGGAAGGTATGCACAAGGTGTGTCTGTGATTTCAGGCACTGTAGCAAGATGAACTCCCAACATTCACACCTTCTAACCATATTCTGCACAACTCGGACTGTTCTGTCAGGAACGTCCAGTTTGTTTAAGGTTGTCACCAGAACCAATTCATTTAATCCTGGCATGCCGATTTGGGGAGAATCCGCATGCCTGCTTGCCTTTATGTCTCTCTTGTCAGCCATGGAGTTGGTCTGCCTGGCACGGATGTTTGGAGCATGAATGCAACTTGTTTGACGGGGCACACCTGTAGCGTTAAGACTCACCAATTTACATCACAATTTTGCAAGTCAAAGAGCTGACTCATTTGCCAATAAAATGCAGCCACTTCTATTCTGGCACATGGCAACTGCACACATCATGTGTAGCAATGGTCATGCTATGGGTTGAGAAATCACCACTTGGATGTTACTGGGAACGGATCGGCTTGTTAACCCAGGCAGAGTTGCTGGCACTCTGCAAGGTGATGCCTTGGTGCAGATTCCTGGAGGTGGGTTCTGCATCCTGTCCAGTAGGTTCCCCCTTCCACTTCCTCCTTTCAGGTCTTAGCTAGAAAAGATCCTGGACATTCATTACCTGAGAGGCCAGCAGTTTGGTAGTCTTCGTGGCAGCAAAAGAATCCTAGTTTTACTGTTACCGGTTTCTTCTTCGTTCACCTCATCAGCTCTTTGGGAAGGTTAACTATTTTGTTTCTTCAACGGCTTGGAAACTGGGAGCAGGGGTGGGCACAATAGCCGAGGGCTGACATTGCTGTTGATGTCAGGCCGACCCCTGGACAGTAATAGCATCATCTTACAGCTGACGTGTCTGATTTTGCAAGAGCCGATATTCTCACTAGGAGGTGACTTGGAAGCAAACCTCCTATCAATTGCAACCATTCTTAGTGACTGTTTGTCCAAGCTTCTATTAGCCATCTGTGCAAGGTTGTTACTGCTATCTGTGCTGCTCTTGCAAGTCTTCCCTCAGCCCCATGGACCTTCAGTGCTGAGTAGCAGCTCAGAGCTTTGGTCTCTCTGCAAACTCAGAATTGTCCTGATTGATATCATTATGTGCCTGGACGACAGTGCAGTTTTCATACAGTGGGTTCCAAATTTAGAACATACCAAGTCAGCCCTTGCTAAAGCTCTTCTGTAGACTGAGACTGAACCCCAGAATTCTGTGCAATTCTTTTCTTTTGCCCCCCGTCAGCCTCTTTGGGGAGTCTGAGTTTGGTTTCCCAGGAAAACCCATTTGCCGCTGACTGAGACAGTGGGAAGCCTTAGTCGCCAGCCGCAGGTAATTGCAGGCAGAAAGATGGGATTGTTCAGTCTCTGCTCTCTTCCCAGGTTTGGCAGCCACCCAAGTTGATTTCGGAAGTGGGAGGGTTTTCTGCCGAGCTCTTCAGGAAATGCCAATGGAATGACTTCCCCCAACCATTTCCTTTCCCAAATAGCATTCCTGCCTCAGAAAATGTGAAGGATGGAAAAGAACATTTACAGACCTTAACTTTTCACCCCCTCACTTTGGTTCTTAGCCTTGGTTTGGGGCCCCTGATTTTCCTGGGCTAGTTTGTTGAATTTTTGCACAAATTAATTTATTTTCTGTGTGGACAGAGAGGAGGGTTTGGTGAACGAGAATGCATTTAGTTCTGTGAGCCTTGCGAAGGCCTCTCTCTGTCTCTCTCCCTGCGTGTGTTGTCTGTCTGTGTGTGGGGGGAAACCACTGCTATTATAGTATTTATTAATTTCTGAATTGTTTTCCACAAATATGTCCCAAGGCAGTTTACAGACATATCCTTAAAAACAGCTAAAACATTTTTAAAAAAACAGCACAAGAACAGCAAAGTATAGATTTAAAAGCAACACAAAATCAACACCTAAGGCAAAGACCTTTCATCTAGCTGGGAAAACTTGTTGAAACAGAATGTCTTCAGCAGTTTCCGGAAAATACAGATAGTGGGTGCCTATCTTATCTTGACAGGAATACTGATCCATAGAACAAGAGCAGCAGCCACCCTGAAAGGCTTGCTCCAAGTCACTGTGGCTTCTGACATTTTGGGGACTTTATGGAGGAAATACGCAGAAGACTGTGACTAATGGGATAAGGTGGTATCTCAAGTGTTCAGTGCAGAGTAGAATTGCTGCTGCCAGAGACCCCTGACTAAAGATGGATTTAGGGCACCATCCTCTGACTGCCCTCGGCACCCACAGACCCTCTTCATCCTGATGATGCTGACCCTGAACCCAGAATCCGGGCCCCTGAACGGGGAGCTGCATCTTGTCTTGGCTGCTGAGACAGGGTGGCTGATGTGTGCAGGCTCCGGGTTTTCATTCAGAGAGCAGGAAGCTCTGTGTGCCTGGCACGCCAAGCTGTGCCTCAGAAAGTGACGTAACCCACCGTTATATAACAAGGATGCGAACATGCTCTGTGAGCCCCGGGGGCACACGGTGGGGGTGGGAGGCAGCCGATTCACTCTTTTTCCTGTCCTTTTTTTCTTCTCCACTCCATTGCCCTAAATTATTGAGTAAAATCTGGAAAGCTGCTAGAGCAGACCCTTTTCTCTAAGACGCTGAGATCACTGCTCTGGAGTTTTTACATGGGGCTGGGCAAATTTGGTTAAAAATCTTAGCAAACATGCAGGAGAACTGTGAAATGTGAGTGTGCTGCTCCTGAGATTGCTGCAGCAGCAGGAAGCAGAAGGTTACCTAGCATCCATTAGGGCCTTGCTAGACTTGGGAGTGGAGAGCGACTGGAGCTCAGCCTTTCTGTGTGTGGCTCTGAGCTTTCCACAGCTGAAGAGAACCTCATAGGTGTGGCTCAAGGGTGGATTCCAACATTTCTATAGTAGCCATTGGCCAAAATTGGTTCAGTGACTTCAGTTCCTGACAAACAGTTTGGGGAAGGCCGTAGCACAGTGGTGGAGTATCTGCTCTGCATGGAAGAGGTCGCAGGTTCAATCCACAGCATCTTGTGGCCAGATTCCTACATTTCAGGGGGTTGGGCTAGATGACCCTCAGGGTCCCTTTTACAGTTCTGTTCTATGATTTTTCAGGTAAGGCCAGGAGAGACCCCTGTCTGGAACCCTAGAGAGCAGCTGCCAGCCAGAGAAGACACGCCTGAGTTTGATGGACTAGTGGCCTCACTCTTTTTAAGGCAGCTCCCAGTGTTTTGCTTCTCTTCCTGAATATGAAGCCTTCATATCCTGAGTCAAACCATTGACCACTCTTGCCCAGTAGTGTCCAGTCTCACTTCCAGCTCCTCTTCAGGTCCTTTTAGAAGGGGTTTCTCTCAGCCCTGCTGTCCCCAAGATCCTTTTTAACTGAAGGGACTGAGCTTGGGACCTTCTAAGTCATTCAAAGTGTATGCTGTGTCACTGAACCATTGCCCCTGCCCCTTTCCCTACTTAACCTGGCTGATCTCTTCCTGCTCTACAGAGAGTAGAGCATTCTAAGCCATCAAGCGTGCAGAGCCACCTTGAACATTGGAAAGCAGGGTAGAAATGCCTCAAATAAATGAGTAAACCATTGCAGCACGGTTCCTAGCTAAGGTCAGTGCCCTTCCTTGCAGAATGGCTACCCTCAGTCCCTTACAATGAATCACCATTGGTCCCGAATAACAGCATTTATAGAGTGCGCTCGAAGCCCTCGGGTTCTTTGTTGTGTACCATCCTCTCATAGAATATGAGGTTGGTGTGCAGCAATATAAAATCCCATTTTTAAAAGGCCATTAAAACAGTACAGAATTATCACAGTAATCCTTACAAGAACCATGCAAGGCTGGACAAGGCTGCAGAGAGTTGCAGTCCAAGCTTTCCAGAAAGGAGTTTGCGGCTGATGCTAGACTTGAGCCAGAGACTCCTCAGATCATGTTCCTCACTGCTACTGCAGCTCCTTCCATCAGCTGTCAGAGAAGTCTGAGTCGCTCAGCAGTGTTTTTGACTAGACACGTGTTCACACAAGCAATCCTCATGTTTAAAAGATCCCTATCTCATCTGACTGGCAATAGTCACATGGGTCAGCTGAGGGATGGATGGAACATATGCTCTGCAGCTCTTTCCGTATCGGTTTCCTGCTGGGGTTGGTGTTTAATGCTGTAGGTTGTCTCAGAAGCAAGTCTGGTCTCCTGATGGACCTTTGGTCTTGTACCGCTCACGACGTGCCTGGTAGTAATGCTGTTTGGTGCAAACTCGCCCCCCTGTCCCTTTCTCAGCCTGCACTCTCTTGCACCTCCCCAGCAATAGCCGCCTTCTCCAAAAAAGAGGCAGTGAGTGGGGCTCTTCTTCGCCAGGCAGAACTGCCTTGGGGTTTTGCCCTCTTGGGTGCTTCTTGTTGTTGTGCTGCTTGGGTTTGGAGCAGGGGGCCGGCCGGTGGGATGTGTGTTTGCGTTAAAGTTACACTTTGCCGCACAAGCAAAACAGCTGGGGGGGGGGGAGAAGCGCAAAGGGGATGGCTGCGGGGCAGGGCTGTTAGCTGACAGATGGTTCCAGCTGGGGGTTATAGGGAGCAGGTGTGTGGTTCAGGAGGGAGCACTGAAGTGACTCCTCAACCCCACGAGGCTTGCTGGGTTGCTCGCCCGCGACGCCGCAAAGCTGGCTTGACCCAGTTATTGCGCGGAAAGCGAAGTGCTTTGTGTGTGTGTGTGTGTGTTTTGTATTTTTAGGCGTTTGACTTATTTTTATCCCCTGCTTTTTATTTTAACTAGAGTGAGCAGAAGAGCAGGCTAGGGAAAGGGAGGACAGCCTCCGGGTAGGAACACCCAGCGCCGCTCTTGCGCGCTGCCTGCTCATCCGTGCAGATACACGTGCTTGCTCCCGGGAGCCGGCTCACGTGGACTCCGCCAGCGCCATCTCTTAGGATTCCCGTAATGGGGAGCCGGAGCCACTCTTTGCTGCAGCCTCTCCAGAGAAAGGGGTGTGTGTGTGTGTGTGGAAAAGCAGATGAGATGCAGAGGGGAGTTAACCAGGCTGCAGCGCAAGGATCCCTGGAGGTGTGGGGGGTGTTCAGTGCAGTGTTTTTCCCTTCCGAGGCATGCAGGGAATTGCAGCGGTGGCTCGGATTCAGTGGCACTTTGCACCCTGTGGACTCAGTGTCACCTGGCTCTGGCTTTAACCTTTGTAAGCCTGGATCCCTTCTGCAGCAGGCACGGCTTATCGTGGACCACAAGCAAAAGCCAGTTCCTTGTATGTGGCTTTATTTCCATTCTGAATCTGGTCCACCAAAAGGGCTCCTTGTCGATAGCAATTTAAACATACAGCGCAGTTCTGAGTATTTAGTCTTGCCTTGTCCCTAAAGACAGTTGCCCCTCCAGTTCTTTTGGACTACAGTTCCCAGCAGCCATGGCTGGAACAGCTCTGTGATGCTGGGAGCAACAAAATTGGAGGGCTCCAGGTTGGCAAAGGCTGCCCTAAGAGCTTAATGCTGTGTTTGTATGCTCACTTACCTAATAATAATCCTGCTTGAGCACAGCAGGGCTTACTTCTGAGTAAGCATGAATAGGATTGCACTTTGTGCACATCTGTTATAAACCCAGATCTGTTCATTTTATGGGCCTGGATTAAGCAGGTGTGGTAAGGCAATGAGGCATTTTATCTTGCAGTTTTTAACAGGTTTCCCAGCCCAAACCTTGGGATGCAGAGAGTTCAGCTAAGTCTCAGGCCTAGGCTTTAGCAAGCCTCTGTTGGAAGGGTGCTCCCCAGTTTTTTGGGCAGGTGGAGCAGTCATTAAGACATCCTCTCTAGACTTGTTATCTCTCTTGGTTGACCTAGTAGATTGTGATGGAGAATATATTAAGGAACAGCCAAGATATCCGTGAGCCACACATAGCAGAGAAATCACACACACAGCCTTGTATGTACTTTAGGAGGGGAAGCCCCTCTTCTTCCCAACCAGTGTTCTGTGGGCTGAGGATGACTTCATGGGCTGAATCACACTGGAAGTGATGGCTTCATGTGGCATTAACAGGAACTGAGAGTGAGGTCTAAACTCCGATCACTCTCAGAGGTCCAGTTAAATCACATGGTTGCCCAGAAGTGCTTGGGACAAGTTCTTCTGCAATGAAAAAGAGCCCTTTCAGAGGGTTGTATAGGGGTGGGATGATCTCACAAAGCCCCATTTCCATTGACCTTCTTAGGGCAGCTTCTTGGTTTCCTCATCCACTTTAGGGAAGGGTTGTAGGTGTTCTTTTTTCTCCAGCCCAAGGGCCACATTTCTTTTGCAACTTTCCGAGGACTAAATGCCGAAGGTGAGCACAACAACAGATGTGGCTCTTAACCTCTGTACAGTAGGATACAATCCTGTCACACTAAGCCAGAGGTTTCTCTCTGTTCTGCCCACATACACAGATCTCTCTGCTCCCCATCCAGCATGTGGCACTGTGGTCTAAACCACCGAGCTTCTTGGGATTGACTATCAGAAGGTTGGCGGTTCAAATCCGCACGACGGTGGTGAGCTCCTGTTGCTCTGTTCCAGCTTCTGCCAACTTAGCAGTTCGAAAGCACACCAGTGCAAGTAGATAAATAGGTGCCACTGCGGTGGGAAGGTAAATGGTGTTTCCGTGTGCTCTGGCTTCCGTCATGGTGTTCCATTGTGCCAGAAGCAGTTTAATCTAAGGTTACCAGATTTTTTTCAATGAATCTGGGGACACTTTTCAACTTCCTACTAAATAGATGGATTTTGTCAGGGGACTAATTTGTAAATCTGGGGACTGTCCCAGGGAAACGGGAGTGTCTGGTAACCTTAGTTTAATCATGCTGGCCACATGACCTTGGGAAGCTGTCTGTGGACAAACGCCAGCTCCCTCGGCCTGAAGCAAGATGAGCGCCACACCCCATAGTCGCCTTTGACTGGACTTAACTGTCCAGGGGTCCTTCACCTTGCTCTCCATCCAAGCAAGGAAAGAGGCAACAGTGTAATTGAAGGGGTGTGGCCTAGGGAGAGTCCTAAGGACCAAAGAGAAGCCTGGTGGGCTGCATTTGACCCCTAGGGCTAGGGTTCCCCACCCCTGCCCTAGAGTTGCAACAACCAGGGGACATAAGAGCTGGAGTGGGGGGGGGGGGAGGCAAGATCCCGCACGCCTCTCCCTCTCAAGATTCCCAAGGCCAAAAGCTCTTTCTGAGCCCAATGTGCTCAGCTCAGCACTGGCCCTCCTCTCAGCTTCTCTAGGTTAAGGCCTGCATCTGCCCTAGGCATTCTGGGCTCAGCTTCCAGACCCACACAAGGCAGCATTTTGCACTGAATTATAGAGAAGAGAGTGTTTGCCATCTGCTTGTGAACTTACCTCCAGCCTTGAAGCAGCTGGTCTGGGCAGGAAAGGGAGCTCAGCACTGCTTGCATTGTGCTCAGATAGCCCAGCTCCTGGTCCGATCCCAGAACTCTATAAGACATTTTCCAGATCTTTGAGATCTTTGTCTTCCTGGTGATCTAAGGCTCCTAAATGTGGGAAAGTTGCACCCACGTCTTGCTCAGAACAAAAGAAGCTTCTCTTGTGCTTGGAAATTAAATGTAGGAGCTGCCTACCCTGATCAGTCTCTTCCTCCTCCTCTGGGGAAGCAAAGCAGCCTGCGGAAAAAGGACTCCTGTTCAAAGGCACCTCTACAAGGTTCCCAGAGCCCAGGCGGTGCAAGCTGCCAAGGGTTGCTGTTGAAATGCAAGTATCGGATTTCTAGGAATGACACTGTACTTGACATTGAGGAAAATAAAATTCACTGCCCCAGCAGTCCAGATTCTGCGCCAAGACATGATGAATTCTCCAAGCCATCTAAACTGTGGAGATTGACCAAATGGGTGAAATGTCCACTATTGTGCATAAGGTTTTGTGGTGTGCTTATTTGTGGGTAGTGGCAGGGACATTGAAACCTTGCCCCCCAACCCCTTGAGGAACGTATTCAGCCACTGCACCCTCGTGCATCTGCTTCTGAGATTTCCTCTGACATTGCCCCACCCCTGTGTACCTTGAACCCAGTACCTTCTGTAGGCTGCCCTGGCCGTGCGAGTGAGTGAGTGAGTGAGTGAGTGAGTGAGCAAGGGGAGCTTGGCAGAGCCAGGCTGAGATGCCAGTCATTTTGCTCATGCTCCTTTTCGGCTTCCGTGTGCCCACATGCTCGCTTTCCCAAGGAGCTGCACTCACATGGTATCTTGCAGCGCCAAAGCGGAAGAAAATGGCTGGGGGAGGAGGATTCTGCTTGATTTGCCTACACCCTTCCCACGGCCAGATGGTGTGTCGCTGGGATGCCCAACTTAAGAAGTCCTGGTTCCAACATGGCAGCTGTGAGCATCCTGCTGACAAGTTGCAGTGGGCCCACATTGTGGAAATGGGCATGTTCACCATCTGTAAAAGCTTAATATTGGTTGATTCCATGGCACTCCAGGGCTGTCACATGGAAGATGGAGCAAGCTTGTTTTCTCCTGTTCTGGAGGGTAGGACTTGAAGCAATGGCTTCAGGTTACAAGAAAGGAGATTCCAACCAAGCATCAGGAAGAACCTTCTGGCTGAAAGAGCTGTTCAACAGTGGAGGTTGTGAACCGACCTTCCTTGGAGATTTTCAAGCAGAGGTTGGATGGCCATCTGTTATGAATGCTTTAGTTGAGATTCCTGCATCGCAGGGGGTTAGGCTAAATGACTTTTGGGGGTCCCTCCCAATTCTACAATTCTATGATTCTTTGATTTACAGATCTCTCTCTTTCTCTCTTGTGTCCTTGCAACATGGGCCACCTAGTCTCCAGCCTTTTCAAATCCAGGACTTATCAGTAAGCCCATCCTGCAAGATAGAATCCACTTGTACCTTTTTTCCCCGCGGGGAAAGGGTGGTAGATCAGTGGCAGACCGTTTGTTTCACATGCAGAAGGTCCCTGGTTCACTCCTCAGCATCCCAGATAGGGCTGGGAATGTCACCCCTCTGGAACCTTGGAGAGTGTAGTGTAGACCAGGTATGGCCAAACTTGGCCCTCCAGCTGTTTGGGGACTACAACTCCCATCACCCCTAGCTAACAGGACCAGTGGTCAGGGATGATGGGAACTGTAGTTCCAAAACAGCTGGAGGGCCACGTTTGGCCATGCCTGGTGTAGACAGTCCTGAGCTGGGTGACCAATAGCTGGACTCACTGTAAGGCAGCCTGTCTTCTTGTCTGCCTCTCCTCCTGTCACTTTTAAACACAAAAGAAAATGGTGTTGGTAGTGCGCTGGTTTTGCTGGATATCCTACAATGGCAGAATCCATGGCAGGTACCCGTTCATGCTTTTCTTGGAAACTTCAAAGAAGTGACTTTCTTGGCAGTCCAAAGAATCCTAAAGTTAGGAAGTTCTTCCTTTGCTGTAAACAAAGCCTGTAATTTCTTGTCCTATCCTCAGCCCACAGGATGGGCTGCTATCTCCCGGCCCCCTCTCCTCCTTTGCATTGGAAACTGCCAGCTCTGCTCCTCACCACCCGTCGTGATCTCCTTTGGGGAACCTTGAACACGGAATTGGACTTTGAGATGTGGGTTCAAGTACAACCTCCTGCCATGGGCTGATTTGTGGGTTTTGTCAAACTGCCGCCTCTTGCCTTCGGTCTCCCAGAGAGTCAGGTAGAAGGAGCAGCAAGCAACCTTGCAGGGCTCTTGGTTTTTTGAGTTGCTACGACAGAAAGGCTGTTAAGCACTCTGCTCACTTTTTGTTTTGTTTTGTTAAAGGATCCAGACATTAGAAATAATAAGAGGCTTAAGGTGTCTCTGCCTACACAAGGGGAGGTTCTGTGCTTTGCATGTCACCCTGTCACATGCAGGTAGGCATTATGGAATAATGTGCCTCTCCCTTTTGTGCTTGTCGCGGGTGAGGGAGAGGGGAGGGCTCAGACGCCATATGTCCATAAAAGGGGCGGGGGGGGCAAGAAGGGGCAAAGCAAATGTTTTCCAAAGGGCATTAACTGGAATGATAAATGGTAACACCACCCCATCCCCAGCAGGTGCTAATCTCCAGCTCGACCTACATGTTCAGCCTTTGTGTCGAAGCCTCTCTCTCCCTTGCCATCCCACCCCCACACTCACCTACCAGTGTGTCTGCATTGTCATAGCACCCAGAATGTCCTCTGCAAGTTGGGTGCAGTTGTTGTGCAGCTCACTGACAATCGATCTCCCCAAACTGCATTTTTCTTACTTAGCGGTATTGGCAGTTATACCTGGGCATATTGCTCTGTGGACGGACAGCGGCTTGATTCCATGTTTTATTATTTATTATGCGCAAGCAGCTGAAATCGTGAACATTCACATCAGCAAAGTAAGGGCATACCAAGGACAGCTCCATTTTTGAAAACTGCGCCACCCTTTCAACTTGTTTTCTGAATACTGTCAACTTCCTTTGGGAGACGGTTTTATAAAAACAGGGCCACCACAGGAAAGGTCCTACTTGCAGTTGGAAGCTGGAGCAGGGCCTCTCCAGTCAGTTCTATATCACAATAGCCTTCCTAGCAGGTACCAGTAAAAATTTTTTATTGAAATATCCAAGAAATGAGTTTATAACCTTAGAAATGTGACATTTTGAGGCACATGGGCACCTTTAGTGTATTGTGTGTAATGATTAATCTATCACCTTCTGGACGTAGATGAAATAGGGAGCAAACTGGAAGCCGATGAATCCTAGAAATATAGGGTTAGAAGGGACTCCCGGGGTCATCTAGTCCAACCCCCTGCAATGCAGGAATCTCAGCTAAAGCATCCATGACAGATGGCCATCCAACCTCTGCTTAAAACCTCCAAGGAAGGAGAGTCTGCTACCTCCTGAGGGAGACCCTTCCACTGTCAAACAGCTCTTACACAGAAAGTTCTTCCTGATGTTTAGCTGGAATCTGCTTTCTTGTGACTTGAATTTGTTGGTTTGGGTCCTACCCTGCCTTCACATGCAAAGTGTACCCCTTGCTTCAGATGCTTGTGTGATCCTCACACCTAGAGTGTGATTCCTTGTCTTTGCCTACACAAACCAGACATTTTGGCACATCTGAAGTGGCTTCTGAGCAACCTGAATGCGCTGTCTCAGGAAACCAGTTTGACAGGGAGCCTGCTCTGTGCTGGCAGCCCTCTTGTGTCTGGTGTGGGGAGGCACGAGAGGAGTAGCTGTGGCTCCCCCAAATTCCTTCTAGGTGCCTTAGAACAGGCATCCCCAATGTGCGGCCCTCCAGATGTTTTGGCTTACAACTCCCATCTTCCCTAGCTAACAGGACCAGTGGTCAGGGATGGTGGGAATTGTAGTCCAAAACATCTGGAGGGCCGAAGGTTGGGGATGCCTGCCTTAGAACACCCACAGTGGTGTGGAGCCCTAACCCCAAATGGTGAAGGTTGAACGTTGCCGCCTGGAGCCAAGCTGCTTGCTGGCTTGCACAGGGGGTGGTAGGAAAAGAAAAGTGGGGAGGGGGAGGGTGGGTAGCTTTTAGTGTTTTAACCCTTTGTAGTTTTGCATCTCTTTCAGCTTAATTGCCACCACTCAGGGTTTGTTTGCTCTGTGGGTTGCTGAGCCCAGAATTCCCTCTTTTGTCATTGAAATGCACCAGCTGCTCTCATGTAGGTCAGTCATTTGCATAACAGTTTAAACGGAGTCCCAGAAGCATTCGCACCTGCAGGGCTGGCTCACTGGGGTGTCTCCCCTTTAATCCTGCTTCTGTTGTATATATGTGAAGGGGGGGAGGAAATCATTGCAAGGAGCTGAGCTGAGGAGCCTGTTGAGGTGTGGTAGTCCTTGAATTTTCCCCATTATGATATGGGGCGGGCAGCCAGGGTGGGAGAGAAAAAGAGGATTATAGGCTGGAAGGATGTAATGGTAGACGTACATAGCACTTTTCCCCTGGCTTTCCCCGAAGTACTTTGTTGCAATGTTCCTTGCAGCAGCCTTATAAGGTTGGTCATCCCGACATTGCAGGTGGTGACGCCTGGGGCCAAGAGATGGGGGCTCCCCAAAAACTGGTGCCTGACATAATATTTGAAATGGTGATATCCCAGCTTGTTCTCGTAACTGCCACATTAAAAGGCGTTTGCAGCTGTAGATAATTGGTAGCTGTTGGCCCTTGGCTTTGGGCGAGGGGTAGAGTGGGACCATTTGGAAGAGGCAAGGGAAACCCTCTCTCTCAAGACACTCTCACGAGAATATAGCTGTGGGCCCTGAGAATACCTTGTCTTTTGGCGTTCCAGGAAGTGCTCTGTTGTCTTCGCCCCACCTCTTTTCTTTCTTTCACCCAGCAGGCTTGTCCCAAAGCAGAGTTGGCTGCCCCCTGGGGCTGCCCTTGTTGCCAGGATTTTGCCTTGGCAGGGTTTCCGATTCCACGCCTAGCTGGTAAGCTCTTTGTTAACAAAGGCACATTGGTTCACATTTGAAGGATAATGAGGAGGGCGGGGAATGATTTCAGCTTCCATGTGGTTATTCCAGGGCCTGCTGGAAGTATGGAAGGAGCCTGGTGGGCAGCCAAGACCATCCCAGCCAAATCTCTGTCCAAGGGGGCAAGGCCCTTTGAACTTCAGGGCAGTTGTGGGTCAAGCCCCTTGCATGGAGGCCCACGCCGTGGTACATCAAACCTTTTGTGACAGATTCAACAAGGCGTGGGCCACGCCGCCAGGTGCAAAATCTTTGGAAGAATTTGGCCCCTGTCCAATTGCACACCTTTTCCTTTGGGCAGGAATGTGCTGAAACAAACAGCATTGACTGGCAGATTGTACGTTTGCCAGAGCAGGTGAGGCTTTGGAAGGTCTTCTCATGGCTGGTTGGATGGGCACCAGAATACCTCCCGTAGCTGTGGCCGGAGACCAGGGGACACTGAAAAGGAGCCACCCTGAGAAGGATGGGATACCAATATAACCAAAACACATAGTGACAACAGTTGTTAGTGTTTATGAGAGACAGGAAGAGAGTTATAAACATTTCCCTAAGCCGTGGATGGTTCAGGGGGTCTTTTGATCGTCACATTTTTCTCTCTTTTGAGCACACTGTTGCAGAGCAGCAAAGAGGCTTCCTGCATTTGCAAGCGCTCAGTTGCTTTGGAGTTGCCTGTCATTTGCTGGGTCTTTGAGGAGGGGGGCTGCAGAAAGTCCCCAAGCTTCCTGTGTGTGCTGCTGCCTTGCTTCTGCAAGCTGTCTGAGGCGGAAGCAGGGGTGTCGTCTGTGTTGACATGCTGAGGCGTGGTGCTCGGACCAGCCTGTTTTCCCTCCTCGGCAGAGAATGTTCTGTGTGAAAGGCCTTTGGCGTTTGCCTTTGGACTCTGTCCCATCCTCTCCTGCAGCTTGAACTCCATTGATCCTCGAACCTCCCCGATTGCTCTGAACTGCTGGCACTTCCTTCACTGCGGGAGGGGCTCTTGTTCCTGTGCTACACACCCACTCCACAAAGCCATCGCACCAGAGCAGGCACCTGCTCCATGCTACCTGCCCACCCACCTTGCTGACCGAGCCGCATGCACACATCCAACACACACCTTGCAGTGCAACACATCGCTCCATGCTCTGTTCTGCACACTGAACTCACATGCCCAGAGACATGTGAGTACCTGCTCCTCATTGCCCCTGTCATATTGGTGCCAGTTCCCTGAATGAGGATTTTCCACTTCATTTTTGGCCTCAAAGTATATATTTCTTTTTTAAAAAAGTAGTTTGTCCTATCCCACAATAAGTATATGAAGGATTTCAGAAGAGCGCTCCTAGATCAGGCCCAGGATCCTGCCTCCCACTTTTATAAATCTGTGATTGCAAGTTAATTATTGTCCTTGCTGAAAGTGGTTGGGATTTGAACTCATGTCTTCTGTATCTGGTGCCAGCTCTCCATCCTCTGGACCTCACAGCAGCACAGATGTGGTTTACACAACTTCAGCCCATCTTTTCAACCTGGGCTCTTGGAGGAGAAAGTTGAGGATTGTGATGAGCAGCAGGAGGTGGAGGAGGAAGGTGCTGCTTTGTGTTTTGTACCAACTTTGCCCTCTCTTTCATCTGCTTAGCCGTTTTTATTATGGCACTTTAACCCCACCCTTTCTCCACAAAGCTTGGGCAGCGTCCCACTCTCGACACTGTGCACTCCAGTTGCAAGGCCGTCTTGAGATTGGCACACTTCCATTCTGTGGAGCTCAGGTAGGCCAGCAACTGAAAGACTCCTTGGAGCACTCTGCTGCACCAGAATCCATGTGGCTCTCTGCCACGGAGTGAAAAACTCAGTCATGTGAGCCCACTTAGAATTGCAGCCTGTTGCAGGACATCCTGTCCCTTGGCAAGTGAGTGTGCAAATTGACATGTGGGTTAGTCACCCTCTGTGTAGCAAGGCAAGCTGTTGCTACCACGAGTCATTGACTGAGTAACTCAGGAATTCCAAACATTTCCTTTCAGATAAAGGGAAGGGTAGATGTAACTGGACTTGTCCAGACAAGTCTTGGGTCCTGAATTCTGGGCTGGAGAATGCAAAGGTCAAACAGGGGTTCTGCTAGATTCTGTGGCTTCAGGCTGGCTCAGTTTGAGGACCTATTGTTGCTAGCCCCACTCTACATTTTTGGTTTTCAGAATGTGTTTTGAGATGTTTGTGTGGACTCAGGAGGTGGCAAATGGGCTTCATCCCCATCTCAGTGGGGCTTAAATGAACTGCAGTTGTGATGAACCTCAGAACTGCTTTCTAGATCACAGCAAGGTCTGAGCATTGTGCTGATAACAGCCAGGCATAATTTTCTCCCAGCATGCTCAGCTACAGCAGTATGTGGGGATGCCCCTGTCTGGTCTTTAGAACTAAGCAGCTACTGTAAACACTTGTAGCATCATCATAGAACCCTAGAATTGTATTGTTGGAAGGGACCATGAGGGTCATCTAGTCCAACTCCCTGCAATGCAGGAATCCTTTGCCCAACATGGGGTTCGAACCTTTTGCCCTGAGATTAAGATTCTCATGCTCTACTGAGTGAGCTATCCCAGACTTTATTACTCTTTCCAGTACATATTAGCAGTGGATGTGCTTTGGAATCCTAGAGCAGTAAAGGTACCCATGGCTGTGCTAGCTTCCCTCCAACTAGTCTCTGCAAATAATTATACACAGCACAACATTCACACCCCACAGAAAATGTGGCACAAGCAAAGAGCAGGACAATTATGGAAAGGTGCTGAGCACTAGAACTTGTCCAGGTGAATTCATGGATAGCACCTTTATTGGCACCCCAAATCTGCCACCTGAGGCAGCCTTCCCAGGTTGTCTCGTGACAAACCACCTCTGTTGGGAAGCGACATGGGCACAGCATTACTACCTGTGTTGAAAGTAGCATTAGTTGAAAGTGGGGCTAATTGCTTTGCCTCGGCTCTGTACTATAAAAATGTACATGGACTGAAATGCTACCCCCCTGCTGTGCATCCTTATGCAGCTCCTGCCTAATTTGGCATGTGGGTGCCTTTTATTTTTGCACAAACTCCGCTTTATTGCGGTTGTCCTCAGTGCATCATCAGCGTGCGTGCTGCTTTGCAGAATGACAGTAGAGTGTTGCTTTTCCTGTCGAGGAGTGTGACACGTAAGCCAGCCCTGTCCCCCATGCTCAGCCTCCCTGGCATTGCCCAACCTTATGTGGACATAAGCCTTAAGGGAGGGAAGATCATCACGGATCCAGGAAAGAGGTGATGATGCAAGGGAAATGCGTTGTAAGACTGGGCCTTCCCTTCCGCCAAACCCACAGAAAATAGAATTGGGACATTGTCTGGTGTGCACAAGGGTTGCCTGCTGCCTGCATGTTGCCTAGTTTTGAAGCTGGGGGGGGCATGTCATTTGCGCAGCTCTGCCCTCCCCAGTCCCTTGAGCTGGCGTCTCTTGATAGTGCTCTTGGTGGAAGGCGTTTATCTCCCACTCAGCAAGAGCTCTGTTTCTCAGAAAGAGAACTTTCTTGGAACTTGATTTCCGCGAGTACCGCCTAGAATCAAAAACTTGTACAAAGCCAAGCCGGCTGGCTGCTCCCCAGCATTTTCTTGTGCCTTGAAGTGTTCTGCGTCTGATCCCCCCTCTTCTTCCCCTCCCAAGCTGCTAAACGTTTTTGACATTTACCTAGTGCCAACTGTGTGCTAGGCGCTGGGCAGGCCCATGGAAGTAATACAGTACTTGCCTAGAGTGAGGAAAGAGGAGCAGTGTGAAGATGAAGGAAGAAGGCCCCCTGTGCAAACCCTCCCCCATTATGCTTGCTATCTTTCAGCTTGGCTACGTATCTCCTTTTCAGTGGGTTTTGCTCTCCCCCACTTTGTACAGGATGCCTCCACTAAGTTCATTAGACTCCCCAGTCACTAGGACCACCTCACCACTGATAGTTCAGTAGGAGTCCTTTTCAGCATCAGGTTCCTCAGGCTGTAGTAGAGGAAGTGATGGCCGCCATCAGTTGTGTTGAGAAGGCAACTCCATCAGGATATGCCCCCTGGCAGCAGCCATTCCATCAGGCTGCAACAAAGGAAAACACAGCCCCTCTGTTGGCTTGGCTGAGATCAAGAGCTTTGGGCTTCTCTTCCCCTGAAATTGTTTTCCATTCCAACTGGTCATTTTGAGAACTTGGTAACTAAGAACCAGTGCCTGAGTTAGTTTCTCCTCCTCCTCCTTTTGTGTCATGTCTTTTAGCTTGTAAGCCATGGGGTGGGGACATCTTACTGATATGGCGAAAATCCCCCAAAGAAATAAACTTCTAAGACTTTGCACTTCTCTGCCTGAATGAACTGTGGTTTCAGATAACCTGTAAACAACTCATTGGTATGGCAATAATCTCTTCACATGGGAGCTTTCTTCCTGTTGAAGATTATTGCATGGCAAGGCAAACTGCCACATTTTCAATGCACACAGAGCATGATCACAAGAGTCCACTGTAAATGATTCTTAGGCTGAGAGCATGCACAGGAGCTAGTTGAAAATGGAATTTCCTTTTGCTCTTCCCAACTGTTATCCCCATCTTTAAGCACCATCACCTTTAGCTTCCTCTGGGAGCATAGGAACATATAGGAAGCTGCCTTAAACAGAATCAGGTCGTTGGCTGAAACTGGAATCTTCTGCATGCAGAGCATGTTCTCTTCCACTGGTCTACAACACTTCTCTGATGGAAGCAATATTTTTTGTACTTATGAGACGAGGCGCTGAAGTAAGCTTGTCAGCATTAGGTTACTACTGACTATGTGGATACAGAAACCCCCTCTTTGATTCCTTGGCCAGGCAGTGGTTACCCAGTAATGGCAGCAAAGTTGGCGGGTGCATGGAAAAAGTTAGATTGGAGCAGCAGTAGAGTGACAGCTTCCTTGCAGAAGAATCAGCTCATGGGAAGAAGCACGGTTGGCCATGCCAGAGGGCTTTGCACTGCTGCTCTGGTAGTCTTTGCTTTCCAGAGTCATCAGCTCTGGCCCTGAACTTTCAAGTGATTCCTTTTTTTGTGTGTGTCCTTCCTCAGGAGCAAGCAGCCAAAGGGTATTTGGGGTGTGGCAGGTGGGATGGGTTCTGGAACAATGGGCTATTGTTTGAAGGAGATGCTTCAGAAAAGAAGGGTTTTCCTGGGTCTCCTCCTCCCTCCCTCCCTTTCCTTCCTTTGTCCCACAGACTATCGACTATTGGTCCCAAGGAGAACAAAGGACTGGAGCTTCCCTCTCGGAAGCAGAGATGTCAGTGTATGGGGAGCTGGTGTGGGGAGGGGCTTGTTGGGATGCAGGGTGCAGAAGGGCCTTGCAAGCCCAGTCAGGGAACAGAGAAGAAGGTGCCTCTACAAAAAGGAGCTGGATGTGTCCTTGAAGAGTCACCCTCTTGGTCAGTAGCAACAGCAACTAAAAGGCAAAGAGGGGCACCTGGGAGGCAAACTGCTTTGTTCTGGCGGGATCAGCTGATGCAGAGGAACGGCCTTTGCGTGAGGACCCATTCATTTCCCCACTGCTTAACCTGAACGCGCAGGAGATTTTTATTTGTATCACAAGGCAGAGCTCTTTTGTGGACTACGCCTGAGGCAGAAAGCAAACAAACAAAGCAAAATTTAAGTAGCCAAGCTGTTACAGATATTTTGCTTCCCCCCAAAAAAACTCCTGGGATCTTTTTTGTGTGCATGCGGGCATACCTGCCAAAGTAACAGGCATGGGGTAGGATACGAAACACTGAAGCATAGCGTGAATGGCATGTCTGTCACAGTTGGGTGGTGATGCAGATTCTAGCAGTGCGGGACGCTCCCATCGGAGAAAAGCCCTGCCTTTGAAAGTACAGTAAGGTGGCCATCGCAGGGCAGAGGGGGTTGGTGGAGACGCCAGTGAAATTCACCAGGCTAAGGCCCTGAAATAAGCTTCAGGGGATTGGTGATGCTTCTCTGAAAGGGAGTGGCAAGCGCTGGAAACTCCTGAATTCTACTCTGGCGCAAATAAAGTTCCAAGCCAGAGTAAACTTCCCAGCTTGAGCCCCCTGCAGGGACACAGTTTTGCTCCATAGCAGCAGTTTCCCAGGTTGCAACACGCAGAGGAGGGGAGATGCTTCTCTATTGCTTATATCAGATGCAGTTTCAAACCAATACTTTTTAGCCCCGGAACAATTCCACCAACGGTGGATAAAATCTGCTGTATCTGTTCCGTATTTCAAGCATCTTGTCCTTTCTTCCTGTCATATATATATTCTAGATATCTGAGATGACATTAGATACCACACCACCCAAAGTTTAATTGCATCTCTCCGTGTTAATAATGCAGTATATTTAGAGAAAAAAATCCAGATATCCTTTGGGATTAATGTCCCAGTAATCTTTTCCCTTTCTGTGTCCTAGGCCCATATATATTTGGGAATTTTTTGTCCCTTTTTGCCATATTAATTTTTCAAAATTATTTAACTGCCTTAATCCTTCTTTTGAATTCACATCCAGCGATTTTTCAAAGGTCTTTAATCCGAAAATACTAAATAATATAAATTCTGTATTGCCTAAACCAGGCACCCCCAAACTTGGCCCTCCAGATGTTTTGGGACTACAACTCCCATCACCCCTAGCTAACAGGACCAGTGGTCAGGGATGATGGGAAGTGTAGTCCCAAAACATCCGGAAGGCTGAGTTTGGGGATGCCTGGCTTAAACCTTCCTTCGTTTGATTTGTGGACTTTATCTGATTGTCGACAATCCAATCAGCAAATTTTCCCCAAACCTCCTTTATGCCAGTTGGCAAATCATTCTATAGTCTCACTTTTCTTAAATTGTGGTTGAAATAGTACGGCTGCAGTTGGTGGTGTTGATGGAGACCTTTTCTTTTTGAATTCATCCCATATCCTTTGTTTTGTTCAAAAGAGTCTTGTGCATGGGAACCAGAGAAAGATAAGCTTTTGGTCCAGCCCAGCCGTAGTCTTAGGTTAGTTTTACCTGGTTCATGAATGGTTGTGGCCAGTCTCATTTTGATAAAATGCTTGGGTCTCTGAACCCAAATATCAAAGGTTAATAAGTCTTCTGAAGCTGTTTATTTATTTCCATCCAGTCACTTTGTCTGTTCATCAAGCTTATTTTTATTTTAAAAAATAATTATAATAATGGCGGGTTATTGTTTTTATTTTTATGGTATGTATTTTTGTGTTTTTATATTGTAGACCACCCTGTGATCCTCGGTTGAAGGGTGGTATAGAAATTTAATAAATCATAATAATAAAGTTACATGTTTTGGCCGCATTTGACTGTCCTATCCTTATTCCATCCATGATGTCCAGGAAAGCCAGCAATAATCCTTGCTGTTGTGGGAAGCCATCAGAGCCTGCACAGGTATTTGGAGAGGTGGATGTGTAATGTTAGACTCAGTTGACATGGGGCACATGTCTGTCTAATCATAGGTATTTCCAAAAAAACGTTTCCTTGGCTGCTCATACACAATGATCTTCTGACGTAAAGCATATGGTATAACTCTTGAGTCAGCTTCTTCCGGATTTCGGCGAAGTGCTTTCTTCTTTTATTGGAAAATAGCCACTTTACTATGAAACATGCACTTCCCTTCCTTCCTGATTGGCTGAAGCATTGTTTTGGTCATCACTTATGATGACATCAGACATTTTGCTTCCTGTTGATATCATTTGTGGCAGTTGGGAAATGTCATAAGAAGTCTACTCTGAGAACCTATGAATGTAGACTGGTCATTTTTCATATATTCCTTTCAGGTGCCTTTAATATGTATTTTGACAGGGTTACATCAGTCTTTTGGCATCCTTCCACTATTTCTTCAGAAATTAACTTGATGAGTTCAGAGGAAGTTGCAGGGAACTTCACAATTCCTTGTAATTTTAGCCACAAGGTCTACAGTGAGAGCACTTACGTATGACCCTGGGGTAACGGTCCTTTGTGGTGTAATAAATGCATTGTGGGGTCTGTGTGTGTGTGTGTGTGTGTGTGTGTGTGTGTGTTTGAATGTCAGCATATGTCAAATTTTAAGAAACCAACCCTAACAAACAGGTATTGCATTCTTTATCAGTCACTTCTGTCACATGTGTTTGCGACCCAGATGATTTATGGATCTTATTTTCTCTCTGAAGATATTTTGTTCTTTCCCACAAAAGGCTGTGTCAGGTGGCCAAATGGCATTAAGATTTGGATCCAGCACCCCAAAATCTGTAAGAGAGGATGGGTCACATTAATTGACCCCAAATAATTTCAGGATAGGTGTTATTCCTGGCTTTATCATTAGAATTTTCCAGTTACTCTCCACTTTGCTTAATTAGAGACAGGGTGGATTGGTTTAAATCAGCAAGAAGAAAGAGGCAATTTAAATCATTTATTTAAAACAAGTTCCCCTTTGATACTTCTTTGTTCTTGAAATAATAGTGCAAATCTGACCCCTAAACCATGTTAAAGTAGTTATACTTGTTTTATTCTTATAGCCAGGCCTTCTTTATTTTAGTTGTACTTGCTTTCCATATATATATATATATATATATATATATATATATATATATACATATACCTGTAGAGGGAATATGTTTAAATTCTAGTTTTATCAGCAGAGGAGGCACATTCCATTGTCTTTCAGGACAAATGGATGCTAACAACAAGCAGCACCCATGACAGTTTGCAAAGTTGATAGCTGGATCCCATACATGTTTACTCAAAAGTAAGTCCCCTTGAGTTCAGTGGGGCTTCTTCTCCCATATTAGGCTGCAGTCCTATACCTGCTTAAGTATGAGAATATGGAAACATGCACAATTTTGTCTTCCATTCTTATTTCCAGTGTTGCTCCTTACTGCTTCTCGGCCCACCTTCTCTCTCACACACACACTCAACCAGAAAGTTGCAAAAAATAAATAAAAATGAAGTGACCATGACTGACAACTCAAAGTAGGGCTGCCAGGTGTACAAAAGCAGTTGGCTTTGATCAGGTGAAGATGGATTGCCTGCATCTGGTAGGTGGAGTTTAAATATATTGATACCTTGGTTTAAGTACTTAATTCGTTCCGGAGGTCTGTTCTTAACCTGAAACTGCTCTTAACCTGAAGCACCACTTTAGCTAATGGGGCCTCCTGCTGCTGCCGCACCGCCGGAGCACGATTTCTGTTCTCATCCTGAAGCAAAGTTCTTAACCTGAAGCACTATTTCTGGGTTAGCGGAGTCTGTAACCTGAAGCGTATGTAACCTGAAGTGTATGTAATCCGAGGTACCACTGTACTCATATTTGAGAAATGATCAGATTCATTTGTTAGAAAAAGCCTCCTTAGTTTCCAGTTTCAATTCAAAGTGCTGCTTTTGACCTATTAAACCTTATGCAGCTCAGGACCCCGATACTACAAGGACCGCCTCTACTCACATGAAGCAACTCGGGCCCCACAGTCATAATCTGAGCCCCTTTGTTGTAGGCCCCCTCCAAGGGATGTGCAGAGGATGGTGACTTTTCAGTGGTGGCTCCCCAAATACCGGTTGATGGGAATCACTAGTGGGGAGAGTGCTGTTGTGCTCAGGTCCTGCATGCAGGCTTCTCTTTAGGGCATCTGGTTGGCCATTGTGAGAGCAGGATGCTGCGCCAGGCGAGTCCCCGTTGGCCTGATCCAGAAGCCAGGCTCTCCTTGGCCACCTTGCCCAGAGTTTCTGTGCCCCTGCTGCAGAGAGGGGAACCACGAGTGTGATGCAGTGACATCACATAGGTTTTGTGTATTTCTAGATGAAGGTGGGAGGGCAAGAGCAAGATGGTGGGGTGCTTGTCGCGAGGGCAGCCCCACAGTCTGATGCGCAGCACAAGACAGCCTGCCTTGCTTTCCGTTTCCCTCTTCAATACAGCACGATTCTATCCAGAGGGCTCTCCGGCCCCAGCATCTGTCTTCTGCAGGGAAAGCATCTCTCTGCCTGCCTGAAACCTAAGCATTGCTGACATCCCGCTTTCTCCTCCCCCCTCCCCAGCCTGTACTCTGCAAACGTGCAGCCCTGCATGTCTTGCCGCTTTGCAGACATCGTGCCACGCTTTTGGTCCCTGCCTGGAAACTGGTCCCGGGCTAGAAACACGAGAGCCGTACCTGCACCCCTCAGCATCTTGGGTGTTAGGGGGTTGCGGAGGCTTCTGCTCTCACTGTAAACGCAATCAGGGTTGAGTCCCCAGGTTGCAAGCATGCCTTGTGGGGAAAGGGATCTCTTAGCCTTTGCAGGCTGCGCTGACCAGTTCTGCTGGATCTCTCAGCGGCGTTTGATACCATCGACCATAACATCCTTCTGGACCGTCTTGAGGGGCTGGGAGCTGGGGGCACTGTCATACAGTGGTTCCGCTCCTTTCTCCTGGGCCGTGTTCAGAAAGTGGTGGGGGGATGAGTGTTCAGACCCCTGGGCTCTCACTTGTGGGGTGCCTCAGGGTTCTGTCCTCTCCCCCATGCTTTTCAACATCTATATGCAGCCGCTGGGAGAGATCATCAGGGGGTTTGGGCTGGGTGTTCATCAGTATGCGGATGATACCCAGCTCTACCTCTCTTTCAAATCAGAACCAGTGAAGGCAGTGAAGGTCCTATGTGAGTGCCTGGAGGCGGTTGGAGGTTGGATGGTGGCTAACAGATTGAGGTTGAATCCTGACAAGACAGAAGTACTGTTTTGGGGGACAGGAGGCGGGCAGGTGTGGAGGATTCCCTGGTCCTGAATGGGGTAACTGTGCCCCTGAAGGACCAGGTGCGCAGCCTGGGAGTCATTTTGGACTCGCAGCTGTCCATGGAGGCACAGGTCAAATCTGTGTCCAGGACAGCTGTTTACCAGCTCCATCTGGTACGCAGGCTGAGACCCTATCTGCCTGAGGACTGCCTCGCCAGAGTGGTGCATGCTCTGGTTATCTCCCGCTTGGACTACTGCAATGCGCTCTACGTGGGGCTACCTTCGAAGGTGACCCAGAAACTACAACTAATCCAGAACGCGGCAGCTAGACTGGTGACTGGGAGCGGCCGCCGAGACCACATAACACCGGTCTTAAAAGACCTACATTGGCTCCCAGAACGTTTCCGAGCACAATTCAAAGTATTGGTGTTGACCTTTAAAGCCCTAAACGGCCTCGGCCCAGTATATCTGAAGGAGCGTCTCCACCCCCATCGTTCTGCCCGTACACTGAGGTCCAGCGCCGAGGGCCTTCTGGCGGTTCCCTCATTGCGAGATGCAAAGCTACAGGGAACCAGGCAGAGGGCCTTCTCGGTAGTGGCGCCCGCCCTGTGGAATGCCTTCCCTTCAGATGTCAAAGCAATCAACAATTACCTGACATTCAGAAGACATCTTAAGGCAGCCCTGTTCAGGGAAGTTTTTAATGTGTGATTTTAGTGTAATTTTGGTTTCTATGGAAGCCACCCAGAGTGGCTGGGGAAACCCAGCCAGATGGGCGGGGTACAAATAATAAATTATTATTATTATTATTATTATTATTATTATTACCAGAACTGATGGGAGTTGTAGTCCAGAACATCTGGATGGCACCAGGCTAGTGGGTGGGGAGGGAGGCTGCTTTATATGGGTGGGAATGGTATCTCAGCTCTGTGTACACACTCTGTGTGAGTGTGGGCAGAGTAAGATCGGAAGAGAAGAGTCAGGATATCTGCTTCAAAAGTGCCGTCCCGGTTTGCTCAGTGGTCAGTTTGATCGTATGTAAGCTGCTCTGGGAGACTTTTTGGCTGAAGAGTGGGATGCAAATGCTCACATGTTACTGCAGCTCGCTTCCCACAGGAGCACCTGCAACATTGGCCAAGGTGCAAAGGGCAGGGTGGGGGGAATACTTATAGAAGACCATCTGCTTGTCCCCTTTTATGATCTGAAAAATCACAGGATGCACAAACAGCTGTGCAGCACCTATACCAGCTCAGCTGTGTTGTAAGCGCTTTCTGGAGCTACAGAAGAAGATGGAGGTACAGATTGTGCCTCTTAAATCAGAACCCAGGAGTGTTATATGGTGAACTGATCTTCACAACAGCCCAAAGGGGTAGTTTGCTGCTCTCTCCTTAGAGGTCTGAGGCTGAGAGATAATGATTTGCCCTAGACGAATCCCCGCAATGGGGTCAGCTCCAGTTGCCCGGTCCCAGCTCTTGCCAGCCTAGCAGTTTGAAAGCACGTCAAAGTACAAGTAGATAAATAGTTACCGCTCTGGTGGGAAGGTAAATTGTGTTTCTGTCTGCTGCTCTGGTTTTGCCAGAAGCGGCTTAGTCATGCTGGCCACATGACCCGGAAAAACTGTCTGTGGACAAATGCCGGCTCCCTCAGCCAGTAAAGCGAGATGAGCGCCGCAACCCCAGAGTCGTTTGTGACTGGACTTAACTGGCAGGGGTCCTTTACCTTTACCTTTACCTTTACCTTTACCTTTACCTAAGTATCCACCTAAGATGTCTTTTCAGTGCAGGGATGTTGGAAGATTCAGGACAGAGGAATATTTCTTCAAGTACGGCATAGTCAAACTATGGCACTCCCTCCCACAGGAGACAAGTGTCAGCGACAATCCTGGATGGCTTTAAAAGAGGATCAGATACATTTATGGAGTAAGGCAGGGCCATTGATAGCTATTAGCCAGAATGGCTGTGATCTGCCCACACTGTTGAAGCCCTTGTTCTTATCCTGCAAAGCAGTTCTTAGCTTCTGTTCCTCTGCTCCTCACCAGCAAAACTGCAATGGTAGTGCTTTATTTTACTAAACTGCTGTCAATGGGAGCCTTATTAAAACAGCAGCATGTGCATGAAAGCATCATGCACATGATAAAAGAGAAGCGCAGAGTCCTGTCATTTCCAGGCTCACTCTGGGCTTAGGGGGCTTTTGAGTGTCATGCAACACCATAGACACAGCTCTTTTCAGACCTCCTCGTGCCAAATGGAGACCTGGCAACCTGAGGCAGATGGCCAGAGCAGCACATGGGCACAGGCAGGGCTGGCATCAGTTGGGGCTCCCTGCAGCCACTCTTGCTTGAGTCAGATTGCTGAAAGTGCAGACCCCCATGACTTGGCCTGGCAACGCTTGAGGAACCGGCGCTGTGACCGGTGATGAGGTGGAAGAGGGCCCAAATTGGATCTGGGGGATTACAGCAAGCTGGACTGGAGGTGGGAAGTGCTACAAAAGAGCCCTGTTGCATCAGGCATCTACCTGCCCCAGTATCCTGCTTTTCATAGTAGCTAACCAGGTGCCCCTAGCAGGCTCACAAATGTTGCAAGCAGCCTATAGGCCTCTGCTGTGGTTTGTGCCCAGCATCTGGTAGCCGGTTTCTGAGTGTGGAGGCTCCATTTCCCTATCATGGCTACCAGCTGTTGAAAGACCTGGCTTCCACAAACCTTCCTAGCTGAGAGCTAGTTCCCTCCAGATGTTTTGAAGCACAACTCCAGTCGGTCTCAGCAAGCACAGGTGTAGGACGTTGCGACCAGTGGTCATCCAAAATCTCTGGAGCACACCAGGTTGGAGAATTTAGGCCTAGCCTTTCCCCCCAAACCACCTCACCTAGTTATTGGTCATCATGACCTCTTGTGCACAAGTTAATTATTTCTTTGGACTATTCTGAATCTCCTGTCAGTCGGCTTCATTGGATAACTCCCAGTTCTAGTACTATTTGAGTTTCAAACTTTTCTTTTTGCTGTTTTTATTGTGCATGACCTTGATATGACAGTGTAGAAGGCAATAACTAAATTGTTGCTGATGCTGATGGTATATTTTAGAGAGGGAGAAAAACTGTGCCTGCTTACTCCACACCAGGCCTAGTTTTATAAAATTCTGCCATGCCCACGCTCTTTAAAGTCATGTTTTTACAAAGCCCAATGCCCCAAATGCTTTAAGTGTTTCCTTCCAGGGAAGGGGCTCCAGCCTCTTGTTCACATGGGTTGCCAAAGTGGGCTGGGACCAAATGATGGCGGAAGACCCTGCTGGGATGCTTCAGGGATGCTATGACAACAAGAGGGAGGGAGTTCTGCGCGTTCCGAAGCCGGAGTGGGGATTCTGGACACAAGCCATTGGGCGAGCTAGCTGTCTGTCGGTCGCCCCTGTGACCTCAAGGCTGGGAACACCTCCCAGCACCCTTAGCAACGGTTGCAGCTCTTGATGTCATCGGTGGCCTTGCTGTGCGTGGCACAGTTCTTTGGCAGTTCTGCAGGAAGCCTGGGGAACCCTGCTGAGGTTTTGGTCTTGCAAAGGGGGAGCGGGTTTCTGAAAGCGGTGGAGAGAGGAGGGGGAGATATGGAGCGCACATCCCTGCTTCTCCAGGTCTGTTAAATGACGGGTGCTGCCCTTGGTCTGTCCAGGGAACAATCCCAATAATGCCTGCCTAGGTCAGAGGCTGGAGAGGGACCCAGCCAGAGGTGCTTCTGCTCCTAAGCTGGAAGATTCAGGGCAGATAAAAGAAAGGACTTCTTCATGCAGCACAGAATTAAACTATGGAACTTCCTGCCACAGGAGGCAGAGATGGCCGCCAACTTGGATGGCTTTAAAAGAGGATTAAACAGATTCATGGAAGAGAGGGCTGACAATCACTACTAGCCAGGATGGCTATGCTCTGCCTCCACAGTTGGATGCAACGATGCTTCTGAATACCTGTTCCTGCAATCCACAGGTGCTCAAATCCTGCTTGCAGGTTTCCCATAATGGGCATGTGGTTGGCTACTGTGAGAACAGGATGCTGAACCAGATGGGTCATTGGCCTGATCCAGCGAGGCTCTCTTCATGTTCTTATGTTCTTATGTTCTTAACTTTAATTCCTTTAAGGGCAGGTGAGAGGTCAGTGTGAATGATATTCCTGAATGCTACCTACCTACCTTCCTACCTACCTATCTGATAAGTCACACTTTGTCTTTCAGATACTCACTTCAGGCAGCTTAGAGGAGGCATAAAAGCCATTTAAAACCAAAATGAAAACAGCATAGGATTTAGTTGGAAAAGCCCAACAGCCCCAAATCACAGCTTCACTGAATCAACAGCCTCTCACCGAGTGCCTGGCAAGAAGCTCTAAGCCACTTTGCTAAATGACTGCAGAGCAGGAGTCAGGCAGGTCTCTTTCTGTAGGCATGGAAATTCCTAGAAGTGGGGCCATCTCAGGTAACAGCCATCGCCACTAGCCTGAAGCAAGCTCCCTCCTAAATGAGGAGGTGGGGCATAAAAGAGGGGGCTCCATAGCTGGCCTCAAGTGGTCAGGACTTCAGAAGAGAAGAAGGCCCAGGGCTGCTGACCATCTCTCACTTGCAATATGAGGCTGGGGTGATGGTGAAGCTCTCCAATGGCAGGTCACGAATGAGACCTGACTAGAAGCAACATCTTTTGACACACATGCGTGTGCGCGCACCCCAGATCCAGACATTTGAGTGTAGGCTCTGTGTTAGTTGACTGTGAGGATGTTGCACTATTGCACATACTCCGCAAAGTATGGCTCCCTTAAGGTATTGCTTTCCCTGTTCCACGGTTGGTTCCCGGAAAATGCACCATAAATCAGCTTGTTGTTCTGCCTGTTGCGGCTTTGCAGAACCACCCAGGTTTGCACCTTCTTCTGCATTCCATCCCTCGGCAGGAGAGCTGGCGAAAGCCAAGGAAATCGACCCCACTGCTCTCTGCAATGCCATCCTGGGAAACTTTCCCAAGGCTGGGCAAAGCCCCAGAGACGGCACTGTGGCTCCTTTGTTCTCCCCGCCAGGTTCATGGAAGAACTGATAACAGCGCTGGGCTGCCAGCGGGATAACGCTCTGCTGTCGTTCAACTGTTTGCTGAACTTGGAGGCAATGTTCAAATGTGCAGCTGGCCAACAGCGGTGGGGACTGGGGATTGAGAGTGGAGAACTTAGCTGCTGAGCAGGATCTGGGGGTTATAAAAGATCACCAACTAAGAATGAGCCAGACATATGACAGATCTTGTGGCAAGGAGGGATGGGACAGGCGACAGGCCTGGCTATTTTGGGCTGCGTTAGCAGAAGTACCATATCCTCTGTGGGATGAAGTCATGGGCCTTGTCCTTCTTGAGGCTGCACCAGCCCTTCGCATAAGGGCACCGGACTCAAGAAAGCGTTTTACCAAATTGGAGAGGGTTGCAGAACCTCAGCAGAAAGGCTTAAAGGCGCTTGGTAGCAGAGGCCAAGGGAAGGCTTCATCAAACGCTCAAGGGATGTATGAAATCAGCAGGCTGCATAATATTGCACTTACTTTCTTTTATAAATCATTTTTATTAGTTTTCCAATAAGAACATCCAGTTAATAAATCCGTCAAATCATAATCCAATAAATTGGATTGTAATTTGGCTGTTTTTTATTTTATTTTATTTTTAATTGGATAATATTGCACTACTTTCTCTCATTCCCCTGTGCTTTTTGCGAAAAGACGCACCCGTAGGGCAGCCAAGGTTGTGGTGAACGTCTCAGTGGGGCCAGGGGTGTGCAGTACATTTTCTGGTGGGTTATCCTGGCACATCTTTCAATCATTGGACCAAGGGGTGACTTGTCCAAGCGCTGGATTCATGTGGTGTTTGTCCTCAGGGTATCCCCGCCCCCCCCCCAGCTTGGCAAATGGGTCAGATGCCTTGCGGATGTTTCTTTCCGCCAGAACAAAGTGCCGCTTTCTCTTCCCTGCAACCTCATACTGAGCACAGCTTGTCTGCTTTCGGCACGGCCAGGCCTCGTGGTGTGCCTCCTGCCTCCAGCTTGTGCCTTTTCCTCCCACTGCCCCACTCGTGATGGGTCTTGTGTTCCAAGTGCCTGTAGCCTTTCTGCCTTTTCTCGGTAGCTGCATCGTCCGTCCTGAAATCCAGGCTGTACTGTGCTTCCCCCCCGGCCTGTGTCTATAAGCACCTCAAAGTTTGTACCGAAGAAAACATTGATTTTGTGCCTCCTTCGTGGAATAAATAATTTGCAGGCATTAATTCACGTATTGGACCCCTTGGGAAATTCAACTAACCTACTGTACCTGGAGCTGCAGCTGAATGGGACACGGCTGTGGGCAGCCTGAAGAAGTATCCTCCACCTTGAGCTACCTGTAAAAAACAAGTCTAGAGTAAGAGACTAGGGTGATGTCCACTATTTCCAGGAACTCTTCTCTTTGTGAGAGTTTTGTGGGTGAGCTGGGAGTTTGTTAGCACCCTGGCTAAAAACGCGGAGGCTGGGAAGGAGGGTGTGCCAGAAGGATAATGAATTGATATTGATTTATACATAATAGGCTTCCTCTACCTCGGCCCTCCAGATGTTTTTGGCCTACAACTCCCATGATCCCTAGCTAGCAGGACCAGTAGTCAGGGATGATGGGAATTGTAGTCTCAAAATATCTGGAGGGCCGAGGTTGAGGAAGCCTGATATATACAGTGGTACCTTGGTTCTCGAACTTAATCCGTTCTGGGAGTCCGTTCAATTCCTGAAACGGTTCAAAAACCAAGGCGCGGCTTCCAATTGGCTGCAGGAGCTTCCTGCACTCAATCGGAAGCTGCGTTAGACGTTCGGCTTCTGAAAAACGTTTGACAGCTGGAACAATCACTTCCGGGTTTGCAGTGTTTGGGAGCTGGTTTGTTCAGGAACCAAGCCATTTGAGTATCAGGGTACCACTGTATTAGTAACTTTATATTAATGTAGACATTTTTATATGTACCTGTGAATTTTTGTAATATTTTTTGTTTGTTATCTGTTGTTGCTTCAGTTTTCTGTATACCAGTTAGAGATATTGAGCATTTGAGCTGATTAGACAGCTTGGAATGTTCACAAATATTCCAAATGTTCAGGGAGAAAACATTCTTTGGACATTCAATCTTCATCCTTCCTACATAAAAACAATTTAAAACGACAGCAGCACGTACATAAAATTAAGACAGCTTGATAGTGCGGAACAAAATGTTCCTCTCACCCATTTGCAGACAATGAATTTAGGTACATTTGCAGGGGACATGCTGGCTTGTGTCGATTGGAGTTGTGGTCCAAAACAACTCAAGGGCACCAGATTGGGGAAGGCTGGTACATAGTATGCTGTATGAAGTCACTCACTAGGGATTGTCATTTCAGGACTTTGCTTTGCAGGTCCCTCTTTGCAAAGCACTCACACAATGGTGTGTGTGTAATATAAAAATATATATCCTTTTCCTTTCAATTTCCTTCTTACCAGTCCCCTCACTTTTGGGAAGCATCCTCTTTGGAAGTCAGATGTGACCGTGTTGGATTTTCTTGGCAATTGTCCATTTGCATCAGTGGTGAGGAATCGCTGCCCTGTGGTCCAACCTTGGCCTGCCAGGGAGTCCAGTTTGGCTCATGAGGCCATTTTCTCCAAACCATAGCCACCCACCTGTCAGCTGACACCACTGGTTTTACCAGCTGATGGGTTTAATTCTGCTTTTTCTGCACAGGGAACAGGATTGCACAGCCAAAACAGCAGAATTACCAAATCCCTGCTCATCAGATGACAGTGTTAGAAACTCAGATATACAAGCTAATTGCCAAATGGCACCTTAAACCTAGTCTGCGGTCACCACCATGGAATGTCTAGGTGCCATTTCCCATCGCTGGTTGAATTTATTGTTGTGGTGATTTTTAGTCCTTTCATTTCTATACCGCTTTATATTTTAAAGAAAAAAATCTGAAAGTGGTTTGCAACACATTAAAACATCAAATAAAACAATCCAGAATAAAACAAATTCAAGCTTCAAGGAAAATATTTCAGATCCATCTCTAAGTGATATTTTGCTTTCTCCATATTTATTTATGTAGCTGTCCCATAGCAGAAGTACTCTAGGAAGCCAGGGTGGTGCAGTGGTTAGAGTGTTGGACTAGGACCTGGGAGATCAGGGTTCAAATCCTCACAGCCATGAAGCTCACTGGGTGACCTTGGGCCAGTTACATCCTCCTAACCTACCTCACAGGGTCATTGTAGGAAATAACTAAGGGAAGCGAACCATGAGGAATAGTCCTAGTAGAGAAAGGTGAGATATAAGTGCAATAAATAAGCTCTCCTGCTTGCCTGATTACAAAAGCTGGAAGGGCCGGCTAGGTGGAGATGTCAGTTGCCAACTTGGCATGCAGAGATCTCCACATGGTTGCAGTTGGACCTGCTTCACTCGCAAAATGTGCCTGGCGCCTCGGGAATTTCGAAGACGGCTCACATAATGGCACCTTAAGCACATCCTGGGCCCGTCTGGCCAAGCACACATGCACCCAGCTAGTTTTAGTCAGCCAAGAGGGGCAAAGGTCAGGCGTTCACGTTGGCGGATGCATTGCTGCTACATCATCGTCGTGCCACAGAAACTGAAACTGATGCCGCAGCACTCGCTCAGAGCGGACATTGGACACCTCAGCCGATCCTGCAGTCACTGCGGCATGAAGGTCACCACAGAAGCGGAAGACTTTGTCCTTCAAGAGTCTTGCAGATAATTCACAGCAGACTCCAGAGAGCCCTATTGCTCTGCCCACAGATGATAACAGTCCCTTGATCCCTCCGTAAAGTTCCTCTGGACAACTGCTTCAGGTTTCAGCGGAGGAAGCAAAATAGGCCCTTTTTGCTAACCCCGCTGTGGCACAGTGAGCAGACACTCTGGTCAGGCTCAGCCTTTTCTCTCTCTCTACACCCTGGACCCTGCTGTCTCTTCTAGCACAACATGTGGCTCATTATGCTGGCTAACCTTGCAAGGATCACTGGGATGCAAAGTATTCTGAATATTTGAAACTTTCTGTATAAAAATGCAGAGTCATCAAATTCATATCCATTAGGGGAAACAGCAGAAATTCATCCTTCACCCCAAAAGACAGTTACATCCTTCTGTTAGGTGGGGCGCATGGTACCGCTTGTGTTAGTGCACCTGCCCACTCCCACCAGGGGGCCAGAAACATGTCTCATGCTTCTCCTGATCATATATTAAGAGCCTGGATTTTCCAGGGCTTGGGGGTCCTGTGTTTTCGTGCAGTGAGTTGGGCTTGGTGGTTTTTGGTTCCCTTCAGACACCAAGTCTGCCTAGCAGACCCCTGCGAAACGCAGAGCAAACTCCCAGTCATTTCCTTCCCCAATGACGGGGCAGAAGGGGCCTGAAGAGATAGACTATGTCAGCACCAAAAGCATCTATTCTGAGCCGTTGCTAAGAAACTGCCTAATGTCACTTCCCTGAATCTTCCCCGCCCGGCACCCTTCTGCACTGCTGATCCAAAAGAATCAGCAAGCGTTTTCCGCAGCAAACTGCTTCCCCTGGGATGGCTTTGCCAAAAAGGATTGCACAGGAACTTTAAGGGAAAGGATTGTGCCCACCCAAAAGACGGTGGGGGCAAAACCCAAATCCTGCAGTCCCAAATATATTGTACAGTTTGCATGTTCCCATATTTGCTTATTCTGTTGTATAATTTCTGCTTGGCTTTGGGAAGGGATGTGGGCTTATTGCATCTCTATTGCATCTGTTTCAACCCTGAACCTTTAAGGATCTGGAAGCCCTGCTCAAACTCCCTCTAGCTTCTGGCATTTTCACCAAGCACTGCCCAAGTTTTCAAATTTCTGCAGGCTTAAGGACTAGAAGCTTAAAAAAAAAAGCAGAAAAAAGGAAACTGAGATGCTGCAGGATATTCAGTTGTGCAGTCAGAGGAAATTATGTGCTTATTAGGCCATGCAGTCATTGATGTGTGGAACGCAATTGGCCCTGACTTGGTGGACCGTATTCCAAATGTCTGGAGAGGTCTCTCCTCTCTCCTGCCCTTGTCTGATGCTCCCATCACCACACACAGTGTGACAAATGTGATACATAAAAATAAAACTTGCCGTATTTTTCCGTGTATAAGACTAGGTTTTTTTTTACCAAAAAATTAGGTTTAAAATTGGGGCTCGTCTTTTACACGGGTAGTGCTGAAGGGTGTTTTCTTAACTTGGAGTCCCCCCAAAAAGGGGGGCGTCTTATGCATGGGGGCATCTTAGACACGAAAAAATACGGCAAGTAGAGTGAATCCTGGTTTTAGATAATTCGCAATTGTAGGATCAGGGGCTAGAAGTGCTGTTGATGTCGTTACAGATACTGAGGAAGGGTCCTTCAAGAGTCCTCTCGACGTTCCTAAGGAATTTGCTTGTTAGAGGCCAGTTTGCAAATCAGGGAACGCAGGACCAAGATGCTCCAGGCCATCAATGCCTCTTATTTGGTCAGCGCAGGAGATTTCCAGGGCACCTTAGACGGGATCTTGGGTGTCTTCACTGCAGCCTCTTGTCTGCTTCTCTTAGGCTGTTCTTCGGGACTTGTTTGCTGCGAGTTTTGTGCAGTTCTAACGACACAGTTTATGCTGTCAGCTGCACCCAAGTTAAAGCCACACTCCAGAAAATAAGGCTCTTGACTGTGGCTTCTTTTAACCTTTTGATGAAGAAATGTGAAGTGGGTGGGTGGACGGAGGCTTGTCTCATCTCTCTATGATTCTCAGGCTTAAGCAGGCTATTAAGAATACATCTTTCCACAACAGTTTGCTGATTTCTGATTCCAACTTTCCGTATGCTTTCATGTACAATTGTCGTTAACCTCTCTGATACTTTTTTTTTAATGAATAGTGGTCTATAAAACTTTGTGCATCACTTATCCGTTCCTTGAGGATGTGCTGTGACAGAGCCTTACCTGGGCTTCCTGTTCACCATGTCCCACTTGAGAGCACATGCTAAATTGCACCAGATCCTTCTGCCTCCTTCATTTGGAGCCCTGAGGTGGTGCTTCAACTCAGTCCTGCTCACGGCGCTCTTCCCTGCTGAGCTGCCAGAGCAGTCCTCCTCGCCTCCTGACCACGTAGAAAGAACCTTGTTTTCATGTATGTTGGAACACAGGGCACAGGAAGCTGCCTTGTGCTGAGTAAGACCATTGGTCTCTCCAGATCTGTACTGCCTACACTGACTGGCAGCTGCTCTCCTGAGGCTCAGGCAGGGGGTCTCTTTCTGCCCTACCTGGAGGTGCTGCTGTTAACTGAGCCTGGGGCATTCTGCAGGTGAAGCCCCTGAGCTATTGCCCTTCCCGGTCTCATTCTGTCACCCATGATCTCAGCTGTCAGTGAAACTTTTTGCCTTGCTTCACATCTCACCCTCGTTTTTCTTCTTTTCCCCTCCCTCTCTCTCTTTTCCAGGAGAGGTTTGTGGACCTCTACGGGAACGACGCCGCGGCCAAGAGCAGGAAAGGCCAGGAACGCTTCAACAAGTGGCTGTGGACGGGGGCCACCGTGGCCGGGGTCGTCCTTCTCGGCTCCCTCCTGAGCCGCAAATAGCCAGAGACGGACTCTCCGCTGCCGCCACCACCCACCTCGGCCTGTGCTCCGTCGCCGAGGGACGCGCTGCGCATCCTGTCCCTCAGCCTTGCGATCATTCCAGGGGGGGGTGGAGACGGGGGGTGGGCCTCCGTGTAGCAAACCCCCCACTCTGACCCCAGGTGTCATCCTCTCCCTCCCCCCAACAACTCACAGACCTCTTTCTGGTGCCTCCTGCCCCACAGACACCTCCAACCAACCCCAGGTTACTGTTCCAATGCGTAGGGACCTGGATCCCTCCCCACCTCACCTTTGGGTGCTGTGCCTCCAAACCCCCCACCCCGCCCCCAGGAGCGGGCTTCCCTTGCTCCTTTTAATCACTTTTACTCACATTCCTGGTATTTCGTTTGGTGGTTGATTATTTTTTTTTTTAAAAGCCCCCCTAAGGCAGGCCTGGCTCTTGTTTGCTTTACTTCCAGGAAGTGTGTGTGTGTGTGTGTGTGTGTGTGTGTGTGTCTTCTGCCACGTGGGTCGTTTTGGGTTAGCGAGCTCTAGCACTGCAAACGCCTTCCGAGGTCAGCAAGTCCGATGGAGAGAGACTCCTTTTGTGCTGACCTGCGTGGGAGCCTCCTGCATGTGGGAGTGCGTTGAGGGTTCCCCTCCCATGACCAAAGAGGGGACCCTGCAGTGAGCGTAGGAGAAAGGGGTGCCCTCTCTGAGGGACCCCCTTGTTCTGTGGGGCAGTGCTTGGCTGGGCAGGAGGAAGGATGAGGCAAGTGCATGGGAGCCCTGGAATGGGAACAGTCAAAGGCAGGATCCACTATAAACCTCTTCTTCCCCACCTATCCGCCTCCCCTTATTCCCAGTGGACGGTCAAGAGGGGTCTCAATGTCGCCGCGGGTCTCATGTCCATCCCTTCCGAGCTTATTTCTAAGGGAGTCTCCCTAGCCCTGTGCTAATCCTCAGCACCCCACAGGATGCAGGCCAGTGTTTGCTTTGCACACCTGAAGGAAATGGAGGCCAGTCATGTGCGGGGGGGCGGACAAGCCTCTTTCTTTGGAAGGAGCTTTTGGCAGTGAGGACTGCAGTCCAGAGCACTCCCTCCCATGCCCTCAGTAATGACCCCCATCCCCGTCTGTCCTGCTCGACCTTCTGGGGTGGCTGATAGTCCCCAGTGTGGCTGGGGGGTGGCTGCGCTGGCCCCTTGGGCACGGTCCTGGCCCACGTCTCCGTTTCCCCGGCCCTGCCCCCCTCTCTCGAAAGAGACGCCTCCCCTCCCGTCCTCTGCAATGAGAAGAAGCCCGTCCTCTGCCGGTTACAAGGAAAGAGCAGGCGCAAGATGGCGGGGGGGGAGAGAGAGAGAGAGACCGGCTGCCAGGAAGGGAGACGAGAGTCCGTTAGCCGGAGCAGCCTCTGGAAGGTGTTTATGATCAGCTGCTAATTGCTAGGCTGGCTCTCCGGGGACTCTCCCTGGCGGCAGCCCAGAGAACTTCCAGTAAGAGCAAAAATCAACAGCGTGTGCTGGACCAGGCTATGCAGAGAGTGTTTTTGATGGGAAGAGGTGGTTTGTGTCTGTCTGTCTGTGTGTGTTTGTGTTTGCCTGCCTGCCTGGGCGTGCGTCCGCTTCCCCAAGGCTCTGCAGAGAGTGGCAGAAATTGCTTCTCCCACCCACTGCCTGCCACCCCGATTTAGCTGGTGTGCGTGCGCACACCAGCACTTTTTCTTCTCCCTCCCTGCAAGTGGGAGAGCTGTGTGGGTGGGGGGCAGCGGCCGGTCTAGCACAGTGGGCTTCCTTAGAGCGGGGAGTGGGTGTTCTAGATGCAGGGCAGCCCCAGGCACAAGGCTGGGCCTTGCCTGACGGCGCCACCTCAGTGCTTTACATTCATCGCCCACCCCTCTCCTAGCTGTGGCCATGGGGCCTTGGTCCGCAGGGTCAAAGGGGGCGGATGGGGCACTGGGGGGGCCTTGGGTGTTCAAAGCCAGCTGTGCTCAGAAGCCGCTTCTGCAGGCCACTCAGAAATGGCCGTAGGGAGAGGAAAAGAAAGCGATGTTTCCTTTGGGGATGGGGAGTCTGCTTCTCTCTTGGTCTCTGCAGCAGCCAAGGGAATTGGGGAGGGGTGGGCTTGGTTGGGGGGGGTATGCGCAAGCTCCCATTCCTGGTTCTGACTCGGGGGTAGTGGGGTGGAGGCCCCTCGCAAAATGCCCGGTCCCTCCCTCTGTGGGTCACACCATTTTGAACCCCTTGGGTTGCTCTAACGTCAAGTCCGCTTATGACATAACCTCACAATGCCCGCCTGTCCTGTCCGAATCCCTTGTGCGGCTTGCCTGCCCCCTTTCCCCGCCACCCTGTACATGCTCGGCTGTATATATCGGAGAGTAGTTTTTATTCAGTTGTGAATACAATAATACTATTTTTGTTAACTGTATGTCTGTATTTATGTGTGTTGACTGTGCTCTTCCCCTCCTCCCAGTTAACCTCATTTTTCACAAAACCGGCCAACGAGGACGGGACGTGGCGGGAGCTGGGCAAGGGAGCGCAGGGGGCCCCCCATGTGGCAGCGGGAGCCTCCCCCCACCTCGCCCTCTCTGGCCCCTTTGAATTAAAGCGTGAATGTTGAACCTGGAGCTCGCCCGCCCATCCCTCTTGTGTTCAGGCCCCACCTGCACCCCCTATTAGGAGAAAGAGTTTGATTTGAAGATGAAAGTTCAGTTCCACCAATAAAACTGTGGTGTTTGAATTATCTGGCCCGGTTTGCTTTTTGGGATTCTGCTGCCTCTTATATCACCTTTCCCCTGAGAGCCCCTTGCACTGACTGGGGCTGATGGGAGCTCGGGTTCAAAATGGCTGGAGAAGGCCTCTTGGCTGAGGAAGGCTGTGCTAGGTCATAAAGTCCCATTCTGCTGCCTTTGATGGCTTCCCATGTCTTTGCAGGCAGATGAACTTAAATGAAAGGCAAAAGCCAAGAATCTTAGGATATTCTAGATCAATGCTTCCCAAACTGAGGTCTCCAGCTGTTTTCAGACTACAATTCACATCATCCCAGATCACTGGTCTTGCCAGCTAGGGATGATGGGAGTTGTAGTCCAAAAACAGCTGGAGACCCAAATTTGGGGAACACTTTTCTAGATGATGGTTGAATGGGGGGGGGAGGGAGAGACTTTAGCAAAGAATTCAATGAACACAAACAGCCACCTTTGCTAACCTACTGCCCTCTCCAGATATTTGGGACTACAACTCCCATCAGCTACAGCCAGCATGGCTGTGGGATGCTGGAGTTGATGTCAGTGCAACTGTTCTGGCTGGGGCTGATGGGAGTTGTATTTTGAAACATGGCAGGCACAGGGTTGTCAAGGCCTGGCTTGCAGGAGAAGTGATGACTGCAGCCTCCGTGCTTAGAGGACATTGGAGTATCGGGCTGAGTGGGAGGCAGATGTTTGCATCACAGCCTGCTGGAGAAAGGTGGCTGGGATCTCCGGCTCGCCGCTCTCAGGCAACTGGGCACTGCGGGGCAGGCCAGTAGTCTTTTCAAGCACTGTCCTCTCTGTCTGTGTGCTCTTTAAGGGGGAGCATGAGCAAGCTGTGTGAACCTGGCAAGACTGTCTTGCCTTTCATGGTCAGGAGTAACCTGGATCAGAAAAAAGGCCATCTAAACCAGCAGTAGGGATGCGGGTGACGCTGTGGGTTAAACCACAGAGCCTAGGATTTGCCGATCAGAAGGTCGGCAGTTCAAATCCCCACGACGGGGTGAGCTCCCGTTGTTTGGTCCCTGCTCCTGCCAACCTAGCAGTTTGAAAGCACGTCAAAGTGCAAGTAGATAAATAGGTACCACTCCGGTGGGAAGGTAAACAACATTTCCATGCGCTGCTCTGGTTCGCCAGAAGCGGCTTAGTCATGCTGGCCACATGACCCGGAAGCTGTACGCCGGCTCCCTCGGCCAAGAATGCGAGATGAGCGCCGCAACCCCAGTCGGCCATGACTGGACCTAATGGTCAGGGGTCCCTTTACCTTTAAACCAGCAGTAATGCACAATCGCGTACTTAGGACTGTGCAGACCTTGGAACTCTCTCCCACAGGAGGCAGCCATGGCCACGGCCACTAGCGTGGGAAAGAGGATTAGACAAGGAGGCCTATTGAAGGCTACTGGCCATGATGGTTATTCTCAGTTGGAGATAGCAGTGCTTCTGGATACCAGTTGCTGGAAACCACAGGAAGGGAAGATGTTCTTGTGCTCAAATCCTGCTTTTGGGTTTCCCACACACCTCTGGTTGGCCACTGTGAGACCAGGATGCTGGACTAGATGGGCCATTGGCCTGATCCAGCAGACTGTTGATATGTGATCCCTGGTGCTTCCAGCGACTTCAGCTCCTAAAAGGAGCGGGGGATTCTTTTTGGATCCAAAGTTGCTGGAAGCTGCAAGGACTGAGTCGGGATAAGGCAGCTTTGCATCCATTGACCAAAGGCAGTGACAATCCTGCCAGAACCCCAGGTGGTTCCCCCTTTCCTCTTACCTATGGCTACCCAAGAGAGATGCAAACCACAGCCTGATGTACAACGTAGTGTTTTATTGCATGGAGGGAAAGAGCAAGGCTGCTTAAGAGGAGCCGCTGGAAAGGCCACGCAAAGAGGCTTGGGTCCAATCCAGTCTCGGCTGACCTGCTGACCTTGGCTGTGCTGGCAAGGGCTGCCGGGGGCTGTAGTCCAGAACAGCCAGAGGGCACCAGGTTGGCAGAGGCTGGGCGAGTCTCTCTCCAGTGGAACGGAGACGGCTGGTGAACATGACCAACCTCCTGCAGCTCCAGGAAGGCAAAGGCACATTGGGTGGATTTGGGAAGGCTCGGGCCATGGGGAGGTGATCCAAAGGGGGCTGGTAGGGGCATGGGCAGTGTGGGAGGCGTCGCCCCAGCTGCCACCCTCGGGGCGGTCAATTCTGCCTTGAACGTGCAGGATCCGCGGCTGCCTCTCCCCGACTTCCGCCTCCGCGCTCTACTTCTTCCACTCGTTCTTGTCGTAGTCCCACTTGGAGGAGAAGCCGTCCACAGGGTTGGTGCGCATGTCCAGCATGCGCTTGATTTGCTTGGCCTTCCACTCGTCAGTCAAGGTGTGCGGCTTCGGGGGGAACACTGTCAAGGCAACGGGGGAAGGCCGAGTGAGGAGGGCAACAGAAAGATCATAAGCAGGTCACAGGGAAGGTTCTCCCGCACTGGTTAGGAGACCCTTGATGCCTCCCAAATCCTGTTCCAGGGTGGTCAAGGGGTAGAAAGACAATAAGTAGTTTGTTTTCTTTGAGGGGGGGGTGACTGGAAGCTGTGGCCCTCCAGATATGGCTGGACTCCAACTCCCATCAGACCCAGCCAGCGTGGCCAACAGTGAGAGATGATGGGACGTGTAGTCCAGGAACATCTGGAGGGTCTATAGCAGCCTTTCTCAACCTGTGGGTCCCCAGATGTTGTTGAACTACAACTCCCATCACCCCTAGCTAGCAAGGCCGGAGCTCAGGGATGATGGGAGTTGTAGTCCAACAACATCTGGGGACCCACAGGTTGAGAACCGCTGGTCTATAGGTTCCCACCCCGGTGTATGGTTGTTACTTCATATGTAAGACCAAAAAGTGGACGGGGGCCCAAACACACAAACACACACCCTGCCTTGGGAACGCAGAATAGAGCACAGCAAAGTTCCTAGTTGGGCTACAACCTGGACCACATCCCTGCTCAGATGTCAGTCCCAGAGAGTTCAAGGGATAAGGATGTGTAGGATGGAAGCTTTAATTGGTAAGTATCCTGTAAGTACCTCTAAAACCTGCAGCTTGTGGGTGCCATCTTAGCCTGTTTTTAGACAAATCCTCTTAAGACCCAGCCACACCTTATCAAAAAGCAAAGCCATTTCATCTGAGGTTTTTAAACAAGATGGCCATCTGTCAGGGATTCTTGCAGGGGGTGAACTAGATGGCTCGTGGAGTCCCTTCCGACTCTACAATTCTGTTAGTATTTGTGCTTTGCAGGACAAGTGTTCAGGTTTAATCAACTGGCTAATGGAGTGAAATGCATGTCTGCTAAGATTTCTTTCAACACAAGCAGAGCCCTGCATCTGGATCAGGTCAAAGGCCCACCTAGTGCAGCAACATCTTTCGCAAAGCAGCTCAGGAGATGCCTATGGGAAGGACTCGAATATCACAGCCGCCTCCTCACTTCTGACTCCCAGCAAGAGGCCTGCATCTTCCAATAACGGAGGTGCATAGCCGTCATGGTTAGTAGCTCCTCCACGAATTTGACTACTCCTCTTTCAAAGCCATCCAACTTGGCGGCCGTCACTATCAGAGTTTTAACTGTGCTGCGTGAAGTCCTTTTATCTGTCCTGCATAGAATCAGAATCCTAGAAGTATAGAATAGGAAGGAACCCTGGGATCATCTAGTCTGACCCCCTGCAATGCAGGAATATGCCGCTGTCGCATACGAGGATCAAAGCTGTGACCTTGGCGCTATCAGACCACCTTCCAGCATTCAGCTCCGTGGAATGTCCCCGAGTTCTAGAGTTATGAGAGAGGGAGGAAAAAACCTTTCTCTGGGTGGCGCTGTGGGTTAAGCCACAGAGCCTAGGACCTGCCGATCAGAAGGTTGGTGGTTCGAATCCCCGCGACGGGGGAGCTCCTGTTGCTCGGCCCCTGCTCCTGCCAACCTAGCAGTTCGAAAGAACATCAAAGTGCAGGTAGATAAATAGGTACCACTCCGTTTCCGTGCGCTGCTCTGGTTCACCAGAAGCGGCTTAGTCCTGCTGGCCACATGACCCGGAAGCTGTACGCTGGCTCCCTCGGCCAATAAAGCGAGATGAGCGCCGTCAGGGGTCACTTTACCTTTACCTATCATGAGCCCTTTCACCTGCCTTTTCTCTGAACTAAAAAGCAGGTTCCTTCCTGGGAACCACAGGAGGGAAGAGATGCTGTTGTGCCTACAAGAATCTGTTTGGCCACTGAGAACAGGATGCTGAACCAGGTGGGCCACTGGCCTGGTCTAATAGGCTCCTCTTACGTTCCTACAGGGGAACTGCTCCATCCATTCCCCTTCTCCAGCTCTGCAACATCCTTTTTTCTTTTTCTTTTTGCCTGCCCTGTGAGAATCTGTGGCAAGTGATTGGGCCCACCCTTAGCTTTCTAGGTGCACTTAAAAAAAAATAAAATGCAATTCTGCATCCAAACAAACTGAATTCTGCCTGGGGTGAAGTTCTCTTCTGCAACCTCCAGCACAGCACGCAGAGTGAGAAAGTGGGTGCGCTAATTTCCTCGCCCTTTGCCGCTGGGCTGCGCACATAAACTGGGCCCCACCATCCCTGCGGGTTTTCTACGCACCAGGCGAGCCCCGTGAAGGGGAAGAGCCCAGAGCTGCTGTTGCTGCAAAGGCAGGCAACAGAACTGGCCTTTCTCCTCCTTTCTGAGCCCGCCACCCCCCGCCATTCCACACCCCTCACTTGGCAGATGGGCTGTTATTGCAAATCCAGGAAAACAGCTCCATGGGCATCAGACCAGTGCGAGGAAAACAGCGGCCCCTTTGTTCCTCCCCACCCTGATTTCCAGGAGCGCAGGGCTGACATGGCTGGCTGTGGGTTGTTTACTCCCCAATGGTCCAGGAACATCAGCTGTGGGCAGAGAGGCCTGGCCTGGGGAATGGCTGGGGTGCGCAGCTAGGAGAAGCATGTGCTCCCTCTGCTGGAAAGCATCTTCCAGCAGCAGGAACGCTGCAGAAACCAAAAAGCTTTTTCAGGGCTGATTTAGGCAGGTCATTTCCCAGCCGTGGATGCAAGGCTTGAAGCAGACACCTTCCAAGTTGTTTGCTTTTGTGCCTGGGATTCGGGCTCGGATGCTGAACCTGAGGGATCCCAGCCTGCACAGGATTCCCCGCCTCCAGATCCAGCTGAGCCGGGGCTGGGGCATGAGCCTGAAGGGTCCTCACCTGTGCTGGATCCTCAGGTGCAGGCGTTAGCTGAGTCTGCTCTGGCTCCTGAGGTGATGGAGGACCCATTGCCTGCAGGTGCTCCACTCTCAGCCCCGTCAGAGGAAGCGGAGGTTGCTTCTGGGTCCGGTAACCCTCCAGCCTCTCCGGAGTTGCAGCGGCTCAGGGCAGAGAGGCGGAAGGAACCCGCAGGAGGTGCCTCCAGGCCAGGAGATGCTAGTCACCAGAAGTTCGGGGCCGCCCTATGCCTTGGGGCAGATAAAAGCCGGCCAGCCCCAGTCCCAAGTTGCGGGAGCAACATTGTTGGTTGCTAGTTCCTGCCTGAACCCTGTCCTGCTTTTGTTCCTGAGCTCCCGACCTGCCCTGGCTCCCTGCTTGCAAGCCTGTTCCTGACTTCTCCCGACTCCCTGCCCTGCACCCAGCTCCAGCTACTACGGACTGCCTCCATGTTGCACCTTTGACCCCGGACCGGACTTGGACCTCGCCTCTTGGGTAACCCACGGGACCAGCACAGTGCCTGACATGGGCGCAAAGCGATCTTCTAAATGCTCAGGCCTGTCGGAGTCAGTAGTGAAGCTGAACATTGGAAGAAGATTCCACAAGCGTCTGGTGGGCCACTGTGAGAAGAGGATGGTGGACTAGATGGGCCAATCGGCCTGATCCACCAAACCCTCTTCTTACATTCTTAAGAAATCACAACTCCCCACATCCAGGCTACATTTATGGTAGGTTCGCTTCTGGAAACTCCAGGCAAGCAGGAGAGCTCTGGTTGTCTCGTCTCTCAAAGGATTGTGCAGAGCTGGGAATGGTTCAGAAGAGGGCAGCTCGGATTATCCGTAGAAAGGAAAGCTTGAGGCTTTTTAATTTACGCATCCACCCACTCTCTGACACACTTAAGTCGGTGGAGGCTGAATGTTCAATAGAGCAGAATGAAGCCGTGGAGTCTTGCCTTGGCCAGATGCACTGCTCCACTTCAAGCTGCAGAGGTTGGAACCCTGTTTTCGAACGCTCCGTTATAAATGTAAAATAATAGTAATCTGCCTGCACTTGGAAATCCAGCACATCAAGACAGGTTCCACTGATATGCTGGTTTTATTTCCCTGGTGTGCTACATTTCTGCTTGGTTCAACACCCATGAGCGTTCAGATGTATTATCCTCCGCTAGCAATCTGAAGCAGCCCAGTCTAATTGACCCACCTAATTCTGACCTCATTCTGCTTCATGCGTAGATTTGGCCTAAGTGGGGAAATGGCATTTACAGAATCATGGGCAGTGTGAACCAGGAGCGAAGGCTGCCTGCCTCAAGACCTCTTTTCCCAAGCCATTATGTCTTAGTGCAGCCTACGTCTGCAGCCGGGCAGTGGGAGCACGAGCCAGACTAAACGAAGGGGAAGCATTGAGGCAGCCTGGAGAAATCATCCATCAAGAATGGTAAAAAGAAGAAAGGGAGGGAAGGATTCAAGCAGCCAAATTGGCTGGATTTCCACCGATGCCTCACTTACCGAGACAGATAAATCCAGTCTGGTTCAGACACAAAGGAGGAAAGAGGTCCTGTACAAGGAATCTTTGCCTGGGAGGGGAATCTGGATAGTTGCTGCTCCAAGTGAGATGTCTACCTTGGGCTTCAATTTGGGGAGGGGCTGCGTGGCTCAGTGGTAAAGTCGATGTATTGCATGCCAGAGGTCCATGGTTCAATCGTTAGCATCTCCCGTGGGGAAAGCCCTCTAGGGTGGAGAATTGCTGCCAGGCAGAGTAGAATCCCAGAATCAAAGATGGTAGAGTTGGAAGGGACCCCACGTGTCATCTAGTCTAACTCCCTGCAATGCTGGAATCACAAGAATTATTGGCAGGCAGCCATCCAAACTCTTATTTAGAATCTCTTTAGATTATGGCCACTGGGCCCATCACCTCCTGGCAACTAGAAGGGGAAGAAATAGAGGCAGTGAGAGATTTTACCTTCTTGGGCTCCATGATCACTGCAGATGGTGACAGCAGCCACGAAATTAAAAGACGCCTGCTTCTCGGGAGAAAAGCAATGACAAACCTAGACAGCATCTTAAAAAGCAGAGACATCACCTTGCCAACAAAGGGCCGTATAGTTAAAGCTATAGATTTCCCAGTAGTGATGTATGGAAGTGAGAGCTGGACCATAAAGAAGGCTGATGGCCGAAGAATTGATACTTTTGAATTCTGGTGCTGGAGGAGACTCTTGAGAGTCCCATGGACTGCAAGAAGATCAAACCTCTTCATTCTGAAGGAAATCAGCCCTGAGTGCTCACTGGAAGGACAGATCCTGAAGCTGAGGCTCCAAGACTTTGGCCACCTCATGAGAAGAGAAGACTCCCTGGAAAAGACCCTGATGTTGGGAAAGATGGAGGGCACAAGGAGAAGGGGATGACAGAAGACGAGATGGTTGGACAGTGTTCTCAAAGCTACTAGCATGAGTTTGACCAAGCTGCGGGAGGCAGTGGAAGACAGAAGTGCCTGGCGTGCTCTGGTCCAGGGGGTCACGAAGAGGCGGACACGACTAAACAACAACAACAAAGAGTCCAGCACCTTCCGAGTTAGGCTATTTTTACACAGGAACACAACCAGCTAGCTTATACTGAGTCTGCCATTGTTCTACCTAGCTCAGTGCTGTCAACTCTGGCTGGCAGTAGCTCTGCAGCATTTCAGGCAGGGGCGTCCGCAGCCCTACCCAGAGATGTTGGGGGTTAAACCTGGGACCTTTGGCTTGCAAGGCAGATGCTCAAACTATGGTCCTTCCCTGTGAGAGAAGCTTCCAGCCCTCTTGGGTAGATGAGCCCATGATTTGCCTCAGCATATGGTGGCTTTGGAAACAAAAAAACCCCTAAATTCAAAGTACTTCCCCCAGCACAGGTGAGGCTCTGTGCTTTCAGGAGTTGTGCGTAGGAGCAAAATTCCACAGGTGAAGCCACCATCTGGCCCAGCAATGCGGCTGTTGGAGGAGGCAGCACCGGTTGTATTTCTGCCTGCCTTGGAAGACTCACAGATGCCCAGGAAAGGGTGGGAGCTCTGTAAACACCACTGGGATTCTCATCCACACCACAGCCACCCATCCTCCTCCTCCTCCTCCTCCTCTTCCCACTTCCGTACCATGGACCCGTTGCCACCAGACAATGAATCCCGTGAAGCCGATGAAAAAGAAAATTCCTCCAAGGACCGTCTTCCACTCGCTGGAGGGCCTGTTCATCTCTGCATAGCTCTGGTGGAACTTGAGCCGGTACACTGCAAGGCAAGCACAGCAGGGTCAGGATCCACACCACCCACTTCCCCTGCTCAGGCTCTCTGTGCCTTCACTTGCCTGCCCCTCCGGATGATTGGCAGGGGTGCCCCGGCTGTTCCCTGTCTCCCATGCAGGTGTGATGGGCAGCCAAAGATGGCAGCTCCAGGCAGGAGCGGAACAGAAAATTCAGACGTGCAGGGACCCCTTCGTGAACATCACAGCCATGCCCCCTTCTAAGATGATGCAACAATCCTATCATTATACAATACGGTGGTACCTTGGGTTACAAACCCCTCAGGTTATAAAACACTGCAGGTTACAAACTCCGCTAACCTGGAAGTGGTACCTCAGGTTACAAACTTTGTCCAAGGATAAGAACGGAAATCGTGTGCCGGCGGCAGCGGGAGGCCCCATTAGTGAAAGTGCGCCTCAGGTTAAGAACGGTTTTGGGTTAAGAACAGACCTCCGGAACGAATTAAGTTTGTAACCCAAGGTACCACTGTAATAAGAATTAAGAGATGCGGTGCAACAATTGAATCAGATCTCTGAGGGATGCTTCCAGCTAGATCTGTTTTCTGCAAATGATTTGGAGTGCTCTAATATTTTGGAGCGCCTTAAGGTGTGTTTTCCCTGAAGGTACATTTATACATAACAGAACATGCCCTCCATTCTCTTGAAAACGAAGTGCTTTGTCTTTTCAGTGTTCCTAAACGCTTAGCTTTGGAGCAGGCAGAACAACAACTCCTTGGTGTCCTTCCTGCAAACCTTCTCCAGAGTAACCCCAGGAGCCCATCTTCAGTGGCCAACTCACCTCCTTTCCCTCTAATTGGCTCTGAGTAATATCTCAGGGTGAGAAAACTTATTCTCACTGGCTTAAAAGCTATCCTTTCATGCTGATGAAAATTCTTCAGCACTTTAGAGCACATGCTCCCCAAATTTTCGTTCGCAATTTTTGCTCGCTCACACATTTTTGTGAGCAATTGCTCCAGATAAGATGCATTTTGTATGTTAACTTTCATTAATGCGCTCACTTTCCCCCTTATGGATGCATTTTTATACATGTGGCATGGCTGGAGAATATAGTGGGCACCCATCTGTCCCGAGAGACAATGGAGTGTGCCTCCGAGGGTGAAGTCAAACCGCTGCATAAGCAGCGCTGGAGTGACCTCCCTGGGGTGTGGAGGTCCTGGGCTGCCCAGACCACAAGACCACCCCCTCTTGGCCTTGCTGAAGTGGTCCAAAGGAAAGCAGAACAATACCTTTGGAGAATTGCATTGCAAAATTCAGGTAAGTGGTGCATTGCAAAATTCAGGTAAGTGTTGCATTGCAAAATTCAGGTAAGTGTGAATTTCCAAGGGTGTCCGTTTCTCCCTTTATGGCAGAAAGTGTGATTCAGCTTTAAATGGGAGTTAAATTACTCCCACATCCCCAAAGGCTGGCAACTTAGGGTGCAGCCTCTATCTTGTCTGTCTAGTGTGCCTTGACCCTACAGAGGCTGCCCACAAAACATCGTCCTGGCCCTGTGGGGATGCCCAGGTTCCTCCAGCCCAGCAGGTCATCCCTGGATGGGCCAGTCTCTTGCTACGTACGGGCCACTTTCTCCTCGTTGCTCAGCTGCTTCCAGGATCCTTTCTCTTTCTCCTTGAGGGCCTTCTGCGAAGTGTCCAGCTCCTTGCAGAAGGGGATGTCTGGGAGCGGGTAGCTGCGCTTGTCGTAATACATAGGCACCGAGAGATCTTCTTGGGCTGCAACTAGGGAGAAAGAGGAACAGCAGAGAGGAACCTGAGCACGGCTAGGGCACATCCCCACACCAGCCATGAGGGTGGCCACTTATACATTCCCCACCCCTCCAAGCTAAAAAGTTGCCATTTTTGCATTAAAATTGCACACACTAATTATAGGGATGCGGGTGACGCTGTGGTCTAAACCGCTGAGCCTCTTGGGCTTGCCGATCAGAAGGTCGGCGGTTCGAATTCCGGCGACGGAGTGAGCTCCTGTTGATCTGTCCCTGCTCCTGCCAACCTAGCAGTTTGAAAGCATGCCAGTGCAAGCAGATAAATAGGTACCATGGCAGCGGGAAGGTAAATGGCGTTTCTGTGCGCTCTGGTTTCTGTCACGGTGTCCCATTGCACCAGAAGCTGTTTAGTCATGCTGGCCACATGACCCGGAAAGCTTTCTGTGGACAAATGCCAGCTCCCTTGGCCTGAAAGCGAGATGAGTGCCACAACCCCATAGTCACCTTTGACTGGACTTAATCGTCCGGGGGTTCTTTATCTCTACCATTTTTTACACTAAATATATTGACACCACTGAATTTTAAAAAATATTAAAAATTTAAAATGTTTTTCATTTTATTTCACTTTTCATTTGTGCACTGCCTATCATTTAAATAGTACAATATGTCTCACCATAGAATCACAAAATTGTAGAGATGGATGGGTCCCAGAGATCATCTAGTCTAACCCCCTGCAATGCTGGAATCTCGGCTAATAGCAGGGGAGGCTGTGACCAGCTGACACATCAACCTGCCCAGTCAGCTGTCTGAGTGCTGCAAACTCTGGGTAGGCAACCCCTGCAAGAGCCCTGCAGGTCCCCCTTCTCAGGGGTCTTTTATCTTGAAACCGCAATCGTACTGGCAGGGCTTTCACATACATAGAGGAGAGCTTCAAACAACATACTTGCTTAGACAAGACAAGCCAGATATTTAGGAAGCTGAGGCAATTTTAATCTGTTTTAGTATTTTAACTTTTGTATGCTTTACAGTATGGTTGTCATTTTTTCTTGCATTATCTTTTTGTAAACTGCTTTCAGGGTTGTTGTTTTTTATAAAACCGATCGATCGGTGTATAAAGTTTATGAAACAAAATAAACAAAGAACCCAATTGATTTATATTGTGTTTTTACGGCTCCATTTCTTATGTATTTTTTATTGTACTGCAATTTTAATTCTATAGAACACAAATTGCAATACAGCAGTGTGAAATATATATGTAAGAAATAAAAGAAGCAATAAAGATTACAACTGAAAAGCCTGCTGCGTCTAGCCTGGCACATTATGATTGCTACAATGGGCAGAAAAACCAAGACCCTCAGCCACTTTCAAGTGGTCTGTGGGAGCCTCTGAAACAGAGGACCTGTACTCTTGACCAGAAGATCAAACCTATCCATTCTGAAGGAAATCAGCCCTGAGTGCTCACTGGAAGGACAGATCCTGAAGCTGAAGCTCCAATACTTTGGCCACCTCATGAGAAGAGAAGACTCCCTGGAAAAGACCCTGATGTTGGGAAAGATGGAGGGCACAAGGAGAAGGGGACGACAGAGGACGAGATGGTGGGACAGTGTTCTCAAAGCTACAAACATCAGTCTGACCAAACTGCGAGAGGCAGTGGAAGACAGGAGTGCCTGGCGTGCTCTGGTCCAGGGGGTCACGAAGAGTCAGACACGACTAAACGACTAAACAACAACTATTGACCAGTGGCGGAGGAACCCTCTCCGGCACCTGGAGTGGGGCGAACCGCCCAGTGACGCATGTGTGACGTCTGTACAGACTGTGCATGTGTGGCATCCCGTACGGAGTCCATATGTGCAGTGACCGTATGGGCTGCCGCACATAAGCACTCCGTATGAGCTGCCACTTGCACAGCGACTGTACGGGCTGTTGCACGAGCGGCATCCTCTATGATGTGCGCATGTGCGGCATCCTGTATGGACTGCACATGTGTGGCATCCCGTACGGAGTGCGCATGCGTGGCAGCCCGTATGGTCACTGTGCAAGAAGCAGCCCATACGGACGCCGTGCAAGTGGTGCCCATACAGACTGCGTGCGCCCTCGGCCGCTCTACAGCTGGGGGGAGGCAGGCCCCAGAGTGGCACCCAGGGCAGCCCACCCCCTACGCCCTTTCTACGCCCCTGCTCTTGACACCCCTTCAAATTAGAGGCTTGTAAAGCAGGCTACATGGCCAAGCTAGGGACCACCAGCCCCTCTGCAGATGACTCTGTCTGAGGATTGAACTGGGTTTTATACAACTTTGAGCCACATGGAGAGAGAGACAGAGAGGTGTTTTGCCCTTTTCCCTTGTGCAAAATCATCCCTCCAGATGTTCTGCACCATCATCTCCGAGGAGCACATGTCAAGGTAACCATTTTCTCTGATAAAATGAAACTCAGGGAGGCTTGTAGAAACCCAAGCAAGCCAAATAAACGTGAAATAAACGGCAGTAAAAACAGCATCGTAGACGTCATCAAAACACAATCCCTACGGCGACAGCAGGCTCAAAACAGGATTGCTTTTAAGCCTTGTATTCTTTTGAGCCTGGAGTTAAACTGCTCAGAGGGGATTCTTCATTCCCTGTAGGAGAATTCTGTCCATATCACAGGCCATCTGATGGGTGACGCTTAGCCTGTCTGTGGTGGAGATCAATCTATAGGGGAATAGCTCTGTGCTCAACTGCTCCTGCTCCTCATAAGGCTTGGTTGCCAAAACCCTCTTGGTTGCCCTCCTCTGCACACCTTCCAGCTTGTCAACCTCCTTCTTAGATTGTGATGCCCAGAACTGGACACAGTATTCCAGTATTCCAGACAGTGTGGTCTGACCAAGGTAGAATAGAGTAGGACTATTAAAAGACGCCTGCTTCTTGGGAGAAAAGCAATGACAAACCTAGACAGCAGCTTAAAAAGCAGAGACATCACCTTACCAACAAAGGTCCGTATAGTTCAAGCTATGGTTTTCCCAGTAGTGATGTATGGAAGTGAGAGCTGGACCATAAAGAAGACTGATCGCCGAAGAATGGATGCTTTTGAATTCTGGTGCTGGAGAAGACTCTTGAGAGTCCCATGGACTGCAATCCATTCGGAAGGAAATCAGCCCTGAGTGCTCACTGGAAGGACAGATCCTGAAGCTGAGGCTCCAATACTTTGGCCACCTCATGAGAAGAGAAGACCCCCTGGAAAAGACCCTGATGTTGGGGAAGATGGAGGGCGCAAGGAGAAGGGGACGACAGAGGACGAGATGGTTGGACAGTGTTCTTGAAGCTACCAGCATGAGTTTGACCAAACTGCGGGAGGCAGTGGAAGACAGGAGTGCCTGGTGTGCTCTGGTCCATGGGGTCACAAAGAGTCGAACACGACTAAACAACTAAACAACAAAATGAGTTCCCTTGATCTGGACACTAGACTTCTGTAGATGCAGCCTAGAATATCACTCACTTTATTTGCTGTTGCATCACGCTGTAGACTCATGTTAAGCTTTTGGTCTACTAAGATCTCTAGATCCTTTTCACCCCCAGCCTCTATTTGTGCATCTGATTATTCCTGCCGAACCTTGCAATTCAAACTGCTGATAAGCCATTGTCGGATGACTAGTATTCTAGTGTATTTTTAACTCAACAAACATACCGCCTCGGCTTTGAAATCAGCATTTACTACTGCTGAGTAAATAAATATAACGAGAGCCAGAAGCTACATGTTCAGCCTTCCGCAATATGTAATGATTTTTTTCTGGGGGGGCCTCAGCAGAGATCCTTTTTATGGAAACTGGGGTGTCAAAAGCACGTCCCTAATTTTGTTTGCAAAATGCTGGTGAGTTATATGTGCTGCTTGTGGGGAGGTTTTTTTGGGGGGGGGGGGTTGATGGTGGGGTTGCTGCTGCATTTTCAGTGTTTTATCTGTTGTCTTTGCAGCTCTTCCAAATATATTATTACCAGTGTAGTTTGCTTCCTTAATTATACTGTGTCAATGCAATGTTACTGTTTTCGCCATTACGGCGATTAGCTCTCAAGTGCAAGTTGTAAGGAGGGAAGATCTCTTGAGGCTGACTCCCTCTTTTCCGCCTCCTTTTTGGGTTCAACAAGCTGCAAAGGTTTTGGAACTGGGTCACACTGGGATGCTTAATGCAGTCTTCATAGAATTGTAGAGTTGCAAGATACCTCTAAGGGTCATCTAGTCCAACCCCCTCCCATGCAGGGATCTCAGCTAAAGCATCCATGGAAGATGACCATTCAATCTCTGCTTAGAAACCTCCAACGAAAAGGCCCATCGTCGTGTTGCCACCCTCTGGACCTCTGTTGCAGGAATTTATGTATAGGTTGCGGGGGGGTTGCCCCTCCAGCAGATATCATGCGCATGCAGCCCACTGCCAAAATCAGCACAATCACTTTTGTGACTTTTGTGACTTGTCCCCACAAAACACTTCATCACAGTTTCTTCCTATCTGTTCAAAGGGCCTCTGCTGCATGATACCAAATGTAACAATTCACTGATAAATGTCTCTATGTACTGGCTCACTGGGGAAACTTCAGAAATTCATATAGACACGCGAGCTCAGCTACTCAGCAGCCCCTCTGCCTGAGTGATAATTCCTGGCATCCTGATACCTGAGTGCCAGACAGGTAGCCATTCCAGAAATAACAAACCCAGATGAAGACAAAAGGGCGTGATGAACTTGGCTGGGAAACAAGGACATATAAATGTCTCTTTTGTTTCACTTGATGGGTGTTTGGTGGAGGGCAAGGGGAACCATGGGGCAGGGTCCAGGATGCTCAGATTACTGCCACCAGACCTCCCCTTTCATGATGTAACCATGATGTATGAGTGATGTAGTTTGGGGGGGTGTAACATGGGAATTAGCAGCTAATAAAAGTTTGGGGGCTCTTTTGTTCAGGGCTTCCATCTTGTTCCACCTGGTGGCAGGTGGGAGTCCTGTCGCGACAGTCTTCAATAAAGACCAAGCCGACTGGCTGCTGTTTTGCTCTGGTGTTCCTGGCTGGTGTCCTTGTTTTTTGTCCAAGGGAGCCCTCAGATTTCTCCGTTAACACCTCTCATGGAGGAGGCACACGAAGAAGAGCCTCAGATGATGATCTCAGGGTCTGGGTAGGTTCATAACTTAGAATAATATAATAATAATAATAATAATAATAATAATAATAATAATAATAATGTATTATTTATCCATTTGGCTAGGCTTCCCCAGCCACTCTGGGCGGCTTTCAACAGAATATTAAAATACAATAACCTATTAAACATTAAAAGCTTCCCTAAACAGGCTGCCTTCAGATGTCTTCTAAAAGTCTGGTAGTTGTTTTCCTCTTTGACATCTGGTGGGAGGGCGTTCCACAGGGCAGGCGCCACAACCGAGAAGGCCCTCTGCCTGGTTCCCTGTAACTTGGCTTCTCGCAGTGAGGGAACCGCCAGAAGGCCCTCAGAGCTGGACCTCAGTGTCCGGGCAGAACGATGGGGCAGAACGATCGTAAGATTTGGACAGATCCCTGGGAATCCAGCCCCCTGCACTGCAGGAATATGCAGCTGTCTCCTATGGGGATCGAAAGGGATGTCGTTTTGTGGTTTGCCTCAGCCGCCAAAATGTCCCAGGTCAGCCCTGGGTAGGATCCGCATTCTAGACAGAGCAACGGGAGCTCGCTCCATCGCGGGGATTCAAACCACCAACCTTCTGATCAGCAAGCCCAAGAGGCTCAGACCACAGCGCCACCCGCATCCCTACTAACAACACCCAGGGCTTGGCAACACACTTAAGGTAAAGGTAAAGGGACCCCTGACCATTAGATCCAGTTGTGGCTGACTCTGGGATTGCAGCGCTCATCTTGCTTTATTGGCTGAGGGAGCCAGCGTACAGCTTCTGGGTCATGTGGTCAGCATGACTAAGCCTCTTCTGGTGAAACCAGAGCAGCGCACGGAAACGCCATTTACCTTTCCGCTGGAGCGGTACCTAGTTATCTACTTGCACTTTGACATGCTTTTGAACTGCTAGGTTGGCAGGAGCAGGGACTGAACAACGGGAGCTCACCCCGTCGCGGGGATTCGAACCGCCAACCTTCTGATCGGCAAGTCCTAGGCTCTGTGGTTTAACCCACAGCTCCACCCATGTCCTTACCTGCACCTTAAAAAGCAGGCAACATCTTCCCCGTACATCTAAAGCAACACGACGCCACTTTCAACAGTCCTGGCTTCCCCCAGGGAATCGTGGGAACTGAAGTTGTTCTGGGTGCTGAGAGCTGTTAGGATGCCCCTAATGCTCTAAGAGAACTCAAGCCCGTTAGAAGGGAACCACTAGCCCCAAGGACAACGGGAGCAAGATATGACAGCAGGAACATCACTTACCATGTCCGCCATGCCCATGGGCTGCGCGGACACCAGCAGCAGCCAGGACCCTTCTTCCGGTCAGGATGCCCACCCGCAAGGACGGCAGCGACAGCATCTGCAGGGCCAAGGGATTTTATTACAGTAAAAAACAGTGTAAGTGTAAGAAACCGAAGAAAAGGGGTGAGGGAAGTCGAAATATGATGTGGAAGGATTCAAATTTATGTTTTGTTTTCATTGTAAAATGAAAAGCATAAATAATTTTTAATAAAAATAAAAATAAAAATTATTTATACCCCGCCCTCCCCAGCCAAGACCAGGCTCAGGGCGGCTAACACCAGGTATAAAAACAATTGATTGAAACACAACTTAAAAACTAGATTAAAATGAAACATTAAAATGCAGCCTCATTTCAGTAGGAACTCAAATCAAAAACTTTTTGGGGGATGAAAACGTCAAGTCTTCACCAAGGCCTTTTTAAAAAAAGGAATTTATTGCTTATTGATTTATCATATTTTTATCCCACCCTTTTCTCACTCAGGGTGGTGTACATAAGTCAGTGACCAGAGCAATAATCACAGAATCACACAATTTTAGGGTTGGAAGGGAACACCAGGGGTCATCTAGTCCAACCCCCAGCAATGCATCCAGCTGAGATTGCAGCGGGTTGGACTAGATGGCCCTTGGGTCCCTTCCAACTCTATGATTCTATAATTCTATGATTTTTTTACATTCTTATCCCACCTTTTCCTCCAAGGAGCTCCAGATGGTGCACGTGGTGCTCCCTTTCCCATTTTATCTTCACAACAACCCTGTGAGGTAGTTTAGGCTGAGAGAGACACACACACGCACGCACCCCCGTGCACATTAAATCTATGTTCTGAAGAAATATCTGGAGGGTTTTGGGCAGAGGGAGGGCGGTTGTCCCGGCTGGAACCGTGAGGGGCCTGAGAAGCTACTCGGTGAATATCTTTCAGGCACTGGCTGGGCAGAGATATTATTGCAAAGGCTCCAGGGGCAAAGAACCAACATCTGATAAGAAGAGATGGATGGAGAAGAGAAGATATATGGGGGCTGTGAAGGCCCTGATGTTATGTATGTGAAATTGATATCCTCGGATGGCCATGAGTTCATAGTTAAAAGAGAGCCTGCACTCACATCGGGAACAATAAAAGCTATGTTGAATGGTTCAGGACAATTTGCAGAAAATTAAACAAATGAAGTGAATTTCAGAGAGATTCCTTCCCACGTCCTATCCAAAGTATGCATGTATTTCACCTATAAGGTTCGCTACACTAACAGCCCTACAGAGATCCCTGAATTTCCAAATGCACCTGAAATTGCACTGGAACTGCTGATGGCCGCAAACATCTTAGATTGTTAAAGTGAATTATAATAAAAATGTAAACCTTTTTTCCTCCCAATATTTAATGCATGTAGTTCAGGTAGTAACTTTTTCATATGGCAATATTCTGTATGTTTGGTTAAGACGTGTAATGGTCACTGCAGAAGCTATTGCTCACAGTGATTTTGCTCTGATTTTGTTTGGCTGCTTACATAAGTAACAGACTTCTTACCAACTGACAAATAAACATGCTAATTTAGTGGGGGGAAGAAAAAAAAAAGAAGAAGAAATATGTGGAAAGGACTGGTAACCGTGTCGTCTGGATACGGTTCACACTCCAAAACTTTTCAAAGCAAGGACAAGACAGCAAAGCCGAACCTCCATATTCAGCAGGTCTCTACCGCTGGTGACCGGATGCTGGGAATAAATAGCAAGAGAGTAGAAGCCTTTTGCTCCGCTTGTGAGCTTTCTGGCCGCATCTGGGCTCGGAATGCGGGGCAAGGTGGACTTTCCGGGAATTGCACTTTTTACGTTCCAAAGTCCAGCGCTTTGTGACACAGGACCCGGGGGCCCAGAGACATGTGTGGGAAATCGGCCAAGCGGAGCACTCGTGCGGGGTGCGCATCATGGCCTGGACAGAGGGACACCCTTCCGACACCCTCCAAGATCCGCCACATGGCAGAAGAAGAAGCTGCTTTCTTAGGGGCCGAGTAGAAAGAGGGTTGTTGTGAATAGAAGGATATAAGAAAGAGGCTCTGTTGGATTAGCCCAATAGCCCATCTTGGCTAGTATCTTGTTCTCAAAGGGTCCTGTTATGGGAAACCTGCAAGCAGGATCCAGGCACAAGAACATTTCTCCCTTGCTGCAGTTTCTTTCTCTTTTTTGTATATAATTTGTTTATTAAATTTTCTGTTTCACAATTTAAAGTACTCATTTTTACATCCTTAATATATCAATGACTTCCCTTCCTCTCTTTCCACGGTTCATTTTACATATCATAAGTCCCTGCATATTTTACAGAAACTATACCATTCAGTATTCCATTATTGCATCCATCATAACTTATATATCTTAATACTATCAGTGTTTTCAGCTGCACACAGTTATTTCCCATATATTCAATAAACGTTTTCCAATCTTCTCTAAACGTATGTTCTTCTTGTTCTCTTATTCTATATGTTAAGTCTGCAAACTGCACATATTCTGTCAGCTTAAGTTGCCACTCGTCTTTGGCTGGGACCTCGCTCGTTTTCCATCTTGGGGCTAACAAACCACAGGCTGCAGTAGTGATGATGATGGTGATGGTGATGATCATATAATATTTATTATTTATTATTTATTATTTATTATTTATTATTTATACCCTGCACATATGAGTGGCATACATCATAACCTTTTTTGATGCCTGGGAATTTCAGTCTGAATTATCCCCAACAAAACGGACTCTTGAGTTTATTTGGAAAGTAGTTTTACACATTTTTTTTCCAATTCATTATGGATCATTTCCCAATACTCTCTTACCCTTTTACAAGTCCACCCCATATGAAAAAGCGTTCTCTCAACCTCTTTGCATCTCCAGCACTTACCATATTTTTTGCTCCATAAGACACAATGTTTTCCTCCTAAAAAGGGGAAATGTCTGTGTGTCTTACGGAGTGAATGCCTATGGATGGTGGCAGGATCCCGCTGCAGTCGCAAGTGGAGGATCCATGGCTCCCCTACCTTCCCTCCTCCGTGGCTCGCTTTGAAGCAGCAAAGCGGGAGAGGAGCTGCTTACATGAGAGGAGGCTGCTGGGGTTCCTGTGTTGGGTCCGTCCAGGGCATGCTGCCTCCCCGCTCGTCGCTCCTTGAGTGCGCATGCTAAAGAAACATAAAGCTCCTGTCCCTCTCACTCTCACTCTGAAATACTGGTAATTTATTAAATAGTTTAGTACAACATTTGATTCAGAATATTTTTCCCCCCTGTGGCCCGATGGAATGTGGAGTTAACCAGGGCTATTGACTGTTTGGCTCCGAAGCGCCCTCTCCGATTGCATGGAGCCCGGACAGCCCCGTGGTTTTCCACGGATCTGAGGGCAATGAAACAATTGTTGGGACGGCTAGGCGGATGACCCATTCTGAAGCTGACCGGACACAGGTTAGAGCTCAATGTTGAGCCTACCAAGTGGCGGTAGCGACAGCGAAGAAGACTTTCTTCACCGCCTCTATTGCATCTGCAGAAAACAGCAGCAGGAGACTTTTTCAGGTGGTCCGCAATTTGGCAGAACCACCTGCTACATCGTGGCCCAGTACGGGCCACATGATCTCCTGCAATGATTTTGCAAAGTTTTTTGCAGATAAAATCGCTCAGATTCGGGAAGAGGTAGACGCCACCGTGGGAGCAGGGCCGGGGCGGGAGAGTGCTAGAGTCCTGTCTAGTCAAACTGAGTGGGATCAATTCCAATCTGTTACCTCCGAGGATGTGGACAGGCTGCTTGGACGAGTGAAACCAACCACCTGTCTCCTTGATCCTTGCCCATCCTGGCTTATAAAAGCTAGCCAGGAAGGGCTGGGCGATGGGCTTCGTGGGGTGGTGAATGCTTCCCTCCGTGAGGGAGCCTTCCCAGACCCGCTGAAAGAGGCGGTTATTAAACTGCTTCTTAAAAAAACATCTTTAGATGCGGCCACGATGGCCAACTATCGCCCAGTCTCAAATCTTCCATTCTTGGGCAAGGTGATTGAGCGAGTGGTTGCTGAACAACTCCAGGCACACCTGGAAGAAGCAGACCATTTGGATCCCTTCCAGTTGGGATTCAGGCCTCATCACGGGACTGAAACTGCCTTGGTTTGATACCTTCGACCAAAGCATCTTTCTGGACCGTCTTGAGGGGCTGGGAGCTGGGGGCACTGTCATACAGTGGTTCCGCTCCTTCCTCCTGGGCCCTGTTCAGAAAGTGGTGGTGGGGGATGAGTGTTCAGACCCCTGGGCTCTCACTTGTGGGGTGCCTCAGGGTTCTGTCCTCTCCCCCCATGCTTTTCAACATCTACATGCAGCCGCTGGGAGAGATCATCAGGGGGGTTTGGGCTGGGTGTTCATCAGTATGCGGATGATACCCAGCTCTACCTCTCTTTCAAATCAGAACCAGTGAAGGCGGTGATGGTCCTGTGTGAGTGTCTGGAGGTGGTTGGAGGATGGATGGCGGCTAACAGATTGAGATTGAATCCTGACAAGACAGAAGTACTGTTTCTGGGGGACAGGAGGCGGGCAGGTGTGGAGGATTGCCTGGTCCTGAATGGGGTAACTGTGCCCCTGAAGGACCAGGTGTGCAGCCTGGGAGTCATTTTGGACTCACAGCTGTCCATGGAGGCACAGGTTAAATCCGTGTCCAGGGCAGCTGTGTACCAGCTCCATCTGGTACGCAGGATGAGACCCTATCTGCCTGCGGACTGCCTCGCCAGAGTGGTGCATGCTCTGGTTATCTCCCGCTCGGACTACTGCAATGCGCTCTACGTGGGACTACCTTTGAAGGTGACCCGGAAACTACAACTAATCCAGAACACAGCAGCCATACTGGTTACTGGGAGCGGCCGCCGAGACCATATAACACCGGTCTTGAAAGACCTACATTGGCTCCCAGTACGTTTCCGAGCACAATTCAAAGTGTTGGTGCTGACCTTTAAAGCCCTAAACGGCCTTGGTCCAGTATACCTGAAGGAGCGTCTCCACCCCCATCGTTCTACCCGGACACTGAGGTCCAGCTCCGAGGGCCTTCTGGCGGTTGCCTCACTGAGAGAAGCCAAGTTACAGGGAACCAGGCAGAGGGCCTTCTCGGTAGTGGCGCCCTCCCTGTGGAACGCCCTCCCACCGGATGTCAAAGAGAACAACAACTACCAGACTTTTAGAAGACATCTGAAGGCAGCCCTGTTTAGCGAAGCTTTTAATGTTTGATGTATCACAGTATTTTAATATTCTTTTGGAAGCAGCCCAGAGTGGCTGGGGAAACCCAGCCAGATGGGTGGGGTATAAATAATAAATTATTATTATTATTATTATTATTATTATTATTATTACTCCTCTAAAAACTAGGTGCGTCTTATGGTCAAATGCGTCTTATGGAGTGAAACATATGGTGCAGTCATACCTTGGGGTGAATGCGCTTTGGGTTGAGCGCATTCAAGTTGCGCTCCACGGCAACCCGGAAGTAACGGAGCACGTTACTTCTGGTTTTCGCCACTTGCGCATGCGCAGATGCTCAAAATGATGTCACGCGCATGTGCAGAAGCAGCGAAAACCGACTCGTGCATGCGCAGGCGTGCCATTGCTAGTTACGTTTGCTTCTAGATGCGAACGGGGCTCCAGAGTGGATCCCATTCGTATCTAGAGGTACCACTGTATATGCAGTTTCCAGCAACTGGTATTCAGAAGTACTGCTGCCTCCAACCGTGGAGCAGAGCAGAGCTGTTATGGCTGGTAGCCTTCGATAGCCCTCTCCTCCTCCATGCATGAATTTTCTAATATTTAAAAGCCTCATTCGATCAGGGGACCTTCACCTATCCAGGGCTATGTGCACACCAAACCTTCAAAGTACATTTAAAGCACATTGCCACTCCATCATCATCATCATCACAATAAATTGTTATTAATATTTATTAAATTTCTTTCTTGCTTTTTTGCCACGGCAGCTCCAAGCGACTTACAATTTCTCATGCGTACATTAAAACCAGCCTTAAAAAATCTAAATGGCAAAATCTTTTCTGTTTTTCTAAACAACATTAAGGGCTGTCTTTAGCATATGTGCCGCTGGGGTGCAAAGAACCACCCAGCGCCCCCAAATTTAGTTAATTTCGCATGCATGGCACCGTTGAGAATGACAAGCGAATGACAAGCACCGGCGCGGTGCATCTTTGGTAAATGAGCTCACAAAATCAAAAGTCCTTTTGTGAAACAGTAGGTATACATTTCGGTAATACCTACGTATTTTGTTTTTCTAGCTTGATCAAAATTATTTATTATTTCATAACAGGTAGATAGTTAAGAGCTTAGGAGGCTTCAGCAGCGGGCGCCAGGCGTCCCCCCGAATTCAGCACCCAGGTGCCCTGCACCCCTTGCACCCTCGGGTAAAGATGGCCCAGATAACATTAAAACATCCAAAGCCAATCCAAAGACAAAAAAGGGTTCCTTTTGCCTGGTGCCTAAAGATATGTAATGACGGCGCCAGGTGAGCCTTTCTGGAGAGAGCATTCCACAAGCGGGGAGCCACCACTGAAAAGGCCCCGTTCTCGTGTTGCCCAACCTCTGGACGTCCTAAGAATCCTTGGAACTATAGTTCACCCCTTAAAGGTAAAGGGACCCCTGACCGTTAGGTCCAGTTGTGGCCGACTCTGGGGTTGCGGCGCTCATCTCGCTTTACTGGCTGAGGGAGCCGGCGTGCAGCTTCCGGGTCATGTGGCCAGCATGACTAAGCCGCTTCTGGTGAACCAGAGCAGCGCATGGAAACGCCGTTTACCTTCCCGCCGGAGCGGTACCTATTTCATAGAATCATAGAATCATAGAATCATAGAGTTGGAAGAGACCACAAGGGCCATCGAGTCCAACCCCCTGCCAAGCAGGAAACACCATCAGAGCACTCCTGACATATGGTTGTCAAGCCTCTGCTTAAAGACCTCCAAAGAAGGAGACTCCACCACACTCCTTGGCAGCAAATTCCACTGTCGAACAGCTCTTACTGTCAGGAAGTTCTTCCTAATGTTTAGGTGGAATCTTCTTTCTTGTAGTTTGGATCCATTGCTCCGTGTCCGCTTCTCTGGAGCAGCAGAAAACAACCTTTCTCCCTCCTCTATGTGACATCCTTTTATATATTTGAACATGGCTATCATATCACCCCTTAACCTCCTCTTCTCCAGGCTAAACATGCCCAGCTCCCTTAGCCGTTCCTCATAAGGCATCGTTTCCAGGCCTTTGACCATTTTGGTTGCCCTCCTCTGGACACGTTCCAGTTTGTCAGTGTCCTTCTTGAACTGTGGTGCCCAGAACTGGACACAGTACTCCAGGTGAGGTCTGACCAGAGCAGAATACAGTGGCACTACTTGCACTTTGATGTGCTTTCGAACTGCTAGGTGGGCAGGAGCAGGGACCGAGCAGCGAGAGCTCACCCCGTCGTGGGGGTTCGAACCGCCGACCTTCTGATCGGCAAGCCCTAGGCTCTGTGGTTTAACCCACAGCGCACCCCTTACAGAGCTCCAATTCCCAGCCTCTTTTACAAACTAAAGTTCCCAGGATCCTTGGGGGGAAGTCACACGCTTTAAATGCACTGTGTGTGTGCAGCCCTGGATAGGTCAAGAATCTCTAATCCTGCAAGTCACATCACAGCCCTCTTTCCACCCAGCTTCTGTCGCCGCCTGGAGGGTGTCAGCTGCCCAAGATACAAGCCCTGTCTCTGAAACCAGACTGGCAGTGGGTGGGTGGAAGGGAGAGAGGGTGGCAGAATAAATGGTCCACCCAATGGCAGCTTCCTCGGTGCCAGAGGCCTAGAGATCTGGCTATCCTAAACACCTGAAGCCGCCTTTCTCTGGCCACACCTGCAGTAGCTCGGCCAGCAGGAGTGAAAGTGGCCTGGCACACACACGCCGGCCCTCCAGCATCCCAGCAGCCCCTGGTCCTGGCCGGCAGCCACCAGAGAAGGTGGCCGCTGAGGAGGACCCGTCCTGTCTGACCTCTAGACACGGAGAAAGGCACTCGAGGCAGAGAGAGGGTTCAGGGTGGCCCTGGCCCTGGGCAACAGATACCCCAAATCTCTTGCTGGGCACTGTGGAGGAGGCTTTCTTCTGCTCTGGAGGATTCCAGACAGTTTTTAAAGCAGGGATAGGATCCATCTGTTTGACATTTTGGGGATCCAAGCGGAAACTCGTGGGGGGCACGAGAAGGGGAGTTGCCCTGGCATTGCTGGAGGAGGAGAATGGAAGCCAAGCTTTGCCTTGTAACGCCAAACTCTTACAAAGTTACTTTGTTCCCGAAGAAATTCTGGCCTCCTCCGTTCACGGCCTGGAGGAGAGCAAAGAAAGTTTCCAAGGCGAAAGGAAACAAGAGACGCAGAAGGGAAAATGCGTCGAGGGAGCGCAGTGCCCAAACCTTGGGCCCGGCAGGCAGAAATCTGGGGCAGAGGAGGCATTGAGGGGGCAAATCTGCCTCCCCAGAGTCGGATGGCAAGCGGACTTTCCCGTTATGTGCCGGGGAGCCGAGCAGGAAGGCAGTTCTCCCAGCCTGGTGGTTCAGAGGTGCCAGCACCTACCTTGCCTAGCCAGGCCGTTGTGCCCCTGGTAGAGCTTGGAGGAGGGTGAGCGGGAGGGTACTCACCGTGGGACAAGCAAGGAGCTGGAGCGGACGAGGTGGGAAATGGAGGCAACAGGCTTTCTCCAAGTGCAACTGCCGGGAGGCTGGCAAGCAGCCAAGGCACAAAACAGCTGCCAAAGACTCTTATTATAGAACAGACCCCGGCGCAGGCAGGCAGGCAGATGGAGGGATGTACCAGGCCACTGGCTGGCCGGCCCCTTCCCCTCTGCAGCCCCCTGGCTCCAGGAGAGGAGGAGGACAACAGGGGGGCTCCTCATCTACAGACCCCCCCCAGTATAGAGAATTTGCAAGGGCGGCAGGTTAGGAGGAGCAAGGAGAGCAGAAAGCAGGACTTGGACAGAGGCCCGAGGCCGGCCAGTCACCCCCCACCCCTTCCTGTACACAAACACGGCTGCACACTCCAAGCTAAGAGTCCTTGCAGCATTTGGAGAAGGAGGGGGAGAGCTGGAGAGAGGGTTTTTTCCCAGGCTCCATTTCCAAGAGCTACACTCCCCCTGCTGCTGCCTTGGGACGAGGCGTCGTCACCGTTTTTTAACTGCATCGTGAAATTAAAAAATTAAGGTCTTCTATAAAAGATAAATGTTCATAACTGCATATATAAACCACATGTCTGAAACCCCACAGGAAAACAGCCCTGAAACCATTTTGACTTCCAAACTGACCAAATGATTTCTCTGCAAGGTCAAGGAAAATGGAAAAGCCTCCCCATTGTCTTTTCCTTCACAAATCCTGTCTTAAGGGTATGTCTGTGTATGAATAGGGTGAGCCTGTGACCTGGCTCAGGAACTAAGTATTTGTCATTACAAGAGACTAGCCAGGCTCCTCAGGGCTTCCAATCAAGTGAGCATTAACAGGTAACCTGTCAGACAGGAGATAAACAACCCACTCAGATTTCTGCTGTAGACCGCCTTTTCTGTGATGTAGGTATGATGTTTGTGGAGGGTGGTCTTGGGTTACACCCCTTCTGTGATGTATGTATGATGTATGGAGGGGTGGTCTTGAGCTCCAGGGCGGGCAATTTAAAATGTCTATATAAGTGTGGGCACACCTTTGTTCTGGGTCCTCCTCCTTCTCCTGCGTGAGAGGGGAGTATCCTGTTGCAACAGTCAATAAAGATCAGGCTTACTAGCTGCTTTGCTTCTCAATATTCTCTGGCTGACCTCTGTTATTTTCTCCGACCGATGGAGAACCTGCAAAGGACTCTATAAGGGCTCTTGTGTCCCCCATAAGTGAATAAGGGCAGATTTTTGTTTATTACGATCAAATCAATAATTGTTCCAATGGCTTTAGTTATTTGAGACTATCAGAAGAAGCAGGCTGCTGCATCACACCTGCTTTCATTTGTCATTATGATTTGTGTGATTTGTACACCAGTGTGGTGTAGTGGTTAAGAGCGGTAGTCTCGTAATCTGGGGAACCGGGTTCGCGTCTCCGCTCCTCCACATGCAGCTGCTGGGTGACCTTGGGCTAGTCACACTTCTTTGAAGTCTCTCAGCCCCACTCACCTCACAGAGTGTTTGTTGTGGGGAAGGAAGGGAAAGGAGAATGTTAGCCGCTTTGAGACTCCTTAAAGGGCGTGAAAGGCGGGATATCAAATCCAAACTACTACTACTACTACTACTACTACTACTACTACTACTCTTCTTCTTCTTCTTCTTCTTCTTCTTCTTCTTCTTCTTCTTCTTCTTCTTCTTCTTGTGTTTTCGTGTTGTAAGCTGCCCTGTGATCCTCGGATGAAGGGCAGTATAAAAAATTCAATAAAATAAATAGATAAATGAACAAGTCACTGGGTGACCCCACTGGGTTTTAGTATTGCAGCAGAGGGAGTATCAACAAGAACAACAACTCAGCAGTGATGGAGCCAGATGGAGCCAGATGGGGCCACCACCAAGAAAGCCTTGTTCCCAGTACCTGGTTCGATTCCTGGCAAGTCCAGGTAGAGCTGGAAAAGAAGAACTCTTTTTGTCCGGCTTTTTCTCAACCTTGCGTCCCCAGACATTGTTGAACTACAAATCCCATCATCCCTGACTACTGGTCCTGCTAGCTAGGAGTGATGGGAGATGGTAGTCTAACAACATCTGGTGACCAAAGATTGAGAACGGCTGGACTGGAAGGTAAACAAAAGAAGGGATTCAGGAAATGGGAAGGGGTAAATGTTCAAGTCAAGCATTTAGCCCATTGGGACTGGTAGGACGGAAAGCAAGGAGGTCAACAGCAGGTGGCGCCAGAGGCAATACAGGCAGGTCCAACTAATTCTGGTCCTTCTCCCTGCTGAGTCTTACAAGGGCAACACGGAGATGGAGGAGGAGGAATATGACGGGCAGTGCCACCCCGGGGACTGGTGGTTGTAAGTGAGAAGGCAGGCTGGCGATCGCTGCTGAATGACAGATTTGAGCCTGTTGGTTCACTGCCCCATTTGCCCAAAGAGAGCAAATGTAGTTTGCCCCTCACAGTTCCTAGCAGCCCTTAACAAACTCCAGTGCCCCTAATTCTTTGAATTCTGCATCCTATGTGCTTTAAAGGTACAGGAGCTTCCAGATGGCCTGTTTACTGAGAATTCATCCGGATTTGTTTTTCGGGGGGATTACACAGGATTGGCGATTTAATATGCCTTCGCTTGGATTTTTTTGCAGGGAGATGACGTAGCGGTGGTCTAATGACCATCCACTTGGAATTGTTTGTGGGGAGGCTAGACAGCGGTGCATCAAAACCAGCACTGTCACACATTTTCCAGCTAATTTCCCTGTCACCTGTTGCAAAAACACTGTATTCTGTCCCTTTTCTCCACGTGTCAATGAGAAAGAACCCAGCAGGATCTTGAATCATTGATGGGAGGAGAAGAGAGTGATGCTCCCCCTTTGGCCAGTAAGATGTTCAGAGCACTTTCAAGTCCTGTTTCATTGGATGAATTTCTTGAATATACAGTATGGACAAGGCACTTGGATGGGTTTGGGAAACTACTTGTGCTCTGGACCTTTGTCCCTCATGGCTGATAAAATCCAGCAGGGAGGAGACAGCTGTCTGGGCCAGGGAGGTGGTCAGTGCCTCTTTACTTGATGTTTTTATCCCCCAAAAAGTTTTTGATTTGAGTTTCCATTGAAATGAGGCTGTATTTTAATATTTTAATGTTGTATTTTAATCTTGTTTTTAAGTTGTATTTCAATCAATTTGTTTCTATATCGGGTGTTAGCCGCCCTGAGCCCGGTCTTGGCTGGGGAGGGCAGTGTATAAATAAAAATTATTATTATTATTATTATTATTATTATTACTACTATTATTATTATTATTTACGAGAGGGGGTGTTTTTTTGCCTGTTTGGCGGAGTGATGAGGCCACTGCTTAAGCAACCACCCCTAAATTCTGAGAACCTACTCAACTACCAGCCAGTTACCAACACCCCTTTTGGGAGCAGAAAGTTATTGAGCAGTAATTTCTAGCATTCGCTAGCTTCTTAGATTTATGGGCGCTTTTGCACCCCCAAACTATGGTACCCCAAATCTGTAATAATATGATGCATCCTGGGCAGGGATGTGGTAAGGCTCTATCAGAGGGACAAGATGGGCCAGCCTGGCTTCTCCCCTGGTTCTGCTGAGAGACCAGCTCCGCCAAGCCTCTCCTTCCATCACCTGCAGCGGAGAAAGTGAAAGACAGCAGAGCCACTCCATCTGCTCAGCTTGGAGACCAAGACAGTTTCATCCCTCCTCTGTTTTCCATTCCAGCTGGTGTTTTACAAGAACTTTGTCACTAGGAACTAGTGCCTGAGTTTGCATTTTTCCTCCTTCCTCCCAGGCCCTTTTCCTTTTGTGCCATGTCTCTGTCAGGAGCTCGTCCTACACTCGAGTAGGACTCTGGCAGAGACACATGCCTGACTGGCATGTTCCCTCCCTCCTGGTTGATCGTTCGGGAGCTTCATAAGCTTTCTTCAGCCCGAACATCACAGCGACCAATGCCAACCGACACCGGCACGCTTAGGGATCCGCAGAGTCTTCGCAGCTTGCATAACAGACCTCAGCAACTCAGCATTTTGGCTAATCTACTTTATTTACATATAAACACACACAGAGCACTGCAACATCGCTCCCTCTTTCTCTAGCATCAGACAGCAAAGAGAAAAAGAACAAAGGACAATAGTCCTACTTCACGGAACACAGTAACACAAACATCCTGTCTCCATCACTTCCCACTCTCTGGAGTCAAAACATACACCGTCATGTGATAGACAACAATCCCATGACTGCAATCATGGAGCAGGAATTCTAACAGTCTCAGCCTGTGGGAAAGGACGGTCTTTGGGTTGTTGTTTTTTCTCTTTACCAATTGTATGCAAACCTGCATATGGGAACCATTTCAGAGTGGGATAAAATGTTTTATATAAGCACATGAATAACATTCGGGGTTTGGGGGGGAGGTAGAATGCTGTAGCAAGTAGGCTCTATCGGTCACCCCAAAATTAGTTGCAGAGAGAAGAAACACCAAGGTGCACCTATTTCAGCAAAATCGGACGTCTTCATCTGCCCCACCTGCAGTAAAGCCCATCTCTTCCATATCAGTTTCTACAGCCACAGCAGGCGCTGTGACTCTCCAACAGTTTGACGTTTCCCCCAAAGAAGCACTCTCCCATTGCCTCCCAAAACAGACAGATGCCAACAACTGGTTCTAACATTGTTTTATTTCTGGTGGCTTGAGGAAGGGGTCAGAGAAATCTGATTTATTTCTTTATTAGCGTTTCGAAACCACTTGGCATTTAAAAACATCTAAGCCAGATACAAAAGCAACATGCAAAAACCAAAAACAGCATCATAAAAGCAGGTACACAACATGGAAACCAGTAAAAGCAGTCTTATAAATACAAAGTTTAAAAAGGAACTTGGTATTAACAGGGCAAAGGTTAAGGACATTCACGGCACAGGAGCAGTGGTGGAAAATGCCAATTTTTCAGGCTACCCCACACTGTGATATTCTGTAGGGCGTGGTGCCACAAGTAGAATTTTCCCAGTTGTTTTCAAAAGGCGTTGTGGGATTACTAGAGGTGGGTGCTAAGAGGCAAGGGGGCAGGTGGAGGTGAGTGGCTGCCATTTCCTAGCAACAGATGAGCTAGCCAAGGGGAACCTCTCCTGACTTGGTAAGATCAATCGCTGTGCCAAAGCCGGTCCTACTGTTAGGCAGTGTGAAGCAGCTGCCTTAGGCAGTAGCTGCTGAAGGATGACAATTGTGGGATAACCAGCCTCAGACATCCAAAATGAAGGGGTTAATACCATAGAGTAAGCTGTCCAGCCAGGCTTAGCTAAGTCCTCTTTCCCTCACCTTAGGAGGAACTACGAAATCAAGCCTCTGTTCACCCCCAGACTGCATGTGAACTTTGGAGTGTGAGGAGCTCTGAGCTGCTCCTTCCAACCACATGGCTTTAACAAGCCTCTCGTGAGTTCCTATAATACCAATAATCTAGGAACTTTTACCACTTTCCAACTAAGCTAAGTTTCACTGCCTGTGCAAATTTGCTGAAGCCCATGAACCTGACCTTTGAAAAGTTTGTAAGTAAACCAATGTTTAACTGACCAAATGTGTGCTCTTTTACCTATGCTAGGGGAAGAGGGAAACTTTTTAACTGTTAAAAGGGACATTTTTTGGAACTCACTTGAAAGGTCTAACAGCCTTGTTTTTGTGGCTTTAAACTCTGCTCGGGTTCTCGTCCCAAATTTGGATATTGGCATCTAGGGATTCTCCCATTATATATATTAAGAAATTAAGAAAGTCTGGGATTTTGATTATTTGGGGTATTGAAGGGAAGATTGCAGGCCAATGGAAAAATACAAGCTAAGCTTCCCTTCTAAGCCAGGGCCTCACCTGGGATAGAGGCATTAACAGGACAAAGGGTGGTCTCTGACTGTAATAAATTATGATGATGGTGGACAAAGGGTGTTGATCTTGGGCCTGGAGAGACAGAAGGTTGCCAGGATAACTGGCTGTGAAGTGTCAGGAACAAGAGAGTCTTTAGAGCAAGGTGTGCTGGGAAGAAGAAGGGAGAGAGAGAGAGAGAGAGAAAGGAGAGATCCATCTTGGGCAGGCTGGCTGAAGGCTGTCTGGGAAAGACGCTTTTGACTCAAGTGTTGCAATGCCGTTGGGGACAAGCCCCTCTTGAAATGTCCATGCTGTAAGATCTGGACTCCCTCCAGGCAGACTGAATGTGTCCATATGTGAATAAACCATATTTCTTAAAGCTATGGCAGTCTGCGCCGTGTCTTCAATTCTCCAAAAGGAGCACATACTCCGGGCGAGTGCCTGGAACGCCCTGGGATCTTGCTATCGCTCAGCAGAGGGTGGGGTTGGTACCCAGCTTTTGTAACAATATTTTTCTTTTGCACCAAGAGGTGGAGGACAGGGCTGTGCATGAAACGGGCTCTGTTCTGCATTTCCTTAAGCTAGTCTGCTCTTCTCAGGTGGAGCAGAAGGCAGCATCCCAGTATCTGAATTGAAGGAAGGTGCAACTTTCAGTCCTGTTGGCTTTTAGACGTGGAACTGGAGGGTGATGACATCTTGTCCTCTGGCTTCAGGCAGCAAAATATTTTGGGCTGGCTTTGCACTGTCCCATCTCTGCCCAAACCTGACTTCCCCAGGAAAGGCCCAAGGTCCCCGCATTGTCCTTGATCACTGCCTCAAATGGCTCCTGAGCACGCAAGGTGAGCATCTTGGGGAAAACCCTGAAGCAGGAACAGGGGGCAGCTGCCTTTCCTCTTCCTTCTGGGTGCCCCTCACGGCTATACAGCAGCCTGGGGCTGGTGGACCAGGTCAGTGGCGATGAACATGTGTCCCTGCAGAGGGTGGAAAAACCAACAATGCTAATAATAATAATAATAAAAATTATTTATACCCCGCCCTCCCTGGCTAGAGCCGGGCTCAGGGCGGCTAACATCAATAAAATTTCAGTAAAAACATAATAAGAAAAAAAAGAAAAATGAAAAAAACAATTTAAAATACAGTGGTACATTGGGTTACATACACTTTAGGTTACAGACTCCGCTAACCCAGAAATAGTACCTTGGGTTAAGAACTTTGCTTCAGGATGAGAAGAGAAATTGTGCTCCGGCGGCACAGCGGCAGCAGGAGGCCCCATTAGCTAAAGTGGTGCTTCAGGTTAAGAACAGTTTCAGGTTAAGTACGGCAAAGCGCTGCGTCTGTGCACGCGCGCAGAGCGGTTTGTGCTTCTGCGCATGCGAGAAGCATGATGTAGTGCTTCTGTGCATGTGCGGAGTGCAATTTAGTGTTTCTGCACATGTGCGAGCGGCAATCCCAGAAGTAACCCATTCCGGTACTTCTGGGTTTGCTGCGGACGTTTGCTAGAATGGACACTAGGTGGACGTTCGCAGAGGTATTACTGTATGCCACCTTTGGGCATTTATATTCCACTTTTTTCTGCAAAAAGAGCAAGGTGCCATTGATGGTTCTCTCGCCCCCCACCTCATTTAATCCCCACAACAACCCTGTGAGGTAGGTTAGACTGAGAGGCAGTGACCGGCCCAAGGTCATCCCCAGTGAGATCTTCATAGCTGTGTGGGGATTTGAACCCTGCTCTCTCAGGTCTTAGTCCAACACTCTAACCACAAACCTAGACAGCATCTTAAAAAGCAGAGACATCACCTTGCCAACAAAAATCCGTATAGTTAAAGCTATGGTTTTCCCAGTAGTGATGTAGGGAAGTGAGAGCTGGACCATAAAGAAGGCTGATCGCTGAAGAATTGATGCTTTTGAATTATGGTGCTGGAGGAGACTCTTGAGAGTCCCATGGACTGCAAGAAGATCAAACCTCTCCATTCTGAAGGAAATCAGCCCTGAGTGCTCACTGGAAGGACAGATCCTGAAGCTGAGGCTCCAAGACTTTGGCCACCTCAGGAGAAGAGAAGACTCCCTGGAAAAGACCCTGATGTTGGGAAAGATTGAGGACATAAGGAGAAGGGGACGACAGAGGACGAGGTGATGGGACAGTGTTCTCGAAGCTACCAACATGAGTTTGACCAAACTGCGGGAGGCAGTGGAAGACAGGAGTGCCTGGCGTGCTCTGGTCCAGGGGGTCACGAAGAGGCGGACACAAGTAAACAACTAAACAACAACAACTAACCACTACACCACAGTGCCTCAGTTTATTCCAAAGAGCGCAATACTCCAGCAAGGGCTGTATCCTTACCCATTGTTTGTGAGGGCTGTGTGGATTCACCTCTTCAAGGAAGAGAGACATTTGCAAAATTCTCTGTTCCAGCTTTCCTCAACCAGTACAGCCATCCAGGTGTTTGGGCTGAAACTCCCACCAGCCCCAGTGAGCACAGCTGGAGCTAATGGGAGTTGTAGTTGGAGAAAACTGCTCTATTCTTTTATCATTTTCGCTGCTGACTCTTCCTAAAAGGCCCTCAGGCGTCCTCAAAGTGCATCTCAAGTAATAATAATAATAATAATAATAATAATAATAATTTATTTATACCCCACACATCCGCCTGGGTTTCCCCAGCCACTCTGAGTGGCTCCCAATAGAATATTAAAAACACGACAAATACATCAAACATTTAAAAACTTCCCTAAACAGGGCTGCCCTCAGATGTCTTCTAAAAGTCAGGTAGTTGTTTATTTCTTGACATCTGATGGGAGTTTGTTCCACAGGGTGGGCGCCACCACTGAGAAGGCCCTCTGCCTGGTCATATCTTGGTTTCTCCTCACAGAAGGCATCGCCTTGGGTTGACATCTGACCTTGGCATGCGACTGGGCCTTGTCTTGTCCAAACTCTCTTGGGCTCCATTTTGGTTCCCAGGCGCCATCTTAGCTCCTGAATGATGCCATCAAAAATCATGCTTCCTAACTGACCTTAATCACCCAGAAACATGACCTGGTCTGAGCATGACCAAAGGCAACCATCAAAGCTCTCTCGACTCCTGGAGCGGAATTAACGGCGCCGCCTTTTGACATTTTTTGCCTGGTGACATTTGCAGCCTTCTCAGACTTTGCCCGAACGTGACGGACCTGCTTCAACTTAATCAGATCAAGCCGTGAGCTGAAAAGAGCAAAGCTTTGTTCTCTGCACCCCATTGTAAGCGACAATATCAAGATCCATTGTGCAAAAAGGAATTTCAGCTGTGCCTTCTTGGCTCTGGGGAAAATCAGAGTCCCTCTCTGGACTGAATACTCCCCTGGTCAGAACACCCTGTTTTGTCCAGATGATAAAGCCAGTCTTGAGCTAAGATCGCTGCTTGGCACCTTGCCTCACCTACCTGGGAGGAGAGTCCTGATCCCAACCCATGCTGGTTCCAGGTTCTCCTGTTCCTGGGCCAGACAGCCTCCAACCTGCAGAGAGTTCTGCTCCTTACTTCCATTCTCACCAGCTGCTCCTGCTGAACACCTTCTTCTTCCTCATTGCCATGGCTTGCTTGCTTGCCTGGCATTAAGGAGCATATACCTGAAGGAGAGTCTCCACCCCCATCGTTCTGCCTGGACGCTAAGGTCCAGCTCCGAGGGCCTTCTGGCGGTTCCCTCACTGCGAGAAGCCAAGTAACTGGGAACCAGGCAGAGTGCCTTCTTGGTAGTGGCGCCCGCCCTGTGGAATACCCTCCAGCCAGATGTCAAAGAGATAAACAACTATAGTGGTACCTTGCGTTACAGACACTTCAGGTTACAGACTCCGCTAACCCAGAAATAGTACCTCGGGTTAAGAACTTTGCTTCAGGATGAGAACAGAAATCTCGTGGCGGTGGGAGGCCCCATTAGCTAAAGTGGTGCTTCAGGTTAAGAACAGTTTCAGGTTAAGAACAGACCTCCGGAATGAATTAAGTTCTTAACCTGAGGTACCACTGTATCTGACTTTTAGAAGACATCTGAAGGCAGCCCTGTTCAGGGAAGTTTTTAATGTGTGACATTTTAATGTATTCTTAATCTTTGTTGGAAGCTGCCCAGAGTGGCTGGGGAAACCCAGCCAGATGGCCGCGTACAATTATTATTATTATTATTATTATTATTGATTGCTCCTATCTTCTGGGTTGACAAAGTCTGGTTCACAAGCAAAGTGAAGCCGCCACATCTCTCCCACCAGTAGGAACTCACCTTGTTCGTCATGACAGTAGAGTTCAGTAAACTGGAGCCGTATAAGTTTGGAAGAGCAATCGCTTGCTTCAGCCGTTCTACAGAAATGCAAACGATTTGTTTAGCTGAAAGTTTAACGTTGCCTTTCAGGGCATAGCTGTCCCAAGATGCCCAACACCAGGTAAACAGCAAGGGGCAGTGGTGGCCACCAACCTAAATGGCTTTAAAAGGGAATTGGACAAATTCATGGAAGGGAAGAGGCCTATCGATGGCTTGTAAGGTAGTAGACTCCCCTTCCTTGGAGGCTTTTAAGCAGAGGTTTAATGGCCACCTGCCAGGGATTATTTAGCTGTGAATCTAAAAATAGGATCCCATGAATTTAAAAGGTTCATGGGATCCTATTCTAAAGCCCATAGAAGTGGCCTTATTCGAAGTCAGGAGCCATTGGCCATCTCGGCCCAGTATATCTGAAGGAGCGTCTCCACCCCCATCGTTCTGCCAGGACACTGAGGTCCAGCGCCGAGGGCCTTCTGGCGGTTCCCTCACTGTGAGAAGCCAAGTTACAGGGAACCAGGCAGAGGGCCTTCTCGGTGGTGGCGCCTACCCTGTGGAACGCCCTCCCACCAGATGTCAAAGAGAAGAACAACTACCAGACTTTTAGAAAACATCTGAAGGCAGCCCTGTTTAAGGAAGCTTTTAATGTTTAATAGACTATTGTATTTTAATATTCTGTTGGAAGCCGCGCAGAGTGGCTGGGGAAACCCAGCCAGATGGGCGGGGTAAAGGTAAAGGGGTAAAGGGAACCCTGACCGTTAGGTCCAGTCGCGGACGACTCTGGGCTTGCGGCGCTCATCTCGCTTTATTGGCCGAGGGAGCCGGCGTACAGCTTCCGGGTCATGTGGCCAGCATGACTAAGCCGCTACTGGCGAACCAGAGCAGCGCACGGAAACGCCGTTTACCTTTCTGCCAAAGTGGTACCTATTTATCTACTTGCACTTTGACGTGCTTTCGAACTGCTAGGTTGGCAGGAGCAGGGACCGAGCAATGGGAGCTCACCCCGTCGTTGCGGGGATTCAAACCGCCGACCTTCTGATCGGCAAGCCCTAGGCTCAGTGGTTTAACCCACAGCGCCACCCATGTCCCGATGGGCGGGGTATAAATAATAAATTATTTATTATTATTATTTAGCTCTGTACTGTTGACACTGGCTGGCAGCATCTCTCCACAACTTCAGGCAAGAGATTCCAGGGGACTGAAAATGAGATCTTTTGCATGCAAAGCAGATGCTCCATCCCAAATAAGGTGGGAGGTGGCAGAGGAAGGGGGACCCCCAGCAGAAGCGGGAGAGGAAAACTGTTGTGCACTCACTGTTGAGCCTTGACATCCCCAAGTTGCTGGCTGCCTTCAGCAGCGTCTCCAAAACAGTCACCTGTGTAGCACAAATACAGTGGGTTTGAAAAGTGGAGGAATCAAACATCTAGAAATGTAGGGTCACCATACAGGAAGCAGGGAGCTTTTCAGCCCGAGAGCCACATTCTCTTCTTCTGGGGGCCACATGGCAGTGTTGGGCAGGGCCAGAGGCTAAGCAGGCCGGGAAACCAATGCAAACTTTATTTATTCTATTATTTCATAAAATGCATGCACCTGGAAAAACAATGTACATGAAGGACTGCACATGTGAAAGGGAATTTTTTTTTATAAGATGTAACTGAGGTGCTGTTTGTAAGATGAAAAAAGTAGCCAGCTGGAAGAATGGTTTGACGGCAAGTGAAGGATGTCAACTGGACTCTAAAAGAAAATGATTTGGCTATGCGAGGAAATGATGGTGGTCATATGTTTGGAACAGGAGCGGGAAACCTGATTTTTAGGAATTGTACAGTCATACCTCGGGCTGAAGTTGCTTCAGGTTGAGCATTTTCAGGTTGCGCTCCGTGGCGACCCGGAAGTAATGGAACGCATTACTTCCAGGTTTCGCCGATCGCGCATGTGCAGATGCTCATAATGATGTCACACGCATGCGCAGAAGTGGGAAATCACAACCTGCACACGTGCAGATGCGCAGACGCGAGTTGCGTTCTGCTCTGGATGAGAAACGGGGCTCCGGGACGGATCCCGTTCGTATCCAGAGGTACCACTGTATTAAATGAAATTAATTCGGTTTGATTTGTAATAATTTGGAAAAATAATAAAACAAACATGGGGGGAGGGAATCGTTTTCCCCAGACGTCTGCCCCTTCCTATCTATCTATCTATCATCTATCTGTCTATCTGTCTATCTGTCTATCTGTCTATCTGTCTATCTGTCTATCTGTCTATCTGTCTATCTATCTATCTATCTATCTATCTATCTATCTATCTATCTATCTCTATCTCTTTTGAGAACCCGGACGTATAGTTTTAAGCAGTGCTTAAAAAAAAAAGTCTAAAAAAAATGTTTAGGGGTATTCTTATTTTCCTACTCATATTGAAATACTGCCCCTCAATGAGGCCAAACTTAGATTCACAAAAAGTTGAGGGGTATGCGTACCCCTGTGTCCCCCCAGAAAAAAAGCACTGGTTTTAAGGAGGGAAGAGTGTGTGTGCACTTTTTTTTTTTTAACGCGTGCTCCAAAGGTCTTCTCTTACTACATTAGGGATTATATAGATATATCTGAAATTTCATGCATATCAATTAATATCTTGACCCTGCTCCACTGAATTGAAATTTCAGCCTTCACGACATAGGAAAACGGCCCTAGTAAACAGCTATTTTCATGGAGGACGGTCAAGATATTCACTGATATGCACGAAATTTCAGATACAGTGGTACCTCTGGTTGCGAACGGGATCCGTTCCGGAGGCCCATTCGCAACATGAAAAGAACACAACCCGCAGCGGCGCATCTGTGCACGCACGGGTTGCGATTCACCACTTCTGCGCATGCGCATGATGTCATTTTGCGCGTCTGCGCATGCGCGAGCGAAGAAACCCGGAAGTAACCCTTTCTGGTACTTCCAGGTCGCCGCGGGACGTAACCTGAAAGGACGTAACATGAAGCGGACGTAACATGAGGTATGACTGTATAGCTATATAATCCCTAGTGTAGTAAGATAAGACCTTTGGAGCAGGCATTTTCAAAAAAAAGTTTTTTATGAACCACCCTAATGTGCACAGCTAGGTGCATCTCACAATCCCAGTCTCCAGATTCCAAGCCCCACCCATTCCTTCATCCTCCTGAGCTCCTCCTCTATACTCACCCTGATCTCGCCAACCTTGGACCATTCCTTGGACAGGCGCAACCTGCAGGGTACACAGAAGGATGAGAAAGCACCAAGTCGGGGTTCATTTATGCCAGGGGTCCCCAAACTAAGGCCCACGGGCCAGATAAGGCCCGAGGGACTCGTTTATCCGGCCCACAGCAACACCAGCCACCCGCCGCCACCGCCCACTCTTACCGGTGCTGCACTGCGCGGCTGCCCACTTCCGGGTCGGAGGAGCACCGGAAATAGCTTGTGCACATGCGCAAGCATTATTTGTGCATGTGCAAGCATTCTTTCTGGTGCACATCTGGGTCGGAGGAGGCCCCTGCACATGCGCACAACCTATTTCCGGTGCTCCTCCGACCCGGAAGTGAGCCGGAAATAGCATGTGCGCACACATATGGGCACACACTCCCCCACCCTCCGGCCCGCCGCACGATCGGCGCTGGAGACACCGGCCCGAGGTACGGTAAGTTTGCTGACTCCTGTTTTATGCTCTCGGGAACATTTGCTTCTTCATTCCATTTCTTATATCCCACCTTTTCCCTCCGGTTAAGCTCAAGGGGGTATATGCATTGTTCTCATTTAATCCTCCCAACAGCCCTGTGAGGTAGGTTAGGCTGACAGCCAGTGACTGGCCCCTCAGGTCACCCAATGAGCTTAATGGCCAAGTTGGGATTTAAACTCCCGTCTCCCAAGTCCTTCCATCTGCACCCAGCAATGCCAGGGACCGAACTTGGAGCTTTCTGCATGCAAAGCAGGTGGTGATGGGCAGGGGCAATTAATAATAATAATAATAATAATAATAATAATAATATATTATTTATACCCCGCCCATCTGGCTGGGTTTCCCCAGCCACTCTGGGTGGCTTCCAACAAAACACTAAAATACAATAACCTATTAAACATTAAAAGCTTCCCTAAACAGGGCTGCCTTTAGATGTCTTCTAAAAGTTTGGTGGTTATTTTTCTCTTTGACATCTGGTGGGAGGGCGTTCCACAGGGCGGGTGCCACCACCGAGAAGGCCCTCTGCCTGGTTCCCTGTAACTTGGCTTCTCGCAATGAGGGAACCGCCTGAAGGCCCTGGCGCTGGACCTCAGTGTCTGGGCAGAATGATGGAGGTGGAGATGCTCCATCAGGTATATTGGACCGAGGCCCGTGCAATAATAATAATAATAATAATAATAATAATAATAATAATAATTGCACGGAGGCCCACATTAAAGGTGAGAGAACAGCAGGCGGGAATCCTGTGCTAATCCTGGGGATTGGGGAAGGGGAGTGCGGAATAAGAGGAAGACCCTGGAGCCATAGAAGAGGAGCGATACTCACTTTTTCAGGGCCACAGAAGCCCCGGCATAGCCAAGGGACTTCCCAGACTTCCCAGGCTTAAGAAGGGGTTGTCCCGTGAGGTTGGCGTCCTGTAAGCCAAAGTGAGAGAATAGCCAGAAGAGTATGAGCAGAGTCTGGGTTGGGTGATGCATCTAAGGCCGTTCATGCTTCCTGTGAGCATCGAGGAATGGTATGTAGGAATGATCGCTGGGTTGTGGAGCATGTCGGGATCTCCACTTGGCCAAGCTGATAAAGCTCATCTTCTAGAATCGCCCTCCCGACGAATAATTAATGGCCTGAGCCTTTGATGAGGCTCCAAGGCACGTTCCCCCATTCAGCAGAGAATCCAAAACAGCATGCGGAAGTGATGAGATTTATGGCTACATGCTATGCTTTATTTCTAAGCTACGCAGACAGCAAAGAAATATACATCCTCTCCCTGTAACAGCAGAGAGCAACTGAACCAAAGAACAAAGGAACAGAGAAACCAGTACGCCACATCCGTCTCCCTTCTCCCGTGAGACTTCCAATAGCCTGGACTGTCTCGGGAATGTAAACAGAGCCTTGTGACTCTAAGCAGCTGCTCAGTTGCAAACAGAAAGTAACAGAGCACACTTCCGCCTGCGGACAGGCTCAGCTGTCTGCACGCGTGACCTTGGGGTGTGGAGCACACTCCCCCTCACAGATAAGGCCACAGCTGTCTGAACATCTTGCCCTCTGTCTAACCTTTTGCGGTCTCACTAGTCTGCCATGTCCTGTCTGTGACCTTTGTCTCTGAGACCTTTGTCTCTTTCGTCATACATTGTGCAAGGGGAAAATGACGCGGTGGAAACAGGTGCCAAAGTAACTTTGTACCACCCCACGATCTCGGGACTGAAAGATGCATAAAGGTCACAGCCCAAAATGTATCTACCTGGGTTTGCATATTGTGCCAATAAAAGGAACCTTCACAGAGCTAGCCAGCAGCTTGCTTGTGCACAGCTCACCTGCATTATCAACTCCTGCCTCATGTCCTTCACTTCAGGTAGGGCAGAAGGTTGGGAGCCAAACAGCAGGTGGCGCTAAACCAACAATGGAGGAAGCCAGAGCCAACGGCAGCGAGGGCCGACATGTTCGGGCTTCGTCCCCATCCACCCTGAGCCGGGGAGGGAAGAAGCCGACAGGCAAGATCACTCTCTGGGCTAGCTTTAAGTAAGAAAGCAGGGTCAGCCTCCCCTTACAGCTCCCAAAAGCACACTTATAAAATTGTAGAGCTGGAGGGACCCTAGGGTCATCTAGTCCAACCCTGTGCGACACAGGCACTGTTTTGCTGCGCTAGTAGCAGCAGAAGACCTGTTGAGGCACACCTCCCAACACACTCGTCCTTTAAGACGGTTCACATTGCAGCCTCTCACCACCACCTCATAGAAGGACAGGGATCTCCGTTCCTCCACCAACCCCACCTGTTAACGATGCTTACAATATTCAGCAGGAACACGGAGGCCAGGCTGGCGTTTGGGAGGATGACGAAGGCCTCTGCAGACGCAAAGAGCGTGACCTCCATCCCGGTGGGCTGGAAGCGTATCTCAGGTTCCTTTTGGGCAGCCAGGTGGAACTCCATGGGCATATTTGGAAAGCGCTCGTTCAGCTGCGGAGGGGAGAAAAGAGAGGCGCTGCGATGGAACGGGTGTTTCATTATGATTGGGTCAGTGGCACGGGGAGAGATCAATATTTCTGCGCCCGGGGGTGCTTCCACATGAGAATCATTACGGGGTGGGTGCGTCTTGCTAAATGCAAGGTGGTTCTTTTAATGAGATTCAGTGAGGATGCCTGCTTGAGATCAAGAGGCAGGGAGTTCCAGGTGCCGCCACACTAAATGATCAAGTTCTTACAAATGTGGAACGGGGGTTTTGCGGCATCTACATTGGTGTCATCAAAAATATTCAGTACTTTGAGATTGTTCTTGTGCAGCTGTGCTCCTTTGCACCCGTCTTGCCAAATGCAAGATAAAAGGAGATTCAGAAGCAATGCAAAACACAAGTGAGCGGGAAGAAGAAGATTTTATTTCTAAACAGCAAGCAATACAGTGGTACCTTGGGTTAAGTACTTAATTCATTCCGGAGGTCCGTTCTTAACCTGAAACTGTTCTTAACCTGAAGCACCACTTTAGCTAATGGGGCCTCCTGCTGCTGCCGCACCGCCGGAGCACGATTTCTGTTCTCATCCTGAAGCAAAGTTCTTAACCCGAGGTACTATTTCTGGGTTAGTGGAGTCTGTAACCTGAAGCATCTGTAACCTGAAGCGTATGTAACCTGAAGCGTATGTAACCTGAAGCGTATGTAATCCGAGGTACCACTGTATATACATACCAAGCGTAGCTAGCTAGTGCAGATTATTAATTAGCTAGCCCCCTCTTCCAATACCGCACGTTCCTCCAAACAATGTCTAACATCAAAGGAGGTCAGAAGGTACCCTGCATCATCACTTCCTTCCAACAAATTAAAGGCTGTTCACAGCCGTCAAAGAGCAGAACAAGAGATAGAGAGGGGAAGTAAACAGAGGCAGGAAGAAATGACCATGTCAGATCACTAAACTCCTCGAAATACAAATATCTTCCGGAAAAGATTGCCCCTACAGCAGGGGTTATGCTAGAAAAATGCAAACTGTACTGCTGATATGAGTAGTGTGACTCACGCAACACGTTGGCGATTATATACACAGAACAATATTTATACATTCTTTATCAACCTTCTGAGAAAAATACAAAACATAAACAAAGCCACAGAGACTTGCGAACTACCCAGCCTAAGATGAACTTATAATGTCTGGTTTCAATAGATTTTTCAAAGGCTTAACTCCATCTTTTAGATAAGTTCATGAAGATACCAACAAAAGGTAAGTTTGGTGTTATTCACAGTACCGAGAGATGCTAATGGAGTTGTAGACAGATGTTAATGAAGTTGTAGTTATAAGTTCATTTTAGGTTGAGTAGTTCTCAAGTCTCTGTGGCTTTGTTTATGTTTTGTATTTTTCTCAGAAGGTTGATAAAGTATGTATAATTATTGTTCTGTGTATATTAATCCCCAGCCTACAGCAGGGGTTGGCAAGATTTACCTCGCCTGGGCTGCTTCACTCCCGCGGAAATCGCTCCGTGGGTCTGCGCAGACGCAATTTCCACTGCAGCGGAAGCGAGTCTCCGCTCCGCGCTGCGCCAGTTTAGCGCAGTGCACGGGGACTCGCCGAGCGGGTGGCTCGGTTCGGGGGCAGCTCATGGGCCATTTAAATGATGCCCGTGCACCTAGGACATGAAAATTTTATGCAGCATCAACTTTGGCTGTGATTCCTGTGCTGCAGGGGGTTTGACTAAGAGACCTTTGTGATCAACTCTGCAATTCTATGATTCTACGACACAACAAACAAAACCTTTTTGTGACCCATTGCTCCAAAAGAGAGAATATTTCACGAGAGAAAGGATTTCACAAGAGATTTTCAGCTTTACATTTGGCTCTTGTGGCTGGGTGGGGCAATCACATTGCCCTCTGTTCCTCCCCACCCCTGGCAATAATTCCCCCACCTTCACAAGACTGAACTCACCTCTGGTACAAATATCCCCACATTCTTGGTGTTCAGACGCAAAGGCAAACTTTTGGGAACCTGAAACGACAACGCGTGTGAATGTTCGATTGGGACAGCCCCAGTTTCCAGGCTGACGCACTGGATTTGCTCTCCGTAATCTTTGGAGATCAGGGACCACCCACACTTCTTCTTGTCCTGGGCCTAGAAAGGTTTTCCGCTTGTCCTGTGTTGTCTAGGACCAGGTATGTGCGATCTTGCCTTTGCCCCACAGTTCTCACTTGGATGAGCTGCTCTTTAGTGCTAAACTGGAACAAACAGCCATCCACGGAAAACCCAACTGCCATTTGTTCAGGGCTAAATATCACATTTCTCCAGGAGAAGGGGGGACAGTCGGAGGTGCAATGGCAGAGCTACATTTTGGGGGGGCCTTTGCAACCAGCTACAAGGTCTGGGCAACCATTGCTATCATCTTCCGTGGGGCTGTTCCATGACAGATCACCAGATTTTTTTAAAAAAAATTAACTACACCACCTCTTATTTTGATTAAAATTGCTGTACCGGATTATCTCACATGCCATAGTCACTGGTGTGAATAAACATTTTCTATGCCTTATTAGTTTCAAGTTATGGTTGCGGGAGTTAGAAGCTTCATTCGTTCCATAGTAGAGCCACACCTTCAGAGGTTTGAATCAGCCCTAAGAGGGGTTCAGGCAAGGATCGGCTTGCCGTACATCGGGAAAATTCCTGACATGTCCTGGTTTTTGGGTGTAAGCATGGTGTCCGGGGGGAATTTAGCTGAATAGGCAAAATGTCAGTGAAAACCTGGCAATGCGATGGAAAAAGCACCCGAAACAGCTCCAAAAGCTTAAAATCACTATCTGGGGGGAATTTGGGCTTGTTCCCCCAAAAAAGCTGGTTTCCTAAAAAAAAAGCTCACACATTTTTGCGGGAGTCAGGAATTTTACTTTTTGAAATATGGCAAATAAGTCAAGACCCATCAGACCCTGAGAAGTTGCCTCTTGCCCAGTCAGGACATCAGTCCATCTAGCTCAGAATTAATAATTATAATTAATTTACGGAGCGCTTCATATGAAGCATCTCAAAGAGCTTTCACAATGCAATAAAAACATATATGAAACAATGCGAGAGAGTTTACTTTTACCTTTGACCCTCTATGTCTGTGTGTCTGTATAACTGATTGTCTACACTCATAGCAGCTCTCTAAGCAGGGACGTAGGAAGGGGGGGAGGGGGTGGCCCACCCCGAGTGTCATCCGGGGGAGGAGGGGGACAACCCCCCCCATGGCAGATCATCACACTGCCCCCCCTGGGCGCCAGTCGCCACACCAATCACCCCCCTGAGTGCCAATTGCTGCACTGATCACCCCCAATGGGCGCTGATTGCTGTGCCGATCACCTCCCTGGGACGCTTAATAATAATAATAATAATAATAATAATTTATTTATACCCTGCCCTCCCTGGCCAGGGCGGCTAACACCAGTAAAATTACAATAAAAACATAATAAGGGGGGGGGGGACCAATTTAAAATACAGGTTAAAAATACAATTTAAAATGCAGCCTCATTTTAATAGTAGCCCATAGATCAAAACCATAAGGAGAGGGCAACATAAGGGTCAGACTGAGTCCAAACCAAAGGCCAGGCAGAACAGCTCTGTCTTGCAGGCCTTGCAGAAAGATGTCAAGTCCCGCAGGGCCCTGGTCTCTTGGGACAGAGCGTTCCACCACATCGGGGCCAGTACTGAAAAGGCCCTGGCCCTAGTTGAGACCAATTAACTTTCTTGCGACCTTGGACCTCCAAAATGTTGTCATTTGTGGACATTAAGGTCCTCCGCGGGGCATACCAGGAGAGGCAGTCCCGTAGGTATGTGGGTCCTTACCACTCGCTGTGGGTGGCACCGCCCTGATACGCTGGCACCGCCCCTGCTAGCCCCGCCCCCAGGCAGCTAGCCGTGCCCCCGTGCGCTGCTCCGGGTGCCGGAGCAGCTAGCTCCGCCTCTGTCTCCAAGGATTTGGACTGGGGACTTTTCAGCCTCGTAGCCTATCAACTAGTGACGCCAGGATTCGAACCTGGGACCGTGTACCTGGGCCTCATGGCCTTGACAGGCCCTGTGCACATCCACACCTCCTTACCATGGCATCCGTGTAGTTCACCCTGAGCGCCCCTGCAGTGTAGTACACAAAGGCAGCTGAGTTGGCGACGAGTTCAGAGATGCCCAGGAGGATCATGGAGTCTGTCTGGTTGGGTAAGAGGAAGGGGGCAGGCTGGAAGGGGCCGCTGTGGAGGGTCTTTCCCACCGTGTAGAACTGACCCTAGGAGAGAAGAGGAGGGAAGATGGTCAACTTGTGGAGGGAGCTCCACAGATTGCCACCTGCCTCATGTCACAGGAACCCCCCCCCCAATCATTCAGTTTGTACAAACTTCACACACACTCACACTCACACTACATACGCTACGCTTCTGTTATAAATTCATAGAAAATCAACCATACATCGGATCTGCACCGTTCCGCTTTCATTTTACCCCATGAAGGAAGGACTACAAAATGGGGAAGGTTTGATACAGGACAGCCATAATCCCTTGAGCATACCAGCACATACACAGGAACCCTGCCCAGTTGCTATGCCAACCCTGATGGTCCTAGACAGAAGACCATCAAGATCACAAAGAACTTGCATATAGGAGTGGATTCAGCAGGACTGGAACAAAGGACAATGACCAGCTCTTCCCTCTGGGGGCAGGAAACTGCCAACTCCCCTTTGTCTCCTGGAAGTGACTCATGGGGAGGGGGAAAGGGGGAACCAGCCAGGTGACAGGACACTCAGGTTACCACCAACTCCTCCCTCAACCCCTCCTTTTTGTGATGTAGTTGTGATGTAGTCTTAGGGGTGTAGTTTGGAGGATTAGTAACTAATTAAAGTTGGGGGTCTTCTTTTGTTCTGGGCTTCCATTTTGCTTCATCTTGTTGCGGGTGGGACAGTATTCAATAAAGGCCAAGCCTACAGGCTGCTGTTTTGCTCCAAGTTATCCTAGTTGGTGTCTTTGTTTTTGTTCAAGGGAGCCCTCGGATTTTCCGTTAATACTCAGAAAGAAGGAAGAATTTGTAGGCAGATCCCAGGTATGAAACCTATTGGAAGTGTGGGGTGAAAGAAGGCAGTTTCTTCTACATGTGGTGGACATGTGACATAAAGGTAAAGGGACCCCTGACCATTAGGTCCAGTCGTGGCCGACTCTGGGGTTGCGGCGCTCATCTCACTTTATTGGCTGAGGGAGCCGGTGTACAGCTTCCGGGTCATGTGCCCAGCATGACTAAGCCACTTCTGGCGAACCAGAGCAGCGCGCGGAAATGCAAACTGACAAATACTACTTAGAAGTATTTGCTGCCTGCGTTGAAATGTAAGTAAACCTTTTCGCTTTTACTAAAATGTGTGGTTTATTCTTAGCAGCGGGGATAAAGAATGGAAAGGGCAGCAGATCACAAGCAAACAGCGATAAAGGTGTAACTGCCTAATTCCTAGCTTCCAGTAGGCTGCAAAAGTGTGCAAGTGTTTTTATTCTGCTAAAAGGGCTTCACGGCCTATTTACTCTCATATTTCTCACACACAGGAGGTTAAAATTTAAATTTACCCATTGAATTCTCAATCCATCTCCATCAAACCACCTTTCCAGTCTCTCTTGTTTTGGACAACTGCTCTGGCAATTGCTTCCCATTCCACCTTGGGAAGGCCGCACAGAAAGAGAAACAGCTATTTATTCTCACAGTGCTACAAAGCTCTACCTACTTGGGGACCAGGCTTCACCAGAAGGCTGGGACGGAGAGGTTTGAAAAAAGGCTTCGCAGATCCACAGACAATCTGAAATGATCTGCTGGATCCCTGCTGCCTCCATCCCTGCAAGGTTATCATTACCTTCAGGTCCACATTGCATCGATCCACATCAATCATGGGCTTTTCCACCAAGGAATAGTCTATCCCTGCAATGGGGTCCAACTGGGCCGAGACTGGAAAAGGACACGGAGAAAGCCAATGTTTAGCAAGGTGCAGACCAGTGTGCCAGAAATTATTCCCAGAAGGGTGATTTTGACCTGGTAGCTCCAGGCATACAAGGTGCTTACCATTCATGGTTTTCAGGATTTCTGCAATCTTATCGATTCCTTTCTTGACCTCTGAACAGAGCTGGAAGGGGAGAAAGCCCGTAACATTCAGAGGGATGCACAGTGAATGTCACCTGGAGTTCTCTTCCCATCACAAAGGGAGAGGGGAAACTGGAACCAGCTGAAAGGGGGGACACTTAGGAAGGTAGGAAGTGAGTCTGACTATTGGTGTATCCAGATGAATACGGCCTACACTAACTGGCAGCAGCTCTCCATAATTTCAAACAGTTCGGGATCTCCCCGGGGATTGAACCTGTAGCCTTCTGCACGAAGAACAGATGCTCTACCGCAGACGGTCTCGCCAGAGTAGTGCATGCTCTAGTTTTAGAAGACATCTGAAGGCAGCCCTGTTTAGGGAAGCTTTTAATGTTTAATAGACTACTGTATTTTAATATTCTGGTGGAAGCAGCCCAGAGTGGCTGGGGAAACCCAGCCAGATGGGTGGAGTATAAATAAATCATCATCATTATCATCATCATCATCATCATCATCATTTCCTGCTTGGACTACTGCAATGCTCTCTACGTGGGGCTACCTTTGAAGGTGACTGGAAACTACAACTAATCCAGAATGCGGCAGCTAGACTGGTGAATGGGAGCGGCTGCCAGGACCATATAACACCGGTCTTGAAAGACCTGCATTGGCTCCCAGTACGTTTCCAAGCACAATTCAAAGTGTTGGTGCTGACCTTTAAAGCCCTAAACGGCCTCGGTCCTGTATACCTGAAGGAGTGTCTCCACCCCCATCGTTCAGCCTGGACACTGAGGTCCAGCTCTGAGGGCCTTCTGGCGGTTCCCTCACTGCAAGAAATGAGGTTACAGGGAACCAGGCAGAAGGCCTTCTCGGTAGTGGCACCTGCCCTGTGGAACATCTTCCCTTCAGATGTCAAGGACATAAACAACCGTATGACCTTTAGAAGACATCTGAAGGCAGCCCTGTTTAGGAAAGTTTTTAATGTTTGATGCTTGATTGTGTTTTTAATATTCGATTGGGAGCTGCCCAGAGTGGCATTATTATATTATTATTCCACTCTGGGACTAGGTGATTGCTCCACCACAAACATATGCATTTAATGCTGGGGGCAAAGGATCCTGTGGCTCTCCCAGATGTTGAGGGACTCCAACTCCCATCAGCCCCTGCAGCCAGCATGGCCAATGCTCAGGGATGATGGGCATTGTAGTCCAACTGCCTGCACAGGGCTACAGTTTCCCTGTCTCTGATTTAATGTACCAGGGCTTCACACGCAGAGCAGGGCAGGGCAATGGAGACGGGCAGCTGTAATAAGGTCCAGCTTTTGTCCTTCAACTAAGAAGTTCAAAAATCTTACTTGTTGATTGACTTCTGACTTCAGCATGTCCCTGAGAGCAGACGCTGCAATGTTGTACAGCCAGCTGTGGGAGAAAGAAGCAGCAAATGTCAGTATGATGGCTAATCTAACACTGCTGTTCTTCCAACCTAGAGGAGGGGCTTTGCAGTGCCTTAAGCAAGAGAGGTGCCCCTTCTCTGTGGGACATCGTCCAAGCTTTGGGTAGGGAAGAGAGATTAGATTTTGGTTTATGAGCCTCATGCTCTACTGACTGAGCTATTCCAACAGCGGCAATGTGTTACTTTAAACCACATGAGGGCACTGTTTGTTTAGCAATATAGCCAGCACTTGTTTGTAGCCTCTCTTTTTAAGCTAACTCCACCCCTAAAAGCTGATCCATTTTCTCTCTTTTCATCTCTACCGATCCTGTAAATAGTTCCTACCAAGATAAATCTGCTCCTGCATGAATAAAGCCTTTGAACTCCAGAAACTGTAAGTGATCATTTCAATCTAACTCACCCAAGTTAAAAGCTCTTCTTTAAAAAATGGTCCATTAGCTCAGTCATGGCTCTCTAGGGTTTCAAGCAGGTGTCTATGCCACCAATACCTGAAGATGCTGGAGACTGAACCAGGACCTTCTACACGCAAAGGAGGTGCTCTCTCACTGAGCTGTAGCCCTTTGCCTTTCAGTGTCTAGGAAAATAAGGAATTAGAGGTACCTGGTTCCCCCGTAGAATTTCAACCTGAAGTCCCCCATGGCAGAACGGCAGCTTTCATACCACACCCGAAGCCGTCCTTCATCGCCCCTGTCCACTCCCATAACAGTAGAGATGGTGAGACGGTCGATGTTGATGTCAACAGTGCCACTGTCATCTCTGTAGGGGAAAGATGCAGTCATTGCATTGGAACGAGGCAAGGAGAACAGTGATGGTGTACAGCCAGGATAGCCTCCTGAAGATGGGATGCAGAAACTGAAAGGGTGTCTGGGCTGGCTCTGTCCCCCAGGTAGATGGAGCACAATGCCCAGCCAGAAAGCCTGCAAGAGGGATGTGATGTGCGTCCTGATGTGAAGGAAAAGATGGCCACCCCTTCCATTTCCAGGTAGAGACATTGACTGGACCAGCAACTGAATGTTTTTTTCAGCCAGGGCAGCTGCAAACACACAAAAGCACACAGCTTCCCCCTAAAGAATCCTGGGAAATGGAGTTTGCGCCTCACAGAGCTACAGTTCCCAGAACTAAGAAATAATACTAAGGATGAGAGTTACAAATTGCAATCTAAATAAGAATATTAAAAAATGACGAACACTGGTGGAGGGAAGTCACATAAGTGTAGCATTTATCCTTGCATTTTTGTATTGTCGGTATTTCAGTTGGTGTAATTGTAGGGTGCTGAAGGAGACTCTTGAGGGTCCCATGGACCGCAAGAAGATCAAACCTCTCGATTCTGAAGGAAATCAGCCCTGAGTGCTCACTGGAAGGACAGATCCTGAAGCTGAGGCTCCAAGACTTTGGCCACCTCATGAGAAGAGAAGACTCCCTGGAAAAGACCCTGATGTTGGGAAAGATGGAGGGCACAAGGAGAAGGGGACGACAGAGGACGAGATGGTGGGACAGTGTTCTCGAAGCTACCAGCATGAGTTTGACCAAACTGCAGGAGGCAGTGGAAGACTGCTCCTTGACAGCAGGCAGTTCTTACCCTAAAAAGGATGCCAACTTCCAGTTACCGCTCATCAAGACTTTGGCATCTTGGACGGAAAGGTCGACACCCGTCCCGGCAGCAAACTCAGCACCTGCCTGGTTCACCTGGAATTCAGTGACCTGTACCCTAAAAAGTAGAACAGAGAGACATGTTCCTGCTGAACATTTCCATTTCCTTTTTTTAAAATTTCCAAATCCTTTATTATTTTATTCACGTAATATACATTCTTTACAACAAACAACTCCAGAATAAAATCATATGTAACAAAACCATAAGTCTCATGTTTTCATTTACACTGATCTCCTCGCGATACCTTTACTTGATATTTCTTGCTGCTTTCTGCTTTCCTTATAGAATCTTTATAAAAAATTAAATCTCTTAAATCCTATACCAATTTTTAACAATTTCAATTAAACCCTTCACCTCCCTCCCCCCCCACCTGTGTGCGATCTTCTTTACCTACTATTATTTTTGTTATTGTTACATTCTTCACTTTATTTGTTATTCTATCCTTAATATATTATTATCCTATATCATGAACACTTCCTTGGGCTGGTGTGGGCAAAGGAACACAGGCAGCTGCCTTATACCAAAGCCAGACTATTAGTATTAGTATTAGTTTTCTTCTTTGGCGATCCCTCGTAGACGAGTAAGATTGTCTTCCATAAACACGGTTTTAACAATGAGTCCATAAGTGACTGTGGAGGCCAATTCTGGATCCACATGTCCTTCCACAATGGGGACATTGGTTTTCGGGCAGGAGTTGATCACAGTGTGGATTTGCCAAGCGTGCCTTCCTCTTAGCACGTTTCTCCCTTGCATCCTGAGTTTGAGTGTCTTCAAAGCCCATGACACCTTTGGTAAAAGGCTGTCCTCCAACTGGAGCACTAGCAGGCAAGTGTTTCCCAATTGTTGGTGTTTATACTACATTTTAAAAAACTTGCCTTAAGGCAGTCTTTAAACCTCTTTGGTGACCACCAGCATTACGCTTTCCAACTTCCAATTAGTATTAGTATTAGTACAGTGGTACCTCGGGTTAAGAACTTAATTCGTTCTGGAGGTCCGTTCTTAACCTGAAACTGTTCTCAACCTGAGGTACTCCGGACCACTCTGGTGGTCCGGAGCCAAGAAGAGGGGAGGTGGGGAGCCACAAACTCTCGCTTACCCAGATACAGAATACGACACTTTCCCAGCAAGCGGAACAGTGTAAGAACCATTTATGTTGTGGAACGTTTCCTTCTTCAGCGCTGACTTCAATATCTCGATTCCAAGTTCCTTTGCTGTAAAGAGGGGGAAAAGGGCAGAATCAGAGAGGTCTGCCTTCCTTGTCTCTCCCAATTAACCTCCCTCTCCAGTGCTCAGTGTTGGGAAGAATCCTCAGGACTCACCCTTCATGACATCACAAGGGGTCGCCCTTGGAGCTCAGCTTTGGGCCCTGAGATCTTAGGTTCTGAGGTTCTCCTGGACTGACAGCCCTTGCCCCACAGGAAAATCCAATGGTTCCCAAACTTTTTTGGGCCACCCCCCCAACCCCAGTGCCTTTTTTTCTGGGGGGACACATACCCATAGCTGTCAACGTTTCCCTTTTTTAAAGGGAAATTCCCTTATTCCGAGTAGGATTCCTTGCAAGAAAAGGGAAAAGTCGACAGCTATGCGCATACCCCTAAACATTTTGTTAATCTTTGTACTTTTGTCTATTTCCTGTATTTATTTTCCCCAACTTGAACTATAAAACGGTGATTTTCTTGAGTCAAAATGAGAGTACCCCTAAACATTTATTTTTAAAAAAAGCACTGCCGTACCCTATAAAAAACCTATTTTGTTTCAGAATAGCGGTTTGCATGGCCCACTAAGGAAGATAATAGCCCAATAAACTTCAAAGCAGTAACAATTAACTGCACATTTATTCAATTAAAACTATTTAAGTTTAATTAATTTGACAGAATTGATGAACTTGATCCAATGGTAGCAGCTTTTAAAAGTCTGACTGTTGTTTGCACCTCTTGCGCCCCCACTCCACTGCCTTGCCTCTGAGGGTCTCCCTAGGTAATCCTGCCCCCCAGGCGGGTAGGACCACCCCCCCTTTGGGAACCACTGCCTTAATGCAAACATCACATTTTTAAAAGTACTTTCTGCACCAACAAGTTCTCAATTTGAGCATTTCTGGGAGACTCTCTCTCTTTTTAATCTCCCCCTTCCGTTTTGCTCAAGGCCAAGTACGGAGATTGCCTTGAAGTCACGCACCATAATTCAGCCCCTTCTGGGTCACTTGGACCTTCAAGCCTCCATCCGCTCCCATGGCTGTCTGCACGCAAGAGGCCAAAAGAGCCAGAGAAATTGGCCAAAGCATCCTCTGTAGGCCCAAGGTGCGTGCGAAGGTCATCTGCGTTACCTGGAGGAGAAAGGGGGGAAAGGTACTTAAAACGATGCTGTATGAGAAATGCACCTGGTAGACGAAAAAATGTTTCTGAGAGTCAGTGATCTAACACAGAGCCCTTCCTGCCTCTGTTCCTTCCCCCTCCCTCGCTCTTGTTAAGTTCTTTGATGATGTGAGAACAGTCTTTAATGTCCTAATCAGTTGGGAGAAGGTGAAGGCTCCCCCCAATGCCTTAATCACCTGTGGAGGGTGCAGTAGTTCTGGAAAGTTTCTTTGATGTTGGAAATCATTGTGGGAAAGTGAGTGGCTATCTATAAAATCGGATGGTTTGGGCAGAGTTTTTCAGAAGCTCCTGCACGGACTGATCGGCCGCAGGGCTGTGCAAACTGAAGCTACCAGGGGGAGTCACTTGGCCGCTTCTTGAGGGCTTCCAAATGGCAGGTAGAAGTGCCTGCTTGGTATGTATATATTGCTTGCTGTTTTGAAATACAATCTTCTTCTTCCCTGAGGGACGCGGGTGGCGCTGTGGGTAAAACCTCAGCGCCTAGGACTTGCCGATCGCATGGTCGGCGGTTCGAATCCCCGCGGCGGGGTGAGCTCCCGTCGTTCGGTCCCAGCTCCTGCCCACCTAGCAGTTTGAAAGCACAATTAAGTGCAAGTAGATAAATAGGTACCGCTTTCTAACTGGAAGGTAAACGGCGTTCCGTGTGCTGCTCTGGTGCTGGCTCGCCAGAGCAGTTTCGTCACACTGGCCACGTGACCCAGAAGTGTCTGCGGACAGCGCTGGCTCCCGGCCTCTAGAGTGAGATGAGCGCACAACCCTAGAGTCTGTCAAGACTGGCCCGTATGGGCAGGGGTACCTTTACCTTTACCTTCTTCTTCCCACTCACTTGTGTTTTGCATTGCTTCTGAATCTCCTTTTTTAAAAGAACCACCTTGTGTTTGGCAAGACGGATGCAAAGGAGCACAGCTGCACAAGAACTATCTCAAAGTACTGAATATTTTTGATGACACCAATGTAGATGCTGCAAAACACCCGTTCCACATTTGTAAGAACTTGATATTTAGTGTGGCGGCACCTGGAACTCCCTGCCTCTTGATCTCAAGCAGGCATCCTCACCATTATTTTCAGCCTCTTTCTCCATGTCTGGGACGGCTTACCTAAACAAATATGTTTGTAGCAGGCAGCAAAAGAGTACAGGGAAGGCACCTGACTGACGTCAACAGGCAGGGAGTTCCAAAGTGCAGCTGCCAGAATATCAAGTTCTTACAATTGCAGAACTGGGCCAATTCTGCATATTGAAGCAGTTCAGAGTTATGGTAAGGTGATCTCACAGGTAAATTGGTCCCAGATTGTTAAGGCTTTATATACTAATGGCAACGCTCAATATGGGGCTCAATAGCAAACCAGCAACCAGCACAAGTCTCTTAGCACAGGTGTAATATGCGTTATATGAAACACTGGTATGATGGTGTTACAGATTTTGGGGGGACTCCCCCTAAACCCTAGAAATTAATAAATGGTAGGATTTTGCATTAACAGAAGTATAGTGTCCAGATCAAGGGAAGTAATAGTACAACTCCATTCTGCCTTAGTCAGACACCTGGAGTCCTGTGTCCAATTCTGGGCGCCACAATTTAAGAAGGATGTTGACAAGCTGGAAGGTGTGCAAAGGAGAGCAACCAAGATGGTTAAGGGTCTGGAAACTAAGCCTTATGAGAAATGGTTGAGGGAGCTGGGTATGTTTAGCCTGGAAAGTTCAGGTAAAGCAAAGAGTAAGGTTACCGTAGGGATGTGGGTGGCGCTGTGGGTTAAACCACAGAGCCTAGGACTTGCCGATCAGAAGGTTGAAGGTTCGAATCCCCGCGACAGGGTGAGCTCCTGTTGCTCGGTCCCTGCTCCTGCCAACCTAGCAGTTCAAAAGCACGTCAAAGTGCAAGTAGATAAATAGGTACCGCTCCGGCGGGAAGGTAAACGGCATTTCCGTGCGCTTCTCTGGTTCACCAGAAGCGGCTTAGTCCTACTGGCCACATGACCCGGAAGCTGTATGCCAGCTCCCTCGGCCAATAAAGCGAGATGAGCGCTGCAACCCTGGAGTCGGCCACGACCGGACCTAATGGTCAGGGGTCCCTTTACCTTTGAGGTTACCGTAACTTCCGTCATATAGCCTCAGTATGCTGATGACAATGTAGTGTGCGCACACTCAGAGGATGACCTCCAAACCATCCTAAATATCTTTGCAGAAGCTTATGAAAAGCTTGGCCTATCACTCAACATCCAAAAAACCAAAGTGCTGCACCAACAAGTACAAAATAACCCCTCTGCAGTGCCACAAATCCAACTGAATGGTGAAACATTGGAAAATGTTGATCACTTCTCCTTTCCACAATGGCCAACATTGATGCTGAAATCCAGCATCACCTGAGCTCTGCGAGTGTGGCTTTCTCCCAACTGAAGTGCAGAGTGTTTGAAGACCGGGATATTCGCAGGGAAACAAAAATGCTCGTTTACAAAGCTATTGTACTACCAACCTTACTACATGCTTGTGAAATATGGACCACTTATAAACGCCATCTCTAACTCCTCGAAAGATTCCATCAACGGTCGCAAAGGAGAAACGTGCTAGGACGAAAGCACACTTGGCAAATCCACACCGTGATCAGCTCCCGCTCGTAAACCTTTGTCCCCACCGTGGAAGGATGTGTGGATCCAGAATTGGCCTCCACTGTCACTTACGGACTCATTGTTAAAACCGTGTTTATGGAAGACAATCTTACTCGGCTACGAGTGATCGAAGAAGAAGAAGAAGCCTGGAGAAGAGGAGACTAAGAGGAAATATGAAAGCCATCTTCAAATATCTTATGGGCTGTCACCAGGAAGAAAGAGCATGCTTGTTTTCTCTTTTTCTGGAGGGTAGGACTCGAACCAATGGCTTCAAGTTGCAAGAAGGGAGATTCCGATTGAACATTTGGGAAAACTTTCTGACAGCAAGAGCTCTTTGAAAGTGGAACAGACTCCCATGAGAGATGGTAGACTCGCCTTCCTTGGAGGTTTATAAGCAGAGATTGGATGGCCATCTGTCATGGATGCTTTAGCTGAGTTTCCTGCATTGAAGGGGGTTGGACTGGATGACCCTTAGGTCCCTTCCCCCTCTAAGATTCTATGATTAATTGGGATATGGGTGAAAGTACAATCTGCAGAGCCATGCCAGAGAAGGATTCCCAGGGCTGGCTGATGAAGAACAAATCTGTTAACATGGCAAAAGGGGTTGATGGGCCATCAGAGAGGAATCTTTTGGCCTGGGGAGACAGATGTTGCCAAGGTCATGGTGTGTGAGTTTGAAGCTACAGGAAAGAGTTTCTTTAGCAAGATGTTCTGGGAAGAAGGAGGGGAGAGAAAAAGGAGACACCCATCTTGGGCAGGCTGGCTGAAGGCAGGCTGGGAAACATGCTTTTGATTCAAGTGTTGCACTGCAGTGTGGGGAAAGCCCCTCTTGAAATGTCCATGCTGTAAGATCTGACCTCCTTCCACACAGACTGAAGGTGTAAATAGGTGAATAAACCACATTTCTTAAAGCTACGACAGTCTCTGCCGTGTCTCAGTTCTCCAAAGGAACACAGACCCCATGTGAGTGCCAGGAACCCCCTTGGATCTTGCTATCATTCGGCAGAGAAAGGGGGAGGCACCCAACTTTTGTAACAATAGAAACTGCTGCCTCTAAGTGAGGCAAACCTTCATGGCAAATAGCCCTCTCCTACAATCTTCCTAAAGCCATCTTGGTGGGTGGCCATTTTTGCCCCTTTGGGGAGCAAGTTCCATAGTTTAAGTATGAGCTCTGCAAAGCTTTTTTTTGCCTTTTATAAAAACCCAGCTGATATAGAAATTCATTTGTGTTGCAAATCAGACAGCAGCTTCCCACACACACCTGAATGTGTAATCTAGTGATAAAACAGTGGCACCAGGAGCTGCACCCACAGAGGTAAAGGTTTTGCAGAATCGGCACATTTACCTCCCCTGAAGTTGTTTAAAAACCCATGCGTTTTATTTTTTCCAAAGAGGAGTGAGCAAATCACTCCTTCAGAAGGCATATGAAACACTTGGTGTGATATTTATTTTAAAGGCAAATTCTACTATTTCAACCTCTCAAACCCCAAACCAGTTTCCCCTCTAAAGTAACAACACCACCACAATATTTTTTTTTTGTTCTGTCTTTCAGGGCATATACCCTTGCAAGATGACATAAAGAGATAATTGTTTGATTTGTTTTCAGGGCTACAGTTCCTTCCTGGAAATGTGATATGGGAACCTCTGACCATGTGCAAAGTGCCTCCCCAAAGTCTCCGTGAATCTGTGCCAACATGCTTATTTATTCATTTCAATCAGAAAATTTATATACCCCTTGCTCAAAAAGAAAATGAAAACAGAACAATCCTCCAAGCGGTGTACAATTTCAATTATATAAATATATAATCTGGCTAAAATACGCAGACCGACAAAAAGCAAGGATACAGAAAACCTTCACTGAAAACAGAGATAGCACATGCCTATTGTCCTCACAGAGACATACTTTGCAGAGTGGTTTAACAGCCAATCTCTCTTTCCAGGGAACTCTGGGAACGGTCTCTCTTTGAGGGGAACTGAGGCCACCTGACAACTCCCAGCACCCTTATCAAACTACAGCTCCCAGAATTCTCTGGGGGAAGCCACAGCGCTTTGAAGTGGCATCATGGGTGGTTTAAATGTTTGGTGTGAATGTGGCCTCCGCCAAGGAAAGGAGAAGGAGGAGAAGGGTTTGCACAGCAAAGAGGAGGTCGTGTCACCCCAAGATGACAGGGGCCTGGTCAGGCTCAAAAACAGAAGACAGGAGAAGACAGGGTGAGAGGAGAGAGAGAATTCTGCTGGCTGATGGACTTGTAGCCAGAGGGATGAGTACCTGTCCATGTTTCTGCAAAGCAGCTGCCTGATATGTTGGAGCTGACGGTGTCTTAGATGGAACGTGCTCCAGCCCTTGATGCAGAAGCAATGGTCCAACCACTCACTGGGGCTTCCTACTGCTGCCCTGTTAATGCCACTGCAAAAAGAACCAGCTGCTTATATGGCCCCTTGGCCATTGTGCTTTGCAGGAGAATGCACCCTGCAGATACCGTCTTATCAGGAGGTCTGTAGACGCCGACCAGACAAGGCGCCACCTCTATCATCTGTCGAAGACTGTCCATTTCCAGCAAGCCTTTTACGGGACCACCTCTATCCCAGTATCATCAGATTGAAAGTTGTTTTCCTGCACGTGGCACTTCACCCGGAAGCTGCCGTTGCGATGCAGAATGCTGCAGCACAATTGCTGACAGGAGTGAGACCCTGTCAGGTTGTACAGGTCTGCCCCAGCTGCTGATTTCAAGGTGCCAGGCAGAGTTCAAGGTGCCACTATTAGTATAAAAAGAAAGTGCTGTACTTAGTAGCTTGGGAACAGTTTATCTGAAGGGCAGAAGAAAGCGGCCAAGGAGAAAACCATACACAAGGTCAGAGTGGAGTCCCTAAGTTGATTGGACGGTGCTTTGTATGCCTCCTTCCTGCAACTCCTGCAGCCAAACTGGTGCCAAACAGATTGCTCTACTTTTCTTTGGACAACATCAGTGAGGCCAGGAAGTCTTGTCATCTGGCCAGCCCAGGACCTCCAGACACACCGCCCAGGCTTGCACCCTGGAGAGTGATAATTTTATTGTTTTATCCTTTTTTGGTAAACTGCTTTGAGGAAATCACCTTGCCAACAAAGGTCCGTATAGTTAAAGCTATGGTTTTCCCAGTAGCGATGTATTGAAGTGAGAGCTGGACCATAAAGAAGGCTGATCGCCAAAGAATGGAGGCTTTTGAATTATGGTGCTGGAGGAGACTCTTGAGAGTCCCATGGACTGCAAGAAGATCAAACCTCTCCATTCTGAAGGAAATCAGCCCTGAGTGCTCACTGGAAGGACAGATCCCAAAGCTGAGTCTCCAAGACTTTGGCCACCTCATGAGAAGAGAAGACTCCCTGGAAAAGACCCTGATGTTGGGAAAGATGGAGGGCACAAGGAGAAGGGGACGACAGAGGACGAGATGGTTGGACAGTGTTCTCGAAGCTACGAACATGAGTTTGACCAAACTGCAGGAGGCTGTGGAAGACAGGAGTGCCTGTCGTGCTCTGGTCCAGGGGGTCACGAAGAGGCGGACACGACTAAACAACTAAAAAACAACAGCAAAGTACAGTCTACTTTGGTTGCCAAACGCCTTGGAACTCGTACGTTTCAGCTCCTGAACGATCAGAAACTGGAAGTGTGTGTTCAGGTTGTTGAATGATTTTCGGAAGCTGGACATCCAGTAAGGCTTCTGATTGGCTGCAGGAGCTTCCTGCAGCCAATCAGAAGCCACACTTTGGTTTTCAAACGTTTTGGAAGTTGAACGGATTTCCAGAACGGATTCCGTTCGACTTCCAAGGTACGGCTGTATATAAATTTTATGAAATAAGCAAATAACAGCTAAGAATGGTTTAAAGCAACACAGTAAATAATAGTAGGCAAATTTAAAAGCAATACTGAGCAGACAGCCAGGGGCAGAGACCTATTCCTCTTGACAGAATTGTTTCCAGAAAGTGCAGATAGCTGGTGCCTGTCATATCTGGAAATAAAGATTGCCCTAAACTGCCTTGCTATCATGTCTCTTAATTATAAAAGGAAGGAGGCAATAATTCTGCTGAAGCAATATGTCTGGGTAACTTCTAGAGGGGAGCCTCAGGCCATTGAAAGCTCTTGACTGGTTTTTATGGGGGGTGGAGGGAAAAGGAAGAAGTAATCATCTCTTGGCTTTGCACTTCCAGAAGGAGTCTGGTGCTCTCTCCTTTACCTTTATGGTTACAAACGATAAGGGAGGATAGGAAAGATTTGCAGCTAAATCAAAGGATTTAGCAAGAGGTGCTGCAATTGTTCCCTGAGTTAATGCAACAGAATCTCTTGTCTTACTTCTCGAGGCCAAAAGAGAGCTTCTTTCTCAGGTGCAGTCTACCATCCTGATAGCAAAAGCATGATTCAGGGAATACATTGTAACACTGCTCTCTAGAGTCTCAGGTGAGGATCCATTTATAACACTGGCAGAGCAAAAGTTACCACTGAACCGTGCCCCTCACAAGGCTTCCTATCTGAGTATGTGTGGCTCTGCGTATGGATTGTGCAACCACCGAGCTCATGTGCAAACAGCTTTTCTATAATTTTATAATGACCCAGCAAGACTCTTCTCATTGCGCAAAAAATAAAAAGTCGATGCCCTCTGCAGGCCAAGCAGACACACCTGACCGACATAGCCAGCTAATTCCAACTAATTCCATGAAATTACAGAGATGATGCACCCTAGAAGATGAAGACTGATTTGGAGCAAGAACAATAAAGCAAGATGAGCGCCGCAACCCCAGAGTAGGTCATGACTGGACCTAATGGTCAGGGGTCCCTTTACCTTACCTTTACAACTCCACTAGCATCCCCCCGTTATTGTGAATAACACCTAACTTACCTTTTGTTGGTCTCTTCATGAACTTATCTAAAAGACTGAGTTAAGCATTTGAAAAATCTATTGAAACCAGACATTATAAGTTCATTTTAGGTTGGGTAGTTTGCAGGTCTCTGTGGCTTTGTTTGATGTTTTGTATTTTTCTCCGAAGGTTGATAAAGAATGTATAATTACTGTTCTGTGTATATTAATCGCCAACGTGTTGCATGAGTAGCACTATTCCCAACAGCAAGGGCTGGCGGACTGGGCTCCCTCGCCCACTTGCTTGCATACCTCAATGCAACCTCAGCTCCTGGCAACCAGCAGCCCCTGGCCAGTCCCAGAGGCACCATTCGCCTGCGGAGCTTGTAGCTGGGGCCGTTGCAACAAACAGCCCTGCAAGCCTTTGGGAGGCAGAGACGCAAGAGGGCATAAGAGGAGAGAGGGAAGGAAAGAGGGTGCCTGTGGCACCCCTGACCATCCTTCAAAGCACCCCAGGGTGCCACGGCACACTGGTTGAAAACGACCGTTCTAGTGTTGTGAAAGAGGGAAAAGAATGTTTCGCTGTCTGCTTTCTGCCTGCCATGCATCATCTTAGAGACTGTTGTCACGTCTCCTCTTCCTTTTCTGTAAAAGGTCCCAAACTCTGCAACCTTTCTCCATAGGGGAGTTGTTCCCTTGACCAAACCTTCAGAAGTCCTGCCACCTCAAGTAGCCAGGTGGGCTACCCAGTCAGTTGGGCCACCAGCCCTCCTGAAACCCTAGAATGCAAATCTTGAAGAAGTGTTACTTACGAGAGTCTTGAGCTCCAAAGGATCAGCTGGACGCTATCCGATGATCTTATCAACCCTCCTGGAGCCTTTATAATTCTTCCCCGCCATTCCTAGACTTCCTTATATTGCAAGTGATTGACAGTAATTCGTCAATCCGGGGCCCATGGAATGTCCCCACAGTTCCCCATCCCCAGTCACACCACCGGAGACAAGAAAGGAAGTGATGATTTTTTTATCTGGGTGTTGTACTCTGGGGTGTTCTCTCTCTTGTGAGAAAATCCAACCACATCATTTATCATCGAAGGAACTCCGGCGGGATGATGAAAGGCTGATTGTCTTTGATATTGACACAGATGAAGGTTGCCCAATATATTCGACGTTTGTGGGCAACATGAACGTCATGTCAGGTTCAGCACAAGGAAGTGTAACGAGATGAACCTTCAGGCAAAATAATATTCATCCTAACTTCAAATATGCAATGACGTTGTCTAAACTCCTGATGAGCAACCAAGGAAAAAAGTATACCGTATTTTCCCATGTATAAGACGTCCCCATGTATAAGACGACCCCTGTTTCCAAAATTAAGAAAATGAAAGAACAATGGCAAGAGAAGTTGATGAACCATGTGGAACTGGCAAAAATGACAGGTAGACTAAGAGAAAAAGACAACAGAGACTTTGAAAAAGATTGGGAACCATTCATATTATATTTGCAGAAACAAAGAAAGTCAATAGACTTGATGGCAGGATTTAAATAAACATCCACATCATTAGCATCAGAAAATGTTTAGAAGATAGTGAAATAATAATAATAATAATAATAATAATAATAATTATTTATTATTTATACCCCGCCCATCTGGCTGGGCTTCCCCAGCCACTCTGGGCGGCTTCCAAAAGAATATTAAAATACTATAATACATCAAACATTAAAAGCTTCCCGAAACAGGGCTGCCTTCAGATGTCTTCTAAAAGTCTGGTAGTTGTTGTTCTCTTTGACATCTGGTGGGAGGGTGTTCCACAGGGAAGGTGCCACCACCGAGAAGGCCCTCTGCCTGGTTCCCTGTAACTTGGCTTCTCGCAGTGAGGGAACCGCCAGAAGGCCCTCAGTGCTGGACCTCAGTTTCCGGGTAGAACGATGGGGGTGGAGACGCTCCTTCAGATATAAGATGATGTAGTTAATTTTATTTTTATGTTTATAGGTTTGATGTTTTGTTATTAATAACTTTTTCTGTTAAGAGATAGCAAAGTAGGTGAAAATAGAACCAAAACAGAAGCGGAAGTTGGGGGAAGCCTTGGAGGGGAGGGAGGAAGGAATATATAGTAAATGTTAATAATTTGAGATATATGGACTATATGGAACTTGCCGAACTGACTAGGAGACTCCATGTCCAGAGAGAACAGATGATGGAAGAAGATTGGAAGAAGTTTAAGGAATATTTGAAAAAATATGTTAATATTTAAATCTTAGAATAGCTTTGGAAGTTGATTTAGGCTGTAAGGTTAGAAGTAGAAGATAGTGTATTTTAAAATAGAATTATTTGTAAGTGATAAAATGTGAAGATTTTTATGGTTAAAGTAAGAGTGATTAAAAAAAGGTTAGAAATTATGATTATGATATATGTAAACTGCTAAAGATGAGGTAAAATGAAAATCAGATAGGGGGGACTTGGGGAAGCCCACCTAACAATGTTTAGAAAAAATAAGGATAAGACAAGAATCTGTTTGTATTGTTTGTTTTTCTGTTTGTGTTATAAAATGAATAAAAAAAAATGGGGGGGGGAGAATTTGAGATGTATGTAATGAATGAAAAAGAAAAATGAATAAAAAATTTTAAAAAGAAAGAAAATGAAACCCTAAACTAGAAGTGAAAATCTGGATGATTGGCAGCGGCAAGTTGTTGATCTTTTGGGGGGGCGATCACCCTCAAAGTTTCCAGCATGAGCTGCATGCAGTGCACAGTGGTGAAGAAGCAAAGCCCGAGACTGGGGGGACACCCAACCCTCCCCCCCCGTGGCAGGATGCCAAGGAGGGGTGGGGAAGGCAGCGACCGCTGTGCATCTGGCCTTGCCTTTGGGCAAACTGAGTTGAGGAAGGTGGTGAGCAGAGTGGGAGCTTGAGAGGGGAATAGGTCTTGGTGTTTCAATTTCTGGGAATGGAGTTGAGAGATGACCTAACCTGGGGAGAAAAGACCGGATGAAGAGAGCACAGCAGAGGTTATATTTTCTGAGAATTCTCCAGGAAAACAATCTCTCAAAGGACCTGTTGATGGCATTTTACCATTGTACTGTGGAGAGTGTATTAGCTTATGGTCTGTGTGTGTGTGGTTTGGGAGCTGCACGGTCAGGGGAAAAACAATGCTGTCCAGGGTTGTAAAGACTGCGGAGAGAATAATTGGGTGCACTCATCCCACCTTGGATCAAATCTACGCTTCCAGGTGCCATAAGAAAGCTGCAGAGATAGCGCAGGATAGTGCGCACCCCGGAAATGATCTCTTTCAGCTTCTGCCTTCTGGAAGAAGGTACAGGGTTATAAAGACTAGGATTAGCTGCCTGAGAAACAGTTTCTATCCAAATGCGATTTTGGTTTTAAATGCAGTGTAAGGCAGTGTCAAGGGACGCGGGTGGCGCTGCGGGTTAAACCACAGAGCCTAGGACTTGCCAATCAGAAGGTCGGCGGCTCGAATCCCCGCGACGGGGTGAGCTCCCGTTGCTCGGTTCCAGCTCCTGCCAACCTAGCAGTTCGAAAGCACGTCAAAGTGCAAGTAGATAAATAGGTACCACTCTGGCGGGAAGGTAAACGGTGTTTCCGTGTGCTGCTCTGGTTCGCCAGAAGCGGCTTAGTTAATGCAGAGGTCTGCAAGTTAGCAACTCCTCAGCACTGGTCAGCAAAATTAATACAGATTCACCAAGCTTTGATTCACAGAGTTTCATGCTTTCTTCAGTGGCATTAAAGATTAGAAACTTGCTTTTTTTAAAAGAAAAGGGGAGAAATAGAATGAAAACTGGGGTTCTCAGGATGCCAGTTACTGGAGATTGCATCAAATATGCATAGCCCTGTTGTGTAATTAGCAAGTGAAACTGCACACCATCAGGTTTAATTGTTTGTGTGAGAAAGAATCCCATTATTTCTGCCTAGGCAAGAGTTCTGTCTCAATCTAAGTCAGAGACTTGTTTCCTGAATACAGTGGTACCTTGGGTTAAGAACTTAATTCGTTCTGGAGGTCCGTTCTTAACCTGAAACTGGTTTTAACCTGAAGCACCAGTTTAGCTAATGGGGCCTCCTGCTGCCGCTGTGCGATTTCTGTTGTCATCCTGAAGCAAAGTTCTTAATCCGAGGTACTATTTCTGGGTTAGCAGAGTCTGTAACCTGAAGCGTCTGTAACCTGAGGTACCACTGTACCAGAATTGCAAAACACTTCCTGACTGTCTCTATCTTCAGGTGGGATTCAATCACACTCCTGCAAACCCAAGTTGTGCAACTATAGCTGATTGGGAGTTCTTGCACAACAAGTCCACTTCCCCTAATCACTGGACTTTTTGCTATGAGGAAAGTGAAATTGAAATGCCCTAGGAAGCGCAGGATTGTGTTTGCTTTGAAACAAATCAGGAAGAAGAAGAAGAAGAAGAGTTTGGATTTGATATCCCGCCTTTCGCTCCCTTTAAGGAGTCTCAAAGCGGCTCACAATCTCCTTCCCTTCCTCCCCCACAACAAACACTCTGTGAGGTGAGCGAATGCTCGTGAATCAGCTGGCATTGTCTAACCTCCCTGCAAATGATTCAGGGTAAACGCCCAAGAAACCCGTCATCTGAAAGGCCCTGCGCCGCTTGGAATCCTCCAGTGGTTCCCGCATCGCAAGGGGGTTGGACTAGATGACCCTTGGGGTCCCTTCCCAAGCTACAATTCTGTGATTCACCGGCGCTCCTCAAAATATCACTGCTGCAAAGAACTCTGGTCTCGCTGCTCCGTTGAGAGAGGATCGCTCAGGGCAGCAGTGGTTTGGGTCCCAGGCTGGTGAACGGCAGGAAGGGGTATCATCATTTGTTTATGTTTATGTTTATTATTATTATTATTATTATTATTATTGATACAGCAAGAAAAGAAAGAGAAAGAGAAAACACAGATACAGAATTACACACAGGAATAACAACAAACACAAAATTTTCTTAACAAACCATAAAACGTAAGTTGGTCTTAACACTATCGACCCAACCTCCCATCTATTCCTTATTTCAATTTAACATTACTTATTGCCAATACACACTTTTATCATAATTTAACTTTTTCTTAATATATCTTAACTCTTCTGTCTAACTTGCAACTACTACTGAAGTTCCTGGAATGCTGCAACAGAGTTTAAACTTCTATATTTATATTTCAAATGTTCTTTGAAAACCTCCCATTTTGAGACAAATTCCTGTTTTGATTTATTCGTTATTTCTTCTGATAGACCATCTAATTCGGCATATTCTGTCAGCTTTTGGATCCATTCATTTATAGAGGGAATTTCAATACGCTTCCATTTTGGCGCGATAAGAACTGTTGCTGCCGCCGTGGTTTATAAAAAGATACCCTTTGTTTTCTGCAGAATGTCCAAATCTGTAATTCCCAGGAGATAGGCCTCTGGTTTTTTATTAAAAGAGATCTTTAGCATTTTTTGCAAGGGGTATCGTCATTTGGGCAGCCAAATATATTGCGCTGGTTCTGAGCACCCTCTTTCTCTGTGGAGAAAGAGATCATTGCACCGCTGATCTGACCTTGCCCTCATTTGACCTTCCCATCCCCAAAGCCTACAGAGTCCTGTGTGTCAGGTCTGCAGGGGAAGCCAGCCAAACATTTCAGGAGAGAAATGCCTCAAGTACTTAATCCAATCTAAAAGTAAACATATTTCCAAATTATATGATTTGCTCCTAGAATGGGAGGTAAAGGAGGAGCAAGTGAAGACAGTGATGATAAAGTGGGCCCAGGATTTAGGGGAAAATATTATGATGAGCCTCCATTTCTCCCCCTTCTATTTGCCAGGAGGTGATGGGCTCAATGGGAAGAAATGGAGGCAGTGAGAGATTTTACTTTCTTGGGCTCCATGATCACTGCAGATGGTGACAGCAGTCACGCCTGCTTCTTGGGAGAAAAGCAATGACAAACCTAGACAGCATCTTAAAAAGCAGAGACATCACCTTGCCGACAAAGGCCCATATAGTTAAAGCTATGGTTTTCCCAGTAGTGATGTATGGAAGTGAGAGCTGGACCATAAAGAAGGTTGATCGCCGAAGAATGGATGCTTTTGAATTCTGGTGTTGGAGGAAACTCTTGAGAGTCCCATGGGCTGCAAGAAGATCAATCCTCTCCATTCTGAAGTAAATCAGCCCTGAGTGCTCACTGGAAGGACAGATCCTGAAGCTGAGGCTCCAAGACCTTGGCCACCTCATGAGAAGAGAAGACTCCCTGGAAAAGACCCTGATGTTGCAAAAGATGGAGGGCACAAGGAGAAGGGGACGACAGAGGAGGAGATGGTTGGACAGTGTTCTCGAAGCTACCAGCATGAGTTTGACCAAACTGCGGGAGGCAGTGGAAGACAGGAGTGCCTGGCGTGCTCTGGTCCATGGGGTCATGAAGAGTCGGACACGACTAAACGACTAAACAACACTTATGATGAGCCAATGGGAATGGCTGTGGAAAAGAGATATCAAATTTACAGCATGCTATAATTTAAGAGAGAATGTAATGAAAATGCAATACAGACCTGACCCTGGACAGACTGGCAAAAATGTATAAAAACTGTCGTGATATCTGTTGGAGATGCAACAATGGGGCAGGAACCTTTCTACATATGTGGTGGGAGTGCAAAGAGATAGTGGGATTCTGGGGAAATATCTATAACGAACTGAAAAAGATGTTTAGATTTTCATTTGAAAAAACTCAGAATCCTTTCTCCTAAGTATCATGTCAGAGGAAATAAAAAGAACAGTCAGACCAATATTTATGTATGCAACTACAGCGGCAAGGTTATTGATTGCCAAAATTTGGAAAAGCAGCAGTCCCAACTAAAACAGACTGGTTATCTAAAATGACGGAATACTTCCATATTGCCGAACTAACAGGGAGGATAAGAGGAGATATAGTACAAAAAGTGAATAAGGAGTGGGCTATCTTTAAGGAATACATCAAAATTTATGTGGAAAAAGTAGAATTTTTGACAGATATTGAGTGAATCCAGAAAATGAATAGAGTGAAAGGAGAGTAAAGTTAAGATAGAAGAAGAGATTAAAGAAATAATGAAGTGCGTTTAAGCTAGTTGGAAAAATAAAGTAGTGTAACAAGAACGGCTGGAAGTCAAGTCACTTGGTGGGTGTCCGTGTGGGGTAGGTGTGTAGGTACTGTATGTTGATATGTACAGTATAGGTAGGTATTATATAGAGTAATGTAGGTATGTTTTATGTTATGAAAATAAGGTAGTGTGTTATGTACGTGTATTGTGTAATTCTGTAAATGTATATGTATGTGTTTTATATGTTAATAAAAAAATGTTTTTTAAGGAGAGAAATGCCACCGTTAGCAGGCAGGAGTGTGGTCTCAGACTCAAGCTGCACACCTTCTGCTCTGTAGTCAGTTGCGCTGCTGACTTAGCAACCAGCCTGGGGAAGCCCCCCCTCCCTCTCTCCCAGGGAAGGCTGGAACCACAGAGGGGACTCTTCGGGGAGATTCCTTGCTTCCTCCTTCAGACACTTCGCTTCTGTTTTTGAAAAACACGACTCCGGCTTGGATCCAGTGTTAAAGGGGTACCTTGGTTCTCAGACTTAATCCATTCCAGACGTCCATTCCAAAACCAAAGCGTTCCAAAACCAAGGTGCACTTTCCCATAGAAAGTACAGTGGTACCTCGGGTTAAGTACTTAATTCGTTCTGGAGGTCTGTTCTTAACCTGAAACTGTTCTTAACCTGAAGCACCACTTTAGCTAATCGGGCCTCCTGCTGCCGCTGCACCGCCGCTGCACGATTTCTGTTCTCATCCTGAAGTAAAGTTCTTAACCTGAGGTACTATTTCTGGGTTAGCGGAGTCTGTAACCTGAAGCGTATGTAACCTGAAGTGTCTGTAACCCGAGGTACCACTGTAATGCAAAATGAATTCATCCGTTCCAGACTTTTAAAAACAACCCCTAAAACAGCAGTTTAGCATGAATTTTGCTAACGAGTCCATTGATCCATAAAATGAAAGGAATAAACAATAGGCTACAGTCACCCAATCAATCAATCAGTAGCTGAACTGGGTTCCACACAGTCACAAAAACAAAAAAGAGGCACAAAAACACAAAATAAAAAACAGACAGACCTCAGCGTAACACTCAAAACAGAAGTGTGGCACTCAAATCGGAAGCATGACACTCAAAACGGAGCATAGAATCATAGAATCATAGAGTTGGAAGAGACCACAAGGGCCATCGAGTCCAACCCCCTGCCAAGCAGGAAACACCATCAGAGCACTCCTGACATATGGTTGTCAAGCCTCTGCTTAAAGACCTCCAAAGAAGGAGACTCCACCACACTCCTTGGCAGCAAATTCCACTGTCGAACAGCTCTTACTGTCAGGAAGTTCTTCCTAATGTTGAGGTGGAATCTTCTTTCTTGTAGTTTGGATCCGTTGCTCCGTGTCCGCTTCTCTGGAGCAGCAGAAAACAACCTTTCTCCCTCCTCTATGTGACATCCCAGGGAAGGCTGGAACCACAGAGGGGAAGCATGTTTAGCTTCCGAAAACACTTAGTTCTGGGTTTGCAGTGTTTGGGTTCCAAGTTGTGTGAGTTCCAAGGCGTTGGATAACCAAGGCACCACTGTGCTCATATTCAGAGGAGGGCCTCTGAGATCCAAGGACCGAAGTTTGTCATCCTTGCTCTGACAGTGGCTCACGTTGGACGCAAGCCTCAGGCACGCCTTATATTCACATAGTGGGAATTTATTTATTATTTATTTGTGGCATTTATATTCTGGCTTTCCTCCATGATTCTCTCTTTCCTCATTTTGTCCTCACAACAACCCTGTGAAGTAGGTTGATTCCTGTGACTGCAAGGAATTCCTGCATTGCAAGGCATTGGACCAGAGGACCCTTTGAGACCCCTTCCCATGGTTCTGAGAATGGGGATTTGAACCCAGTTCTCCCAGGTCCTAGTCTGACACTCTAACCACTCTGCCACATTGGCTGTCTTGTGGGTAATTGCTCACTGAGGAGGATCCATTAGATTATGGTGGAATCCGGACTCAGAGGAAGCTGTGCTGATAAAAAGACAGTTGGAAAAATATATATTAGCAAAGCTGTATTTGACGGATGAAAGTACATGATGTTTGACATGACTGAGAATCGTGGACTCAGGGACAAAGAATTATGAAGCGTTAAAATCAAGATGTGGAAAATATGGAAACAACAAGGAGAGGCAGGACTAAGATTTGCTTCAGAGATCCAGACCGTGGGGAGCTCTGAAAAAATTAATAAATATAATTTGGATTATAATTTGGTCTTTTTTATTTTAGTTTTTTTATTTTAATTGAAGTGTTATGATTGGATATACTGTATTAATTGGATGTTTCTTATTGGAAAATCAGTAAAAATGATTTTAAAAAAGAAAAAAGATTATGGTGGAATCCAGGTAGGCAAGGCACTTCTGGCACCTCAAGGTCACCAATGCTGATGGCAAGGTCCTGACCCAAGAAGTTGGTCTTGGTCAGGATGGTGGTAAGACTGAAATCCCTGCAGGCTTGAGCAAAATGGTTGGTGAGTCTCTGAAGAGCTTCCTCAGAGCGCGCTGTCAAGGCTGCGTCATCTGCAAACAACATCTCTCGGATAAGGACCCCCAACACTTTTGTCTTGGTGCAGAGATGTGCCAGGATGAACACACACACACACACACACACACCACACGCACGTGTGTTATTCCCTGAATGAAAGTACACACCCTCTTCAGCTGAGCAGAAGACATTTGAGAGCAACAGGCAAAGGAAAATGCCAAAGGGAGTTGGGGCAAGAACACGGCCCTGTTTCACACTATTTATCGGGAAGGAATCCGAGGATGAGCTGTTCACATGGAAGGACACAATCATCTTTTGAAGCTAAGGAAGCCATCCTATCTTGTTGAGTCAAAGGTCAACAACTGTGGTGTAGTGGTTAAGAGCGGTGGACTCATAATCCGGTGAACCGGGTTCGCTTCCCTGCTCCTCCACCTGCAGCTGCTGGGTGACCTTGGGCCAGTCACACTTCTCTGAAGTCTCTCAGCCTCACTCACCTCACAGAGTGTTTGTTGTGGGGGAGGAAGGGAAAGAAGATTGTTAGCCGCTTTGAGACTCCTTAAAGGGACCCCTGACCGTTAGGTCCAGTCACGGATGACTCTGGGGTTGCAGCGCTCATCTCGCTTTACTGGCCGAGGGAGCCGGTGTACAGCTTCCGGGTCATGTGGCCAGCAGGACTAATCTGCTTCTGGAGAACCAGAGCAGCGCACGGAAACACCGTTTACCTTCCTGCTGGAGTGGTACCTATTTATCTACTTGCACTTTGATGTGCTTTTGAACTGCTAGGTTGGCAGGAGCAGGGACTGAGCAACGGGAGCTCACCCTGTCGCAGGGATTCGAACCGCCGACCTTCTGATCAGCAAGTCCTAGGCTCTGTGGTTTAACCCACAGCGCCACCAGCGTCCCCTTTTAGGGTAGTGATAAAGCAGGATATCAAATCCAAACTCCTTCTTCTTCTTCTTCTTCGTCAGGCCGATGAAGGCGATGTACAAGGGGCGCCTCTGCTCTCAACATTTCTTCCGCAGCTGGCACAGGGAGAAAATCATGCAGACTGTTGACCTCTGAGCTCTGAAGTTGCATTGTGACTGTCTGCGAGTGACTGCAATCTGTTGAGAACTACCCAGGCCAAAGCTTTCCCCACAGTACTCAGCAGGGAGATTCCATGGTTGCAATCATAGCGGTCACCTTTGTTCATGTAGAGGGTCACGATGCTGGAGTCGTGCATGTCTTGTGGTATGGATCCTTGTTCCCAACACTGCAAAAGGAGGAGGCTGTGGAGGTGTTGTCCTGAGGGAGGAATTTAAGACAGCGTTCAGAACTTCTGCTGGGATTCCGTCCGGATTACTGTGTCAGAGGCTGTGTTTTCCTGAGTGCAGTTCATAATAGTGCTCTGCCCATCGCTACATGTGCTTGTTGCAGTCTGCAATGATCTCTCCCCACAAGGTTTTCAGTGGTGCAATTTTCCCAACTGCTGGTCCAAAGGCTTTCTTCGTGCCTTCGTACATTTTGCAAGAGTTGCCAGTGTCTCCAGCGAGTTGGATGCTCTCATGCAGCTCTAGCCAGTAGTCATTGGCAAAACATCTGGCAATCTGTTGGGCATCGCCTTTCTCAGCACAGCAAGCATCTTTCAACAGGGTGCAAGCTTGAAGTTCAGGAGAGCCTCACACTTTGCAGCGATAACAGGTTCCATGTTGACCACTTTCCCCATCGCTTCCTGCCACTCAGCACTGGACCATCTTGCTTCTGATCTCTCACCATGGCAGCACCTCTTGACCAAGCTATTGGCCTGCTGGTTGCCACCTTCCACAAATACGCCAGCAAGGGTGGCGATAAGAACACCCTAAGCAAGAAGGAATTGAAGGAGCTGATACAGAAGGAGCTCACCATTGGACCGAAACTGCAGGATGCAGAGATACAGGCATTAATGAAAGATCTGGAATTCAATGGGGACCAAGTGGTGAACTTCCAGGGATACGTCACTTTCCTGGCTGCCTTGGCAATGATTTACAACGAAGCTTTGAGTTTGTAAATGTACACCCTGGTGGGACGAGGTGTCGTGGTTCGGAATTATACCTCTGTAGGCGGTTTCACGTCCAATAAAATTTAAGGTTTGTAAAAAAACAAAAACAGGTTCCATGTCCTTTAGGTTGACCCCAAACCAGTTGGGGGTCTGTTTCTCTCCTTTGCCAAAGGAAGACCCAGCTGTGTTGCAGATTGCCTCTGTGATGTGGTTCCACCTTACTTCGACAAGATCTCTGGAGCCGTTCAGTAGAGCTTGTTCGACGGAATCAGAAAAGCGTCCACAAGATCTGTTGTGGTGTTGATGCTGCGACACCCTCCGTCTTATGTTCAGGTTGTAAATATGTGCAAATAAAACCATATATCATAGAATCATAGAATCATAGAATCATAGAATCATAGAGTTGGAAGAGACCACAAGGGCCATCGAGTCCAACCCCCTGCCAAGCAGGAAACACCATCAGAGCACTCCTGACATATGGTTGTCAAGCCTCTGCTTAAAGACCTCCAAAGAAGGAGACTCCACCACACTCCTTGGCAGCAAATTCCACTGTCGAACAGCTCTTACTGTCAGGAAGTTCTTCCTAATGTTTAGGTGGAATCTTCTTTCTTGTAGTTTGGATCCATTGCTCCGTGTCCGCTTCTCTGGAGCAGCAGAAAACAACCTTTCTCCCTCCTCTATGTGACATCCTTTTATATATTTGAACATGGCTATCATATCACCCCTTAACCTCCTCTTCTCCAGGCTAAACATGCCCAGCTCTCTTAGCCGTTCCTCATAAGGCATCGTTTCCAGGCCTTTGACCATTTTGGTTGCCCTCCTCTGGACACGTTCCAGTTTGTCAGTGTCCTTCTTGAACTGTGGTGCCCAAAACTGGACATAGTACTCCAGGTGAGGTCTGACCAGAGCAGAATACAGTGGCACTATTACTTCCCTTGATCTAGATGCTATACTCCTATTGATGCAGCCCAGAATTGCATTGGCTTTTTTAGCTGCCGCGTCACACTGTTGGCTCATGTCAAGTTTGTGGTCAACCAAGACTCCTAGATCCTTTTCACATGTACTGCTCTCAAGCCAGGTGTCACCCATCTTGTATTTGTGCCTCTCATTTCTTTTGCCCAAGTGCAATACTTTACATTTCTCCCTGTTAAAATTCATCTTGTTTGTTTTGGCCCAGCTCTCTAATCTGTCAAGGTCATTTTGAAGTGTGATCCTGTCCTCTGGGGTGTTAGCCACCCCTCTCAGTTTGGTGTCATCTGCAAATTTGATCAGGATGCCCTTGAGTCCATCATCCAAGTCGTTGATAAAGATGTTGAATAAGACCGGGCCCAAGACAGAACCCTGTGGCACCCCACTAGTCACTCTTCTCCAGGATGAAGAGGAACCATTGATGAGCACCCTTTGGGTTCGGTCAGTCAGCCAGTTACAAATCCACTGAGTGGTAGCAGAGTCAAGACCGCATTTTACCAGCTTCTTTACAAGAATATCATGGGGCACCTTGTCAAATCACATGAAAACAAGGTAGGCTACATCCACTGCGTTCCCTTCATCTACCAGGCTTGTAATTCTGTCAAATTACAATCCTAAAGTCTCAGTTGGCCTTCATTCCAAGGAAACTGAACCCTGGCTGGAGCCTCTCTGCTCGGATATTGGTATGGCATGTAAAACACACACAGACAGACAAAGCAGATTTGTATGCATTGCTTCACCCCACTAGGTAAAGGTAAAGGGACCCCTGACCATTAGGTCCAGTCGTGGCCGACTCTGGGGTTGTGGCGCTCATCTCGCTTTATTGGCCGAGGGAGCCGGCATACAGCTTCCGGGTCATGTGGCCAGAATGACTAAGCCGCTTCTGGCGAACCAGAGCAGCGCACGGAAACGCCGTTTACCTTCCTGCCAGAGTGGTACCTATTTATCTACTTGCACTTTGATGTGCTTTTGAACTGCTAGGTTGGCAGGAGCAGGGACCGAGCAGCAGGAGCTCACCCTGTTGCGGGGATTCGAACCGCCAACCATCTGATCGGCAAGCCCTAGGCTCTGTGGTTTAACCCACAGCGCCACCCACGTCCCTAGCGTTCACTCCACTAGGCAAAGCCTAAATCTCCCTGGTCACAGAATGACTAGCTACGGCCCTGGCCCTGACACATCCTCCAAAGCATTCTGCACATTCTCAGAAGTACTCTCCTCATAACTCCTACTTGACTTGTGGTTAGCTAAGGCTGAGCTCCTGGTCTTAATTTGTTTGCGGGGCAGGGGATGTAGGGCCGCAAACAAATTTAGCACAAATTTGAAATTTGGCAACATTTTGGATTTGGCTTTGAAGGAAATAACATCAGGTACCAACATGGAGTTCAGTGGGTGGGGGAAGCAATTCTGTAAAAATGGTTTTGCAAGAAAGTTGTGAGAAATTGGTAATCTCCACCCCAGCTCTGGGCTGCACTCGAGTCTTGGGCAGCAATGAATCCCAGCTTTTGCTGCTGTGGCAAGGAACGTACCAGACTGGATGTCTGATACGTTCATGCAAGTGACAATGACCAATCAGAAGATACCTTCTGGTTAGAAAAGGACGTGGCGAAATCTTGGTCTGTGTCAGGGTTTGCTCTTGGAAACTGAGCTGATCAAAGGGAAAAGGCACCCAAACTCCCTCAGATGGAACAGGGAGAGGCTGGCAAAGTTTACAGCAACCTAGTCAGCTGAAAAGAAGCATTTTCCCGACTGACCGACTCTGCTCTGACATTGCAATTTGATGCTTACAGATTTGCAGAGAGTGGCAGACTCTCCTTCTTTGAAGGTTTTTAAGCAGAGGTTGAGTGGCTGTCTGTCAGGGATTTTTCAACCGTGGTTCCTGCATTGCAGGGGGTTGGACTAGATGACCCTCAGAGGTCTTATGGTGGACGTCCTGAGTCTCTGGCAGAAAGACAACAACAGAGGGATCTCCCTTATACTGAGTCAGACGATTGGCCCATCTTGCTACAATATTCTCTACACGGACTGGCAGCGGCTCTCCAAAATTTCAAGCAGGGTTCTCTCCCTGGAGATGACATTGGGGCATCCCAGCTAGATAGGCAGGGGGTACAACAACAACAACAACAACAACAACAACAACAACAACAACAGTTGTGACCTCCTGCTTCCAAAGTCACCCATTGCTCTACCATTGTCGTCCTTCCAAGGTACAGGATTCTTCTTTGTAGCTAAGACAGAACGAGAAGATAGATCCTAGAATCTGGTATGTCCAGCAAGTCTCCCCACCCCAAATTTATAGACTTGGGTAGGGGTACCAAATTAAATAGTCTAAAATTCAGCACAAATATAGAGCCAATCTGTCCCATTCAAGCACACAACACACATCCTAAACTGATGCCGTAACTGAGAATATCTTGGGTTTTCTCTTGTCTTTGGACATAGGTAAAGTTTTGTGCCATCCATGAATTTATCTATTCCTCTTTTAAAGCCACCTGGCATGAACTGAAGCTGCAGTCCCACCCAACCTTCCTGGGTGTAAGTTCCATGAAGAAGAGCGGGACTTACTTCTGAGTAAACACCCAAGAGGCTATTGCACTGTGAACTCACTTCTTTCAGCGGGCTTTAAAGCACCCGAAAGGCAGAATCGCAATTCTCCCTCGCCTTGTGCTTGAAACATTCAGCACAGCCTGTGATTAATGTTCCTTCCCAACCTCAACAGCTATTAAGTAATTGTCGGAGGCTGGCCTGCCAGCTGCCCTCAACAGCCCGGAGCTGAAAGATCCTCGCTGCAATTTCAGGACTCGAGCCACGATGAAAAGAGCCTCGGATTCTGCTAAGTCCCACCGCTCACGAACTCACCTGGAGCCCCATGGTCAGAGGTGCAATCGCAGTCTTCCCCAAAAACCTTTGGATGAATGGAAGGAGTTGTCAGCACACCTGTTCAGGTACCTGCCTGTTGCTTCCCGAGGGCATCTTACTAGGAAGGAGTCCAACCAGTAGCTCCCAACCAAGGCAGGATCCTGGCAAGGACACACCTCTCCAACAGGTTGCGAAGCTTTCCCCCAATCTGGTTGGACCAGTAAGTCTCCATTGGTGCTGACTCTTCTTCCCAACAGACATTTCCTCCCCGGCTGAGTCACCGACACCCCAAAATTGGTTTAAGAGGAGGGCGATGCTAGAACCACATCTAGGCATTTTGCAAGTTGCCTTTGCTGTGGGTACCAGCGGTTCCTGTGTCC